ATTAATAATAAGTTTATAGAAATTATTAAGAAAAATCTATAATTATTATTTATTATAAATAAAAATAATTTTATATTATTTTAATAAGATTTATTAATTCTATTTTATTTATTTAATAATAAATATATTTATATTCTAAGACTTTTTATATTTTTATTTATATATATATTACTAATATAATAGTTATTTTATAGATTCTTAAAAATATATATTAATAATTTAGTTTTTCTCTTTTAGATTCTTAAAAAACTAAATCTTAAATTAAAATTAATAAAAACTTATATTAGATTTTTATCTATAACTTTACTTAAATAAAGAGTTAATAATCTTAATTTAACTACTCTAAAAAATAAGATAAAATTATATAAATATTATTATTTTTTTTAAAATTTATAGAATTTAACTATATTCTTAGATTTACTAAATAAATTAAATAATTATATAAAATATTATATATAGAAAGCCAGCCTACTGTAAAATAAAAAAATATATTTATTAAATAGTATAAAAGAAACTTTTATTAAAATTATTTTTTAGTTAATTTAACTTCTATAAGAATTATTATTAAAATAATTAAAAATAAATTTATAAAATTCAAATATCTTATTTATTCTATTTTAGAAAACTATTTTTATATAAATTTTAATACTAGTTATTATAGAATAGATATTATAGTATATTATTTATATTCTAAATATATATATATATATATAAATATCTTAAAATTACCTGTATATACTTTAGTAATACTAATATTTTTTAATTAAATATTAATTAGTCCAGAACAAAATTACTAGTTAACTAAATTGAAAATATTATATTTTATTTAGATATTTTAAAAGATTTATTATATAATATAAATATATAAAAAATCTGTTATAATCTATATTAATTATATTTTTATATTTAAAATTTTTAAATAAATAACTTTTAATACTGTCTTTATTAAAAGACTTAATTTTTAATTAATTTATATATTTTAATATATATAATAGTTCTATCTCTATATCTTTTATTATTTTAAAGAATTAAATATAATAATAAATATCTTTTTTAATTATTATAAATAAAAAAAGAAATATATATATCTTATAATCTAGAAGATATTCTAGTAAATATTTTTTTATTATATTTCAGAATATTATTATATTTAAGAATATTAATATATCTATAATTTTTTAAAGTTATTTATTCTATATATATTAGTAAAATTAATAATGAATTTAAATATTATATTATATTATATTATTAACAGCTATATTAAAAATCTCTAAATAAAAAAGATTAAAATTATTCTTAAAACTAATCTAAATACTTATCTACTTTATTTTATATAGAATAATCTTCTTTATATAATTAAATATATTATTTATAATTTTATTATTAGTAAAGTTATTACTAATTTTACTAGTAATAAATTTAATATTAAAAATAAATACTCTAAAAATAAAGATATTATAAATAGTAGTTTTATTATTTTAAAAAAAAAGTTTAATTATATTTCTCTAGATTAATTATTCTTAATATTTTTAAAATTATTTATAATAATAATTAGTATTAAAAATTTAAAAAATATATCTAGAAACTTAATAATCTAGTAATTTATTAAGATTAAAAGTAATTATATAAATATATTTTTTATTATTTAATATATTTATAAAATAAGATATACTATTATAAATTTTTTAAATTATTATAATTAATAATTCGAGTTAAATTATTTTATATTATTATTATATATTTTATAATATTTTTATTTTTATATAATTCTAATTTCTTTAATCTTCTATTAGTAATAATTAATAAATTTATTAAATAAATTAGTTTTTATCTAGATAAATCTATTTAAAAAATAAAATAATAAAAAATTATCTTAATTAAATATATATAATCTTATAATTAAAGTATTTTTTATTTTTTTATCTTAAATAAAAATATTTACTTTATATCTAGTTTTTAAAAAAGATTATTTTGAAAATTATAAGTTAAGTAGTTTTATAATATTATAATACATCTTTAGATTAATAGATAATTAGAATAGATAATCTAGATTATAGAAATAATATAATATTATAAAATAATTTAAAAAAATATATTTTTTTAATTATTAATACCTTTTATAATTATATTTATTATTAATTTATCTCTATTAATTATTATAAAAAATATTTCATAAATTAATATTTAATATTTTTCTTTATTAATTTTAATATTTAGCTAAAGTTATAATAAAAAGAATAATTCTAGATTATATTATTCTTAATATATTAAATATTCTAAATATTTTAATTATTCTAGTATCGGATATTATTACTAATAAATATTTAAAAATTAATAATATTTAAAAATATTTTTATAAAAATATATTTTTTATAAATTAAGATTATTATTTCTATATTTAAATAATCTATTATTATACTTATTAAGAGAGGATATAATTATTCTTAAAAAATAGAAATTAATATTAATAATATCTAAGATTTTTTTTTATATTTTAATATTAAGAAAATCTTAAAATTTATTTTTATTTATATAAGATATTTTTATAATTATTATTATCTACTTCTTATATTTATTCCAGATAACTAAATTTATTTATATTTATATTATAATTATATTATCTCTACTACTTCTTTTATACTTATTAAAAAAAGTTTATATAATAATATATTAGTTTTTTTAGAATTATTTAAATAGTTAGCTGTTATACTTATTATCTTTATTTTTTATTTATAAAATATTTATTGAATTATCTTTATTATATAATTTAAGTTAGTTTATAATATTAATAATCTTAATTTATATAATTATACCTTACTGAAGCTTCTTAAAATCTAAAATAAAAAATTCTTTAATAAAAACTATTAAAGAATCAGAAAATTTATAAATAAATATATTATTTTTTATAGATATTACTAAAAGCTTATTTTCTAATTTTTTATATATCAAAAGAAATATAATCCTAAAAATAATATATAAATATATTTTAAAAATATTAATATTCCTAATTTAGTTTATAAATTTAAGAATTATTTTTAAGTTATTTTTTTAAAGATATATATATAATATTTTCTTTATTTTTATATCTCTGTATATCTGAATATTTATTTATTTTTTATTTTCTTTATTCCATATTTTTAAATAGCCTATAACTTATCTTTATATATATAATTTAATTAGTATAGATAATAATCTTGAAAAGCTAGTATTTATAATAATTCTAGTATTTCTAAGAATTCTGTCTTCTATTTTTAAACTATTCTATAGACTATCTTTAGTTTAGAAGAACTTCTTATTTATTCTAAGAAACTTTTTTTTCTTAACTATTTTATATTAATTAATTACCTAATTATATCAATATTCCAGAATCATATAATAAAAATATTTTTAAAAATATTAATCTAGATTTAATTATCTTTATATTTAAAAATTAAAAAAAATTAATATAATTATTTTCTCCTATATTAATAAAAAATAGAAATATAAATAATCTAAAAAATAATCTAGAAAATAAATTATTATTAAAAATAAAAATTTCTTTATTTAAATTTATATATATTATATGATTTTAGATAAAAACTTATTTTTTATAATTCTTATAATATTATAATTAGAATTCTAGATAATATAAAAAATAATTAATATATTTATTTTATATTAAAATCTGTGAAAGTCTTTTTTAAAATATAATATATTTCTTAAAAAAAACAAGTAGAATAAATAAATTAAATAAATTACATAAATTAAATATAAAGAATATTATTATATTATAATTAAAATATATAATTAATAATATATATATTTTATTTAATTCTTTTTACTAGTAAATATAAATAATTAAAATAATAATCATATCTTAACCTAATTTTGATTATATAATTAAATTATTTTTTGTATCTTAATCTGATTATTAGATTATAATTAGATTAAGATTAAGTATAATAATCAGGTTAAGCTACTCTATATATAATTAATTAAATTTATTTAATAGAAAATAAAAATATAATAGATTTATTAAATTTATTTAAAAAAATTTAATAAGAATTTAGAAATATTATACTAGTTTTTAATTATTACTTTAATAATAAAAATATAGTTTTTTTAATATAATTTATTAGATTTTTAATATATAATTTAAATTATAATTATAATTATATATTCTTTTTATATTTTTTTATTAAAAAAATAATATTATTATAAAAAATTAAATTATATTAATATTATTTAAACTTTTTATTATTTTTATAAATAAAAAGATATTTTTATATTTTTATATTTTTTTTGATTTTAGAGAATTTATTTTTATATAGTTTAAAATAATAATTATAATAATTAAATTAATTTTTATTTAATTTAGATATATTTCAACTATACTAAAATTAAAAAAATATAATAAATAAATCTTAATATTAAAAATAATTAAAATAATTAATTATTTTATTTTTAGTTATATTATATAATTAACTATAAGAATTTCTTTAATCTAATTATTAATATATAGTTAGGTATAAAAGTTTCTATTAACCTGACCTAATCTGGCTGTTGGCTACTCTAGTCCATCCCTGTATTCTATATAAAATTATTCTTTATATCTCAACTATTTCTTATCAGAACTATATATAATATATTTTATAGATTCTTATTAGTATTATAATCTATATTATCTAAGAAATCATCTCTAATATATCTCAATTACCTAAATAAATAAATATTTTTTAGTAATATATATGATACAAAATAATTTCTATTTTATACTAAGAATATTAACTTAGAGCTTCTAAAAAAGATACCATATATAAAAGTTATACTTAATATTTATATAGTATAAACTTAGCCCCTTAAGTATTATGGTTAATGAGGTATTCAGCTTTAGAAACTAGCTATTTTGTATAGAATACAGAGATGGACTACTCGCCTACATGGACCACTCGCTTACTGATTACGTTACTTAGTATTAATAAGCATCCTTTTAATTCCGGGCCGTGGGCTATGGCTGGGCGATGCGCATCTGCGCCTTCGTCATCCTCGCCCTGCTAATAGTCGCCAACCTAACCATGCGCACTGCCACACTGCCACCCCTCCAGAGGCTCACGCGGCAGCAGCTGGTCAAGCCGCTGGGCGAGCTGCAGTTCGTCCTGCTGGCGCTGGGGGGATCCTGCTTCTTCACCTTCGGCTTCTTCATTCCAGTCAACCAGCTCCCAAGCCAGGCGCTGGACGCCGGCATGCCCGCCACCATATCCGACTACCTGGTGCCCATTCTGAACGCGGGCTCGCTCGTCGGGCGGCTCACCTCGGGTATGGTCGGGGACCGGCGGCCACTACAACACCTACCTGATCGTGTGCTACATGTCCGGCATCCTGATCATAGCCCTCTGGCTCCCCGCCGCCTCTAGCGCAGCCCTAATCGCCTTCGCCGTACTTTTCGGTTTCTTCTCCGGCGCCTACGTTTCCCTGCTGAGCCCACTGGCGCTGCGTGTCTCGCCACAACACGAGCTCGGCTTCCGCTCCGGCATCATCATGTTCATATCCGCCATCGCCGGCCTGCTAACCAACCCTATTAACGGCGCCATCCTGGATAGCAGTCCTGCCGAATGGGTGGGGCTGAAAATCTTCTCTGATATCTTCACCCTGGCAGGGACGACCTGTGTGCTAGTCGCACGCGTGCGACTGACAAGGTGCAAGGTTTTGAAGGTGTGCTAATGCTGGCGAGTCATCTTAGGGCCTAAAGGTATTTCAGCCCCTTCCCCCGGTGGGGGTGGTCTTGTTGTACATAGTAAGAATATCTTGCCAGGAGCGGGCTAGCTGGGGGGGAAGATGTGGGAAATAGAAGGTATACTGGTATCTATTTTCTATTATTTTAATCAGAGCTTTTTCAACCTTATTTTATACTTATAGTCTCTATTAGTAAAGAGAACATAGAAGCCAATGCGGAGCTATCACCTCTCTATAAATCACTACCTGGGTTGAATCACCACTGACATCAGAAGGCATGGATAGTAAAGGAGCCTGAAATTCCGGTAGGGCTATCTTATCCTGTTACTAAGACTTTGAATTCAATGTTTAGTCCTCCGCCATTTCTCCAACTCGAAGTGATGATTGTTGCAGCAGCCAATTTCCGCTTCTTGGCTGTTAATGTAGGTAATCTGATGATCACGGATGGCAGGCATTCCAATTACCAGTTGCCATTTATCTCTACCTTTATCCCAGATACCGGGGACCTCATCAGCACAAACTGTAAGTCTGGCATAGTCAGGCTGATTCTGTGCCTTGCTGATATCATGGGGGACAAAGATATCAAACTTAACATAGGACCTGGCCCTGTATGAGTGACATCTGCCATCATTCCCATAGTAATAATGCTTCCGGGGGTGGTTAATAATAAACCGTTTGTATCCTGACATCTTACGGACAAGCTTCGGGTCAATATGTGATCTTGGACTGTCCGATCTAAGTAGAATAAACTCAGCCATACAACTAGTGCCCAGATTCACACAGACGCGAGATTTAGGGAAGTCCTTTGTCTCCCCCCGATCAGTACCCTTGATCATGTCCGGGTCAAAGGAAGACTCAATGATATTCCCTGGCTTGGACCTGGTGATCAGCATTTTGGCATCTGTTTTCTCCATAGTATTGCTATCATTGCTAGAAGCAAAGAGGCCACGAACCCTCCCTGTTTCCTTTTTCTCAGTGGGTAAAAATGGGCTCTTTTCGTCCTTCTTATCTGCTGCTTTGATTAGCTCCGATATAAACCATGGTGTGAGTGACATCGCGGCAGATTGTCTCAACATAATAAGGGGGGAATTGTAGCTGACAAGGGCTGATAATCTTTACCAGAAGGTTGGCAATATTAAAGCAGTAGCCAGGGGAAAAGAAAGCCTTCTTATATCGAATGAGAGACAGAAGCTAACCATGGCTTTTACATCAACTCCGTTACTGCACGGAACAAAGAATACACAATCTTTGTTATTGCTGGGTGAGGCTGGTATTTTAATGCACTTTCTTTGTGCTTTCCTACGGATTTCTATATAGCAACAAAGAATCAACACTACCTAGCTCTGCTTGATTAGGATTCTTTTAACTTTACTGTCTTCTCTCTTTGTCTTCATCTCATACCACAAAATCCCTTCTTGCATGCCAAAGCTCGGCATCAAGGCATTAGATAAAGAAGGATAAATGGATTTTCGTGGCTTTTAGGCATTCTCTTCCGATATTGCTCAGATAGCCCTCAATCATATACTGGACTCAACTATCTTGTTAAGATCTCTCTTAGTAAGATCAATGGTAGAGGATTTACATATTATCATAATTATAGAACATAGTAACCACAATCAGGCTACTGGTAACCACCTTTAAGCTAATAATGAGCAGTCGAATCATTGTCTTCCCCCTGCCGCCTGGTAAAGATTGGAATTGAATATCTTAACAACTTTCTTTTGATGTCTGCCCATCTTTAATTCTAAACAATCAGAGAGTAGTAGACATGTATGCTAGACACCTGCTGGTTGAGTCAATACAGATAGTTTCAGTTTAAGTTCAACTGTCCGCCCAGAAGTCTTCCACATCCTGCTGATACCATGCGACAGTTGCTTCGAGACCATCTTCAAAGTTCGTTCTCTCTTTCCAACCCATAGCTCGCAACCTGGAGTCATCGTTCCAGTACATGCTGTCATTGAAAGGTCGATCTCGCACCATCTCAGCCCACCGCCCGAGCCCTTCGGATTCTTATTCAGGAAAATGTCTTACGATCCTTTCTGCTACCTCACACACCTGCAAACGATTATGGGATGATATATTGTAGATTGCACCGAGCTCTCCCCAATGCAATATCACATCAAATGCCTCTGCGGCATCCCCGGCATAGAGAAATGACCGAGCAGTCTTACCATTGCCGTGAAGTGTCATTTTCTTGCCCTTTATCAATGATGTAATAAACTTCGGAATCACCTCTGCAGCTCATCAGTATTTGTTCTTGCGTCTTATCGTAGTCATGGTTTATGTCACTCTCCGGATGCTCTAGTAGACCGAACGGGGCCGCTGATCCCTGCGCTGACTGGATCTGTTCTCGCGGGCCCGAGTATGATGCTGTTGGCTCTGATACAAAGCAACACTCTTGTCAATTCAGTCCTCCTGCGCCTTTTCTTGTTTTTATTTGGTTGTGGGGTGTCATTAACAATGCCCGCTATGATGACGGAAATTAGCCTCGCCACAGAGGCAGTCGACCGTACATATCCCGGCATTTCTGGTCAAGGAGCATACTCTCAGGCATATGGCTTAAGTAATGCTGTATTTGCAGGAGGGACTTTGGCAGGGCCTCTCTATGCAGGTTACTTGAGGGAGTGGTATGGGTGGACGTCTATGGTATTGTCGATGGGGGGACTCAGCTTGGCGATGGCAGGGCTTGTGTGGGTTTTTACTGGCTTGAATGGCGATGATAAGACTGGAGAGAGGAGGGGTGAACTGGCAGTGTAGCTATGTTTTGGTAATTTCTAACATGCTTTTGCCTTCAGGTACAGTACATCATTCTCATGCTGTGTGATCTGAGTGCTCTCACACGGTTAAATACCTCACTTCCCATCAAGAGCAGAAGGGGGAGCAGAATACAACGCTACTCGTGGATCTTCATCTTCGTCTTTCTTGCCAAAATAGCTACACAACGTTTGACAATCCTTCCGTCCCGAAGAATGCAGAAACGCCCTCAACAACCCTCTGCTGTTCGTGATCAGTCATGCCCACAAAGAGCGGCAACAAGAGAATCTGTGCGGCGGCGAGCGTGGTAACTCGATCCATTCCACTAAAATCCCCGCCGTAAGCCCCGGGGAGACGAATGTAACGGCATAAATAGTGGATGGGTTTCGATTCCCTTAGCGTCCAAGAACTGAATCATGTCCTTTCTCCTCTCCGCCTCTCTCACCTGTATCCAAAAGATGTTCGCATTTTGGGTTGTGCAGCTCGGAATAGTGGGCAAGATCAAATGGCCCATTTCCGCTAGTGGCGTTAGTGCGGAGTGGTATTTATGCCAACGATGAAGTCTCGGCGTGTTGATGGTATCTACCGCTTGGAGCTGCACGTGGAGAAATGCAGCCTGCAATTCCGAGAGTGTGGCATTGATGCCCAGGTCGAGCCAATCATGTCGTTCAACCTGTCCGCGATTTGTACCGTGCTCGTAGAGGATCCTCGCACGTTCAATGAGTGATGAGTCGTTGACAAGTATTGCACCGCCTTGGCCGCCAGCAGTAAAGTTCTTCTTCTCCTGGAAACTGATATATCCTATGTGCCCGATAGTACCCAACATGCGGTCTTTGTAGAGTGACGTACAAGCCATAGCGGCGTCCTCGACAACGAGCAACCCATGCCTCTTCGCAAGGTCCATATTTGAGTCCATCTCAGCGGCAACCCCCTGTAGTGGACTGGAACTATGACACGTGTTTTAGCAGTGATATCGTCTTCGATCAGGCGCAGGTCGATGTTCAGGGTCTTATCGTCCAGATCCACGAACACAGGCACCGCGCCACGAAGAACTGAGTTCACGGTTGACACATAAGTGTAACTCTGAACGATGATTTCATCGCCTGGTTGGATGTTGGCGAGAATGGCGGCAAGCTCGAGAGCGGACGTACACGGGGAGACAAGGATTGCCTTCCCCTTTCCGCCGGCGGGCATGGACTTCTCCAGCCACTGCTCGCAGAGACGGGTATATTTACCTTTGCCATTGAGATTTGCGAGATTCAGGGCTTCTTGAAGAAGAGGAATTTCAGTGCCCAGAATTGTAGGCTTAGTGGTTGGGATTCTAGGAGTCATGGCTGCGTCGTAGGCTTTGAGAGAGAGGCCTTCTCATGCCACTTGGGTAAAGGTCTGTGTTAATGAACAGGGACACCTGCCAGGCTGCCGGATTCCACGTATTATTCAAATTATCTTGTACATAATTAAGGCACTAGCTTTTTATTTTCTAGGAGAATGTCTTTGTGGGAGGCGACGGACTGCCCCTGCATGGGAGTCAATTTTGTTTTTCTTTTCTTTTTTTTTTCTGCTTTTTTGATCTTCGGAGAGTTACAAGCTAGCTATTGACCCACGATCGGTTGATGTTTTATCACGGTTCTCGATGGTAATGAGATAATTGTCAGTAATATATGTAGCACAAACTATACTCATGAGCTCCGTCGTGGTCTATTTGGTACCAGGACGCTGAGAGAGTACAGATCTATTAGACCAAGGGATAGGTCACACTCTCTGCCTCATCTCCGAACCACAGCCCATTCTCTTTCCTGACCTGGTCCATGATACCCATCGTGGCCAAGCATTCCTTCCAGCTCATAGTCTCACTCTCCAATTTTCCCTTATAGATACATCTCGCCATCTCATCCGCCTCATAAACTAGTCCATAGATCGAGTTAGGTATGATGTTAAGTATTTCTTTTACCACCGTCCCCTGGTTTCCAAATCCCTGTTGCCTTGCTATGATGCGTAGCTTTGATGGTCTCCACGGCCACCCAAACACTTGAGTCTCGCCATTATCACCCTGAACGCGGAGACAGGGTATATTCCCATCGGCGTCGGTGGCGCAGCGAAGAGATGAGGCAATGATGGCTTGGATCTCATGTTTTTCTTCGGACAAGAACTTTAGTAGAATCGTTTTGGACTCGTCAACCCCCGTGCACGCATACTTCATCATGACTGATGCCGCAGAGCAAGATGTATAGTCTCCCCGTTGACCCAGAGCTTGCAAGACCCAGTTAAGGGAGTAAATGCCCCCTACGAACTCGGATTCGTTAGTCTAGAGGCAGCCTTTGGTCGAAATTAGCCCTGGTTTGGTACCTACAATCAAGCAAGCTGCCCCCCGCCAGATTCAACAGCACCATTCTATCGCTCTCCGGAAACTGACTCTCGACATCCATTCCCAAGCCATTGTCCGCCCATATCCTTCTCACGGGCCCAACATCTCCCAGTACTTGCCGGAATGCATTACCGACCGGTTGAAATCTTGTCCACAACCTTTCCATCACGAACAATTGCTTTTTGGCTGCTGTTTCGAAGATAGTTCTCGCTTGCTCTTGATTGACCGCGATTGGCTTCTCAATCAGAATATGCTTCCGGGCTTCTAGAGCCATCATTGCGTTCTGATAGTGGTGAGAATGCGGCGTTGCGACGTAGATCGCTTCGCACGATGAGGATAAAAGAGCCGAATAAGAATCATAAGGGGTCACACTTTCCGGAGCATGACTCTGACCAAAAAGGCACAAGCAGTAGCTAGAGAGGTGGAGGATGCGACGCCCGATAGGGTTTGGATTATGGGGGCTGAAGGGTGTGGCTGGAGGAGATCGAGGGCGAACTCTGGCACAGTTAGCTTTCTTTGCGTTGTCTTCCGAATTCCGAATTCTCCCTTCCGCGTTCACCGGGTTTGCAACTTCACACTGAGACTAAAAGAAGAGCACTCACTCTCTGCGATCCGGCCTGTCGCGAGTATGCCCCAAGTCAGGCCTATGGGATGTTGCATATTGGGATTCATGGGGTCGTCGGTGCAGGTTGCTGCAGCACCAGAGTCAACACTGATAAAAATGCTGGTGGATATGCTCTTTTCATGACCGATCTATCAACCTATTCATCGAGCTTACAGCTGAAGAACTACATTACCATGATGTTTTGCTTGATCCAACTATGTACCTTGAGCATACTACTCATATGACACTCTACCTAACCTACGGTTTGCGGGGAAGGAACCCAATGATTGGCGGAATGGCCGGGCCGCAATAGCCGCAGAGGAGAACCGTTCCTGCAATACATCCACTGACTAGAACTTACATCATGGATTCATTCATTCATCCCTCCGACACTAGCAGTATTTCTCCCGACTGAACTCATCTCCCGTCATGACCCATTCTCGTCATCTTGCGACAGTCTTGTCGCGGTCCTATCCCTGGGTAACTGCCCCCTTCCTGGTCAGCGCTCCGATGCGCGTGATGGCCGGCCCAGCGTTGGCCGTCAGCGTCTCACAGGCTGGCGGCCTCGGCTTTCTGGGGCCTGGAGTGAAGACCCAGGATTTGCTGGCTGATTTGCAAGACACCTCCGATCGCATCAAAGCACTGCCGCAGCGAGTTTCTTTTTCTGAACGCTCTCTCCTGCCTGTCGGGGTCGGGTTTCAGCTGTGGAGCGATGACCTGGACATTGCGATTACGGCGATAGAGCGATTCAAGCCCTGTGCCGCATGGCTCTACGCCCCGCGCGAGGGTCCCGGGGAATACGATGTGTGGTCGCGTCGGATTCGCACAGTATCGGCCCAAACCCAGATCTGGATTCAAATTGGGACTCTGGCCGAGGCAAGGGAGCTACTGCACAGTCAGGAGTTGCCCGACGTGATTGTGGTACAGGGAGCAGAGGCTGGAGGTCACGGTCGGGCCCACGACGGGCTGGGATTAATCACTCTTCTCCCCGAAGTCGCTGATCTGGTGGCCGGCCGAGTGCCCCTGTTTGCTGCAGGAGGCATTGCGGACGGGCGCGGTGCTGCAGCTGCGCTCTGTCTAGGAGCATCGGGGGTGGTGATGGGCACGCGATTCCTGGCGTCGGAGGAAGCCCGCATCAGTGGCGGATACCAGCAGGAAATCATACGGGCCAGCGACGGGGCAGCCTCCACCACCAGGACTCTACTGTACAACCACTTACGTGGTACCATGGGCTGGCCATCGCATTACAGCCCCCGAACCATCACCAACCGGTCCTTTGTTGAACATCAACAGGGGCGACCGTTTGCCGAGCTCAAGGCACTCCACGACGAAGCCCTCAAAGCGGGCGATCAAGGCTGGGGACCAGCTGGTCGGTTGGCCACCTATGCTGGAGCGTCTATCGGCTTGATCCATGAGGTCAAAAGTGCGGCCACCACTGTTCGGGAGATCCAGGAAGAGGTGCGAGCGAAGCTACCTAGCTTGTAGTGTTACACAAGTCAATTCTTAGTGATAATCAATCCTAATCAACAATCATCCATCCATCCATCTATCCATCCACTCACTCCTGCGATGCAAACACTGCAATGCAAACACGGGGAATACGGGAGGTGATGACGTCACTATCTGTCACTCATGCTTTCATTCTACTTTGGTCAGCAATTCATTCATTCATTCATTCATTCATTCAGTCAGTCAATCAACCATTGATCTAGCAAGCATCCATTCAACCCTCGTGTCACTAAAAATTTTCCCGCCTCTCAGCAGCTCCCCCTCCATCACTTTCCCCAATCCTTCTCCATCTTCTCCATCCCTAACCCCGCAATTACTTGCAATTGGATATCTCCCTTTCCCTTTCCCCTCCACTGTCCATCTTCAGCATGCAGGGGAGCAAGGAGTACTGTGGGCTCGAAGATTATGGCCTCGTGGGCGACATGCACACCTGTGCCCTGGTCAGTAAGAATGGCAGCATCGACTCCATGTGTTGGCCTGTCTTTGACTCTCCTTCCATCTTCTGTCGCATCCTGGACAAAGGAAAAGGCGGCCATTTTTCCATCACGCCTGGTCGTGGCCTTCAGAATCCCTTAAGTAAACAGCGATATCGGCCCTACACTAACATGCTCGAAACCCGCTGGATCCATGACGAGGGAGTCATCAATATCCTCGACTATTTCCCCATCACCAAGCCCAAGCCGCTTGTGGGAGTTCAAGGACTGCCCGAATGGTGTCACTGCAATCAGCCCCAAAGTGCCGGCCAGACCCTGTCCTGCCATTCGGGATTGATCCGCAAAGCCGAGTGCGTCCGCGGCCAGATGGACATCGAGATCGAACTCTTCCCCGCCTTCAACTATGCTCGCGATACACATACCGCTCAATTGTCACAAGGAGACGGGGTCCACCTGGTGCATTTCCAGACCGCGACCCAACGGCTCCAGGCCAGAATCCTCGTGGACGATGGAGAATTGACCTCGACGGGCACACAGCTGACTCCGGAACTGCAACTGTCGGAGAGAGCCGGCCATCTGGGTCCCGGCTTGGTGGGAACAGTTACCCTAAAGGAAGGCCAATCGATCACCCTCCTCCTCCATGATCAGGAATCCATCACTTCCAATGCATCGGTGCTGACTCCCGAGTTGAAACGAATGGAGCGCACAACTGGAGACTTCTGGTCGGACTGGACAAGCAAATGTACCTTCCGCGGACACTATCGCGAGCAAGTGGAACGAAGTTTGCTGGTGCTCAAGCTGTTGACCTACAAGCCCACGGGCGCCATCGTCGCTGCGCCCACCTTCTCTCTCCCTGAACACATTGGGGGCAGTCGCAATTGGGATTATCGCTACTCATGGGTGCGGGACGCGGCTTTCACTGTCTACGTCTTCCTGAAGAACGGCTATCCGGAAGAGGCGGAATCCTACATCAACTTCATCTTCGATCGCATCTTCCCTCCTCTAACACAATCTGCCAAGCCGGGCGATCCGTTCTTACCCATCATGGTCACTATCCACGGCGAACGAGACATACCCGAGATGGAACTCGATCATCTGGAGGGTTACCGAGGAAGCCGACCGGTGCGCATCGGCAACGGGGCCGCCACGCACGTCCAACTCGATATCTACGGAGAGCTGATGGATAGCATCTATCTGTATAACAAGCATGCCGCAGACATCTCCTACGACCACTGGCTCGCCATCCGTCGCATGGTCGACTTCGTCATCGAAGTCCGTCACCAGCCAGACCAGTCCATCTGGGAAGTCCGGGGCCCTCCCCAGAATTTTGTCTACTCTAAAATCATGTTATGGGTGGCGCTGGACCGTGGGGTTCGACTAGCAGAAAAACGATCCAACCTTCCCTGCCCTGGGCGGGCTCGATGGGTTCAAGAGCGAGATGATCTGTATGATGAGATTATGACCAACGGTTACAACGCCGAGAAGGGCTTCTTCTGCATGAGTTACGAGAATCGAGATGCATTGGACGCAGCGGTTCTCATTGCTCCCCTCGTCTTCTTCATCGCCCCCAATGACCCTCGCCTGTTGAGCACGATACAGAAGATCATGGAACCCCCCGCCCGGGGAGGCTTGAGTGTTGCCAATATGGTGTCGCGGTATGATACGGCTAAGGTTGACGACGGTAAGTAGGACCCGAAGGATGTCCACTCGTTTGCTGGGGTTGGGCTGACAGCTATATTCAGGAGTCGGGGGCAATGAAGGTGCATTCTTGATGGTGACATTCTGGCTGGTCGAAGCTATGATGCGCGTAAGTCCAAGTCTCGCTCACTCATCTCTGTTCCATGCCACGGCTTCAACTAATTTGGCTCGATTGAATATGTAGGCCGCTCGATCTAAAGCATACCTTCCGCACAATCAGTTTTTCAAACAGCTGCAACGGACAGCCACATCACAATTTGACAGCATTCTGTCATTTGCTAACCATCTAGGCATGTTCTCGGAAGAGGTCGCCACCTCGGGAGAACAGATAGGCAACATGCCTCAAGCGTTCAGTCACCTCGCCTGTGTCAGTGCTGCGATGAATCTGGGAGGAGGAGAGAAGTGAAATATTATCCAAGCACGGAGCATAGACTGGATTTTTCTGCTTTGTCGACGTCGTCGGTGACATGCCCCTGCCGGGTGCCCCTAGTACACGCAAGCACGCAATAGATGAAGAGCTAGAAATCCCAATCCCCAGTTGGGTTTATGTTCCCTTGGCGCTTTCCTTACTACCTATGTCTATCACTGACTGTCTCGTGGCTGCATGTCGTCGGTGGCATGGCTATTTACGCCCTCCTTCTTCTGAATGATACAATGGGAACTGTATCAAGGGTGCGGCTCGCTTTGTTATGGTCTCTGAAACTTACCTTGGTTGTATACCTACTCGTCCTGTCTTTGGAGTCTCAAAATTCAGATTTTCAGAGCCAGCGCTCCTACTTGTACAAAGGACTCGGAATGATACCATGCGGAGTCAGGTTTGTAGGTTGTGTAACAACACATTTACGAGGTTTGTCGGACCGATGCACCCCGAAAATGGCGAGAATGTTGTATTCACTGTGAAACTCATCAATGATCCTGCCCACCTCGTATCGCTCGCTATCTTACCATGCAGCAAGTCAGCTATTTGACGATTTGCCGTCTCCACGTGAAAGGACGTTTCTATCCTTGGAGCACTCCAGAAACGTTGCACAACGTGCCTGTTGCTGATTGCTGATGAAACAGGAATATGAGCCGGTCCACATAAAAAGCCATGGCCGCCGATGCAAATCTGACATTGAAGACAGACCAAAGCTCTCATTTCTCCTATCTTAACCACTGGCACATTACCGTCTATCAACTATGGATGGGTTCGATGTCAAGCGAGCTCCCCCAGCCTACCTTGCTGTCAAACCAATTGCAGATCTCTTTGTCCTCGGTATGGGGTTGGGATGGACCATCAACTATATCGGTATGGTCTATGTTTCCTTCCGAGACAAGACATATAGCATGGCAATCATGCCGCTTTGTTGCAATATAGCCTGGGAAATTGTGTATGGACTAGTTTACCCTTCGAAAAGCCTCATCGAGCAGGGAGTATTCCTCATTGGCTTGGCGATCAATCTGGGAATCATATACGCTGCTATCAAGCATTCGCCGAACGAATGGCACCACGCGCCTCTTGTCCAGCGTCACTTACCGCTGATATTCATCGTGACGATTGTGGGGTTTCTGACTGGCCATCTCGCACTCGCAAGCGAGATCGGTCACTCCCTTGCGTACTCTTGGGGTGCGGTCATTTGTCAGCTGTTACTGAGTGTGGGAGGCCTTTGCCAACTGCTCAGTCGGGGCAGTGTTCGCGGCGCTTCATATACGCTGTGGTAAGGGAAGCAATCCCTCCTGTTCTCGAGAGCTAAATACTGACAACGCTAGGCTTTCCCGGTTCCTCGGTTCCAGTTGCACGGTGGTTTTCGCCTCCCTGCGTTGGCGTTACTGGCCACAATCGTTCGCGTGGTTGAATAGTCCTTTGGTTCTGTGGAGCCTAGCAACTTTCCTTATTGTCGATGCCTCGTATGGGATTTGCTATTGGTATGTTCAACGGTGGGAGCAAGCGTGCGCCGCGGATCGCGCTGTCAAGTATAAAAGTGGATGAATGGAGTGTACAATGAATGCAGTGCTTGAACCCGCGTCGACATAGTGTTGAAGAGCTACCATTCTTCATTTTCTATAATAGACCTACGGTCTCACTAGATACATATCCGGTCAGTATGTCACACCTACTCCATGTCATCATATGATCTGTATGGCTATGACAGCAGGGTAGATTCATCATTTCTTATTAGGCCGCCCAGAATAGATATCATTTCTCCAGCTCTTCACGACCTTGGCCGGACGGGCGCAGTCCGTACTAACGCCGGACCAACCCCATGCTAAACAATACAATGATAACTTTACACTAGATTGGTTTGGCGCCATTGTGTCCTCCTGGTTATAAACATCTCGTAGTCCGGAAAATACTATTCTCCGTCGCCACCCGAGTGCGCCATGTGGTGCCATTCGCATATTCATCGTCGAGCCGAGTCTTCCAACCCAAGTTTTACATAGGATAACCAAAGCGCCATGAGTCAATATGAGACCCGACAGGGCGATTCAGGTTAAAGCCAACGAAGACAATAGCAGTGCCTCCGATGATTGCTCAACAATCGTCTCTTCCTGGCGCCAATTAATCCGCACGGATTGAGGATGCTTGATATCGGTACCGGAGCAAAACCGTGGACCATGAAAATGACGATCAGAGCCCTACCCAACCTGGCTGGCTGTGCCGCCAAACGTGGACGTTGGGGTAGACAATGTAAAGGAGGCCTAGGTGGAAAGCAGGCCGTATAACTACCTCCACTATCGATACATGGCAGGATCAATTTGAGACTGGCCGTCGCTGATCCGGCAATGTTATGAGTATCACGAGCCAGATGGCTAATTTGAAGAAGAATCCGCCAACGCGGGGTACTTGGAGAACAGGAGCCTGAAGCCAGATAGCTGGATAGCCTCAATGTTGGAGGAGCTGGTTAAGATTAACACCAAGAGTAGACAACTCCATGTCCAGCGCCCTTCTTCGGATTTGTGCGGCAGGACTTGCCAATATCCAAAGCATATAAATGCAGACTTCCCATCTGACCATGACCAAGGGTACTCGTTTAAGGGAGTATCGCAGTTTCATATAGGTCAAATCCCATCGAAGGTGTCGAGGGCTTTACAGGGTGGCTGTTGATATGAGTTGGGCCAGAAAGCAAGAGGATATCCATGCGTCGAATGCTGGGTTCGAGCCGAGTCATCGCTCAGCACAATCCATCCGATCTTCGATTCTCTGGTCTTGACTGTACAGATCTCCCTCTGACCTTGAAACCGTATTGATTCATCAACAGGGCCGGGCATGCGTTTCAATGTTATCGTGGATCGCAATGACCTCGCCATGGTCAGGGCCCCCCATGCCGTTGCACTGGTTTAGGGGCCGACATCCCTTTCACACACAGCGGCGATTCATATCTCACTGTCACCGTATGGTATCCGAAGCTTTGAACGTGGTTGAGTCTCTGATTGTCCGTTTCGATGCATGTGAAAAAGTATTATCTCGGCAAAGGGGCAGTTGTTGCAAATCCTTCACTCGGCCAATTCGCCTTGGCAGACGATCTGGATGCGTCAGTCTTAGATCGGATTGTTTTCTAGTGCCTTCTATGTGGCTAATATCAGCGCCCTGTACAGATGCGACCGTCCAATTGTATGCTATCCTCATGGCATGGTGGGAATTGTCCGCGAGATTTTAGCCGACTTTTTTTCGAGAAATAGCTCCATCCGCAAATCCACCAATCAAGGAAATTCGATGTTTGCTCCAAGCAGGTGTCCCTCGCCAGGCTGAGAGTGAACCTTGCCCTGTCTTGATTATCTTCGAATGAGGCCGGGCAATCGGAATTGGCTCGGCTCCAATTCGGGGATCCTCGGTAGAGTCTTTCCGCAATATCCGGCGCAAAGGTTCTAGGCACGAGAATGTTGATCGACGCCACGAGTCTGAGCTATACGAGCACCAAGTGTCCTTATTGATGATGGTACAGTCAGATGTCGCCCACAGCCTCGGTAACGCTGCTTTTTAGTAGGGCTCCTGTGTCACCAAGGCAACGTCGTATGAGCCTCTCGGCTAGGAGTATCCCCAGTCGGCCGAATATCATATTGATTCAATGAGGTCCGAAGTGGATCAAAGGCCTCGTCACTGTGCGCAAGCTGTGTCAGATAGAGCTCATTCTCCAACGCGCGTATCTGAGCAGTGAGGCGAGTGATCTCATTCTCTCTCTCCAAATGCGCCTTCATCAGGGCGACATGCTTTTCTTGCAACTTCAGATGATGGCAGGACAATGCTCGAAAGCTTTTCTCGAGCTCTGGTGTGGAGAGATTCGACAGCTTGAATGGCTTGGAGGAATCAATGGTCTGGCGGCTACTGTCAATATAGCATCCCGTTAACGTGGTGATCATGTAGTGGATCCCTTACTATATCAGACTTTCGTTCACATTTCGGGTTCGGACTTCGTCTCGTCGTTTTTGACCTTCTACTCTTCCATCTTGACCGGCTGCCGGAGCCCATCACTTCAGGTTTTGGAAGCTTCGGGCCTGACACTACCTTTACTGGAGACGGTGGTGAGGCAGGTAATGATATGGATAACGGCGAATGCGAATCTGTCTCGAAGCAGGAGCACGCAGGACTGTTGCCGGTATCGCATGCCTAAATAACCGTTGAAACGACAATCTAGGTAATGTTTCTGGCCTGAGTCGCCGGCAGGCACTTACCTGACTGATAGAGTTAGAGAGTTCATGGCATGTTAGCGATGTCTCTGCTGTAGTATCCATATCAAACCCAGCGCAAGCCAAACTGTATCATGTGGTGAATGCTTAAGATCCGGTAGACTGGGCTTATTGATGTGCATGGCTTGACCGGCTCAAGTCCCTGGACTGACCATAAATAAATATATGGGACTGCTATAAGACAGCCCCAGGCTTGCTCTGAGTCATGCACCAAGTTGGGTGAGTCTAGACTGGGAGAATATCGCGCACTGCCCCACAAGGGGAAGACCCTTTCTCATGCGGGTATTGCGGGAGCTGCAAACACTTGATCTTGACAAGGCACTTCCGAGAAGTAAGGGCTAGCAGTGCTTGACATCATTGACATTGACCACTTCTGCATCAGGCTGGTGCTATCTGGTAGCCTGGTAAGTACGGTATCTATATTACGACTCAAATCCAACTCAGCTCCTAGACATCTAAACAGCGTTTAGCACGGCCTCTTTCTGGGTTGAACAAGCATGAGCAGTTGATGTGACCATTGATCTTTCATCGCGTACAGCATTCATCATAAGACGACTCCCACGATTTGGAATTTCTCTGGCTCAGATCGTCTCCTCTATAAGCCCGGCATATCTTATACCGCAGAGCATGCTTTCTGTTCCCTTGGAATGGGAGTATACTCCTTCAAACAACTGTTCTGTGTCGTCTTTCCCGACACGACTAAGGATGATCTTCGTACCTCTCCTGTAGCTGGTGCTGAATAAGGTACTCATCTTGCAAGGGATGATTGTGTGAAGGGATTAAGGGATTGTTGGATCACAGGACTGCGCCTCAAATCCAATACAAGGATGTGAACAGATCCCCATCGACGATCATTCATCACCACCTACCTTATCACCGCCTCGTCATGACTTCGCAAGTCCACCAAACAATTGCAAATTCCCATCCCTTGGAGCCCGCTCATCTCCAAGTTGTCGATTCTCGTTCGGGAGCGAGCTTCACGGTGTCCATTCATCCCGGCAATTACATCCACGCCTCAGATCTCAGCAAGATCAAATCACTAGAACCCACCCAGCATAGCAGTGATGTCGATTTCCATGCGCCGCGGTCACTGCGTATCTAGGATAATGGCTTCGCCAACATCGCATGCATGAAGTCAGGTGTGACCTTTGTGTAAGTGGCCATCTACTGCTCCCTGCGAGCTGTAAACCCATTCTCCGAAATGCCGTGGCCGTGCATCGGCAAGCAAACGAAGATAAGTACTCCGTTGAGCGCAATGTGAAGGCCACGCCAATCTGAAGGGTTGCTTCCTATACACTGCCATGTAAGCTTCTTCAATAATCAAGCATTTGAGGAAGAATCATTCCTGATCTAAAATCAACAAGAAGTACCTCATGGTGGGACAATCGACACTGTCTGCTCAGCGTGGTTCACTCGGACGCACGGTGGCCCTGATCGCTGTTCTCTACCAATGTCACACTCTTTTTACAGAGGGAGACTCCCCCAAAGAGCGATTCATCTTCTCAGCTCACACCATTTTAGTCCCTCTCAGTAACTCTGCAGAGACAGGTTGGAGCTGCGTAAGTTTTCCCGATAGAAGAGTCGAAATAGGAAAAGCAATCCTATCACCAGGCTCCAAGACTGCATGTTGGGGGCCCCTCTTTCTCCTCTCTTATGCGGCAAAATTATCCTAAAGAGGCAGTGTTCTTACCAGCACGTTGCATCATCGAGTTTGAGCGGTCACTCCGTTCTATAAAGTCGGCCGGGTTGCTTCAGTGGATTAAAGATTGTGGATCATAGTTTGCTATGTTGTTGCAGCTACCAAAGTTTCTAACACCCGCCATGTCACCCTCAAAAGCCAAGCCAGTTGTTTTGTCTTCGGGTGCGATTTCATCTCTGCCTCCTGAATCATTCCCCGACCCTTCGCATGGCGAACTCACCTGGCGCACTCTGTTTACTCAACCCAACACTCCCACCACTGATCTTTCGGCCGGAATCGCAGTCTGCCCTCCACACACGGGACATCTCTGTGCCCATCGCCATACTCAAGCCGAGTTATATTATGTTCTGGAAGGTCGAGCGACGGTGACAATCGACGGGCAGCCGCACCAAGTCGATAAGGGCACCGCCGTGTTCATCCCGGGAGATGCGGAGCACTCGGTCATGAATAACAGCAACCAGGAATTTAAGTGGCTCTATGTCTTCCCAGGTGGAAGTTTTGGGGACGTGGTTTACCGCTTCTCCGAAAAGGCCAAGCTGTGATTGACACTCTCTTCCTTATGCTATTTATAGCCCACCACCCGCTTTCGTTTTCGCTGTCGCTCTCGTTCTCGTTTTCGCATTCGAGATCATAGAACTTTTTATCTCAAGTATAATGGTTTTGGTTGCAGGAGTCAACGTCTTTCAAGTCAACAGAGGCAGGAATAGGGGCACATGGATATAGGCAACAGGGAATGGCTTGCTTCCGATTATAATAGATAGCGAGCACGGTGTAATGGGCCGTCCATCTCTTCACACGCTCGTTTTGAAATCCCGATATCTTAGTCCCTCCTTGCCTCTATATTTCCTTGTGTTCGACCTCGATCTTTTACTTTGCACTGAATCATGAGTGAAAATACCAATATCTATGGCTTCCAACCCAGTGTTGGAGCTGCAGTCGTGGCAGCCCTTCTATTCGGAGGCAGCAGTCTGCTGCATTGCTACCAGACCTGGAGACACCGAGGCCGCTTCTTTCTCGTCTTCATCATTGGCGCCATCAGTATGTTGAGAATTGCCTCAGCTAGCAGAGCGTCTCAAAACTAATGTGTTCAAACAGTGATGACTATTGGATATATCACCCGGTGCATATCCGCCGAGTCGCCGTCCCAGCTGGGCCCTTACATCGTGCAATACATCTGCATCCTCCTCCCTCCCTCTCTATATGCCGCCTCGATCTATATGCTGTACGGTCGGATTGTCCTCCTCGTGAGCCAGCCTCAGCTCTCTATCATTGCCCCAACCAAGGTCACCACAGTCTTTGTCTTGGGCGACACTCTCTCATTCCTGACCCAGCTTGGCGGAGGTTCGATGATGTGCTCGGCTTCCACCGAAGAGACCGGTCAGAAAGTCCTGATCGCAGGTCTGATCATTCAACTCCTCTCGTTCGGACTATTCTTTGTTACTGCCATAATCTTCGAAATGCGCTTGCGTAGATTGATGTTGTTTCGCAACCGAACGGCGTGGCGCACACTGCTCTACTTCTGCTTCGTGGCAGCTGCCCTGATCATCCTACGCTGTGTCTATCGAGTGATCGAAGCGACGCAAGGATCAAGAGGGTTTTTGTCCACCCATGAGGCCTATATCTATTGTTTTGACGCGTTACCGATGTTTCTTGTGCAGGGGATATTTCATTTCTGTGCTCCTGGGAAGGCATTGAGGACGGGCGGTGGGAGTGCGAAGGCCAGCTATGAGAATACGGATGAGCTGAACTGAACAGCCATGGTTCCAAAGGTTGAGTACGTGAGATTCACTGGAGCTGTTGTTTTACATTGCTCCAAATGGGTGAAACACATGCCATGCATCGTGAGGCTCGGGGTTGATGGTGGATTCTCGAATCATGATAACAAGACACGCACTCAGCGATACTGAAATCGCAACCTTCTTTCCATTGCTTTCTTCTCATCCCTTAATAAGCTGTATCGGGAGTCTAGTAGACACTTAGGTAGCTCAACCGTTTCACTGTTGAGCATCTCGAACCAAAGGGCGAAGAAGTTGGGATGGTTCTTTTGTATCACGTGATTGTCATCAGGGCTGAGAGGCGTCTTCGTGTCGCTTGGAGTATAGCCCACGTCGCAATCCTACCAACATACATGAAGATTTAAAATCACCTGAGACATAGAGAGGAATCATGGTAGATGGTCCCTGCGAAAGGATATTCCCTTCCGATTGAAAACCACCAGATGCGACCGGGCCTAAGTTGATGGGTTGGAGGTGTTTCACCGCCCACCACCAAGTATATAACTAACCTCGTTCCGCTTACCTTCTCCACTCTTCATCCGCCTTGCTTCTAGGTTATCCATGATAAGTTGGGTTGTCACCGCATCAAGATGTCCCAGCAGCAATACAGACCATCGTCCGATGACGATCATCGGGTTCTCCTGCAGCAGGAGGCTGTACGCCGAGCACAAGCAGGTCAACTGCATTCATCCATGAGAACTCAGCACCAGCTCAGTCAACAGCAGGCAGCGTTGAGAATACGGCAGCAGCAGCAGCAGCAGCTTCGTCAACCGCAACCAAGCTTCGGTATGTCAATGAATGCTGGCTATTACAATGATATTCCCATCACTGTGCCCGTCGATTACACCTGCAGAGGCCCGACTCCAGCTCCATCCACTCCCTTCGACTATGCCTGTCGGAATGGCCCTCTCTCCACTCTCCAGACGCTGCTATATTCAAACCCTCAAACTCTAGCCTTCCTGCATCGAGGACTCACGTACGCTTTGCGGGCTGGAAATCTCGAGACCGCGGGCTATCTTCTGGAGAGCGGAGCCCCGGTCCTTCATCGCACCCCGATCAGCATCTGCGAAGGTCCCGACACCCAGCGCATCCCACTGTTCGAGCTTCTCAGCCAGCATGGATGGACCCCCAACACCCACCGTCCCATCGACAAGGTTTTAATCAATCGGCTGGTCAACAATACACGCCTGCTGCAGTGGTTTCTTGCCCATGGATTCGATCCCGACGACATCGGCCCGGTCATAGGGGCCAAAGGACTCACTCCTCTCGAACTGGCCGCGGCCCGCGGCAATGTCGAAATCGTCCGTCTGCTTCTCGACGCCGGAGCAAATATCCACAACGGCGTCCCGCTGCACCGAGCGGCGGGAAGATACCCTTCGGATTGGAGTCCGTATGTAGCCCACGACCGCGGGACCCAGAGCGAAGAGACCGACCGTGCGCAGCTCCCAGTGATGGAGTTGCTCGTCGAGCGAGGCGCGGATGTCAACGCTGCGGAGGAGACGCAGCACATGACTCAGCGTTATGCGATTGTCTATGCGGCCATGGCCGGGGCAGTCGAGAGGGTGCGGTGGCTGCTGGCGAAGGGCGCAGATCCGGATGCGCGAGGGCCGTTTGGCAGTGCCCGGGAGTATACCCAGAGAGTGGGTTGGGCGAAAATGCTCGAACTGATGGACTGATAGTGCTAAAGATGATCACGAAGGGTCAGAACTTGGCATGTAGGTTGATTGTCAATTCATGTCAGGCGAGGCTCTCCTCATCAGCTGCTTCGGAAGACCAGAGACCCAAGTGCGGTGCCATCACCCAGACCATTGGACGTATATAGCCGATTCCTAGCTTGTCAGACATCTCCCTTTACCTTGGCTCCGCGCATAACCGTGGTTCCTAGACCCGGTGCGATCGCTCCAGGCAATATTGGAGATCGACGTCGTTGGCTTGGCTCAGTAACATATATGAAGAGAAATTCACCATGATCTTAACGACATCGCTTTACACAGAACAATTATCCTAACTCTGTTGGGCGAGAGGGTAGCTGATCTGCTAGGTGAAGAATTCCAGGAACGGGAAACTTCCTCTCCAACAGCCAACTTGTGAACTGTATCTCAACGTCGTCGCCCGAGTATGCGAATTTGCGAGCGGCGTATGTCCCCCGATACGTGAGCGCCAACAGCATGGTCTGGTCGCCGCCACGAGGACAATTTTCTCTGTCGGATATATAGGTTGGGCGATTAACGGTAGTTCCAAGTTTGGCTTATAAATCAATCAGCTCCCAGCGGTCAAAGTCATCTACGTTCATGGGAAGCTGGTTAAAGCTGATGCATAGTTGCTTAAGGCCGTTCGTGGCGCAGGAGGGGCGTTCGGCGTCATCGGTGAACTTAATATATCGGTGCATCGCCTTGATCAAGTAAGTTTCTATCGGTGTGGGTTTGTCTCAGAGCACACTAACAATCCGTAGATACTGGCAGGATCACTCGTGCTCCAGCTCGATGATCTGCCAAGAGACATCCGACAGTACAACACAGGTTATTAGGTCTTATGTGCTCGAGGAATTCGTTCAGTGCTCGCTCTTCAAGAGAGTGTGGTCAACACTCCCCATGGCAAGACTCGTTGTTATGTTCGTGTGGAGGTCTTTTTGATCTGGAAGCTGAGAAAGAATGGGTCAAGCCAACATAATATGCGCTCTTGGTCCGGTGGTACACCACGGAGTCCATCTATCGACTCCTCTCGACTGGCTTGCCGGTGCGGATCGCATGGTACCAGCCCGAACTCGTGGTTGCGTTTGGACAATCAGCATCAGCATTAATCAATTGGAAGAAGAGGTTTTGAATGTGATCTCGGAAGGCCACGTCGTGTTCGACATTACTGGAGAGTCAGATAATTCAGAGAATCGGGATGTCACTTCAGCGTCGAGTCGAGGCATCAGGGGTGAGTTGGCCCATACTGAGCCGGAGAACAGACTGTCGGCTTCGTATATGTCCTCGTCGGCATCGGAAGAGTTGCAGGTGTCCAAAGCATTTGGTGAGGACTGTGCATTCTTGTTACGAGCACTAAGCAGGTATGACCCCCATGGGATATTTGTAGCAGCTACGGCCCGATTCTGATATGTTTGGCTGTGGATTTCCCTGGATATCGTGTTGATCTTTCTTGCATTGAGGTTCTTGCTGAACTCGTAGAGATGGCCAGAATCTCTGAGAAGCACACTAGATTGACTTCTTTATTTGTCTGGTACGTAACTGTAGCGAGTACAGTTCACAAAGGTTGAGCTCATGATTGTGTCACCTGGGGCCTCACGACATATCTCAATATGACGTCTCGTGTCCACGTCTAGATTTTGGTTGTTTCGGCATTTGCCGCCTCAAAATTCTAATTTCAGGAACCGACGGCCCGAAAGCAGGAAATAGTGTTAAATAGTCGTGGTAAAGAAGGTTTTCGCAAGAGGGACTGCCAAGAGTCGGGTGTTTCTTCCGGCTGCTCGAAAATGCTAGAGAAGCTTCCACTGCAACCCATTCGTACGTCATTATTGTTGCATTGTCCATACGATCTCCACGATGACACTATCTCCCATAGCCTTATCGCCTTGGCACATACCAAGTGCCTTGTTCCCTGGCATTCTGCTATGTGCGAATGCTTCTCGGCTGTAATTGCCGTGATATATTAATGGTCCTCGTGTCCAGGCAGTACCCGACACAACGAACGACTTCACGAATCTACAGACACTCAATACAGATTGCCTTGACGATGAGCCTCTGGTACACGGCCAGAACCTTGCGCCCGCGGGCCTTTCGGCCTATACTCGCCGCTCCTACCGTCCGGCTCTTAAGCACCCAGTCACACATTAAACAACCCCTGCCGGAAGGGCAAGCGCGGCAACGGTTTCGGGAGTTTAACCTTGAGGGCAAAGTCTTTGCGGTCACTGGAGGGGGCCGAGGGCTAGGGTTGACCATGGCGGAAGCATTGGTTGAAGCCGGGGGCGAGGGTAAGAACCTCAATTGAACCGCACTTTGTCAGTCAGATTGAAGTGGTCAACAAATGATGATTCATTGCGCCAGTGCACTGCTTGGACCTTCTCGCCGAGCCACATGAGGACTTTCGCGCAGCCCGCGCCCGTGCCAATCCCGATTTTGGTGGCAGCTTGCATTATCAACGCATCGATGTCCGGGATAGACAGGAATCCAACGCGATCATGGCCGACATCGCCTCGCACAAGCAGAGACTAGACGGGGTCATCGTGGCGGCTGGGATCAACCATGTGGCTAATGCGCTGGATTACAGCGACAGCGATATTCAGCGAATCATCGATACCAACTACAAGGGCGTCTTTTACTCGGCCACCGCGGCCGGTCGGCAGATGTTGGAGCACAAGACTCGCGGGTCAATCCTCCTCATTGCGAGTATGAGTGGTCTGATTGCCAATAAGGGCATGAATTCGTCAATCTACAACTCCTCCAAGGCGGCAGTCATTCAGCTCGGTCGCAGTCTGGCGATGGAATGGGCCAAGGTCGATCCGCAAGGTCGAGGGGGGATCCGTGTAAACACCCTGTGTCCAGGACATATTGTCACACCCATGGCACAGATGGTGATTGACCAGGACCCTGCGACGAAAGAAATCTGGGAATCGGAGAACATGATGGGTCGTCTGTCGAAGCCGGAGGAATTCCGTGGCCTGGCATTGCTACTCATGAGCGAGGCCAGCAGCTTTATGACTGGAAGTACCACAGTCTGTGATGGAGGCCACACGGCTTGGTAAGAAAACCGATTCGGTCGGAGTTGAGAGGGTAAAGTGGAGTGATCACGGAGCTTATGCTGTGGGTGACCTTGTAAGTTCCAGTCATGGTGGAGATGTTGTACATAATGATTCATGACCAACATAATCGACACTGTCCTCAGCGTGTTCGCAAGAAGCTGAAGGCAATGCGTACTTTGGTGGGTAACGACTATCGCACGACGGTGTTTAAACCTGTGCCGTGGCCTTAATCATGAGAAGATCACGCCTTAGCCCTGCAAGAGTGTAGTGTAGTTGTTCGTTCCATAGTCACCAGTCCTATGGCTGAGCGAAAATCCAGTCCATCGGAGACAGGTACAGCTGGTTCAAATCAACGCCCATCTCGTGGGCACCGAATAAAGAAGCGTAGTTCAGGGGATCTGTGCGGGTAGAAGCCAGCAATTCCGGCTCGTAAGCGGCAACGCCTTGACCCACGGACCCAATGTTGGCAGGCATGTTGGCAGGCATGGGGAGCGGACCGTTATCCGTGGCTAAAGCACTGGTAGCATTGCCATTTGTTGGATCTTTGTCGGCTTCCCGGGGGAAAGAGGCTTGCATCTGTAGGATCCTGCGGCGAACGTCCACCACCATCTGCGGTGGCTGCAGCGGTTGGTCGGGGGATGCGGTCTCTCGCGCTTCCCAAGCTTGAAGAACGAGGCGGGAGAAGACGACAAAGATTGGTGACTCACTCCGCATGCTACTCATCTTCCGTGCTTCATAATTGTCGCCCATTGCTTCCCAGACTGAGTCTGCTCGTTTCCCTGGGCGCTTCCGCAGATCTTGAAGAATATGTACGTAGGCCGGTAAGGGAAAATACATGAGCAAGAACCACCGATATCCCACAGTAAGTGAGGACGCCATTAGCCTCGTATCGGACTGAATGATAGAAAGAGCCTGGTTCAAAGCCCAGTCCAGCCCCGTTTCTGTCGGCTCGGTCGTGGCTTTCGCCCGTTGAGTATAATAGTCCAGCAAGTGACTCTTCGCCAATGATCCCCGTGCCGTCCACAGGGTCATGTACTGCAGAGGGTTGTCGAGGCTGCAGGAGTTGAGGAACTTCTGCTCTATGCTATGCTCAAACCTGCTCAGATCGCTCGCATTCTGTGATCTATCCACCAGTCGATGAAGGAGTGGATTAGTAAGATCCAAATGAAAGGAGCTATGGCGGATAAAGTCGGTAACCTCGCTTCGGACTACGGTGAAGATTGCCTCGGTCGGTCTGTCGTGCCCTGCGGGCAATTTCTTCATCTCGGGCCGGAGATCAAAGTCATGGATGTTGACCGGCGGCTGGCAGTCCCAGGTGGGGTCTAAGGGCGCTGCTCTGTAGTCAAATATCTCGCAAATACGACTGTCAAACATGATCAGCGACCACCACAGTCGGCGGCGCATCTCTCCTTCCAATGCCAGACAGCGAGCGTTGGCCGGTTCTCGGTGTAGGCCCATGCGATGAGCAATGCGAATAGCGATGGCTAACATGGAAGACAAAGTACGAGGGTCAGCCTCCTCACGTATAGAGACCTTTTGACACTTAGTAAAGCATACTATAGAACTTCTATGATGGACCGACCAGGTAGAGAAGCAACGCGGTTAGGCTGTCGCGATCGGCTGCGCGAAATATGTCACAACCTCGGAGCGCCTGCTGGCAGGCCACTTGATATGTAGCTAGTTGCTCCTTGCGAGACGCGCCGAATGCTCTCTGACAGGCGTCGTCACTCAAACTCAGCAAAGCCATACAGTAGATGCTAAACATCAGGGCCTCCAGTGCGGGGGGAACCTGGGCTATATCGGCTGCGGCATCGATGATCCGTGACTGTAAAGTGGGTGTATGGGTGATCTTGAGCAACGGGTCGACATTATCGAGATAGATTTGCCACAGGCGAAATATTTGAGCCTGGTCCGGATGTATAGCTGCGAGATCGATATTGGTCTTCGCATGACCAAACAAAAGATAATCACCTGGTTCGCTCTGATACATCTGATTCCAGGCAGTGGTGATGACCGCCTGGCTCACATCCTGACCAAGGCCACGATCGGCTGCCTCCTCCTCATCCTCCGGATCACTGGCATCCGGCGCCTGTATGACATATCAGTTCAGTGGACCCCGCCTGGATAATCGCGATTGGCATTACCCTTTGATTCATGGCGTGCCACAGATTTCTGTCCGAATCTCAGCCAGCTGCGTCGGAAGGTCATTCTTGGTCTTATAGCCACTTACACAGCTTTACGCTTCGTCTTCGTCTTCACTGATGGGTCAGAGACGGCATCTGGAGGCGGCTGTTCCAGCTCGGATCTGTGCGAGGTTGGCTCACTGCCACCGGGCGAGGTTGGGTCATCATCAGGCGGAGGATGAAGGGGCTGGAATGGGATGTGGTTGTGGCGCAACAGATCTTCATAGTGGCGGAGGCGCTCCAGCAGATCGCGCTCAGCAAAGCGTCGACGACGCTGGCGCGTAGCCAGTACACAGTCAGCGCCAGCGCGGAGGCAGTTTCCACAAGGCGATTTGCGATCGCATTTGATCTTGCGTTGCTGACAAAGCACGCAGGACAGAATTCGCTGTGGCTTGGCAGCGGGGCGTGAATCTCCGGGGGTGGACATCATATCAAAGCATTCTAAAGGGGGTGGGATGTTGTGGATGAAGGGAGAGTCAGTCAGTCAGAGAAAGAGAGAAGAGGGGGCGGAGATTAGGAGATGCGGTGGCTGCCTCAGGCATTACCCAGGCTTCCCCCCTCGGGCTTACAAATCCCCGAGTTTGTCTTGATGCGGCGATCATCACCATCTGGGTCAGATGCCATGCAGCAAGAATACCAAGCTGATCCTGTGTGGCGGCGTCTGACTCACCTAGAAAACTCACAATCTCTCGACGTTCACATGGCATCGCCACAGGCATTCGGGATCCAATCCTGCTTCTTGGGATTACGTGGCCAGGCTTGAAACCTGGGGAGTTATTGGGAATCGGGATAGGGCTGATTGCAAAGTGTGGCTGAGGTGACGGGCAGTCTCGGCCCAAAATTCCGCTTTAGGCAGCGAAAGCCTGCAGTGGCCCGGAAATGAGTCATCTCCGAGACTCGGGATATACGAATCTCATCTTAACTCCGAGCAGCAGCAGCAGCAGCAGCAGAAGTGGCGAGTGAACGGCTCCAGGTTGACAACAAGTGTTACGACGACAAGATCGCAGTGGCGAACTCTATCAAAACATCCAGCGTGGTTGTCTGGACTGCTTACTATATAAAGATGTAGAAGCCGCCGGTTGTTGTGGCTATCTTCAGCTCTAACTCTTAAGTACTTGCAAATCTCCATTCATCTCATTACTTTTTTTCCTCTACTATCTACCTGCTTCTCATTATACGTCCCACAAATCAGCATGGCTTCTATACGCCAACTCAACCAAGCTGCTCCTTTCTGGGACTTCGTCTCCAACATGGAAGAACACGGCTTCGCTCACCCATTTTTCTCCCATCACCCCGAGCACAACCATAATACCACCGATAGCGAAGAGCAGTGGCCCGGTCGCAGAGGCCGCCACGGACGCCATGGCCCTCACCACCGCCGTCATCGCGAACACACTCCGGAAGACGACGAAGAAACAATCCACGAAGAGGAGCTGGAGGAGTCATCCTCGGACAGTTCCGATGAAGAACACGACGAGCCGCGTGATCCCAAGCCGCAGCACGACCGCAAAGGTCACGGAAGGCGCGGTGGTTTCCACGGTCGAGGACGCGGTGATTCTGGGCGTCGCCGCCTTAGTCCGGGCCCTGGTCCAAGAGGTTTCGGTCCCCGAGGCGGTCCTGGTCCCTTCTTCGGGCATGGAGGTCCTGGCGGTCGTGAAGGTCCTCACGGCTGTGGAGGCGCTTGGGGTGGATTTGGAGGTCACCACGGCTTTGGCCCTCGTGGAGGCTTCGGCTTTCCTGACGACTTCGATCTCCATAACGGCTCCGGTCTTCACCGAGGTCACCACCACGGGTTTGGTGCTCGTGGTGGTCATGGGCCGCACCCGTACTGGGGAGGCCGCAAGCACATGCGCGGATTCAAGCATGGCAGACGATGCGGCCCTCCCCCTCCCCCTCCTGGTTTCGGTCCATGGGGTCGATTTGGCTTCCAAGACAATAAGCACACCGAGTTCCAGCCCGAAGTTGATGTCTACGACACTGCCGATGCGTTTCTCATTCACGCCTCGCTGCCCGGTGCCAAGAAGGACGCCGTCGAAGTCAAGTGGGATCCGCGCAAGTTCGAGCTCAGCATTTCAGGTGTCATTGAACGTTCCGGAGACGAAGAATTGCTGAAGGCACTGGCGCTGGACGAGCGCCGGGTTGGTGCCTTTGACCGCAAAGTGCGCCTGGGTAGTGTTGCCCACCCGGTCGAGCTTAATGCCAATGAGATCGCGGCGGAGATGGAAAATGGGGTTCTTAGTGTCCGGTTGCCCAAGGTGAAACCGGACGTGGTGGTGGTCACCAAGGTTGATATCCAGTAAACAGGGCTCACTTGCTGGTTACTAGGACGGTGAAGTACTTTTGGGATTCTTGACATTCTTCTAGCTTTAGTGTGTATCTCTTGTTCAATGTAGATTGCTTTAATCCCAATTATGATGGTCTCTAAACAGTTTTAGAATAGGTTGTAGTACGTAAACTAGACGAATATCATCTTCTAATGCAGACCTGAGATAGTATAGCCTCCTGCGCAAGCATATGTCTGATGTTGAATTTGACGAGTGTGAAGATTCCCTCGTATTGGATACTTGTTGGAGTAGACGAAATAAGCATGGCGCCAAGCGCCCAACATTGAGACAGCCCGTATCGAAGGTTCGATTGGAGATTGCACTTGATGCGCTTAATGTCGATACGACCAAGTCAGAGTCTCTGATTCGCTCCTTCGGTAGACATCATGCATGGCAAATCCTGGTCATCTTGACGTACACCACAAGACAATTTAGTCTCGTCGGTTCGCCAGGTTAGAAGTCGGAGTCGGAGGAGTCGGCGTAGGAGGCTCGTATCGTGCAAATGATCGCCACGTGCAGATTACCTGGCATGGCAAGATCAGATCTCGTCTTGGCGACCAGCCCAGAAAGGAAGGTGTATTCCAGTGAGCCCTCTGCAACACGAGGTAATAAAGTGTAATTTACTTTAAATTGTCCTCGTCCGGCTCCGACCATTCGGGAAGTATGATAGAGTGAATCAAATGCATTTTCGGTAGGAATCCGACCTGCTAACTGTACTCCCTAACCCTTCAGGGTAAGCTTCACGGTGGCCGATGGCGCAAGCACAATCACATGGGTCCTTCCTTCGTGATTCAAAACGCGAGATAGGGCTTCTCGACCCGTTTCTGCAGGTAGAGACACCGGTGCTGCAGCCGGTGTCCCGCTTAGTCTATAATCGGATTAGGGGAAGGAGGACCCTGGTCATGCAGGGACAGCAAAGCGGACGGACTTTCGCCTCCAGATTCATCCAAGTGCCGGCAATCACACACGAGAACGTGTTCGTCGGTTTGGATCATTGGTGCAGCCACCACCTGCAGTCGGGATTTGGGGAACGCAAACAGGGGCGAACCCTTCATAATGCCGCACGCTTGGCGGAGTCAGGCTAGAATCGCCGTTAGATTGATAGCAAATGCCCCCGCATCCACCCTGATCTCGTATACGGGATATCAGATGGGGAAAGTAAGGCAGAAGAATTTTGCTAGCCAGCCATTAGACGCAACGGCGAGGGACATGACATCCCGCCGGGGCAAAGTGGTTAGGGAAGCGATCCATCATGAAGACAGTATGGAGACCATATTCCGAAAGAGGGCATTTTAGTGCAGTTGACACGGGCTTGTCTGCCAAAGTGGCCCTCCAGGGTCCATTATCAATCTATTTGGGAGGGAATGATTGGGTGAAAACAAGGGATACTCGGATATAGTGGGGAACGGGCGCGGCGCGAATTCCTTCGGGCGGTCGGTTGTCAGCGCCAAGCCTGACCAGTCAGGATCCCATAATCAATCCATAATGCACTGCTAATAGCCTCCATAGCCCTAATCTGGCCGGGCCATACGGTAGACTAGCCAGTACTCCTCTCCAGGCTGCGGCCAAGACATCTGCGATACGAGATCCCGTCGCTTCTAGACGAGTTGCTGCTTGACAATCATGACCCAATGCTGAGCATACACTTCCATCTTGGGTGACTGGTGACTATCGGCTTCTACATGGTGAATTCTCGACTATAAAGAGGTGCTCGTCGCCCAGGTCAACAGAGAATCATCAAGAGACTCATCAATCCGAGTATCCCATCAGCCAAGTTCAAGCCATTTCAGCAGCACTTCCTCATCGCCAAAATGCGTCTTAGCAACATCCTCGCAGCCTTGACTCTTGGAGTCTCCTCTGTTCAGGCGTGGAACCGCATCGACAAGGACAATGCGGTAAGTCTGAATCAGGACTCCTCCTGAAGATGAGAGACTGATCATGGAAAAGGCCCTTCTCGTGATTGACCACCAGGTCGGTCTGACCCAGTTGGTGCGCGACTACAGCACCAACGACTTCCGCAACAACATCCTGGCCCACGCTGCCATCGGCAAGGCTTTCAACCTCCCCACCGTGTTGACCTCCTCCTCCGACGCTGGCCCCAACGGTCTTCTCCTCAAGGAGATCACCGACATGCACCCCAATGCCACTTTCGTTCGCCGTCAGGGTGAGGTCAACGCCTGGGACAACGCTGAGTTCCGGGCTGCCGTCAAGGCCACTGGCAAGAAGCAGCTGATCATTGGCGGTATTGTCACTGAAGTTTGTAAGTCCCCTAATATCAATGAGAAGGAGCCCACCCGACAATTGCAATGAAAGCTTGAGGCTAATGATGCAGGTACTGCTTTCTTGGCGCTGTCCCTGATTGACGAGGGATACGAGGTGTATGCCAACACCGAGGCTAGCGGTACCTTTGATGCCAAGTTGGCCATCGACGCCAACCGTCGCATGGAGAAGGCTGGTGTCACTCTGATGGGCATCTTCGGTATCATCTGCGACCTCATGCGCGACTGGCGCCACACCCCTGGCTTGAACGAGCTCCTCCCTTGGCTCGACCAGTAAGTTTCGGTTCTTGTCAACTTTGAATCTTTGGTGCTAACAGCCCCATAGGTACCAGTTCGCTTACGGTCTGGTTGCTCGTCACCACGCCGGTGCCATCGTCAACGGTACCCTGGCTGCTGTTGAGGAGACCCTCATCTAAGCTCTTCACGCGCCAGGTGAGCGCGCCAGGATCTCTGGCCCCTCGGGCTAGAAAGGAGACGGGTCTGGCTGCTGTCGCGGGTGCCAACCATTCTCCCAGTCAAGATAAGCCCTGTACCTGGTTCTAGCGGTCTTGGTCGCAGTGTGGGACAATCCAAACTATAGTACAAGTTTAGTAATAGACAATCAAGTGACTGATGAGAGTCTCGAATTCGTTCAGTCGTGCTAGTAATTTTTCAATTCCGGTCACCAAAATAAACAGAGACTAGCCTAAAGCACTATTCCCGCCCTACGCTCCACTCAGGTGCTCCATACTCTTATGATAATGTTTCCGCCCCAGAATGCTCTTTAGCACCAATGAATAATCTTCATCCCACCCATGAGTAACAAGAAGACGTTTCTAAGTGTAGACCATCAGCTTCAAATAAAGCTGCGCTCCGAATTGTGGAATTCGGAAGCTCAGGATGCCTGAAGACTGTGTGGCCGAGTACCGAGCATGATTTCTATCGGATCGCCTCCCATAACCTTACCTCTCATTGGAGAAGCAAGTAAGGGTGCCCAGCAGAGTAACGTACAATTCTTGTTGGTCTTTCTTAAAGGTTCAAGGTTCCTACCTGGCATTTCAACCAATATGCAGAGAATATGACTTATATAAGTCCGTTATCTCCGCTATCGCCGATCTCACTGTCTCCCTGGGGCTTACTGTCTCCGCCCATGGCAATTGATTTTCATTTTTGCCAACTTCTTTGCTCCATCAACGAATACATCGTTATAATCATGCGCTGGGAGTTTGTTGACGAGAACTCCGCCATCTCGACCACAACCAGGAAGCGCATCCGTAGCCATGTGGCTCGGGGCAAGAACGCTGGGAGAACCTGCAGACGGCCACCTAGATTGTCCAGCGTCGGTGATAAACCCAGTAGCTTCCAAGTGCCTATCATTATCGCCAATGCTCATGCAGTCGCTGTGGATCGGGATCGAGATCTTGCCTGCCACCTTGAAAGGCCGATCACGAACGGGTTGATATTTCCCGTGGAGCTAGCACCACAGACTAGGATCATTGCAGAGAAGGGTAGGCTTGATCTAGAGCCGAGAGTAGCCTTGCAGCATAATATTCATTCTAACCCTAATAGTGCTCGACTTTCTTCGTGATCTACGCGGTGCTCCCGAGCTGTTTCACATCGTTGAGGAACCAAATGCTCCTCTTATTTGGGTCCAATACATGTTCCTAGACGAAGCATGTACGTGTCCCTATGTTACAGTGACGCTAAGATAATAACGTTTATTATTGGATAGACCTCCATTCGGTCCTAGCCACATCGTTTACCCTCATACCCGGCTTGGTATCGGAGAAGGACAAAGCCGCGGAAACGCTGCGCCATTTATCGCGTACCCTCCGTCTCATCAATGACCGACTGTCAGGCGTCAATGCTACCTCGGATGATACTATAGCCGCAGTCGTTGGGATGGTGCATTACGAGCGACACCAGGGCCAATTTGGGCGGGCTCTCGTCCACACGCGGGGACTGCGGCAGTTGGCGGATTTGCGAGGCGGGGTTCGTGGACTGAGCAGTGAGCTGTCGATGAAGATATTCCTGTAAGGGCCGTGCAAGCTTCATCGGTTCTCTTTACTAATTGTCATATATAGGTGTGACTTGGAATGCTCGTTCCAGCTGGGCTGCGATACTTTATTCTCGGCTGAAGACGTTGATGCTATGAGTATGGAAACGGCCCGCAACGACCTGGGGTCTCGTATAGCAATAGGCTGGGCTTGCTCTCAACATATAGATCCTTATCTATTGATACTATTCCGACACGGACTGGGTTTTGCACTCAGCTACAATGACATTGGGGCCGGCCGAAGAGCAAGGCTTTCATATACGGCTTACTACGATATGATTCTATCCTTTGGCTATCGACTGATGCAGGTCAATCCTCTGCAACAACGACAACCGCGCATTGCTAGCCATCTTGACGAAGTCATCCACCTCGGCTTGATAGCTTTTCTCTGCGCTTTCATTCGACGACTGGATCAAGAAATAGCTGATAACCAACTGCTTGCGAAATTACTTCGATCTGTCGCAGACAAAATAGAGGCTGGGAGTGAAGCAGAAGAAGCCTTGCTATGGGCACTATTCGTCAGCACAGCATCTGTCTTCAGAAAAAATGTCCCTGGATGGCTTGCCTCTAAAGCTCGGGCTCTCATACAAAGCCTCGGGCTTCGCACCTGGAGCCATACCCTATGCTTAATTAGCAAGTATCCCTGGGTCAATGCTCTCCACGACAAACCAGCCCAGCTCTTCTGGCTCACCATCGCTCCGTTCTACGGCAGTTCAGGCGAAATGACAGATGAGATGGGAGACGTGATACATTGACAATAATATTTGAAACGAGGGTGCATCGAGACTAATAAATAACACCTCCACTAAAGCATTATCAGGAAGATGAAGATGAAACATACTACAAACTCCTACCACACGCTCAGACATCTAGCAAATCGGCGATACACCCTGGCTGGATTGACTCTACTTTCTTCGCAAGGGCATTCCAGAGCCGCTCCTGCATTGCCTTTCCTTTTTCGTCGGTCACCCAGCTAGGAACATCAATCCTATTAAGTTTTAGCACGGGCGCGTTTCGCGTGAACCAACCGAGACACTTACTCGCCCATCTCACAAGAATGGAGAAGACATCCATGGGTCTCGTCTCCCGCCACCGCACCGTGCAAAAGCGTACGACTGCCATCCTCAGCGGTTCTCCCATACAGCGTATGCAAGTCAGTAAGCTCTGCTTTGTAGTCCGCCGGGGCATTGCGAATCAGCTCCGTCTTGCAAAGGCCCGGGCAGACGAGGTTGAAGACCACTCCGGTGCGCTCGACCGGCAGCAAAGTTGCGAGGTGCTTCAATGCCAGAATCTCCATCAGCTTCGACAGAGCATAACTGAGTCAACTGCATTAGCTCTTCCTTCTCCTCTACCAAGCAGCCAAACTCACCTGTTGAACTGCAGCTTCTCATCCTGCTCGATGCCCACCAACGGGTCCTCCGCAATCGCCATCCAGTCATCCTGCGCCATAAACCCCAACCGACTCGTAACGACCACCACCCTCGCCAACCCCCCAATCCTCTTCGCGCTCTCTCTCATCTTCTTGGCTAGCAACACCGCCAAGAGAAGCGTACTCAGCACATTCACCGTAACAGACAGAAGATGACCCTCCGCCCGCACAGGACCCATCATCGCCACCGCCGCATTCTCAACCAAGGCATCGATGCGCTCCAGCTCCTCGTCCGCCCGCCGCGCAAAGGCCTGGACAGAGTCGAAGCTCGCGAGGTCGAGGTGCCAGACCTCCGCCACCCCCGTGCGACCGGTGGCCTCCTCGATGGCAGCTTGAGCGGCGGCTCCGGACTCCAGATTGCGCACCGCAAGGATGACTTTGTCGGCACAGAGGGCGACAAAGTGCTTGGCGGCTTCGAAGCCGAGGCCCGTGTTGGCGCCGGTGATGATGTAGGTTTTGCCCGCGGAGGTCTCGGGGGTCGCGAGGAGGGGAAGGTTACGACGCTGGGTCGAGATCATTTCGTATTCGGACATGGTGATTTGAGTGTAGTGAGGATCTGCTGTGATCAAGGTTCTTTTTGTTCACTGTTGTTGTTCCGATGCGTGGGTTGATGGAGGGAGGGCTACTGATGGCTATGGTTGCTATTTATGTGTCCTCTCAACCAACATTGGTCTTAGCATCTGGACGGACTTTACGGAGGTAGAGATGCAAATCTAGAGACTGTTCTTATGTCCGAAAAGCAGGCATTTGATTTTGAAGCCATGGTGCATCAAAGTGATGGAATTGTAGATAATGGACCACTGGGAGAGAAGCATCCTCTTTGGGTTAGACTGTTGAGTGACAGGGTGGATTTCAAGGGTTCAGGCCAGCAAATCAGACTGTCAGTGCTTGATATTAAGTGCACGCTAGAGATAAGTGGGGATTGATCAGCCAATGTGAGAGTGTTTTCTGGATGGAGTATAGCGCAGTCTGTTCCAAGATTTGTGATACTGAAGCCTGTCATGGGTAAGTGCAAGTACCCCTGATATTGCCAGTAAATAAGTGCCAAAGGTGAGGAAAAGTGAAGCTAGTCAATAACTTCTATATAGCATTTAGGCTATGTTCAACTATCTCACAAATAAATAATACAGCTGAAGGTCGAGCATCATCCTCCCTTTGAATATGCACAACAACCTCTAGGTCGCAATGCGAATGCAAGGCAACACCATGGCTCGAATCATTACAAAATATACATCCCTCTATTAAGATCAATAGCCTTCTTCATCGTTCCAGTACAGCGTTCCATGCTGCATCTCTCCGGTCGGCTTCAGATCCCAGCGCAGGACCAGCCTCGTCCACTGCAGCAGATGGCTGGCCACCTTGATGTGGCCGACATCCGTCGGATGGTTCTTCGGATTGATGTCATTGTGCTGCAGAATGCCATCCGTGTTGAGGTAGTGCACAAAGGTCCAGCGCAGGTCCTTGAAGTACTCGTACACCTTGATGATCTCATCCTTGTACTGCATCGTCGACTTGTACTCCGTCCCGGATTTCTCAAAGGGTCCCCATTGCGACTATGGCACAGTTAGCAAGTACCGCACAAAGACAGGCGAATGAGCCTACCATGAGAACGATTTCGGCCTTGGGCCACACCCGATGGATTTCCTCGACCATGTCGACATACGCTTGGTAGAACTTGTCGCCGGGAACCTCGTTCGGGTGACGCCAGTCGTTTCCGCCCATCTGAATGAACACCAGGTCGGCCGGTTGCTCGGCGGAGTTGTCGAATGGGGGCGGGTTGTCGCCGTAGAACTGGTGGGCGCGAGCTCCGGGGTCGGATGCGCGGTTCCAGAACCATGTCTGTCATCATTAGTCGCTCCGAGGTGATAGATCATTTGACTGATGGGTTGCCATACCATTCCGTGGACACCGCCACCATAGCATTGCATGTCCGCCAAGCAGACACCGGGGTAGGCCTGGATGACCGTGAGTACGCGTACGCTTCATTGACAAAAAAAACCATCTTCAAGAACGGTCGGACTGACGGTAATAGTGAATTCCGCGTCTCCGAGTCCAGCTCCGTAGAGGAAGGACCAGGACGATAAGGTCTCATAGGTAGCATATTGGCCCCCAGCCAGCCTCCTTGGGTCAGTATGATGGCAAGTCGCCGTATGGGCAGCTGTGCAACTCACGATCCTCCAATGATTTCCACCTTTCTCTTGTACGGAGTGGGTTTCGTGATGTAGGCGTCTTTCGCGACAGAGACACCGGCCATCTGAACTGTGCAGGCGATAAGCGACCGAAAAGACATTCCAGCAGAGGCAAACTTATCCCAGGCCCCAATTCGTCACGCGCATCTCAAAGACATTGCTTTTGGTATCGATTCCATCCTTGAAATCATCGGGACCGATGAATTGGTAGGTCGCATCGGCTGTCACGTTGGAAAACCGCCAGTCCAGGGAGCCCAGTCTGTTGCATTGTAGTTGGTATCGGGGAGCGACCGGGTGGAAGGGAGGGAAGGGAGGGAAGGGAGAGGAGGATATACCGATAAGCCACGAGGACGCCGTTGGAGGTGCTGGGGCCGAAACTTAGAGCTAACTGGAATGTGGAGTCCGAATGCGTCAGTCCGAGTCATTCTCGATCACTTTTCCCACGGTCGCGGGGTAAACTTAGTATGTAACCTTACCTTGTTGCCAGAAAATTGAACCTTGATCCCCGGGGCTCTATGCGCACACGATCAGTCACTCAGGCGTCAGCCACTTGAATAGAAAAGATAAAAACCCACGACCACCCTGAATCTCGGTTAGCTGCGGATCCAGCAGGACACTTGCGTCCCGTGTGAGGGGGAAAGGTTTCGGCTCACAGGAAATATGATTGCTATCCCAACGGCCTTTGTAGGCAATCTCCGGGACCCCGGCGTCGTAATTTCTCCAGGAACCATCGAGAGTGATAGGGGATTGCTGGCCGGGATAAGGGTCCTCGCGCGGCTGACCGTTCTGCAGAATGGTGGCAGCAGCAGGCCAGAACCGGAGGAAGAAGAGCAGAACAAGAGGAATGAATCTCATCGTGAGCAGCAGCCACGGGGAGAGAGAAGAGTGATGCTTGACAGCAGACAACGACGCATGATGGAATGAGCGCGTGCGAGCAGATTAATAAGTGAGATTAAGTGAGATTAAGTGATGGTCAGGGGTGGCAGTGGAGTGGACTCGGGCCAGCCAAGCAAAACGAAATGACGATGACTGGTGGTTTTGCCGCCCGTAGCCGCGCTACTGCCGCCAAGGATGAGGTGATCAGTGCCTGACAGAGCCTGATCGGTAAGGCAGAAGTAATCCACATCATCTATAATTACAGAGTGCTCCTGCTACTGTTAACTACGGGTGACAGTGACACTCTAATACTCTAATACCTTATCATGTCTTCACTACTAAGGGTCTACACCTCATGTCTCCTCTCACTTCTTCAACCAACCAGTACATCATCGTCGATATCCTGACCTCCCCCCAGAAAATAGATCTCTAGCTCCCACAAGTCTCTCTCTGGCTTTACTTCAACCACGCATCTTGACTTCCTGAGTATTGGATGTCAAAACACCACTCTCCAAATTCATACAATGATGGCGATCGACAGTGACGACACGGGAAAGGCCAAGCGAATCCGTGTCTCGAAAGATGAGAGCAGCAAGTATGGCTATCCTTACGTCTCTCTACTATGTATGTACTAAATCGGGACAAGACTGCAGGGCGATGTCGTCAGCATCGTGGTCGGACCAAAGAAAGAGCTTTATCGCGTGCATCCGGGCTTAGCTCGGACTTCTTCTCCATTCATCGACAAAGCCTTGACGGGCACTTGGAAAGAACAGGCCAACCACACGATCCAGTTGCCAAACGAAGAGCCAGAGATCTTTGGCACCTATGTACAATGGCTCTACTTTGGCACACTCCCGGTGATTGGCGGCGGCGCAGAACCAGAGTTCCTACAACTGGTCAAAGCATATGTCTTGGGGAATAAGTTGCTCGACACCGGTTTTCAGAATGCTCTGATTGACGCCATCATCGAGAGAAGACGCGCAAAGAATGCGGATGGCAGATGTAGCGCACCCACTATGGCAACGATCAATCACGCATACCTGAATACGACTCCTTCGGCACCAATTCGTCAACTGCTGGTGGATATCAGCGCAAATCGCACAACCTCCCCAAAGTGGCTCAAACATCCTGAAACCGACCTGCCTCAAGCTTTTCTGTTGGATCTGGTGGCCAAGCTATTGGATCGCCGGGCAGTCAAGCAGTTGCCTCTCCAGGCGTCCGATTATCACGTGAACGAAACTGATGCCTGACAAGGCGGCCCAGGCAGAGGTGAAATCCGGGCCACAGAGCGCAGACAGGTACCGACTCCATGGTTCACATGTTGAAGCTGCTATACTCGCATATTTGCTTGACAGTATTCACTCCTTTTCCTTTTTCATGTCCGGTAGACGACGTGATCAACCGCACCGATGCTTACTGATTGCGCGTTATAAGGGGTTCCTCTGCTGCATGTTCTTAGCAAGGTGTGATTCGTGGGCTTCGTGATACAGATCATAGGGGGAGCGAGGGCTGGATTTGGATTTATGGCTTATAGGCCATGTCGCGAGCGTTAGTCATATTATCAGGTTGGAAGAAATGGACGTATCGCTCAAATTCGGGGCACGTACAGGCAATCGGTAGTTTCACTTTGTCTGCGACTATGGCTTGCGACTCTATGAAAGTTCCTTATTTAGTGAGTGTGTAAATAGGTAGTACTTTCAGCCGCCATGAAAGTCGACTATTGGTTCTCATGGTATAAGGGAGCATAATCACATCCCAGACTCATTCTCCCGTGCTGTCGCCTTCAGAGACTACTAGGTACGGTGGATAGGTCCTTCTCACCCCCTGGGCTTTTCTGGTACTCGCTTGTCCCAGAAGAATGGAATGGATCTAGGATTGCTGCAGGGCAGTCGAGACTCAAAGTCACAACTTGCAGAGTCGGCCTATGGGTAGACAAAGTGACTCGGTTCAAATCCCAGAATTGCGTATGTCTCCTGGAGTGTACATTTCTCGGAACGATTAAAAATCATCGATTAACAAGTTATCGGACGAGCACCATGCCATGATAGCGGTGGGCTGAGCAAAAGCTGGGCGCACAGGCTTCTGTAACCCTCAGGGATACGAACTTTGCGATCGAACGTGCTTTGACTGATGCAAGTCAGGGAGGTATGTACAGAAGGAAGCGACCTCTGTGAGACAGGTCTATTAGGATCTCCAAACGAGATTATGGTCGAGCTGGTGCATTTATTCTACCCGACGACCGAGGCTAGATGGAGATGCGCGGTACTCCGGGGTAAAGGCGCAGTTGGGGGGTAGGGATAACTAGTTCGTAGTGGCAGAGATGGCAACCTCGGTCGGCAGCAAAAAAAGATCGGAAACAAAAAGAAATGACAAGAGTGGGATTCGAACCCACGCCACTTGCGTGACTAGGAATGTTGCTCGGGAGAGCGAACATGTGTGATCAGATTGCCTGACCCTAGCGCCTTAGACCGCTCGGCCATCTTGCCTTGGTGACAGTTAGGCCTTGATTTATGATATATAGCTACATAGTGCATCAGTGTGAATGCTGCTTCCTGGTTTTGTCCAGCATCAAGGCAATACATGTGCACAATATCTCAAGCATCAGTGTTGAGATTAAGCTTGTTTGAAATAGTATAGTACAGCCTGTTGGCTTATTTGAGACCGTGTCACTGCTGTTGGGGCTGGTGGAGAGGAATAATCTCGCTGAAGCTGTCCTCGCTTGGACGGGTTAGATATATTTGTCACTCTGTTGTCCAGGAGAAATATCCCCAGCTCCGTCGCAAACCGCTGGCAAAGATACCATCGGACCTCACAACTTCTAAGCCGTCGTCATTGGAGGATAATTCCATTAGGCACCAAAGAAGGCCAAGCAAGGCCAGACACAGCCTCAACTCATCCCCTTATCACTACGCAGCCGTGCCCGCTCCATGCTACAATCCTCGATGTGCAGCAAAGTGCCACTTGGTCAGCCATTCAAATGGTAGGAGCATACGAGCTTCGTCCTTTAAGCAGGTTGACTGAACTTACAATTCATGACAGGAGGTGAGAGGGTGACTTGACAGGAAACGGTTCCATGGGTCGAGGCCCAAGGCCGAGGAAGACCGAGTCGTCGCCAAGTGATAGCACGATCAGACAACTAATTTGGGCTACATCTCACCACCCCACGATGGAGTTCACCGGAGACCCCGCTGGCATAATTGGTGAGATGGTGCAGGGGTAAAGTTAGTATAAGGTCTGTTGTCAAGTCCGGTAGAAGGCCTTCCACCCCCCTCCTCCACCGGCAATCCAATTCATTGATCATCTACCTCTTCCCCCCTCCGTGTTTCCCTCAAGATGCCCGTTCGCCCGCAACTCGAAGGCTCAACCTTTGACGCCGACCTTCGCGATCGCCACCTCATCTACGACTACGCCGCCCACGACAGCAATGGCAACCCGGAGAAATGGCGCTACGAGTTTTGGTTTTTCAACGAAGATCGCGTGGTGTACGCCATCCACGGCGGGCCGATGGCGGGTCGTAAGAACTTTCAGGCTGCGACTTATCAGTGTATCCGCCCCGGCGAACTATGGCAGGTGAATTGGCTGGAGGAAACCGGGACTATCTGCTCCCTCGTCTTCGATATCCCCCAGAAGCGGATAACTACCTTGTTGGGCTTCTCGAAGGGACATTGGACCCAGAATGAGGCTGCACATGGCGACAAGCGCAACCCGGCGGATTTCGCACGCTGGCGGGAATTGGCCAAGATCGGGTCCTCGCAAGCAGATCGGGTGATGTTGAGCGAGCAGGCCGAAGTTCTGGAGGATTTTCGTGGCGCGGGAGACTTGGAGCCGATTGACGTGTCGTGGCCCACTCTGTGATAAGGGTCTGTGACTCTGCAAGGGGGATTATTGGGGATTGGGGATCGAGGCAATTGTGGGACTTATGCGGGACTTATGCATGCATAATACTGCTTATTACTGATCTATCCATGCATGCACGGGAATGAAGATGAAAGGGTAATCGATATACGGAATTCTTTTTCAACAAATGTAAGCATGCTATTTCTGATAAGCCTTCAACCTCAAAGCTTCCAGTCCTCCTTCAGCGGATGACCACAGAGCCCCAACATCCACCACGAGCAGCGTAACCTGGAGGGTCCCATTGCAGGGTGACTGCAACACCTCCATTGTGGGCGATCACCCAAACAGCTTTTTTCAAGTCCATGCATACTCATGCATGATGAGCATGGATCACTGCATCAGCGTTCGTCATAGTCCTCGGTCTTCGGCCTCCACAAGTGCCGCCTTTCGCGAATATGGACGACCTACTTAAGGCCTTCTTCCGAATTCCAACGAAGGACTATAATTTCGACCGTGAAAAGTTCACCCGCGAAGATGTTGCTCATCGTCTGGGCCGTACTTGGTTGTTTCGTGGTTGTGCGTACTTACCCACTGTCCTTACAGATACCGAACATGGACCCTAACACATCATAGCGCTTCCTCTATCGAGGACTGACGAACCCTCTGGCTCACATCCCAGGCCCAGCTTCTTCGCGATGGTCCAGTCTCCTCCTATGCTATTACAGCCTGCGAGGCGAGGTGGCCCAGTATGTTCATGACTTGCATCGCAGATACGGTATGATCTGTTCAACCCGGTTGCTAGAAGACGTAGACTAAACTCTGCAGGCTCCGTTGTCCGGGTCAGTCCCAATGAAGTCGACATCTGCGATAGCAGCGCCGTGAAGGAGATCCACAAAGCGGGCAGTGGGTATTTCAAGTCTCAATGGTATCTCGACCTTACCCCAGTCGCGCGACAAAGTACCTTTTCCACCGTCGATCCGAAGTTCCATGCCGCTCATCGCCGGCTGCTGGCAGCGCCCATCTCCGACTCGGTCCTAATGACCCGGTTCGAGCCATTGATTCGGTCCAGAGTCGGACAGGCAATGGATCGAATCGCCGAAGAAATGATAACCACCGGCGCTGGGGACGTTTACAAGTGGTTGCTCTTCATGGCGACCGACATCATCGGCGAAATGTCCTTTGGGGAGTCCTTCCGCATGTTGGACTCGGGGAAGGTGTGTGCTCCTCCGACATCCACCAAAAGAAACAATGGCTCATTTTCACCAGAAAAGCGATTACAGCAATGATCTGGAAAGGATTGCCGCCACGGGCGCCATCCGCACCAGTTTCCCCTCTCTCGTCCGGCTGGCCGAGATTCTGCCCCTGCCCATCTTCCGCGAGACTGTCCGAGCGGCGGACCGCATGGAAACCTATGCCGTGGCTTCCATCGAGCGCTACCACAACTTGCTGAAGCAGAATCGGACCGATCCCAAAATGACACTGTTCACTAAATTATATGATGCGGGAGAGAATGGTCTCTCGAAGAAAGAGATCATCAATGAAGCTCGTAGCTACATCGTTGCCGGTAGCGACACCACCGCAGTGACCCTTACCTATCTGATCTATACGCTTTGTCGGAACCCTCGCATTCGTGACACCCTGGTGGCTGAGGTCGCGCAGCTTCCGCCGGACTTTACCGATCGGGATCTGCGTGGTTTATCGTATTTGAAGTATGTGATTCTCGAGTCGCTGCGACTGTACAGTGCGGTGCCGGTGGCGCTGCGTCGTGCGGTGCCTCCTGGCGGAGCGCATCTGGCAGGCTACGATCTGCCAGCGGGCGTCGATGTTGGAACCCAGTCGTATTCGTTGCATCGTGACGAGAAGGTCTTTGTGGACCCCGATCGATTCGAGCCCTCTCGTTGGGCCTCGCCGACCCAAGCGATGAAAGATGCCACGTTACCATTTGGTGGAGGGTCGCGTGGTGAGTCAACGAGCTTGTACCCTCATATCTCAAGGAAGAGGGAATACTAATCGTGATCCAGTCTGTCTTGGAATACATTTGGCTCGGATCGAGCTCCGTCTCGCCACGGCCATGTTCTTCCGTCGGTTTCCGCAGGCGCGTGTGTCGAATCGATGTGGGATGAGTGAGGCTGATATGGTGATGGAGTCGTTCTTTCTTATGGCACCCAAAGGACATCGGTGTTTGATTGAGGAGGGTTGGTCGCAGAAGGAGGGTTGAGGAGGGAAAATTCCGCTGGAGTCTTGAGTGTGCTTCTTTTTACTGGGTGTTTGCGATCACGATCTAATAGTTACTGTAAGCTGGGATGTGGCAGTGCAGGTAGTCAACCCTGAGTCGATGATAACACCATTGAATATGATCTGCCAGTTGTTGTACTGTACAGTACTTCTGCCACTTCCCCGCATTTTCCCCTCTACAATCCCTCAACCACCACACGACATCACATCACATCACACCAGCTACACACCACAACCACCAGCCATGTCCCACTCAACGCAGCCTCTTAGCGACCGGGCGGCGCTGGCCTTTCGACAAATCCCCACTATGACCTTTGCCACGGCGTCCAATCCTCTCACCGCACCTCTTCCGGTCGATCCCAACGCGTCAACCCCTGCCCTCCGAGCCGCGTCGCGGTTCGCAGTGCCGGGCAGGGCCATCATCACCGGCGGCGCAGGTTCACTAGGCCTGACGGTCGCTCGCGCTCTCCTGGAACACGGTCTGGCATCCCTCTCGATCCTCGACCTTGCTGCCACCTTGGAGACCTCTGCAGCCGCCATCAACCAACTCACCGCCGACTATCCCGACACAACAATCCTCTTCTACACCGTCGACGTGACCTCCCCCACCAGCGTCGATGAAGCCATCACCACGGCCGCCACCGCGATGGGCGGAATCGACCACCTCTGCTGCTTCGCCGGCATCGTCGGCTGCGTGCCCACTACCGCTGTGACCGCAGACCAATTCACCAAGCTCCTCGACGTGAACCTGACGGGTTCCTTCCTCTGCGCCCAGGCGGCCGCCAAGCACATGATCGCCCAAGGCACGGGAGGTAGCATTGTCTTCACAGCCTCGATCTCAGCACACGCAACCAACTTCCCGCAGCCACAAGTCTCGTACAACGTTAGCAAGGCGGGGGTGGTCCACATGACCAAGAACCTGGCGGCGGAGTGGGCGGTACATGGCATCCGGGTCAACAGCGTCAGTCCGGGGTACATGGATACCGTGCTGAATGCGGGGGAGGGGCTGCGGCCGCTGCGGGAGATCTGGGCGCAGCGTTGTCCGATGGGCCGGATGGGCGATGTCGAGGAGATCACGGGCCCATTCGTCTTGCTGTGTAGTCCGCGGGGCGGGCGATATATCACTGGCGTGGATTTGGTGGTGGATGGAGGCGCAATGACACTGTAGAGAGGCTAGATCGAGGGATGATCGGATTCTAGACAATGGGTTGCTGGTACTTTGACCCTGTCGATGCGTGTCACTACGCTAGACAATTCGTGGAACTCTGAACAAAGCCTATCTCGCATTTTAGATGGACACAAGTGGCATTGACTGCATGCCCCGCTCAAAGCCTTGATTGAGTTTGTCAATCGACAGAGCCAGAGAAATGCATCATAGTCATGCATAGTCATCGGTGAGGACGATAATTAGGACGATGATTGGCTATTTCTCCGAGTCACAGAGCTGTTCAGCACTAGGCCCGATCGGGCAATAATGATGAGAACCCCCCTCACTGACAGCAATCATTAACACCATCACTGATAATATCGTCCAGACAATAAAAGGAAAGCCTCCTTCCTATACAGTCTTTCGTGGAATGCGCCGGGCAGGTCATCCTAGGAGAATGATAAGAGGCCCATACATACAGAGCGTCATCTAACATTCCAGAGCCCATTTAAAGGCGACGGAGCGAACCTGTCCAACACTGACCTGCCCTCCATCGTACCCAGTAAACATCCCATTAAATCTGATTAGATTTGACCAGACTACATAACCATAACGCTGCAATCAAAATGACTCGACTTCCTCTCCCCATTCCTCCGCCCATCGACCCATCCTACACTCCCACCACGAGCGTGACCACTCTCCCCGCCTCGACCCCAATCGAATACATCCTCGCCGTGCTCGAGCGCGACGGGGGCGTGATCCTGAAAGACCTCGCCACCGCCGAGGAACTAGCCGCCATCGCCACCGAGACCAAGGCCTGGAGCACCCCGCGACGCCACCTGGACACGCCCGCCCAGGGCGACGCCTTCTACACCATCCCACCCCAGACAACCCTGATCCCGGGGCTGGTCGGGAAGTCGGCCACGGCGGCGCGCCTCTGCGAGCACCCGGTGCTGGAGGCCCTGCGCGAGCGCATCCTGGTCGACGAGTTCGTGCTGCGGCGCGAGGGCTCCGTCGAGCCCAACCGCATCGACCCGCTGCTCAGCATGAGCGCCTCCATGAACATCGGCTACGGGGCCCCGCGCCAGCTGCTCCACCGTGACGACAACGTGCACGGACTTAAGCACGTTCGCCACCCACTCCGGCCCTGGTCATTCAAGGAGGCCAGCCAGTTCGGGTGCCTGGTGGCCGGGTGCCAGGTGACGCGCGAGAACGGGGCGACGATGTTCGTGCCGGGTAGTCATAAGTGGGACGATGAACGGGTGGCCATGCCCAACGAGGTGTGTTTCGCGGGTGGGTTCTCTCCCCACTCTATCACATGTATGAGTCGGTTGTGGCTCGGTGTCGGCGAGAGCTGAGCATTACGGGCTCCCGTTGGATGACTGACTTCGAGCAGAAATGTCCCCCGGATCGGCGCTGATCTTCCTCGGCGCAGCGTTTCACGGCGGTGGGCATAACTCTGTGCCCGGCTCGGTGCGCACCATGCACAGTTTCTTCTTTATCCGGGGTACTTACCGCACAGAGGAGAATCAGTTCCTCGCTATCCCCAGAAGTAGGGTGCTGCAGATGAGTCCGAAGATGCTGGAGCTGCTGGGCTACAAGAAGCCGACGACCTCGTTGGGCATAGCCGATAATATCAGTCCGGATGAGGATGTGGCGGGAATATGGGAACGGATCGTGCAGTGATCTAGTAGTAACTTAGTGCTGGCTTGAAGGAAGGGAAAGGAAGGGATGATGCATTGAAGTGTGCCTTAATTGCCACAGGCTAGATGGCAACGTGCTGATACTACTTTGTAGTGTTCACATTCGCACAATTTACTTGTGGTTAAATATCCTAACAGGGAGCAAACTAGCTGTGGTAACTGATTGTTTTGTTTATCCAATTATGTACATATGGCAAGAACCGTCATAATCATCTCTAGAAGCTAGGAAATACCGAAATCAAAAAAAGTCTACAGGTGGGAAGTGACGATGCCACCAGTGACAATCATCTTGATGGTTAGGTAGTCGTCCAAGCCGTACTTGCTTCCCTCGCGGCCCATGCCCGAGTACTTGACACCTCCGAATCTATAGAGTTATTAGCTTTTGATACCAAGCAGAAATAGGGAGAAAGACTTACGGTGCAGGGGCGTCCGAGATGACACCCGTGTTCAAAGCCACCATACCCGTCTGCAATCCTTCAGACACGCGGTGGGACCGGCCCAAGTCGGTGGTCATGACATACGAGGCCAATCCGACCTCCACCTTGTTCGCCCGCTTGATGACCTCCTCCTCGGTCGAGAACTTGATCAACGCGGCCAGAGGGCCGAAGGTCTCATCCTCAGTGACCAGCATGGAGTCGTCGACATCGCCCAGAATCGTCAGCTCGTGGAAGTTCTTGCCCAACGCAGGCAGAGCGTTACCACCCAGCAGCACCTTGGCATTCTTGCTGACCGCATCCTGGATGTGCTCGGCGGTCTTGCCCCAGCCGTTGGTCATGGGGCCGTGAGTGGCCGAAGCATCCTTCAGCGAGTCACCGACGCGGTACTTGCTCACCTCCTCAACGAGCCGTTGGCTGAAGCGCTGGTAGATCCCTTCCTGGACGTAGATGCGGTTGGCGCAGACACAGGTCTGGCCCGTAACCTTGAATTTGCTGCCGAGGGCGGCAGTGACGGCGACCTCGACGTCGGCGTCGTCGAACACAATGAAGGGTGCGTTTCCACCCAGCTCCAGACTCAGCTTCTTGAGCGTGCTGCTGGACTGCTTCATCAACAGCTTGCCGACGCGGGTTGACCCCGTGAACGAGATCTTCTTGACGATCTCCGACTCGCACAGCGCCAGACCCACCTGCGGGGTGTTGTTCAGCGCCGTCACCACGTTCAAAACACCCTTGGGCAATCCCGCGCGCTCCGCCAGCACGGCCAACGCATTCGACGCGTACGGCGTCAGGCCATCCGACTTGAGCACGACCGTGCAACCGGCCGCCAGGGCCGCTGCGATCTTGCGCGCGCCCATCGCCAACGGGAAGTTCCAGGGCACAATCAGTCCACACACGCCGACGGGCTCCTTGATGACCTGGATGCGGCTGGTGGGGTTACTGTGGGGGATAACATCGCCGTAGATGCGGGCGGCCTCCTCGCCGAACCACTCGAAGAAACTGGCCGCGAAGAGCACCTCGCCCTCGGCGTCACCCTTGACCTTGCCGTTCTCGGCCGTGATGATGCGACCGATGTCCGTCTTGTTGGCGACGAGCAGGTCGAAGATCTTGCGCAGGATGCGGCCGCGCTGACGGCCGGACTGCGAGCGCCAGGCCGGGAAGGCGGCTGAGGCGGCCTGGATGGCCTCGTTGATGTCCTCAACTGAGGACTCGGGGCAAGAGCCCAGGGATGACTCGTCGGCTGGGTTGGTGACGGAGAAGGTCTGGCCGGATTTGCTGGAGACCCATTGGCCGTTGATGTAGGATTTGTCGACGAAGAGACTGGGGTCTTGGAGGGAGGATGCGAAGGAAGCCATTGTGTGTGTGTGTATTGCGGGTTGTATGTTTAGGTGAATGTGTTCAATGCTTAGGAAGAAAGGATCGAATCGAAGCAGGACATAGATCAGTTTATAAAAGTATGCGAGCCGATCAGCGTCTTACCAGCCGGGGTAAAGAGAATGAGATACGAAGCCATTGCATGGATGGCTTTCCCACTTTCGCCGCTTTTAGCCTCGGCTGGCACGGGCTCGGATAACTTCCCGATCCCGAGATCGGCAACCCTCGGATACGGTTGCCTATTTGGGTGAACTTGGAGAGAGCCCGGCATGTTGTTAACTCCTAACATGCAGAAGTATAGCCAAGTGGTGTGATCAAGGTGGATATAGGTTTAGCTTCTCGAGGTGCTCATTATTAGATTACTTATAGATTTGCTATTATCCTTAAGTGACAAATACTTGTAATTGAGGCAGTTCTGCTGCCCAATTCCGGTCTGCTTCTCCCTCCCATACTTGCTGGAGCAATTCCATCGCTCGAATGATGTTGGCAAACCCATTGCGTCGGTACTGTCGTTCCAAGAACCCTTTAAAGAATCTCTGATCTTCCGGGACCCGACATTCTAATCCGATAATGAACGCCGACCAGACCAGCACGTGGTCCATCTGAGTAACCTCCGGGTATAGCACCAACAGCTCCTTGAATTGGTCGACCAGATGCGACAATGCCTTTGGCTGATTTGCCTTGGCGAGTGCCCGCTGGAGATATAAGTCATAAGCTTGCTGTCGGACCTCTGCGATGCGATCGAGGGCTAGCGCATGGCGGGGATGTAAAGTACGATAGTAGCGGAGGCAATCGAAGCTTTGCGCCCCATGCGACAGGATCGCGCAGATCCCCGAGTCGAGGCTCACCAAGGGACTCGCGTTGACTCGGATTCTGAGAAGACACGTAAGTGTAAGCAGGTTGACGTCAATCCATGCGTGCTCGGTGACTCACTTGCGTATCTCTCGCAGTAGAAAAGCAGACACCCCGTCTTCCTCCAACCCGCCGTCCCCCCCAACGGCATCCAGGGCGGATTGCAGCATGCGGAATAAGATCGGAAAGTCCGTCCCCCCAGTTACCATCACTGCGGCCAGAAGAATGATGATGGTCAGGATGACCGACTTCTTGGTGGACATATCGCATGCGCTCAGGTCGCTTCGACTCTGCAGGCCCTTGATGACTTTGGTGTAGAGCATGTGTGGATCGGCAAAGCTGGGACTCCCGACCGTGCCTTTGAGATGCAGAGAGGATACTGCGAGAACGGAATTCAGAACGAGTTCGTCTGCGTGGGCGATGGGGAGGATCGTGCATCGCCACCCGTTGTATTGGTCGTCGATCACCACCATTTGTGGGGCTATGTGTTCGGAGACTGCGACAGTCAGCGTGATTGATGGTTGGCACTTATCCCAGGAGAACTTACAATATGTGAGGAGATACGACTTCCATGCTTCGAGTTCGGTCAATGGGTGACTGATCGTCTGACTCGTGTCGAGGAAGGGATCGTCGAGCGCTGGGGATCGACCATTGTCTGGCGTCAATGGCAGCTGGGAGAACAAAGCATTCACATCCTCGGGAGACTGTGAAGTGCTTCCTGGGCTGTCGGGAAAGAGGACTTTGAGGATCTCATCTGCGGTGTCAAAGGTATGGTCTGGCTGAGGGCTACTTTCGCTACAACTCGACCTACTACCTGGTCAGCTTTCGTTTGGATGCGCGCTGAAGTGGCTGGCAGACGTACTCTTGCGATGGTTGGCGTTTCCTTGTACCTCTCTTCTTGCCTGCCTCTCGAAATCTGAATCGAACCCCCAGTCCGCTACAAGAGATGCCCTTGGCAATACATTTCCCACAGGCTGGTTCCTTCCGATCGCAATGGATGCGACGCTGAGAGCACTCGTAGCAACCTGGGCAGTCATTTAGCTTAGGGTCCCACCGACACTTGGCGAAGGGCCAGGCGCACCTTTGATCTTGGGGACGTACGGTCTGTGTCGCAGAGGCATATTGGAAATGGGGCCTTGAATTGAATCTATCGCACTGACTTCACAGACGGAAATGACATATGAAGGGATCGGATGAACACGCCAGCTATCAACTTAGATAAGAAGTGCTTATCTTCCCCGCATTTGTCCTTATCGCCACTATTCCTTATGCGGCAAAAGAAATGAGAGCCAGTCGGCCACATATCGCGGAGAAGGCGAATTGAGCTTCGGGATCTCGGCTGTTGCCCGGCTATCCCATCCGAGTATGATATCATGACTGCCCAGTGATAGCCCAGCGCAGCTCTAGGATGTCGCCTCTTTCTCTCTCTCTTTCTCTCTCTCTCTTTCTCTTTCTCTTCCTTTCTTTCTGTTTATCTGTCTATCTGTCCATCTGTCCTACCTAGCATCCCGTGGAATGTTCGTATCTCCATCGATCACGTCACTGAGTCAGCTGTCAGCTCAGGCGTTCTCAGCATTCGCCATTAATTGCAAGGGTCGTGATAGCGACTCAACGACATTATCTCAGCACTATTATCTAAGCACTGAAACGCACTAATTATTGGCTACTAGTGGATGCCGAACCGGAACCTTAGGGCTTCCCCAGATCCGACACCCTCGGACCGCAATGCTATCCGTGCTCTCGGCTCCAGATACGTAAACGCAGAGGTTGATATCCACAGCTCCCTCTTCGATACTAGATCCTATTGAACCCATGATCCCAGAAGAAACATCGAGCTACCCAAGGGATGAAGCCGGCTCTACGACTCTGGTTGTGTGAGAGCACCTGCTCACCGATCTTCATCTCTCACCGCCTTGGTAAAGCAGCATGCAAGCAAGGGGCCATTTGCTGCTATGTGTCCACATTCACCTCCCCGTTGAACTTTTCTCATGGGCGGCGATGACTTTTTCGCCTGTCAGAACGGGGACTCGGGTCAGAATCCCTAGAGAGCATCGAAATTCCACAGCTCGCTCAGTTATGTTGTCGTGAAAGCCATTAGCAGGTGTCTGATTACCTGGCAAACGCACAGTCGTGATTCTGCCAAGAAGCAGCAGCAGCAGAACATATGGCATCCGACCGACAAGATTCGCCAACACAATCAGATCCGCCACGGTCGCACGATGGTGAGAAAGAAGTTTCAGCTGGAGCAGTGACCCCTCCGGCCGACTTTGAGCAATTGGAGAGCGAAATCACCTTTCCTGAAGGTGGCCGAGGCGCCTGGCTTGTAGTCTTAGGTACCTGGTGCTCTTTGACTGCCTCATTGGGAGTCTACAACTCCATGGGACTTTTGGAAGCATTTCATCTCGCGAGAGATTCTAGTGAAGTCTTCCTCCACGGAGGTGGGATGGATTTTCGGAAAATATGCCTTCATGACATTCTTCGCTGGGGTGCAGATTGGTCCGACCTTTGACGCCAAGGGGCCACGGGGACTGATGATTGCGGGCAGCATCTGCACCTTGGTCAGTATATTCACCCTGAGTGTCTGCACAGGTAGGCTTGACTTTGAATGAACACCTTGACCGTCTCACTCGCTGAATTCGGCGACTGTGCGATAGACCTATGACTCGGCTCATGCTCACCATGGTACAAAATACTATCAACTTGTCCTTTCTTTCTCACTTCTCGGCGGGCTGGGTTCCTCCCTTCTCCAGACCCATGGCATAGGCTGTGTTTCGCACTGGTCCAACGAACGGCGCGGTCTGGCCAGTGGAATGGCCTTCACAGGCGCAGGATTTGGTGGCGTACTCTTTCCGCTGATGCTCCAGGCCCTGCTTCCTCAGGTCCGATGGGACTGGGCAATCCGGATCATTGGGTTCATCATCGCCTTTCTTTGCATGGTCAGCATAACTTGTGTCGAGGAAGGATCGTTCGATGCGACAACACCGCCACCACCTGGAAAGACACATTGCCCGACCCGCGCATCTTCATGGACGGCACCGGTGCGATGACGATCACCACTATCGGCGTCGCTCTGACAGACATGGCCTACCTTGTGCCCATGACCTACGTGCTCAGCTACTACCTCGAGCGACAGGATCGAGGTTAGGAACCGCTAGCCGATAAAGTAGGCTTCGGCTATCAGCTGCTCGCCATCACGAACGCTGCTTCCTGTGTCGGGCGGTACCTTGTCGGCGATCTGGCCGACCGATACGGCCAATACAACACCATGACCGTCTTCCTGCTACTGTGTATAGTCTCCGTGGGCGGCTTTTTCTTGCCCGATGTGCTCGTCGCCAATCTACCCACCATCGCGCTGCTGTTGATCTTCTCACTCGTCTTCGGCTTCTGCAGCGGTTCCAACATCAGCCGGACGCCAATATGTCTGGGTCAGCTGTGCAAGACCGGGAACTACGGTCGATACTACGCGAGCTGCTATACGATCGTGTCGTTCTGTTGCTTGACGGGGGTACCCATCGCGGGGGCCTTGCTGAATGCCACCGCGTCCACTGGGAAGGCAAGAAATGGGGGGGCTGTTGCCTTCAGTGGAGCTTGTTACGTGGTTGCGTTGTTCAGTTTCGTTTGGATCAGAGTGCGGATCAAGGGGTGGAATTGCAGGGAGAAATGGTAGTGGTGACTATACCCGGCACACATCCTGATGGTAGGCAGAGCATCCGTACGGTTGAACTTTACACACTTGTTGGCTGTCTCAGAACAAAGTACGCTCAGGTTAATTCAGCACAAAGTGAGGCATATTCAAGTGACCTGAGTGTGTTCCATTCCGACGACAAACGAGAACAGAACCATAGAGCTGCGACAAGGCTAGCTACAATGATACACTACTTGGACTCGAAGCCAGACCCAGCTTTCTTCCTAGCCATTACGGCCGCCGTGCAGGCCATCCTGCTTGAGGAGCCCCTCACCAATCGCGACCGTGGCGTTTGCAATACGCTGCGCCATAGTAATGACGTCGTTAGTCGTGATATTGTCCTTGGACTTCATCCAGCCAAGCTCAATCGGAAGGCGCTCATTTTCTGAACAGAAACTGGCAATCAGCACAATTCTACCCTCAGAGCGTTAGTTGAGAACCGACCGAAGAAGTATTCAATTAGAGATCGGCGGACGGTTCCAGCCCATTTGTTGCCAAAAACAATGATGTAAGCTGAGCTCTCTGCTAAGCTGACTGCCTGGGCCAGACTCGACAGAGTGTGAGTCGGGTTGTTGGCCTTGGAGGTATTGATGCGGGCCTGGCGGGCAGTGGCGGCAGCCTTTATATCGATGATGGGGAAGATCCAGTACGAGCGCGTCTCGTCGAAGACAGCCTGGTCGAAGTCGTGGTTATTGCCGAAGTAGAAGTCCTGGCGACTGTATGGGATGGTTAGCCATGTAAGCCAGAAGCATATCTGCAATATACCTACCTCAAGCTGGCATCGTGCTCCAGGATGTTGTGTCGGCTCAGGTGGTTCAGGGAGAAGGTGGTAGCATTTGGTTGGGGATTGGTAGTGAGCGCTTGTTGATGCAGAGACCTGGCAAGCTGTTCATCAATGCTCAAAGCTTTATATAGGGCATCAATGGTCTGTTGCTCGGTGATGTCTTTGCCGTCGTGGGGGAGGATGCCGTGGTTGGCGAGGGTGTTTAGCATCGGACAGGGAGAGCGCACTATTCATCTCCTTGTCAATGCTGACAATGCCACGCTTGGGAGTATAATTACCATCGTTGGTTCCTGCAGGAGACCAGGGTAATGGGTGAGGTGTTTGTTGGGAAAAAGCCCCGGCAAGGACCGCAATGGTCAAGACCATGACAGCTTTCATGGTGATCGAAGCTCTGATAGTAAATTGAGCCTGGAGCCTGGACTTTGCAAAATGGATTCTACAACTCGAAACTCCTATATATCTACGCATGCGACTGGGAACTGGGTCATACGACAAATGACGATCACCTTGTTGGTGTTTCCATCGGGTAAACGACGCCAGCGCTGTATGCATGCCGGGTGACTTTATGACCGATCAATACGGGAAGCCCGAAGCGGTACCCTAATAACATCAAAGCGTCGTGGGATCCCAGACCGGCCCTAGAGTAGACAGATCAACAATTATTTGTGGAGTAGTAGGACACCGGTCTGATGGAGCGGTCAGGAATGTTGGCTCAAGCCTGGTGTCCTCATTCTTTTATTCGGGCGTTTCCGAGTACTACTACCACGAGATACGACGCCCTCCAATCCAGCAAGGGCCCATACACCACCTATCGTATGGCTAAGCGCAAACGCCGAGTTGTGGAACTCGATCGGCGAGTATATCTATCCCGAAGATTATTTGACTGTGCAGAGTATGTTCAGAGTCGTCATCTGGCTGACTTCCTCTGCAAGTTGAAGGCTCGACTGGTTGTAGTTGCAGCTGAGCCACACCCTGGGTATGACAACATTCCTGTGTCTATTGCCGCCCGCAAACACTCTGGCATGTATGCCTTGGTCATGGGACTTTACTTTCCCTGCCAGCCAGCGTTTTCGCTTACTACAATCACTCCAGGGCTGACTATGTCACATCCCTCACTGAATACGCCAGTGGCGGCGCAGTAATGCTACCTGACAAGCCAAGCGTGGCAGTCACCTCAGCATGCGTGAATATCATTCTTTGGGAGTGGGATGGTCGTACAATCGAGATAACCTTTGTGACACTAAAATAGAGATTCGCCGTGAACTCAGAAGCATTTCCCACAGGTGGTGAATGCTCCGAATGTTAACAACCCGATATTCAGCACTGCATTCCCTCCCAACGCAAACCATCATGGAAAATGCCATTCTATAGACGAATCCTAGCTTTATGTATATGACTTTATCATTTGCAACCTTGAGCTACGTTTATGCATCATACCACAAAGCTAGCCCTTCATCTGTCAAGATTGTTCGAACTTTGTGCCCAGATGCTGGGGTCCAACTCTATTAAGTAGTGCTACAGTCCAGCTTTTGTATGCGAGGATGGAACCAGCCTTTTAAGAAGTAGCACGCAAGTGAATTAATCCTTTCATCAATCAAAAGCACAGATCAGGACCGCAAATAAAAAATCCACCAAACTCTCAGCCAATACAAAGGAGCCACTCCATCAATGCAAAACGCTGTCCAGTGAAGCAATCACTTAGACTCGAGCCGAGCCAGCTCGCCCAGGCCATCCACCACCGTCGACGCTTCTTCCCAAACCGAGTCCTCCCCATACAGTCTCGACCAAAGATACGCCCAGGTCACCCGCTGAACAACGGCCACCAATTCAGGACTCTCATCCGTCGTCTCCTTCGCATCGTACCCTGCCACACCTCCCAGTCCATGCGTCCCGCCCACTATAGTCAACAGAGTCTTCGGCCCAGGGCTGTGCACATACGCATCAGCATGCCAGTCGGCGCCCCGGACCGTCAAATGAGGCGACTCGTCGATATTGCCGACGGCCACTAAGGCTTGAGTCTTCATTTCCGCGAAGCTTGTATGGCGGAGGAACGGGAACATCTCGAACACCTTGGTATTCAGATCCTCTCCCCCGTTACCAATCGGGGTAAGGAGGATACCAACCTTGATCCTCGGCTCAAAGAGATCGATGACACTTCCGTCCTCGTCGACCAGACGCATACCTAGGAGCATAGCGGCGGTGTGCGAGCCCAAGGAGTGCCCGGCCACCGCTACGTAGGCGCGATCTATCCGGCCCTTAAGAAGCGGGACGAGGTCCTCGATTTGGTCGAGCTGGTCGAGGATGAGCTTCATGTCTTTGACACGGGAACGCCAGAAAAGAGGGGCGCCGGGGACCGAGGCGTCAAGGCTGAGGGATTTGGAGCTGAGATGGGTCGGTTGAATGACGACGAAGCCACGCGCGGCCCAGAAGTTGGCCAGGGGGCCGTAGCCATTCAACGAGGAGAGATGGTTCGAGTTACCATGGCCGTGAGAGAGCAGGATAACTGGTAGGTTGCTTCCGGTGGTTGGAGCGGTGATGCGCATGTGCAGGTCGATGATGCGCTCGGGGGCTGGAATTATCACGGGGTTGATGGAGACAACCTGGACAGGGTCGGGAACAGGTATTTTCGCAGCTTGGCCAATGAGAGCATGGTCGTTGACGGTCCGAAGGCCGGATGCTGCAGTAGTTTGGCTATTGATGGTCATTTTGAATTTGAGGTTGTCGTTGTCTCGTCAGTGAATTGTTGATTTCTTGTCGAAAGCAAGTGTGACGGAAATCTGCCTGTCTTTATACTACCTATCATGATGGTTCAATTCGAGATGATGCTCGTAAGGTCCAAAGTGTCATACTGTATGGATCCAAGAAACTAAGCCTATCAAGGAGAAACCCGCGAAGGTCAGATTTTAGGTTGACACTGTATCGGAGTTAATCATACCAAAGATCTTATACACTCAAGCTTGTCCCAATCAGGAAGAACCCGCGAACCCTCCTCGGATTTAAGATCAATCCAAATTCCGAGTCCGATTCTTGTCCCACAGACATCGAATGCTTAGAAATGCGTAAGTATCCCTTCTAAGGGATATGCAACAAAGAACAGTCACCAAAAGGAATCAAATCATCACATTCATCTACACAGGATATCGAAATCTCTTCAACTGCCTCGTCCCCAGCCTGAAGTATCTTCATGAAAACATGCTTCCTCTCTTAGCTTCACTCTCCCATCCCAGCCATCTGCATCTGTATCCCCAACTTTCTCTTCGCCTTCATGTTCCTGCATGTTCGTTCTCAGCGAGCAAAATCCCAGAGTGGCGGTACCGCAACGACAATCCCAAAAACTCCCTCCGCAAGCAGAAACATCCAGAGGGAGATCATCAGAACCCTAGTGATTGGGTCGAAAAGCCACGGATCTGACATCACCGCATCCTGGGAAGTGTATATGATGTTTCGCATGAGGATATCTCTTTCAAGGTCCGAAGCCCTTAATCCACGTAGTCCAGTGGCAGGCGAGGTCGTCTGGGAGAGCAGGTTTGACAGGCGTTCAGCCGCGATAGCCGATTTGAGTCGCTCGTAGTCATTGTATATCACCAAACCATGATGAATGAGGTTGACCAGCCAGATAATGCTGCTGATGAGAAGGAGAATCGAGAGGGTGGGCGAGCGCCGGTACCTTGCGACCATGCGACGTCGGTCTCGGGATGGGAAGCTCGAAAGTATTAGGCGGACCATCACGAAAAGGACCAATTTGTTGGCGAGTGCATAGAGACTGATCATGGTCGCGGCCACTTTGGCTGATTTAGCTTATGTCAGGGACAGCGTAGATGATTCATGTCCTTACAGTACCATGAGGGGAGATTGGTAAGGTGTGGAGAGCAGGGGAACGATATGAACCTGGCAGTGGTTCTATTTTGAGAAAGAAGCGTATTCTGAGTTATGGCAAAGCTTTGAAGCTCTGACATGATACAAGGGAAGGATAAATACAGAGATTCGACTTCTGGTCAGAAGATTCACTCCTGGAATCTGGCTGAAGAAGGCCACCACCGTCACAAGATAGATCGAGCCATTACATGGTACGTCTGATGAAATTATTCCCCGTACCAGCCAGGAAAGGTCTTCCAAGATAAGAGATTGATTAAACAAGGCATGATCGACCCATAGATGTGATTCTCTCTGACGACTATAGATAATATAGGACTCCTGGAGAACCAATGGCAAAGTATACACACAGCATGTTGAGAGATTGAGCCCCTCTTCCGGTACTTCTCCAAGCTCCTTATTCGTGTGGCTGATTTGTACCGAGCTCAGATTTGCGTCTTGGATTTGTTGGTTAGAAGGTGGTTCAATTTCGACTGAAGCTTTTACGCGTGGGCAATCCATACGCTCAAGCTTGCTTAGCAACATGATATCAAAAAGTGTTTAGATTAGCAGATAAGACAATATGGCCGAGCGGTCTAAGGCGATAGACTAGAAATCTATTCTCTTCGGAGGCGTCGGTTCAAATCCGACTGTTGTCGTTTTTTGCTTTTTTTTTGTTGCTCCCCAAGTAGATTGTCTCCACCAGCCAACACTGAATGTTTCTGCTTATAAAGTCCTTATCATACATGCTGAGGGGTCTGATCAGCCTTAGCTTCCATCATCTCGACATCAGCATTCTCCTCGGACTTGTATGCAACCTGATACACGGTATACCACGGACGTTGGAAAGCCCGTCCAACTCCGCAAGCGACCTTCCAGTAGTGTCCTGCTCATGTCAGTCTCAGTCCTGCGATGAATCTTGACGCATATAGACCAGAGACGTTGCATCACAGAGGCCTTGACCCAGGACTCCTGCCACATAGAAAAGAGTAAAGATACGGAGAGTCCATCGTCGGGTAAGTCGATCGTTGACAGGGGAACACTGGGTAAGAAACTGATTTAGCATGCACAACCTGCTTGAGCCCTCTGGCCGGTTCTTACCCCGAGACAACCAAATACAGCGCTGGCCGTGGCAATCGAAACAATCCAGCCCTTCATATTAGAATACTGTGGGAGGTCTGTGTATCGAGACCGAATCGAGCCTTGAAATGGAATTGTGTGACTAGGGATGCGATGTTTCCTGCCATGAACCGGAATCGGTCAGAGCCATTCAGAATCACTGCAGGGTCTGTAGCTTGAAAAGCATATCTTACCTTCGTCGAACCCCTTTGACACGCCTGCGAGAGCAAAGACGCATGTGCATAAAAGAACATGGAGATTGAATGTGTCCTTGGGAGCCTCTTGCATGGCCCTCTTTGCATCTGATGAGTCCCATCTTGGTGGTTGGGCTTCGCAGTCCTAGCCTTCCCCCAGGCTCATATGAGAGATATACATATTGTCCTGGTCAGACCATAACTGCCCCCCACATTTCCCCAGATTTCCTCACCGCCGACTCCAAATCTTTTCTCCACTTGCAGCCCAGCATCGTCCGCCGGAAAGCCTCCGGTCACATCCGAAACCGTCCTGTGATATTTATTTGTGATCCCAGGTTACGGCAATCTAGGGACCAAGTCTAAGTCGGAGCGAACGTCTCAAAGCGAACATCTCAAGCACAAACTACAATGAATTTTTATCCCCCTCCTCCGATCATCCAAGCCGAGATTTATATTCGCATTCCGGATTCTCTACGCCGCACCGGCCAGCAAACCGAATGGCGCCCCGGATCCGCCAACCCGGCTTCGGACATTCTCCTAGAGGGCCCAATTTATGTCTCCAACGGCGATCTATACCTCGTCGATGTCCCTTACGGCCGAACCCTGAAGGTGGACAGCGACTAGAACGTGAGCGAATGTACCCGCTGGGACGATGAGCCAAATGAGCTGGTGGTCCGAGAGGATGGGTGTATTGTGGTGGCAGACTACAAGCTGGTACAGTACAATTCCCCCCTCCAACTTGCATCCTATAACGAACTTCAACTCCTAACCACGCCACTGCAACATGGTCTCCTTCTTTTCGACCCCTCAACCAACAAAATCTCACCCCTTCTCAACTATCGCAACCTCGAACGCTTTAAAGGCCCCAATGATTTGATTGTCTCGTTCACCAATGACATTTACTTCACCGACCAAGGCCAGACCGGCATGTCTGACCCCACCGGATGCGTCTACCGGCTCTCAGCCACAGGGAAACTCGACTGTCTGATTCCCAACGGGGTTTTCCCAAACGGCTTAGTCCTCTCCCCGGACGAGCGGTTCCTATACGTGGACATGACCCGGTCCAACGCCGTCTGGAGACTTCAGCTGCATGCGGACGGCACCACCAGCAAGGTGGGCTTGTTCTTCCAGACCTTCGCGTGTGCGGGGCCTGACGGACTGGCTGTTGACGAAGAGGGAAACCTGTTCGTTTGTCATCCGAGCCTGGCGTCGGTGTTCGTTGTAGAAAAGGAGGGTGTACCCAAGGCGAGGATCGTGAGTGCCCCTGACGGAGGGAGGAATCTGACAAACTGCACGTTTGGAGGCCCGGATGGAAAGACTTGTGTATATTACGGATAGTATTGAGGGAATGTGCAGAGTGTACGGTGGCCTTGCAGGAGGGTGCCAAGTTCGAAGATGGCAAATGTTAATTAAGAGCGATAATGTGAGAGATTAAGCGACACTTCCAGTTCAAACAGAGAGCGTTGTGTAATACATCACGTTTCAAGCATTATAGAAGAGTCATAATATCGTTTTATGTTCTGGGGTAACCTTATCGTACGTCAATATATTCTATTCACAACGTGCGTATATCTCAGATACTCGACATGTTCCGGATCGTCATCCCAATATTGCTCCCCAAAATATTTCCCTGAGCGTTATACTGGGGAATAAACAAGGATACGGGGTTTGAGTGGAGGTCGAGAAATCTCCAAGCAGCGTAGGAAAATATCCGGGCGTTGATCGGAGCGGGGCCGGGTTATAGAACAATAGGAAACCAGATATGCCAGCCATAAGTCAGACCACAACAATCAAGCCAAGCTCTTTTTAATCCTTACCTTTTCATCTTCATTCACCGAGTCCCATCTTTATCCAATCATTACCCTCAGCAAACTTACCGCGCGAATCTCCTCCGTCTCGTCCTGTGTGCCGACCTGGGGATTCCGGGGAAGTATGATAGTGAGAAGTATCAGGATGCCGTGACAAAGGTGATTCAGGCGGCGAATCGCACGGGGAAGCCGGTGGTCATGGATGGCATTGGCGGCCGGTTGGATAATCTGGAGAAGTGGTTTCGGATGGGGGCGTCGTGGTCGTTGAGTGGGCAAGATGCCTCGATGTTGCAGGCGGGAATGAAGAAGATGGCCAGGAATTATACGGAGATAAGCGAAAGGATCGCGAATTAGATTGCCTTATGATTATGCAAGCATAGATTAAATGTTCATAGAGTTTCGTCTTGCAGAAACGTGAAAAATAGGATCGGGTCTCGGTATGCGTACTCTCCCAGTCCGTATTCCATGTTCCAGAAAGTGCTATCGCCAGGAATTTTGAGCGACAGGAGAGGTGGGTCAAGATTGGGGTCTGTGTCCAGAAAAGGACTATCGCCTGAGCTGTTGGAAGGGACTGTGTAGCTGTAATCAAGGGGCTGATGGTTTAACAAGTCGCTTTGATCGTATTCAGACGTGATCTGGTTGCTGTTCAGCACCCCTTGAGCGACTGACGACTCTTTTTGATATGATATACAAGTCTGGCCATGTCCCTCTTTGTCTCCGAGTCTCGACGCTATTCGCAGATTTTCCATCACATGACAGCGCAACGCTTCATAAACTGCAACATAGTGGGTTGCATCGGGCAGCTCTTTCCCCATCCTTATCAGGGCCTTACCACTCTGCTGAATCGCCTCTATGACCCGTAAATAGATGGCAGAGGTCTGACCTGTCAAGAAGGAAAGACAAAACATCACTGAGAGACCAGCGGTGAACGTCATTTGGAAATAGCTGCGGGTGTATGTGATCTTGTTGTCGTCGAACAAAGGACAGAATGTTTCTATTGTATCAATTGCATACTCGAGACAAAGCGACAGCAGGTCTTCAGGGGCGGTTATGGATGATTTTGGTATAAGGTCAATGGCATTGCGCACAGAAGAACTCTCTCCCTCATGAGAAGCAAAATCATACCACTCTTACGTTTGGTACGAACTCCAAGGACTAGTAAACACAGGGGCTGATAAACGCCATTGCAGCGGCTCGAGTAGGAGTTCTTCTAAATTGCCGTATATCTTCTCAGAGGCTGTGTACTGCTCCATGGTGGCCGAGTGGTGGTCCGATAACGGTGCATCCTGATGCCGGAATCTGGCGTGTACCTTGGATGTGATTTTCCGGAGCCGCACGCAGAGAAGAAAGACGGACATCTCTGTCGTCTCAGCAGGAGTACGACTTGGTATAGCGTGACAGAAGGACTCGAGATCACTGAAAGATCCTGATGCCTCGGCAGCATCTATCTCCTCGTCGTTAGCTCCGCAGGGAAGCCAATATGCACGCCTTATTCTGAAGTTGAGCGAAGTATAGGGCACTTTGGGAAAAACTAAATATCATCAGCACGTCGCATATTGGCGCTGCGACTTCCAGGGCACAGCTGACGAGTGCCACCGCAGCAGTGGACAATCTGCATAAGTACTTGTCTCCATTGTAGTTTGAATGATTATATCCATTTACGGACTGATGCCGCTGAACTACATCTATCATTTCTCATGTCTATAGTCCTGCTATGTTCTAATGCCACCGAAGCATTATCTCTTCACACGAAAATGACTCGAATTTATTCCGAGCACTGTGACACTAGTACTACGGACTGCATCCAATTTTTGTCAATTTGAAGAATCACATGTATCTGATTACGTACTCTGCACAGGTTTTTTAGATAGCTTGCAGCTGCTCATGACTAACAGCCTATCGGATTGAAATTCTCTCGATTTACTCGCCGTCAAACTCGATTTCCCGAATGGTTCGTTCCACCAAGGCCGAGTCCATGTACGCTCGAAGCTCCTCAATGGTCCCTTGCCCATTCCACCGGAACACCCATGCGTATCGGTTGTCGAAACGGCTGCCTGAGTCGATAAGTTGCATTCGCTCAAACACGAGGCTTTTTCAACAGCTAAACACTCACCACTTCTCGTATTACCGTGACTGCGTAATTCTGCCACCGCCCATGGATGAGATCCGCCCCCGGCCAGGTTGATTACCTCTAGCGCCAGACCATTGCGATCCATACACTTCTGAATTGTACCCAAAGCGTGCTTCTGAAGATCGGTCTTGTTGGTAAATGCGCCGGATAGTGGATGTGTTCCGGTTACGGTCCAATTCACGTCATCGGCGACGTGGGTGAAGAAGGCAGCGTAGTTGCCTGTCTCGAGGTTGGAGAAGATGGCTTGCATAGCTGGTATGTCAGGATATGAAGATCTGGTCGAAGCCATCGTGTATTGGGTAGGACAGGAATTAGTCAGCTGTCGAAGGATGTATAGGTCCGATAATGGACGTATCGAATATATAGAGAGGCCTGGAAGATACTCATTTTGCGAACACCACAGTCTTTAATAATAGCCTGAGAATTTCGGCAACGACGGAAAGGCCGCCACGTTTCAATATCGCTGGCAGCCATGCTCGTGAAATAATGTTTGCTTTTGACATGTGCTGCATCGTATGCGCTGTATTGTCGAAAGAACGACTTGCAAGCATCGGAGAACATGCGCTCATACCCGACTTTTACCTGCACTCGAGCCTTACCTAGCGCAGCCATAAACTCTTTTCTGCCAGTGCAATGAAGATGAACAAATAGCTGAGAATTATGTGCGCCTCATCTTAGACATATCACGCCGTCTTGATGTAATTGCAGTGTCGCTCGACTTAGCGAAGATCTGCAGACAGCTGCGCTTTCAATTAACTACTGTATGATCCCCGAACATGACGGACAATCGTCCTCGTGCGTTCGCACTTCTGCATCATGGCACTTCTCATCAAGAGCAGCTCACCCCGCAGAGTTAAGGTCAAATGGCCCCAGTTAGATATCACGATCTCTGTGGAAATGAATGAAGGACAAAATTCCCACGTGGTAGATTTGTTTTTCGAGTCGCTTCCTTATCGTTCCCTACAGAATCATGCGCTCGTATCCGGTGACCATCTGTACCACCTGGTGCCCTGCGAGAAATTGATCGTACATTCCCTGCTAGAACCTCTGATAGCAGATTTTGACCATTGTATCGCTGCATTTAGTATACCCATGCAGACTATAAGGTGGCGGACTGAACGACAGAGCCGGATGGAATGTTTTCCTGTCCGGTCTACAGCATCTGGAAATCAAATACGGTCCACTGACCGAGTACCTGCCGGCAGCTCCATGCGGGAGGGTTCTCCCTGAGGATATGGACAGCTTGAGAGCCGCCGGCAACGGAGTCTGGAAAGCATGCCACCAAACCAAGCAGATCATTGGTGTTATCATCTGGGATGCCCGCCAGGTCGAGCCTACGGAGCATCTACCTTTAAGGCAAGAGCGATTTGGCGTGACAGATGAGGTGAAAGCTCTAGTCAGGAAGATACATGACGAGGTCTGTGTCGATACTCTGAGTCTAGCATATGGGTTTGTGTATTGATCGATGTCTAGACAGAGAAATCCTGGTCGGGCATTTCTGACGACCTTCGGATTGCGCACAACGGCATGGCTCCCTCTTGTGCCGGCTCCAAAGGTTCCTATTTTGCCACCATGGTCTTTATCAATGGCGAGATCCGGCCTCTGGGCTACAATGTGTTGAACCGCATCCCGGATCGCCGCGACTCAACCGCACTTTGATCTGAGCCACCTTATCACGTTGTTTAGTGTCTTCGCTTCGGTACCTTCGGAGTTTGTGGGCTATACAGGGGCCAGCTTCCTCTGCATGACAAACCGGGAGATTGCCGATCTGATCAAGCAAAGTGTTCAGACGAATCCCGATCATGTAGTTGCCTGTGAAGACTTTCTGGCTCTGATCAGCGCATTTGGCAAATACGTGAACTTGCTGAACGCGCAGAATCTATGTCTTTTCCCATGGCGACACTCAACCGAGTGTCCAATTGCACTCAATAAAACTGACTGAGAAAGCAATTGCGTGAGAGCTCGCGAGATGGTGAAGGAAAAATCAATAGCCGGAGCTGGTGCTTTGAGAAACGGCGGACACAGTCAAATGCACCCCGGAGTCAACCCTTTGTTCATCTAGCTATATTGAAGTCAGGGGTAAATTGCAAATCGGTTGGACTTGTCAAAATGCATGTCAAAAAGCCTAATCAGACATACACGTACAGCACAATGGGAGCTCACACAGCAGGTAAAGATGCCGTAGACAAGCAGGGATCCAGGTTGCCAAGACCCGACTTCAACCGTAACGAGTTTCAAGAAAGCATTTGATTGTTATAAGTACTTTCGTTAGGGGTGTGCTGTCCCGCAAGTGTATAGTGTGACTATTCACTCGACTTTATATGCTGTTTCATGAACGATGCACACACGCAGGATATGGCTAACCTTTCAAGCCAAGCATGACTCCATGTGTTGCATGGCATTGACCAACCAGAGTCGCATCATTGATTGTGTTCGCGCGGCAGAAAAAATTGCATCTAGACTAATACGTTGAATGAACCCCTTTCTGGCCTATAACCCCGACACTGCCTACCAAAACAGTCTGTTAATGAGAGCTGGGCATTTCCCGCCATGAGCTAAATCGCGCTATTGACGCAAGTGCTGACAAGGATAACGCGCACTATGGAACATTTGCTTCCTTCCATAAGGAAGCTTAAGATGTCAAGTCGAATGAAGTACAGCAATTGGCAGGTAAGAAGTATGGCCGATAGATCGTCGAGCTTAGGATCTTTGTTGGCGCCGACATTGATGTGATCTTGGGTTGAAGGAGAACAAGGAGATGAACAACCCGTAGAATGTGGAATGTACTATGAAACTAGAGGCGTTTAATTCTAGTCCTCTGAAACCGGAATGCTAAATCGGAGGAAACAGTCTACTGGGCTTGAATGGTGGAATGACAGACGCGGTCGAGTCGCCGGGGGCTCGACCTCTTGTAGGCAAAGGCCCCGATAATCTAGCGTAGCACCGTTCCTGACTCCCGCAATCTCCCCAAGAGCCAAGAGGTGGAGAAAGAATTAGACTTGTAATCTGTGACAAGCGGACATCCCCGGGTCAAAACCCACGCTGGGCTGCGTCTAAGACTAAAGCAGCCGTTAGGAGATCGGGGCGGAGAACCGAGCGAGAACCAAGATCGCAATGACTTGCTATTTAATCCACAACCACCCAGTAATCTGACGTTCTCCTTGGTACTGATTGACAAATTCGAGAACTTGAAATACAGAATGCGCTCTTCATCTATTTTTATAGCCTTCACAGTCGCGACCGGCGCGATTGCGGCGTCGGTGCAGACAGTGCCCGACCCATTGGCCACGATTGGAGACCCGTCGGAGGTGCTGAGTGTCTCATACGCTGTTGGGTCAACGAAAGTGAACGTGACTCCTGGTGTGAACTTGAACTCATCCGGTAAGATTTGCTCCCTGAAGTGCTCGAGTTTGAACTAAGGGATGCCAGTCACACACAATGCGCCCACCGTGCATCTGAACGAGACCTCCCTCAGCGGCAGCGGGCCCTACCTCTTCATGATGGTCGACCCTGACATCAACAAGACGAACCCGATGTACGTCGGAATGCACACCATGGCCATCAATCTGACGACGAGCGGCAAGACTTCCGATGAGGATGCGATCTGCACGTACTTCTACCCGGAGCCCACCGAGGGACCGGCGCACAACTACACCTTCCTGCTGTTCAAGCAGCCCCAAAACTTCACTGTGCCCAGGCAATACTCTCCGTTCCTGGCTACCACCTCAAATACGCCGTACAATCGGATCAACTTCCCCCTCATGGAATTTGTGAAGGAAGCGGGCTTAGGAGAGCCGGTCGCGGCCAACTACTTCCAGGAGGCGGCCGAGAGCAACTCGACTGCAACGAGCTCGAGCTCGACTACTGCGACCACGGCGACCAGCACGGCCACCGAGACAGCCGCTACCAGCACTCACACAGGCGCCGCCAACAAGTTGGGTTACAGTGGTTCTTATTTGATCGGCATGTCGGTGGCGGTGGGAGCTCTGATGGTGGCAGTGTGAGCGGATGAGCAGATGGTTAGGTTGTGGCAGTAATACTGCTGTACGATAATTCAAAAGATTGGCAGAAACAGCACCACCAGGAGCGGGCGGCTTCGCTTCTCTCATGAGATTTTCAATGCACCCTTGTAATAGTAGAAAAATAGTAAGATGAGAGGATTCGAACGGAAGCAGTGTGAGTGGGGATTGATCCTGGCGCGGGTGACGGGTCCTGCATGGCGTTGGGGCTAACAAGATTAGCCCTGAATAGCCTTGCCTAGAGAGCTACCAAGGCTTGTTGTTGGCTTGTTGAAACCGCCAAATGGCTTGATCCTGTCTCAGGGATTCACTCTTTCCTTGGCAGATTATTCGACGGCGTAATTTCCAGAGCTATCCTGCCAAATCAAACTCAAGCTTCTCACGATGCAACCGTAAGACACCTCCCCTCTCTCCTCTTCTCCCTTCCCGAGACATCGCCAAACTGTCACCCCAACCCACCGTCCTGAATTCAAATCAACTTGAGTCAGATCCCTAACATAGTCAATAACCTAAGCGGGGATCATTGGCCAATGGAACGCTTTGGCCCCCATTTGATCTCAAGCAGACCCTTTCCCGAGCAAGTTCGAGTAAGCATCGACAAGGGGCCGGGCCGTGCGGTTATAGTATAGTGTAGTAAAGTCAATGGCATTATTATCATCAAAACGCCGAACCACCGCCACGTCGGTCTTGCCAGTTCCAATCCCTGTCCCTTGGCAGCTCTTGCCTCTGTCTCGTGCCCTCCATGTACAGGGTATAGTCTACCATTCACCTGGCTGACGGGCCGGACGCCTGCAGGTTACCCTGCCTAGTAGCCATAAGACGCTTGCTTGTCTGCAGCCTTCGCGGGGGCCAAATCATGTTTCCCTCACCCCTCAAATCGTTAAAAGAAAGGATCGCCCAGCAACTCGCTGGTCATCGAGCCTGAAGGGGTGCTCTTGTTTTCACCATGGCCGCGTCTTCCCATCTGACAGCCGAGCAGGCGGCTGCTTGGTCTGAGTCCCGTCAGTCAGCCATTTTGGGGGTCGTTATTACGATGCTGGTTCTGGGCAATCTCTCAGTCCCGATGCGCTTTTGGGCGCAGTGGAGGATTCAAAAGCGTGTCATGCCGGAGGACTACTGTCTCGTTGTGGCTCTGCTCTTTGCCAACGTCGTGTCCGCCGCCCTGCTGGTGGCGTGGTATAACGGGTTTGGCTTACATGTCTGGCGGGTGGAAATAGAGGACCCGACGATGAGACACTTGCGGAATATCTTCACTGTGAGTAACAATTTGATGCAGCAATACAGCGTAGACCAAATTTCTACTCCGTTCAGTTTGCTGACTCCTGGTGACTGACCCATCATTGACAGAACTTCTGGATCACCGCCGTCTTCAACGGACCCTCGCTGTTCGCCACCAAACTGGCCCTCCTGCTCTACTATCGTCGTCTGTTCATCATCAACCAGCGCTGGATCCGCATTGCGTGGTGGGCGAATCTCATCTATGTCTCGCTATGGGTGGTTGGGTCCACCGTGTTCTACATCCTACAATGCCTCCCCCCGAGCTACTATTGGGAACGAGTCGATCCTCACTCCACCATCAAGCACGGATCATGTCCTCACAGCACCAACATCATCGGACTGCCCCTCATCCTCAACATTCTATCTGATGTGACCATTCTTTTGCTCCCAGTCATCTCTGTTACTCGGTTGCAGATGCATCTGATCCGCAAGATCGGCCTAGCTGCCGTGTTCTCGGTCGGTGTTGCGTGAGTCTTCTCAGCTTGATTCATTTCCAACTCAGCCTCCTATTCTAACCCAGCGACAGTGCTTCAGCCAGTGCCCTTGCCCGTGTTCTCGTGCTTGAAGTCAGCACGGACGTGCAATCCGACGCCACCTTCAACACGGTCGCATTCGAGATCCTCTGCGTCGTCGAGCTGAACCTGGCCATCGTCTGTACATGTGCCGTGCCCATTGCTTCGTGTCTGCGCATGGCTCGCGCCAAGAGCCAGCATCAGACGGATGGGTACGAAATGTACGGAGCGGCGTCCAAGACAGGCCGAAGTCTGACCAAGACACATCTTTCCACTATTACAGCTCAGAAGACCACCGCCGGTCGGTCGGCCAGCACTGAGCAGCTGCACTACGGAAGCGCGACGACGAGTTGCGTCACAAAGGAGGATGGCCGGTGGGAGAGCGATTCGGGGGGTGCACATCAGATTAGGGTGAAGGTGGATGTGGATGTTCGATAAAATCAATCTCAAAGCCTTCATGTATATACCATCCCGGCAATCCCAATATAAGCATCAATGCCAGCTGAAGAAGTAAACACCACTATTCAACCCGCGTGGCACACCACCACAGCATCCGCAGGTTGTCATCCGCAAACGGGGCGTTCCGGTTCTGCTCGATCTCCTCGGCCATGTACAGCCCTGCCTCGACCGTCCAGCGAGTCTTCGTGGCGAGACCCACATCATACCAGAACCCCTTGATCGACTCGACATTATGACGATAATGCGTCGCGGTCGGGTCCTTGGTCATGCCCGTCATCGCATGCTCGCCCGCCAGGACACTGCCCATCTGCCGACCGGCAATCATCGAGCCCTTCTTCTCGCGACAAAGACGCACCAGCCGCGTGGCGACCCGCAGCTGAGTAGCGTAGTTCCACATGTGAAAAAGAGAACTGGCAAAGACCACTGAGATCTTCCCCTGCAATCGCTGAGCGATCTGCCCGTTCTCGTATTCCTTGGAGTCCGCCGTGGCTAGATCGCCGACCGCAAAAGTGGCTTGGAACCGATCCTGGTCGCGGAAGAGCTGGTACCCCAGGTCGATGAAGATCTTCTCCAGATCACAGCCGTACAGCTGTGTGCTGGGAATTCCCTGATCAGCAAGGAAGCGGAGTTCCTGGGCGAAGCAGCATCCTGCATCTAAGAACCCCGCGGTCGGGTCTGTGCGCAGCTGCTCCAGCGCTTTCGAGTAGAAAGGCAGATGGCGCAGGTTGAAGGAGAGGAAGCGCATCTGGCCGATACAGGCGTATTGGTAGACCTCAAAGGCTTCATTGCGCTGGGGAAGTGGGCGTTAAAACGCGGCAGGAGGGGCGTGCTGGATGATAGAGTCTACTCACCACGGACAAGACATGAGGGATGACCTCGTCGGGCTTCAGTCCACTGTAGCTCTCCAGTACGCGCTGAGCGTCCGAGTTGATGCTTTCAACATGTTCCTGGAACCATGAGGGCTTAAGGCAGGATTGACCATCGGTTGCCATGGTGGTGGTGACTGCCGGCTGAGAGGTGATTAATGAAATGGAGGGAGACGCGGAGGGAAGCCGATCAAGCAGCCTGAAGAGGAGATAAAAGAGGCTGAAGGTAGGGGATTGAGGCCCACTGGCTGGTGGTTTAGTGGGCTGTGGTGAGGGAGTAGTAGGCCACTCATTTGCCGTATTAGGGCTTAGTGAGGCGCTAAGCTGACCGGCCGCATGTCTTCAGTGCTTCCACGCTGGCTGTTGTCTTATCGCGTCTCGTGTTTTCATCAGCCTCGTGCGCTAAGCATGCTGCTAAAAGGGCTAAGCCATCGTGCCATGGCCATTCTGCTCCGGCCAGATCGCACGATGCAGCCTTTCAATTGCCACACTGTCGATGAAGGCTGCTGCAACTCGAGACGAGATTTTCACCACCGCCAGGAACCGTCGACGACCAAGTCCCACCATGTCGGCGACCAATTTTCTTCTGAATCATTCCTTGTCTTCTTTCTGCTGCTGTTCCCCCGCAACACCCCTGTCAGATACAGGGATCACGAAATATCCCTGCATATCCCCACAGACATCATCCCTAATGCATCAAACGGTAGAGGAAACATTGGCCAATGGACACAGTTTGTCCACGTCCAAGAGCCACAGCGAGCCCTCGAATCTACCGGCCATCCTAAACACCGCAGCGCAGACTCCTGCAGGAATTTGCATTTATCCTCCTGGGCAGGTGGACGGAAGTCCGACGCGATTAAGCTATGCCGATCTTGCCCGGCGAGCAGAAGAGGATTCTTCCTTACTGCTCAATCACATCCACGACAAGCCTGTGGTTCTAATTCACCTGGACAATCATGCAGACAATATACGCTGGTTCTGGGCGGTGGTCTGCGCCGGACTACTGCCGGCCATGTCAACGCCCCTCTCACAGAATGCACCCCAGCGCGCACAGCATTTGCAACATCTTCGGGCTCTACTGGAAAGTCCCGTAGTCCTGACCTCCTCCAGCCTGGTCGCTCAATTCCCGGAACTCAAGCAGCCGCGCACTTTGACCGTCGAGCAGCTAGGTCACACAACTCCCAAGCGCGATGCTACTGCTGTACAACCCCGACCGCGCCAGGGTGATGAGCCAGCAGTGTTGATGCTAACTTCTGGAAGCACCGGTCATGCTAAAGCTGTCCCCTTGACGATGCCCCAGTTGGTGGCTGCCCTGCAAAGCAAAAGCCGCGCAGAGGCATACGCCCACCGCTCGGTGCTCTTAAACTGGATCGGTCTGGATCATGTTGCCAACTTGATGGAGATTCACCTAAATGCTATTTTTACTGCGTCGGATCAGGTGCAGGTCCAGGCCCGAGATGTGATAGCAGACCCTTTGGTCTTGCTGCAACTTATCGAACGCCATCGCGTGTCTCACACATTCGCACCCAACTTCTTCCTGGCGCTGCTGCGACAGCGACTCGCGGGACTGGAAGAAAAGTACCACCGCCTGACAATTGACTTGTCCTCCCTGAAGGCTATAGTCACCGGAGGCGAGGCCAATGTTGTCGAATTGGCACAGACGGTAACTCGGCAGCTCGGGCGTTTAGGGGCAGTTGAGCCCGTCCTCTGCATTGCGTACGGCCTGACTGAAGCCTGCGCAGCGCTCACCTACGGCATGTTCGACCCCACATACGAAGAACGAGAGGAGCATGAGTTCGCCTCGGTGGGAAAGACGATTGATGACGCCAAGGTCCGCATTCAAACGGTTGCCGGCGTCACAGCTTCCCCGCTGGAGGTAGGTGAAGTTCAACTGTCCGGACCAGTGGTCTTTACTCAGTACTACCGCTGTCCTGAGGCGACGCAACATTCCTTCACCCCGGATGGCTGGTTTCGCACAGGCGACCGTGGGTATTTGGACGAGGGTCGGCTTAACCTCGCTGGGCGGCACAAAGAAATCCTAGTCATCAACGGTGTCAATTATTCGCCCCAGGAGATCGAGACCGTGCTCGAGAAAGCTCGCATCCCCGGTCTGTTGCCTGCACACTTCGCTGTCTTCGCTCATAGACCGCCTGGCAGTGACACCGAGGGCTACTGCGTGATTTACAGCCCCGAGAGCACGGTTGCAGATCCAGTCCAGCGCTCTCGCACCGCCGAGATGGTGGCCAGCATTGCCAGCTCGATCCCCAACGTTCGACCCAATTGGGTGATACCCGTCCCTGCTAAGCGCCTACAAAAGTCCTCCCTGGGTAAGCTGTCACGCACAAAACTCCAGACTGAGTTTCTTGCCGGGGTGTTCGATGCAAGCATGATCCGGTCGCGAGGACCCATCCAATCCGCCCAAGCCGCGACACGCATCGCGCCAGCCACCCCCACGGAAGAAAATATTGTGAATGTTCTAGAAGAGATGCTCGAGATCCCCACCGATGTGATCTCAGTCGATCAAACCATCTTCGAGCTCGGGGTCACGTCGATCACCCTGTTCCGCTTCGAGCAGTTGTTGCGCGACCGCTTAGGGTTCGCGGTCGGGGTATCCCTAATCACCTTCCTCAACAGCCCCGTCGTGCGCAACATCGCCTACACCATCGACCACGCCACCTCCACGCAGTACAATCCCGTTGTGCCCCTCCAGCCCCGCGGACACAAGCCTCCACTCTGGCTCGTCCATCCCGCCTCAGGCAACGTGCTCGCTTTCCTCCCGCTTGCGCGCACCATGACCGATCGACCGTTGTACGGCCTCACCGCGCGCGGGCTGGGCGACCACGGCCAACTCTTCGCCAGCATCGCTGACATGGCCGACACCTACTACCACCACGTCAAGCAGACGCAGCCCCACGGGCCCTACGCACTGACAGGCTACTCGCTCGGCACAACGGTCGCCTTCGAGCTGGCCAAGCGGCTCGAAGCTAACGGCGACACGGTGGCCTTCTGCGCCGCCCTCGACTCGCCGCCGCACATCATTCCCCTGGTGCAGCATCTCGACTGGACGCGCGCTGCTATCCGAGTCACCTACTTCCTGGGTCTGATTGCGCAGGACTCGATCCCAGCCTACGAACAGGAGATGGCCGCTCTGTCGTGTGAGGAGGTCATCACCCGACTGCTGGAGGTGGCCCGCCCCGAGGAGCGGGCGCGACTCAACCTCAGCGCCGAGCAGCTCACGGCCATCGTGTACGTGACGGATAATTTCGGGCGCATGGGCCGTAAGTACCATCCTTCCGGCACTGTGCGCAAGATGGACGTCTTCCACTGCATACCGCTGCATTCGGTGTGTCTGGACCAGGCAAAGTGGGTGGGCGAGTTCCTGGACAAGTGGCAGGATTTCTCGAGGGAGTCCGTCGAGTTCATCGAGTGTGAGGGCGATCATGCCGATATGCTGAATCCGCAGTTTGTCGAGGGGTTCGAGCAGCGGTTGAGTCGCGTGTTGGCGGCGCGGGGGCTGTGAGGGAGTGAGGCAGGGAATGATCTGGGGGCCTGGGGGTGTTATGAGTTATGAGTTTTCTCCTTGTTTACGGCCTTGATTTAAGTGTGGCTGCATTTACACGCAGCAGACTCCTAAACGATGGTTGTGAAGTGTGTACAGGAATATATACATGTGGCAGGCAGGGATTCATGCCAGGTCGTAAAGCCCACGAGGCTCTCTCAATTAGTACAGTATGCACACTACCTACACATACACCGACCATAGAGCTTCTCTATATATATCTTCCATAAAATAAATAATATGCCGTCATACTACTGCTGACAAGATGAAGCTGCATGAGATGCGTGGTGGAAAAACAAAAAGGTCGTGCCCGGGATCGAACCGGGATTACAGGAATCAGAATCCTGGGTGCTAACCATTACACTACACAACCTAGAGTTGTTTATACCCTTCAAACTAAAATATATAAAGCATAAAAATGGGATGAGTAAAAACTCCATGTCGATCATCTCAAAAACCTCAACAACACTCTGTAAATGCCGAGGTTGCAACTTGATTTCTACCAAAACCCGCATCGTCTTCGGCAGCAGACATTTATTCCCTATAACGCTTCTTTATCGACACCAACCTTTCCTCTTTCACTAACCCATTATGGCCGCTTCTATACGTTGCTGCTTCTATACACCGATCTTCTCCCGTCCAGGTCTTCCAGGTTTGTGTAAGCGGATGCAAAACCCCGAGCAGCCGGGCATACAGCAAGCTTTGGTAGAAACAAAGCAAGATATCCGTACAGAGCAGAGTACACGGCAGTTGGCGAACAAATCAGCATGCTACGGAGGACCCTCTACCCTCAGACAAACTATAGTTGGCAGCGATATGAGCTATTCGACTTGGCTTCTTCTTTGGTGCTAGCTAGGATCCTCTAGCCAGGGGTCGAGCACCAGCTGGAACGCAAAATGTAGGAAATAAACAACTTAACCTTCCGGTAGGTCCGGCTCACTCCCCACATCGGTATTTACTCCTGTCCGAACCCTACTGTCTGCCATGCTTGGCACCTAAAATAATCCACCAGCTGGATCTCCTGACGGCCAACGGGGTCTGCTTACACCAATGAGACTAAATTAAACTCGTGCCTTAAGGATTGGGTGCCCAGACTCAAGATGCGCGAGCAGGAAACGGTGGTTCGACTTTAAACCTAGCCGCCCTGATCGAGATTCGTATAGCTCACCAGTGTCAAGCTGCGACGTGCCAAGTCTTGGCAACGGTAATGGGTCTTGAACTGCCCAATGCGACACGGAAAAGTGGATGGATACGGCGACAAGGAGATACCGTCCCAGCAAGAGGCTCAAGAGTATAAAGTAGAGCTCGCGGTGCAGTTTTCCATGAGCTTCACCAGCACCAAACCATCTCAGTCTCAGTCTCTCTCTCTCTCTCTCTTTCGCGAATCATTATGCGCGCCACCATTTCCGCAATTCTGGCAGCTCTGCTGCTTGGCCAGGTCAACGCAGCCGGTGTCACCGGTACTGCCTTTGGCTTCGCCTCGGGCACCACTGGTGGAGGCAATGCCGCGGCTGCGACTCCTTCCAGCCTTGCGCAGTGAGTAATGTCCCCAGAGGACATCTGACTTGAGCCTCAGACTGACCATGGACTAGGCTCAAGGAATGGATCACCGACGATGTCGCGCGCACCATCATGATCGACCGTGAATGGGACTTCACCGGCACCGAGGGCACCACCACTGGACAATGCTGCAGCACCCGCACCACGACTTGTTCGGGTGGCACCTCCAAGGGTCAAGCCTGGATTCAGACCAGCTGCGACGACGGCATCTGGATTAGCTGCACCTACGACAATGCGGCCAAGTCACCCTTGGATGTGGGCAGCAACAAGAGCATCGTCGGCGTGGGAAGCAAGGGTGTGTTGAAGGGCAAGGGTCTGCGTGTCCGCGGGGGTAACTCCAACGTTATCGTCCAAAACATTCACATCACGGTCCGTCCGTACTAATCCGTCCCAGAACGAGGCGAATGCTAACACGGCCCAGGATCTGAACCCCCAGTACGTCTGGGGTGGTGACGCCATCACTCTCGACGGCGCCGACAAGGTCTGGATTGACCACAACAAGGTCAGTAACTGCATCGCCCGGGACTTAGAGTCCTGCTAACTCGACCCAGTTCTCCCTCATCGGCCGCCAGATGATTGTCAGTGGCTGGGGCAAGGCTGGCCACGTCACCATCTCGAACAACGAGTTCGACGGTGTGACCGAGTGGTCTGCCGGCTGCAACGGCAAGCACTACTGGACTCTGCTGCTCATCGGTTCGGAGGACTACTACACTTTCGCCGGAAACTGGCTGCACGACGTCTCCGGCCGCGCACCGCACATGGGCACCGACTACGATGCCTCCAAGATCTACTTCCACGGTGTCAACAACTACTTCCAGAACATTGGCGGCCACTCGTTCGACGTTGACACCAACACCTGGGTCTTGCTGGAGGGCAACTACTTCGATTCCGTGACCACCCCCATGACTCCTAATTCCTTGACCAAGGGCGGCCAGCTGTACACCACCTCCACCGTGTCCGCTGCCAGTGGTTGCACTTCGAAGCTGGGATACATCTGCGAGTGGAACCGCGAGAATGGCTCGGGCTCGTGGCCCGATCGCACCGATAGCACCGTGCTGAGCGCCTTCGCCAACTACAAGCAGTACCTCATCGGACACACTGGCGTGGCTGATGTGCCCGCCAACGTGACTGCCAACGCCGGTGTTGGCAAGTTGTAAGCAAGGAGGATAGTGGGAATTTCTTTAGCTACTACCAGTTATTAATTTCGCTCTTAATCTAGACTAATACAAACGTGCAGGTTCTTGCACCGTACACAATTGACAATAAGGCATCCTTGAGCAACTTTAGCCGCACCCCCTACCTTCTATAGACCACCGTATTCTTCTTCCTCCGCCAAGGGGTGTATTACTCCAAGTTAACTTTACATCTAACATTTTAAACTTATCTGGCAACTATGCAGAGGTCGATACATTCCCAGGCTAGAATAAAAATGTACTTAAACAACTTCCCACTAATGATTCATTTGCAGCTCCTGAACTACTCACATAAGACGCAAACCAAACGATTATACAATAACTTTACTATACAAAGATCTATACTATACACTTTATGACACTCGAAGGAAATCCCTAGTCCAGCTTGCTGAAACCCATCTCCTCCCACTTAGCCCTCACCCTCTCCTTGATCTCTTCTGGGTAAGAGTGCTCAAAGTCAGCAGCCTCCCAATCCGCGCCGATCGTGTATTCCGTGGGCATGAGGGCATCGGAAACGACCTTTCCACCCTGGACCGGCGAGCCGGTGCCGTGCGACATGTACGGGATCAAAGGGAAGCCACGCACATCCTCGAAGAAGGTCTCATCAGCGTTAGGGCGACAGCGAGTGGAGAAGGCCCACATGACGTCCTTGCCGTTGTAGACATCGATATCGTCGCCGACCAGCACCAAGCGGTGAATGGTGTAGCCGGCCTTGTGATTGAAGACGACATCACCGACCTTCTTCCGGAACTCCTTGGCGGTGGTCTTCATCTGACGCAGACGGGCGGTGTCGACCTTCAGCGCGACCCAGGTGACCTGCGACTCGAAGGGGGCGAAGGCGTCGGTGATGGGCAGGCCGGCGACCTGGCAGATCCTGCGGATCTCGGCGGCAGCGAGGGCGCCGATCATGGTGTGTGTCTCGTCGGTGAGACGGCCGCAGGCGGACATGGGCAGGATGGGGTTGGAGCGGTAGGTGATCTTGTTGACCGTGTAGACAGGCCACTGGTGGGTGTCACCGGGGAAGACGTAGCCGTGCATCTCGCCGAAGGGGCCCTCATCGGCACGCTCGGTGATGGACAGCGTGCCCTCCAGCACGATCTCCGCGTTGGCCGGCACGTATAGTCCGTTGGTGTCGCACTGCACCAGCTCCAGCGACCGCCCCGTCATGGCGCCCACATACCCGGCCTCGCTGACCCCATCCGGGATCGGCATCGACGACGCCATGATCGCCGCCGGCGGCACCCCGAACGCCAGCGCCCACGGCACGTCCTTGCCTTCCTTCTTCCACATTTGGTGGATCTGCCAGATGTGCTGCGGCTCGATCACCAGGCCCACTAAGTGATTGCGGTCGTGCACCATGGCGCGCGCGATCGACCAGTTGGTCCAGCTACCGTCGGGGGACTGTACGATGTGCATGCCGTACGTCTGGAGGTATTTGCCGCCGTCGGACTTGTGGATCATGGGCACCGGCAGCTTGGTGAGGTCGATCTCGTCGCCCTCGAGGGAATGCTCTTTCACTGGGCCGGTTGAGACGATGGTGGGCTCGATGGGCGTCATGGTGCTGGCGGAGAGCATCTTATCGAGGATCTCTTTCATGCTGGCGGTGGGGGGTAGGGCCAGGTGGCGGGCGAGACGGCCGTAGCGGTCCTTGTTGGACTTGCGGAGGGAGCCTGGGGCGCCGAGGATGCGGAACAGACCGTCCTTCGTCATGCCCTTGAGGTTGTTGAACAGGGGAGCCTTGTCGTCGGTTTCGCAGACGAGACGCGTGATGGCGGCGGCTTCGAGGTGAGGGTCAACCTCGGTGTTGATCTCAACCAAGTCGCCATCGGCCTTGAGGGCCTCGACGAAGGCGCGGAACGAGTGGTCGACAGACGATTGCGATGTCATGGCTGTATGCTGTTCACGGTGGTAGTGATTATTGTGATGCGAGAAGCCATGGTCCGTGAGGTGGCTCGCGCCTTATATATGCGGCCAGGATGAAAGCTTGGTTCCAGTACCTGGGGTCCTGAATGCCGACAACGTGCGATTCCAGAAGCCTCATTGCCCCATAGGTGAAACAAGCTGGCGGGTCGAAATGCGGACGCTCGGAGGTTCGGACTGAGTCCATGGTATAGTGTCAATGGGAGTATGAACAGCAGGAGTTGATGCCCAGCCCTTGGTTGTGCTTATATCCGTCTGCAATGGCTGGGATAAGCACACACAGGCTCATGGACAAGGAATTCTCCCTGTATGCGTACAGACCACGAGCTAGACTACTATACTTCCTCATACAAGCATTCCCCCCTGCCTGGAGCATGTTCAGCCATGACGTTGGATCCGCCCTGCTGGGATTTCTGTTTGTTGGCAACCCGTGTTTCGGCTTCTTCGCTCAACGGCTATCTCGGCCGGACTACGGTGATTCGGACTCTCGGAGCCTCGGTCTACTTCCCTCATCTTCTGCAACTTTGAGCATTCCATTGGTCATGGGTGCAGATTTCTTGTATGTATGCCCAAGGAATGATAGGTAACAGGTTCTTTGGATTTCTTGGGAATCAACTGACAAAGCGTCCGTCACATTGCGACTCATAATCTATATCAAGTCTTCCGGGATCTCCGCAACATGAATTTCTCTCCACGAATCGGTCGTAGATTTATATATTCAAGCTCTCTAGATTATATACACAGAGCTGATGCACAATGTTGCTTCGTCCGGCAGAGCCAATCCATCCTACGACAGATACCACTCTACCAATCAAAAAGTAGCTGAGGGTTCGCCACCATCAGCAAATACCATTCTTCATCTGACAACCACGATCGCAGGCTCTTCAACCATGCCAGATCATCTACCTGAAGATACGGCGTCGGCTTGAGGGCTTCCTCGGGAGTGCGAACTCTCATATGCGGCGTGTGGGGCCTAACACTCATTAGCTGCATCCCTGCAGCCTTCGATCAAGGATATCAACACAATTCACATACCAATCGCTTCCCCAGATCAATTGCCGCCGATTCGCATCGAAGTAGGCGCGCACCAATGGCTTCAAGTCCTCATACGCACCGCCCTGCGTACTGACCCGGTACGGGGCGCTGAGTTTCACAAACAGCCGGCCCCTCCGGACCAAGTCCATGATGGCCTGGAACCCCGGCTGACGAGTGATATCGCCCTTATATTCCGCAGGCAGCATACTGGCACACTTCAGCAGACCGAAATGGTCGGTCACGAGACGGGTCCGCTCGGGGACGTGTCCCTCTTCGATAAAGGTGCTCAATTCCGGCCAGAACTCGGTGTGTGGGTGCGTGAATGCCATGATCCAGTCCGGCTGGTGCTCGTGTAGCACCCGGGCATGATCCCGCAAAACCACCTTCTGTAGTTCAATGGAATGAAAGGCGTTGAACTTGTATAGGTTGACCCGGATGCCGCGGACGCCGGCATCGTGCATGCGTTGTAGCTCTGTAGCGGATATCGTGCTGGGGTCAATCACTGCGATCGCTTTTGTTCGGCTTGTCTTGTTGAGTTTGGCTGTGAAGCCCTCCAAGGAGGAACAGTCATCGCCGTAGGAGAGACCGTGGGTGAGAACCGAGTTCGTGATGCCTAGTCGGCGCTTGAACTCGAGGAAATCGGCGATGGTGGCGGGGTAGGGGGTTAGGTGACGGTTGCCAGCATAGGGATATTGCGATGCTAAGAAGATGAGTTGGTGCCTTGTCCTGGTTGCATCCAGAGGAAGTGCGATCAGTGCTCACGGTCGAAGATGTGGTAGTGTGTGTCCCAGCAGCCTTGCGGGAAAAGCTCCGGAATCGTCATATTTGATGCGGGAATGCTAGTCAGAGGCGATGCAAACCAGGGATTTACGAAGGAAGTGATCTCTCTATCTGCTCAAAGCTGCAGGATACAGCTGGTGGCTCGATTGCTATTATCTGTTGCCATTGGGGAATATTGCTTCCAGGCGGAGTGCTCCAGCCCCGGGTCGCTCCGAGTCGGGATCATCATATCGGCCAGACGAGGACGAATGCGCGACCGAGAGTAAGTATATACAAACAATTGCCTAGAATGCCAGAGTTGAGAAGTAACGATAAGCCAGTCAGCCAAGATGACACCTCGAAAGCAAGTGAGTCCGTGGCAATCAATTGTGGCCGGCGGCGCGGCAGGGGGGTTTGCAAGCCTTCTCACGGTATACCCTACAAGCATGGGACCTTCTACCACAACTACCTACCTAACGAATGACCTGTAAAGTATCCGACAGAGTATTTGAACACCAGCCAACAGCTGCAAAGCATAAAGATCAACCCCGTTTAACTTCTAGTCAGCACCATTCGACAACATGGCATCGCCATCTGTATACCGGCAGCATGGCATTCTGTGTGTCCAACGCCTCAAAATCCGAAATTCGTTTCTTCGCCTTTGACACTGCTCGCAAGTACATGCCCACCGATGCCAAAGGCAAGGTCTCATCTATTGGAAATCTCTTCGTAGGAATGATGGCCGGGGTCGCTGGAAGTCTGGCGGTCGCCACGCCGGGCGAGACGCTCAGCGCCAAGATTATCGACGATCGCGCTGGAGCCAAACAATACCGATCGGCCACCCACGCAACCAGAAGGATCACGGCAAGTGAAAGCATCTCCGGGCTCTATCGCGGGGTGGTTCCAGTCACGATGAAGCAATCTGCGAATGCGATGGTGCGATTCACGAGCTTGGCAGCTATCTTCTTCGATCAGCACTGCCGGTGCAGGAGCTTTAGCAGGGGTGGTGACTGTCTACATGAAAATGCCATTTGATGCGATCAAGACGCGTCTGCAGGCTATCGTGAGCTTGGAGCGTTACAAAGGCACGATGGACTGCGTGCAGTCAGTGATCCGCAATGAGGGAATCGCCTCGTTGTGGCGAGGATCCACGCCTCGATTGGCTCGATTGAGTGTAAGTCTTACTCCGTTTTCCTATTCATGAGCTGTTGTGTATACGCTGTTGGCGTGAACAGATCTCTGGTGCCGTGAGTTTCACGGTTTATGCAAAAGTCATCGAGCAAACGATCATGTGAAAAAATATGGTAGTAAATCCGCAGGGAGCCCGATAGTTTAGAACTCATGGAACAAAGCTAACAAGAAAAACTCGATATCTGTAATATCCGATGGTAGATGGGAATACTTGGCCCGGAGTACTCCGACACTGCTCGGATAATATGTGTGCAACCATACCCAGAACCCTTATCTTCTACTCGAGAACCATCGAACAATCCTTTGTACCACCTAATCACTTAGGCGAAGGTAGGATAAGAAACTGATTATATTGTCTGGGAGTTTGAGTGAAGGACGAGGAAACACAGTGCTCGCGGCAAACGCGTGCCTGATGTAACTTTCGGAGAGTTCAGAAGAAAGTAGGACGCTCAAGCTGTAATACAACACATGCTCGGAGAGCTTGATCTCCACACTCACTAGGGGAGACTGAGATAAACTCAACTGTCTTATCGGTCAATACGCAAGGCACGGTCACTTCCATCTACGTCGGCTGTGTGAAGCATGACGAAGAATTGCATGTCTGTGGTGACTGCTACACCTTACGTGCCGTCAAGTTCAATTGCATTGTGCCACTCCCACTTTCTTTAATGTGTTTAACGGGCTATTCCATGGCCATGAGTATACTCCTGGTGAGTCTTACGCGGCATATCGACCCAGCCATCTGCCTCAAGCAAGTCAGAGATAATTAGCGGCGCCGAGCAGGAGGCAAAGACCCGTCAAATATTAACCATACTACATTAACACAGTGGATGAAAGAGTTCTATCTCAGGAGTCTCATTCGCTTGCATCATTTGGTTAGCCCCGACAGTAATAGGCCACCCAATGGGCCCATCCGATATACGTCAGTTGTAAATGACGAACCGCCAGTTAGCTTACCGAGCCCTCGAACTGGGATGGTTCTAATAAATTCACGTTCTACCCCACGAATCGATTAGTTATCTGGAGACCCCACAGTGAGATTTGTTGCAGCAAGTCAACGAATACCTACTGACAGATTAGCAGGCTTGAATTGCCCTTTCCAGTCGTTCCCATGCGTACCTACAACACCATCGGAATGCTCCAGGACACGAATCCCCCGCTCGGAAACCTCCCGTTTCCCCGGTTTTCCACGCGAAGTACTCTGGGGCTCTTGGGGAATCTCAAATTGAAAAGTATGAATGCCAAGCCTGGCATTCGGGGTAGTCTTCGCGGCCTTCACTTATAGAGTGACAGTACGGATTGATGTCTTCAATTCGACATTCCAGCTCTCGAACTCCTCTTCCTTCATCATCTGCAGCATCTGAGTGCTTGTATATCCTTTTCAATCTACATTTTCTTACGCTTCACTTTTATGGGGACTACCGGTGGAGGCATCTCCAAAGATGCCTTAAAGCAAGTCCCTAAACAAGCCAGAGCAGCATTGATCTGGCTGGTCCTGTCTATATCTCCGAAATTGCCCCTACGGAGCTGCGCGGTATGATGTCGACGTTCGACAATGCTGGGATCATGTCCGGCGTGGCCGGAGCGTATTGAATAAATTGTGCAGTGACGATGGTGATTCCAACCTCGTTCGAGTGGCAGTGGAGGATTCTTATGATTTTGCAATTGCTGCCCTCGACTATCTTGCTGATCGGCTATTCATTTTGCCCCGAAAGCCCTCGGTTCTTCATGATGCGAGGACAGGTCACAGCTGCCCGAGAGAGTCTGATCAGCCCCCGGGGAGGGCTGGACGAAAGTGATCCCTACTTCGCGCAGGAGTACACCGAGCTGCGAAACAAAGTCGACCAGAGCGACGACACGGCTACACACGGCCCATGGCAAGCGATGAAGCGGTCATGCCGCAGATTAGCAGAGGATAAGACCTTTCGCAGGGTCCTCATTCTAGTCATGTTCGTTCAGATATTCTTCATCATGTCCGGAGGCAACTCGATTACCTACTACGCGCCCACCGTCCTCGAATCAATTGGGTTCAACGCTGAGAAAGTCCTCCTCTTCACCGCGGTCTACGGAACGATAAATATCCACTCCGTGTTCCTATATGCCTTCTTACTCACCGAGCGGTTCGGACGCCGCCCGCTTTTGCTGACCGGCTCGTCCACCAACTTGATCTGCCTTAACCTACATCGCCGCCTACCTGGGCAAAGCAGATCTATCCGACTCCAGCCACCCCACCGCGGCGGCGATAATCGCGGTAATCGCCCTATATGTCTTTGCAATCGGCTACGGATTCGGGTGGGCTCCCGCGTTCTCTCTGACAGCGTCCGAGATCTGTTCTACCAGCATGCGCGACACGGCAATCACGATCACCTTTACCTACCAGAACCTACTCTACTTCGGCATTACGCGAGGCTTCCCGAATACGACTGTGGCCATGCATTCCCGGGGCCCGTTCGCTCTCTTCACCGCGTGCACCTTCTGGGGTACCACCTGGGTGTTCTTCGCGGTTCCGGAGTGCAAAGGCAGGAGGAGTATGGAAAGAACTGATGCCCTGATGGCTCTTCCGTGGTATAAGGCGGGCTTTGACCCTGTACCGCCTCCGCAGCCTTTGTCTGACGCAAGTACCGAGGATGTGGAGAAGAACGCTTACTCGGAGCATGAGGAGACGGTGGAGGTGGGACGGCTTTAGAGGGATGTATAGCCATCACACAAATGGTAGCTTCAAGGAAGACTTTACGCTGTACAAAGGTTGACATGAGGAAGTAGCCTCCCTAGCGAGGATGTGCTTCATAGCTTAACATCATTTGAACTTGCAACATGTCATTACATTTTCCTCCACGCCACATCCATCCCTTGGAAAGAAGAGTAGAGTTCCACGCCTTACAGCCCAGCCCATTACGCCACGCTAGCCACATGGTCCAAGCCAGCCTTGCGTCCATATCTGGCAGCCAGAAACGACTTGTGCACTTCCGAGAGACTCATCTTCGGGCCCATTAATCGATTGACGGCCAGCTGCGCGGACCGCACACTATACTCCGTCATGAGAGCAGTATCCTCCGGGATCTCGACGTACTGACCGACCAGTGCGATGTTCGTTGTGTTTGGTGGGATAATCTCCGGTCGATCGCCGTGATCCCGCTTCAACAGGGGCGACAGCCCCAGGGGGAGGATGTAGGGAACGGTCCTGGCCCTGAGTATAATCCCCTCCGGCGGGAGATTGAGACAGCCGAGAACCTCGGCTAAGATCTCGTCGCCACTGCAGGCGTGCATAGGCTTCCTGGTGTGTTCGCCGAGTTGGTCGGGCGTGAAGCAGTACCCGAGGATGGACCGTGTTCCATTCGGTCGCTCGACGGATTCCTCCTGCTGTGGGAACACGAGCTTCAGGGACCAGCTGCTATGCGTGATGGTTTCGTCCTCGTGATAGAGGATGGGTTTGGTCTCCAGCAAATGTGTGTAGATCTCGTCGAAGTCGGAGCGCGGGAGATGAATGACGAACATCCCCAAGCGAGAGTCGGGCAGATGGGTGCAGAAGGACGATGGGTTCCCGAACTTGGGCGACTTTTTGGCCAGCGCATACCACAAGGACCAGCTGGGATCGAGTAACATCTCTGCCTTGGCGGAGACTGTCGGCGGGGCAGTTGCGGTGGTTCCTGTCGACAGGCCTGATGCTGAGAAGCCGATAGTAATGATCAGGATGTCCTCCGGCCCGACTGGCAAGAGGACGGGGCCACGCTTGTTGAGGCCTTGTATGCTGCATGCGGTTTTGGGCTCGCTGTCCGGATGGAACATGATGTCTGTCACTAAAAGGTTTTGAAACCGGACCCCTTGGTCCCTGAGGTGACATCTGAGTGGCTGGAGGGCCGTCGTTCTCAGGGTGAATTGCAGCGGATTGGCAATCTGGATACTGTGGACAATGACTTCGTCCAGGTACTTGCAGATGTATCGGTGGAATTCCACGGCTGAGTGTAGCGGTCGAAGGCCGAAACTAGATTGTGCCCTGTGTTGATTATCTGTGCTCCATGACCAGGATGCATCCAGGTCAAGGCTGTATTTACCTTGAAGAGAACAGCCTCCAGAAGTATGAGTTGAAGAACGAACTGTCGAATACAACCTGAATGCTCATCCCTTCAAACCGGTCTTCGTCTTGCAGGATGAAGTTGAGGATATCTTTGCGGTTCTTTCGCCAGACCTGTTTCTGACCGAGAGTGGTGATGAAATTGACCGGTTCCGACATAAACGCCTCGGTGCGATGTCTATCGCATACTGCAGAGCAATCGTCCTGCTGGAGTGATGCCTCTACGGCATGAGGTTGAGGTAGTTGAGGGAGTTGAGGTTGATCCAGCTCCTCAGCCGACTTGTGCAGCTTGTAGAGGTCTTGACAATGCGATTCGACAGTGACCACACGCTTTCGTGAAGACTTGTTGCCGACTCTGCCACGCGACTTTGATTGGCGTCTTGCGTCCAAGATGCGAATCTGTGCGCCAGGCACCTTTGCTTCGTTGATCAGACAGGAGGCAGCAACTAAAGACTCGATCCCACCCCCTATCAGCCACACAGTGTGGGGTTGATGCTTATGAATAGCCATTATGTTTGTGAGAAAGCTAGAGTCTGGAAATGATCTCCCTCCCGGAAATGGAGCCTACGGATTGGCAGGGGCTGCTTTATACAATTTTGGATTGGGCAGGATCGCCATGCTCGTGACTCGATCATCATGGGAAGTGAGTCAGCCTTGTCAGGTCACTCGTGAAGACTGGGGGGTTGCCCTGGATCGAACAAGGCGTGGGCCGTAGCGGACACTGCTTCCACTATGGCCAGGCATCGGCTAGAACTGCCTGGACCTTAGCTTTAGCCTCATCTTGAGAGGTGATCCACAAATTATCGTGATGGGAACGGATATTCTGAAATATGAAGTGAATGAAAGCGACATTCGGCCGGGTGAGGGCTCGTAGTGGGGGGTCGCGTGATGTTGAATTGTATGGCTCCCGCAAACCTAAACCCCAACCCTCCCCCGCGTATCCCAGCATCGATCCATGGCTGCACTGCCCTTTGATCTTTTAGGCTGACTTTGCCGACCTATAATCACCCTTTAAGCGTCTCATATCACATGAAAATGATGTAGCCGGGCTGACAATGTTTTCCAATATCATCTCTTCACATCTTTGGACTCTTCTTACTATATCTGTCACTGTGGCTCGTGAAGAAGACAATGAATAATGTCCGATCTTTGTCGCAGCCTCTACCTTATACGATCACGATGAAAAACTGTGCACTCCAGATAAAAAGATTGTGCAAACGTCCCCATATATCTCTCCTCGAACCATGTCACCCAAGCTCGTACATCTCCCGGCCAGCAGCACTCAGGTTCCAGGTGTTGCGACCATGATCAACGCTGAGTATGGGACCCTTCCGCCCAAGCAGGACGAGCTCCCTCTTTACCTCTGCATCCTGTACATCATAGTCCTCTCAATCACAGTGTTCATGTTGTAAGTTAAAGCGTACCCACCGAGCACTTTCCATCAGTGGGGCTAATCTTCTATTAGAGTCATCGTTAAAAGACGCTACGAGGCAGACTTCATACCACGGTCTAGCAGCTTTGAGCCCATATTGCCATACACGCAGCAGAATTTTGAAGAGCGACGACTGCTCTTCTTTCAGCAGTCAGTCTTCAAAAGTCCATACGGAGACTGGTGGGCTTCCGTCCAGACTGAGCGCAGCAAGCTTATGGGTTACAACAACCTCGCGATCTGGTAAGCGGCCCACTTCCTCACTGTCATATCAACGTGAACTAAGTAACATTGCATAATAGTCCCATATGCCTAGAGGTTGTGACCAGAACGCAACAGATATATCTACTCTCATGTCAGCATGTATTCCACGACCGATGTTTGGAAGGATGGGTCATGAGCGGCAGGAATACTTGTCCCTTATGCCTTGAAATAATGGCAAGGCCTGGCAGAAAAGAGTCAGTGTAGATAGGGCATAGACTAAGATAGTCCATCGTCCCCGAGAGATCACATATTAAACATCTGCATCGGTATCTTGTACATAATACTCTACTGTATGACGAAACATTTTGTGACTAAAGGATATCGCCACTCGTAGTCGGCGCACTATCTTCCCATCTGCCAAACACACCATCAGGATCATATTGTCGCTTCAACTTCTGCAGCCGTAGCCATTCATCACCTAAGAGCGCATTAGCTTTGACGTGTCGCTTTCGAGAACAGAGACAGAATCCTTGTTTAAGTGGGCTATGATGCAATGTTCGTGAGAAGCAGGCTTTCGTGTAACACATACCATCATGTAGGTCGACTTCTTGACCTTTTGCCTGGCCACCAAGCCCTTCATGGCTTTTGTTTGGATACGCTCTAAAGACCAACTCGGTGGCGAGACCAAAGACGTGTCCAGCTTCGCGCACAGCCCAAAACAGATCGGGACTCTCCTCATCAGACGCCGTGACAATCCTTCCATCCGCCAAGACCAGTTTGACACTGACTAGATTGTCAATGACCGAGCCATGACGACCATCCATCCAGCCATATCCTTCCCTGGAGGCAATGTCTGCATCTCCAGACGTATGCATTGCGTGTTCAACAATGCTAAGACCAGAAGCAGCCGCAACCCGATCGATATCTTCCCACCTCGCGCCGCCCTGGGCTGCCAGTGTCCGCGAAGCCGGATCAACCACCACCTTAGCCATTCGTGCTAGACTGATGATAATTCCTCCCTCGGTAGATGACGTTTCACCGGTCGCATATGCCCCGCCATGCACCACGACGGGAATGCGATGCTTGGTAGCATAACTAATGACCCTCGATACCTCGTCGGTGGTGGTGGCCTGGACGATGGCACCCTAAACCCGTCATTCACGATAGAGAAAGCAAGAGCTTCAGCGGGTACGTACGGCCTCTTTCGAGGATAACTCGAGACAGTGGACACGCTCCGCGAACGTCTCGTCCGATGGAGTGATCACCTCTGCCCTTGTCTCGTGCAGCTCTGTTTTGAGCTCGAGCGCGCGTCGGCACGATAGGCGTGGCATTTTGAGTGATGTTGTGTACCAGATCCCCGGCATGACAAGTGCGAGTTTCTGAAATAGAGTCAATCAGACACGCTTGCGATATGAGCCTCCCAGTTACCTCAGATGTGAAGCCTCGGTTTTGCGTGGGGTAGTGAGCTACGGTCGCGAACGAAAGCTGGTTCTGAAGTGGCGAAGTTCCCCTTAAATGACACCCTCGGACAGAACCTTGCGAGCATCACATTACGAGAACCTCAAAGTCTAACCCCCGCTGTTCCAGCTTTATGTCGTCTAGGCACTCCGTCCTTTCGCCGAGTTCGGATCCGAGTCTCGAACCGGGACAGAGAATGGTCTATTTCTCGTATTAGCCAAGAAGCTTAGGTCTGGTTGACCAACAATGTATCGTTCGAACTGTCCGTAAAATTGGAGCTCGATGAGATCAGCTATCAGGTTCCTTGATTGAGAAAACAGCTACGCATTATGCGCAAGTAGTCGCAGGTGAGCTGCCAGACAAAGCCGTCGATGCAGCCAAGCAGGCGTATTCCTTACACGACTGATGCTTTTCCTCCACGAAGACCACCCCATGGTGTCTAATACGTTCCATCATTGGTTATCATTGTCTAGCGCCTATTTTTAGCTGCAAGTGCTGCAAGTAAAGGCCCTCCAGAGGAGCACTTGAGTGCCTGGGAGCTGACCAATGGGGTCATCCAGCACCTTGGTCAAGAGTTCTGTCGAGCCATCCAGCGCGGTGCGCACGCAGGTGCCCCGAATCCCGACAATTTTGAGAACGTCTAAGAGAGACTTGGCGGGAAAGAGGGTTATCATGGTGGAATTGAAGATGGAGCCAGTGATAGAGCCATAACTGATATTTCTTGTGTATGCGTAATATTCTAGATTGAATATGTAAAAACAAGACTATACCATAAATCTCTGCTCTGATTGGCTGGCTGGGTGGACGGGCCAAGACCTTCCAATCACCGGCGGAAATCCCCCCGCGCTGCACTTCCGCCGCCCGGTCATCGCCTCTCATTTCCCTCTTCGCCTCAATTCCTGACTTACAAGGCAAAATAAACCTTAATGTGATGGACCCTTCCGCCTCAGAAGAAGCTCTCTCGATTTCACGCGACTCGCACTTATTTACATTCCTCCCTGTCAACCAACCCAGCTCACCGGACAGCCAACGAGCGAAACGCGGCTATCAATCGTGTGACAATTGCCGCGACAAGAAAAAACGATGTGTGACTGCAGTTGGTGAGACCAAGTGCCAACGATGCCAAGAAGAGTCAAAGCCCTGCTTGGTTACCCATCAGAGAAAGAAGAGGAAATTGCGACCGTCAGTAGGCAGAGAAACACGGTTGGAGTTAGTTGACCGACCTCCTTCCCTCGACTCTGCGAAGGTATCATCTCCCGGTCGCCGTGAAACAACCAAGGAGCGAATCTTGTCGACGAAGCTTCTCGATGCAAGTGATGCTCTTGATCTGATTGCAGTCGCGAGCTCGAAAGAGAACATTGATGAAGAGCGTCTGCAACGTGAGCGGCATGATCATCGCGGTCTAGATCTGCTAGCTCGTCCCTCAAATGGAGGGCTTTGGACAGGATGGAAACAATTCTTCCTCGTCAAGAGAGGAATCGTACGCGCCGAAGAAGTGGTCGAGTATCTGAACTTCTACTTCTCCATGCTATGGCACCTGTTCCCAATAATCCCACAGCATTATGCAGCTCCCGATCGCTATGTTGCGCTAGCCACAGCGGAGCCTGTTCTTACCATTGCTCTGGTCGCACTCGCATCGAGGTATCATACGCTCAGTGAATACAATGGCATAGCCCGTTCCGAACGAGTCCATTGGCGCACCTGGACGTGGGTGCAGAAGCTCTTCCAGTCAGCCATGTGGGGATCATCCGGGATGCGCAGCTACGGTGCAATTGCCGCCTTGCTGTTGTTTGTGGAGTGGCATCCAAGAGCAATCAACTCGCCTGAGGATTTCATCAATGGCGGCGGTGCGCCGGAGCTCTTTGAGCCACATTATCAACATGACGACGATCCTCAGACCCGACCAAGCATACCAGAACAACTTAATCTGATAGCCACGGCGTACAAGAGCAACAAGATGTCTTGGTGAGTGATATCGCGCTCGAAGCTGGTCAGTACTGACAGAATTAGGATGCTGATCTCCACTGCGATCGCTCTGGCGCAAGAGCTCGGGTGTTTTGACGAAGAGACAACCAGCCGGACTGGGGTGACTCCTCTAAGTCACGAATGGGCTCGAATTCTGCGTACGTTTCTTCCACTCATTGATGAAGGGTTAGCCTTGCGACTACGGCTCGAACCGCAGCTGGCACTTGGACCCGGGCCAGACTTGACGGGCCATATGCCGTCTAGTATGGCAGGGGACGCGCACTGGGAAAGTGCAGTGGAGCTCGGAGCACATATTCGCAAAGCACGAGAACTCCTTCGAAGCTGGAGAAAGAGCGAAGCTGGGTCAGGGGCTGGTGTACCTCTCGGCGCCTGGGAGGGTTTCCGGCGAGGTCTCGACCGCTGGAAAAGACAGAGAGACTTCAGCAACGATGCTCAGAGCCTGTCACTACGGAATTCTTGTCTGGATATTGAATACTACTACGTCAGGCTCTGTGGCTTGAGCCCCGCGGCCCACATCGTCGAGCGGCAGGCCGGCAACGAGACATCGCTTTCGGACTTCGCAGACGATGCCACCACAGCATCCATTGACATGCTCCACTGCGTGCTGCATAGACTGGTGCTTACAAGGGCTTTCAGGTACGTAGGGGTCAAGATCTGGCTTCACATCGTTTGTGCCGCATTATATCTCTTAAAGGTATGTTCTTCGCTGCAGTGGAAGACATAGCTAACTGGTCTAGATTACCTTGAAAACGGAGGAAAGACTGGACCACTCGAGTCCGCGCATTCGGCTCATCCTGAATGTTGTCGATTCAATCAAAGAAAACTCTCCAGACGATGTTCACTTGGCACAGCGATACGCGGCGCTACTTGAGATTCTGGTCCACGCCGCCCTGGAGTCTTGTGCGAGGGGGCCAAGCGTCCGACCGGGGGAAGGCAGCCCTGCTATTCCCCGCTATGGTCTTATCAACTTCGAAGACAGAATTGATCCCGCAGGGGATTGGATTTATGGATCAGAGTTCTGGGACTCGTTACCGGATATGGTGGGGTTGGACAGCGTGTCCAATTTGTTTATACCGGCAGAATAGGAGCAGATACACTTGTCTTCATATCGTGTATTTACACCCTCGCAGACATAACTCCAATAAGTGTGGACATGACACTATCACCTGCCGCCTTCAGCCCCCCTTAATATGCCATAAACTGTTGGGTCACGCACAGCCACGGCGTGACTGCAAGTGAGAGTGATCCTCAGGGTATTTTGCTTATTCCCCGCAATTATCCCAGATATCCCCACATGCTATACCAGGATCTTATTACCGTCGGCTGTAAAGTGCGGGGAAGTGGGGATACGTCCTCTTGAATGGCTTCAACATGTCGGGGCTCGTCGGCGCCATCGGAAATACGAATCGGGCAATCCCCGCCACCAAGAAGAACCAGTGCTCAGAGCGGATAAAGTGGAAATGGTAAGATTCCTTAGCGTCACAGCCCCCGGCCATTTCCAGATTCACGCCCTGTGACATCTCTACTACATGGATCATAGACGCCTCATTAATGAGGGTGTTCGGAGACCCTAGGCCAGATGTGAGCGGACAAATTCCGCTCGGTGGACTAGCCTGTGAAGTACTAAATACACTTTTCTTCTCCCTGGTGAGTCTGCCCATTTTCGTCTTCATATGATTTGATTCACATTGTACGCGATCGTGAAGAGCAACGAACATACCCTGATTCCAATGACTAACCCAGAGACGATGCCCTTGGCGGCCTACCTCTGGCGCAGGTATAGTCGCCGAACGCCCTGTCGAACTCGAAGCTAATGCATATGAAGAATTCGGCAGCTAGGCGTCCAAAGTATTATGGGTGTACCTGGAGACATGAACCTCGAGCTACTGGATTACCTCGACGATGACGGACTCGAATGGGGTATGTTATTCCGGAATCCTCACAACTATGCACACCCAGAAACTTATGGGCGGAACAGTTGGCAACGCCAACGAGCTCAACGCCGCCTATGCAGCAGATGGCTACTCTCGGATGAAGGGTTGTCCCGGGGTTTGTGAGTTTCACACTTAGGGCCGACTACGACGTTGGCTTCACTTCTGATTGTACGGACTCAGTGGTAACCACCATGGGCGTTGGCGAACTAAGCGCGCTGAACGGCGTTGCGGGCGCATACACGGAGCACGTCAAGCTGATTCATATTGTTGGCACGACGGGGACAGGGGCGCAGAAGGCGCGCGCGATGATTCATCATTGTTTGGGACCGAATCCAGACCATCGGGTTTGTGGCTTTCTATGAAAAATGTTGGAAGTTGGAATACTGACTTGTCGCAGATCTACTCGAAGATCTCGGGGCCTGTGCGTATGGCACATTGTTGGCTGGATAATGCGAAGACGGCGACGGCGGAGATTGATGTGTGCTTATCCCCATTAAGCATAGGGTGCTAGAGCTGACTTGAGCAGAGAGTCATACGTGTATGCTACCTAAAGAGTCTCCCGGTCTACATCTTCGTGCCGTTGGACTTTACCCATGTCCCTGTTTCTGCGTCTTCGCTTGACCAGCCCCTTACCATTACCCCACAAACGGATGACGATGCGTGTGCCTCTGCTGTGAACGCGGTCATTGACCGGATCGCGATGTCCAAAACGCCAAGCATTGTCGTCGACACCTTGGTTCACAGATTCGGGGCTACGAGTATCTTGAATCGCCTACTAGATCAGCTCGATATCCCCACTTTTACCACGCCGATGGGGAAGTCGATCGTGCCTGAGGACAGGTCCTACTTCCATGGCGTCTATAATGGACAGGTCTCTTTGCCAGGTATTGCCAGCGCCATCGAGGTGAGCAGCGATCTGGTCATCGATATCGGCTTTCTCCATTCCGATTCGAACACTGGCGGCCATTCGAGGCGTCCTCTGAATAAGGAACGGTCCAGTCTCGTCGCGCCAAACTATGTGCAGATCGGGCATGCTCGGTACGAACATGTTTCCCTAACTGAGTGTGCGGTTCCCCCGTAATGTCTTCTAACCGTTGCTAACATCTTCACCACAGTCCTTACCCGCGTCTTCCAGGCGCTCACTACAGATCCCATCCCTCGCAACTTGCTCCGGAGGCGAATCATACATCTGCCCACACCATCGGTACCGAGTGACGAAGACGCAAAACACATAACACAATCCTGGATCTGGAAGCGCATTGGCGCAATGGCGCAGCCAGGCGATATCATCATCGCCGAGTCTGGGACAGCGCAATTTGGATTCTCGGACGCAGTCTTTGGCCCAGGTGTACAGTACATCACACAGATCTACTTTGGGAGCATTGGGTACTCGGTTCCTGCATGCTTGGGAGCGGCCATTGCGCAGCGGGAGATGGGGTCTGAAGCTGCAAGCCAACGACCGGGCCGTACGATTTTGGTGGTGGGGGATGGGAGCTTGCAGCTGACAGTGCAGGAGATTGGGACGATGATCAAGCTGGGACTCAAGAACATTATCATGTATGAACCCAGTCTTGAGTTCAGAAAAGGTGCAGTGCTTAATCGTTTATGCAGAGTGGTTATCAACAACAATGGATACACCATCGAACGAGCAATTCATGGGCCAGAGCGAGGTATAGTACAGTTCGGTTTCTTCTTCTTTCGTGACACTAATGCAGCTCTCTGAAGGCTACAATGACATCGCAACCTGGAACCATCAGCTCCTTCTCAACACATTTGGTGACAAGTACGGTAAGGTGAATAGTCGTGTCGTCAACACTAAAGAATCCTTCGAAAAGGTTATCTCATCCCCAGAGTATTTAGATCTTGCCTCCATTCAATTGCTCGAGGTCATAATGGACAAGATGGATGTGCCGTGGCGTTTGAAGGCGCAAATTGATCTGATCAACCAACACAATACGCGGATCACAAAACAGGACAATGGAGTGTAGCTAGAGTTATCATTCTATGCTACTGTGATCGGAATCTACTGGATTTGCCAGCGCATACTTACCGGACCTGTATACTGCATTGAAGGAGTGGAAAGCTAAGACGTTACCGACAACAGCCGTCACATGAATAGGCTGTGAGATTTATTGAGCTTATTGAGATTGACCCGGAGGAGAATAGAATGGTGTAGACTGGTGCTCATCATAATATTAAACAGAGGACTTCGATGAAGGCGGTAAGCATGAGGACAGAAATGGCTTGTGTTTCCAGGCTGACGCCCCTTTCAGCTTGGCCAGCAGCATCAGTCTATATCCGCTGGTATTTGTCAAGGGAAAGGGATGATAAAACAGGATTCGGATTTCTTTATATAGTTGCCCGCAGCCAAAATACTTCCAACAGAACTATATCTATAAAAACCTCACCAAGCAGAGTACAAATGAAGTGAATTCCTTACATCTACCAAATAGCATCGTTTCTCCCGCTCCTCACAGTGGATACCTAAACGACTTATTCTCGCCATCCGTCATGTCTTGCAAGCCATATTCAGCGTTAGGCAAACCATATTGACCATTCCGCCGCTGGTTCTGCATCATCATCAGCGCCCTAAATACCTGCGCGAGGACGAGGCAAGCCGCGAAGCAAATAACCGTAACTTGGAAGCCCGGGTCGTAGCGGGGGGCATCCTTTCTGTTTCTGTTTATTAAAGTCTTCTTGCTCAAGGACAAAAAACTGCGGAATTCACTTACGCATTGAATGTCAAGGGCCCAATGATGTTTCCGAGGGCGTAGCCGATGAACGTGCCGGCTGCCAAAGTGGCTTTCTTTGTGTGCCCGGCGACGTTTGATGTCCCTAGTGCAATACATTGCACCCAAGCCGAAGAAAAGAAGTTGATGAGGTAGAAGCCAATGATTCGTGCCGCGCGCTCAGAGGAGGGAAGTTGCCAGCTGTCATGATTACTGAGTTAGTGCTGATTGCATTTAGGTACTGTCTGATGAGAGGGGCCTCACATTAGACAACTCCCAAGAATGACTGGCACACAAGCTCCGCTAACAATATGGAGTCTTGCATTTGGCACCTTTTGCCCGATGTACCCTGACCCCAGGATACAAATGAAGGCCAACGCGCCATTGGGCATATTTAGTAATAGGGACTGGAACGTGGAGAAGCCCATGCCGTTGAAGATGATCGAGCCGAAGGTGGTCACCGCGCCAGAACCAATGCTCGACAGCGCAGAGAGGACCAAGATGAACCAGAAGTGGTAGCACAAAAGCGCCTCGCGCATCTGATACCACTTGAACTGTTTGTTCTCGGATCCTGCGTTGTTGGCCCGCACGCGCTCGAGGAGGAGCTTGCGCTCTTCGGCTGTGAAACCCTTTGCTTCCTCCGGGCTTCCCGGGAAGATAAACCACAGCGCGATGGACCAAAACAGAGTGGCGAGTCCAGCAATCAAGTACATGTATTGCCAGCAATTCAGTGACCCTCCGGTGATATGTCCCAGACCATAATTGATGAGAGGCGAAATAATGTTTGAACCGCCGCTGAAGGAGTACCAGAGTGACGAGCGGAGGACCTGCTCGGAATGAGTATACCACATTCCAGTGCAGAGCATGAATGCGGGCGAGACACCACTCTCGATCAGACCGAGCATGAAGCGATTAGCAAGCATGCCACCGTAGCTTGTGCACGCGGGGGTGCAGAGGACAACAACTGCCCAGAGGAAGCAAATTGTGGGGCAGACCCTGCGGATGGAAAATCTTTGTGAGAGCCAGGAGATCTACAGTATAAAAGTCAATAAGGACCCTCGCGGCACGGCGTCGGGCCCCAAGGACCACTCACTGGGTAACATCCGGTGATATAGCCAAAGTAGAAGATCAATGACACCCACGAATACTCTAGGCCATCTTGAATTCCGAGCTCATCTCGCAAGCCGAAGATCGCAGCTTGACTGAGCAGCGCCTTGTCGTAGTACTGGAGGGCATAGGTAAAGCACATCTAGATTGTTAGTTAGTAGGAATCTTTACCTCAGAGGGGAGATGCCTTACAACCGGCATCAAGCGCATATCGATCTTGCGCAGCAACTGTCTGGTACTCTCTTCCTCGAGAATTGGCGCGGTATGAGAGAATTCAACATCTTCCGCCACTTTGCTATCAGAAGCGACAAACTCGATGTGGTCAGACATGTTCTTAGGGCCGGATGCCATTGTAGGTCTGCCTATGTGACACTGTACTCACTCACTAAGAAGTAATGCCCTTTCCACGGATCTGTCGGATCTCTGGGCTACTAGTCTATATAGGGCCATGAATATGTGTCCTTTCTGTTACGGGCCCTGAAGCGCGGAGAAAATGTGTGCGGGGATGCAGTGGAGTGCAGAGCGGGCAAATCCACTTCGGGCGTCGGATAGGGCATGTTTCCCTTTTGGGAATTGCCGCCGCAGTGCGGAGGCTTTCCGCCGAGTGACTTAAAAGCCTATATTGTCACTTCGACTCCCAGGCTATCGGTAGCACTATCGTTTATGGAATAGAGAGAGAGCAATATGAACCGATTACCAGGCTTAAGACCGCCTCTTTCTTTCACGGCTAGGTCTTTCCAGCGATCGGGAAAACACTCGATCAGATACGCCCAACAATATGCAGCACGGCGTAGCCAGACGGTGCGGACCGGACATGCGTTCCCCTGGCTCACGGCGGCACTTGGCGCTGGTATTACTGGGCTCGCGCTTTCTTGTTGGGGCTCCTCGCAGCCAGCACCTGGATCGGCGGAGATCCATTATGCAGACCGAGAAACAATGCTGAAAGTACGTTCGTCCCAGAAGTTGATAGTGCCACCAATGATCAAATCTAACTCGGGATGGTAGGGCGTCCAAGAAATTACAAATGCCCTTGGAGCAGACGCAGTAACAACTGACGACGACGATATCGACGTACATTCCTACTCAGAGGTGTCGACTTCGCATTGTGCAGCGAAACCCGTGGCTGTTGTTATGCCGAAGTCCACGGAAGAAGTGGCTCTCATCGCACGAATATGCTCCAGGTACAAGATTCCTATGGGTATGAATGCACATGCGTTGCAATGTTGCAATTCAAGCGCTGACAAGCTTCTAGTTCCCTTTGCCGGGGGGTCCAGTGTCGAAGGTAACTTCACCGCGCCGTATTCGGGTTTGAGCATAGATTTCTCTCAGATGAATCAGATAGTGGCGTTCCATGAAGAGGAGTAGGTACTTTTTTGCTGTTACTCATTTCAACCGCTAACAAGTCAGCATGGATGTTGTCGTTCAACCGGGGGTCAATTGGGTCGACCTCAACGACAGCATCAAACACAGCGGTCTTTGGCTTCCGATGGATCCCAGTCCTACGGTTAGTCCAAGTCGCACCATCATGATCAAGGTACTGACCCATGTTAGGCACTCATTGGTGGCATGGTCGCAACAAACTGCAGGTAAGCTGAGTTCCCCTTACCTTTGCCCCCCAGAAGCGCCCCCCTGCTGTGTCGACTGGCCTTTATAATAATCTGGGTCAGTGGAACAAACGCAGTGAGGTACGGCACAATGAAGGACTGGGTAGTCAATCTCACCGTGGTGCTTGCAGATGGCTCTATCATTAAAACGAGACACCGACCCAGGTAAGTACATTATGAAACATCCTACTCCATACTGCCCCGGCGAACCAGCGATTAACTTTCTCTAGGAAATCATCAGCCGGCTACAACCTAACAGGCCTCTTTGCAGGCTCTGAAGGCACCCTAGGAATGATCACAGAAATCGCCCTCAAACTTGCACCGATACCGGAGGAACGAAGCGTTGCAGTGGCCACATTCCCGTCCGTCCGTGACGCAGTGGCATGCGCATCCAAGGTCATGCGGCAAAGCGTTCAGATCGCAGCGGTCGAGCTCTTGGACGAGGTTCAAATGGGCGTAATAAACAAGAACGGCGGCTCCGGTGGCCGGAAGTGGGAGGAGAAACCCACCTTGTTATTCAAGTATATCCTCCCTTTTCCCACCACACTCACATTCTGATGATTCTAGGTTCTCCGGTACAACGCAATCAATCGCCGCAGACATCGCCAAGGTTGAAAGGATCTCATCCCAGGGTGGCGGCAGTGCGTTTGAGTTTACCAAGACCGAGCAAGACATGCACAACTTCTGGTCCGCCCGCAAGGAGGCCGTATGGGCCATGTGTGCCCAGAGACCGGAGGGGACGCAAATCTGGTCAACAGATGTTGCGGTACCGTTGTCAAGAATGCCAGAAATTATTGGTAGGCGTGCTGGTCTTTCTAGAGGTTCTCGAGAATAGCATCTGACCCTGACAGATCTATCGAAAAAGGAATCGGAAGCCCTAGGTTTATTCTCTAGCGTACTGGGCCATGTCGGCGACGGAAACTTCCATCAAGCGGTCATGTACGACCCTGAAAGTCCTACTCAGACTCAAGCTGTGCAAGAGTGCGTCAGAAAGATGGTCCATCGTGCGATCGAGATGGAGGGGACAGTTTCAGTATGAAAACCACACCCTCGCGAGTTGTATCTGGCGCGGCAGCTGATAACCAATTTGATAGGGCGAACACGGAATTGGGTTAGGTAAGAAGGAATGCCTCATCGAGGAATTGGGACAACATACAATCTCTGTGATGCGGACGTTGAAACGGAGTTTAGATCCTCAGTAGGTGCCTGTTCTACTTGTGTACTTCTTGACTGACTGGCCTCCAGCTTCCTCATGAACCCGGGCAAGATTTTTGACCCGTAGTCCGGGCAGAGATGAGCTAAAATGGCTTTGAGGCCGAATTCTGACTTTGCCTGATCTCAAAAGAGGCAGTTACTGCACTGCTGCCTAGAGTAAGCCTCCGTCGCAGCTTCTGATGATATATTCGACGCAGTGTGTTTGTGAGTGTATAGGACTTTAACGGCTGCATCTTGTACTAGAGCTATAGTGACATTAGAAGATACATCGAGTTCCCAAAAGTACTAGCAGTAGAATTCGAGTGGACTCCATCTCTCTTTTGATACGTGACAGCTCGGGTCACAGGGGAAACACTTCCTGTAGCATCATAGTCACTCCGTAAGTAGGCCGACAGATTGAAGCGATTTGCACCATGGTCCGCTCGGCTAGGCCAGCTCGGAAGGTCTTTGTATCCTCTGAATGAGAACCGGGCTCTAAGTATTGTCAGTCGGGGTTCATCGACGCAAGGCGCTTCCCACATATAGACTACTTATTATGCTCCAGTGCGCCGTTACTGCAAGCTATGTAGTTGATACATTGAAAGGATAGGTAAGAAAAGGATTTGAGTGGTCTGCTACAACACATCTGTGATGAAAGAACGAATGAATCACAAAATCACGGTCAAGAATCGGAAGGCCTCCGCGGCGCAAAATGTCGCTCCATCATGGATGTAGAGCATTGGAGAAATGTTTCTAGTATACAAGTCTCGGAAGAGGGGAATACTTCCAGCGAGCAAAAGCTGGCCAGAAACGTAATGCAACAAGTTCCGCTTGGGACATGAACTGTGCACATTATTTCTCGGGAGCATCGAGAACGTCCAGAGCGTCCTGCGCCTACTGGGGCGCACGGTTTGTGGCTGCGGTTCTGAACTTCTGCCCGGTGGTCCGCCTGGAGTTAGAATTCCATGCTCCCTTGTTTCGATGTCCCGTTCGACTAGTGGTACTTAATGTGTGGGTGGGAGGCCGGATGGAAGTCGGATAAGATGTGGGCATCGCAGTAGAAGCAGAAGCTTCGGCCATGACCAGAGCAGGTGTATTCACTGGTGTGAAGTCCACGGTAGCAGTCTCAGTAGCAGAGCCTGATTCCACAGCCTCCGCGACATTCACAGCTTTCCCCATCCTCTCGAGACTGGTATAGTAGTCACTGGTCCCATTGTCCGGATCTTGATCAGTAGCTGTGCAGGTAGCTTCCACTGCCACTGAGCCATGCTCGCCGGCAATGAATTGCCCATCGTCATAGCTGCCTCCACCGTTGAGGAGCATATTCTCCGCCGCATCCTCATACCACCCGTTAATGAAGTCTGCATGGAAACAATACCCATCGCCAGAGGTATCACTGCACGATAGCTGAAAGGGCGCACTTTCACTCCACCCATTGGGTGCGACCAACTTAGTATCATATAGCACACGGTATCTCAGCTGCGGGATTGCCACCATCCCCTCGGGACAGTCTTCATTGCCGTCCGCAAAGTCGTAATCTGCGTGGTTATTTGGGTTGACGCACTGCGGAAAGAGGAGGCTGACCTCTAGATGCTGATCGCAGGTGCTGGTCGGCATCCGGGCAATGTCGGTTTCGCGCTCATCTGAGCCTTCGCAGAACCATTCCAGGCCGTTGTACGGGTTGTCGGCTTCGGCCTGGGTCTTGGCTGATGCGTTACCGGAGATCATAGCAAAGTCCTGCGGGATGGCGGCGGAGGCGTAGGAGTTTGTGTAGTAGGTGCTGAAGCGGAAGATGGGGACTTCGGTGAAGGTGTCGCCGTCGACGTGGTAAAGGGTAGGGACCCCTATATTATGTTAATGGAGATGGAAAGGAGTAGAAAAGCTGGGCTATCTGAACTCACAGTAGACTGAGAGGTCATTCGGGTTGTCGCCAGTGTAGCAGCCGGTCTGCAGTTCGGCAGAAGTGGGAAGCACATTGGTGATGGCATCACTACCAAAGAAGGTGTGCATGTGGGAGGTGTAGGTCCCGGGGACAACAATGGCATCGATATTCTTATTCATGAACGGCGCATGGTGGAGTTCAGTCCAAGCAGAGACGAGACTGGCACCAGCCAGAATAGAATTTATAGGGCGCATAGCGAAGAAGTCAAAGAAAGTAAAGAATGGAACTGATCCCAGATCAGGATTGGATTTGGTGAAAAAGAGCGGCAGTGTAGGAAGAAACTGAGGGACATGTTTCCATCTCCTAGCCAAAGATTACAGCTTTTTAAATCTTTGTTCGCTTCAAAAAAAAATTCCTGCTATAAGGATATCCTCCATGGTGGAATCCTCGGAGTATCTAGGGGAGGGCGTGTTTCATACAAACGATTTGCCCAGACGCTATGCAGGAGCAAAAGGGAATATCCGCCAGATCGGATATCTCAATTCGGAAAAGCCGCCCAAACCCCAGGTTTGACCAATCATTTATGAGGATGATGAAGCTGGCTGAAACTGAACCCTTGCGATAGAGTAATTGTGGCACCTCGCTTAAGCCCTTGGACGGGGCACGATGTGGGCCTTGTTCCCTTGAGCAGTATGGACGCCTAGGGCTACTGGATGCAATCACCAACTTCACCCGTAATCACGACATCAAGTTTTCCTGGGCCCCGACATGTCTTGGCGCGCTGGGGTGCAAAGGACTCGGCCGAATCCGAGAACCGGTGAATTTCTGGCGGATATTCTCTAGTTGGACATTGCGATTCTCGACATGCTTGAACAGGCACAGCCAGGTTCGTTAGAGACCACAGATATTGAGGCGGATGGCTTGATTCCATCCAGCCGATTCCCTCGCGAAGTCCTTCTCCGCGTCTGTCAATATGTGCAGGAAAACCTATAAAAGTGCCCGTGTTCTTTTCTAAGGAATGGTAGATCGACTTTATACTCAATCTGTATCTTATCCCAGTCTATATATCCCTACCTGTCGATCCAGTACGCATTAAAAGGCAACCTTGCCAAGAATATCTATCTGCAATGCATCTTCTCACCTTTTTGACAAATTTGCTTTTCCCCATTCTCTCGTTTGCCTCTCCAGCTTTATTATCCTTCACACCCCGCGCGACTTTGACCCAAGTTACCTCCTTCGGCCTCAACCCAGCCTCCCTTCGAATGTATATTTATGTCCCAGACCATCTCGCCACAACCCCAGCGGTAGTAGTATCCCTGCACGGTGCCTCGGGAAACGCACAGCAACAATTTCAGTCCACACCATACGCGCGCCTTGCCGAGGAATACGGGTTCGTTGTCGTATACCCGGAGTCCACCCAAGGTGCGTGGGATGCGACTTCGGCCAAATCCCAGCTCCACGAGGGTGGAGGTGCGAGTCAGTCAATTGCAAATATGGCGAAGTATGTCCTGAACACGTATAAGGGGGACTCCGGAAGGGTCTTTGTGCAGGGGGTCTCGTCGGGTGGTGCCATGGCAGTCAGTTGACTCAATTTCTTTTTTATCTAATGCTATCTACTTTTAGTACGCATGAATTCCTGACCCCAAGGCATATTAATTCGAATAGAACACCATGGCAGGAGCCTACCCCGACGTCTTCAAGTCGGCAATCATTTACTCCGCCGGATCCTCGGGTAACATTCGAAGCATGTTTCCAGGCTACACAGGTACTTACCCTGCAATTCAACTATACCTCGGGTCAGACGATACAATTATCGGGTCGGCGAGCTTTAACACGACACTGGCCGCCTGGGCTTCGGTTCTTGACTATGATTCCACCCCTGATCAGGTACAGAACAACACTCCGGTTGATGACTGGACGACCTACGTGCTGGGGAGTAAGCTTGAGGGTATATGGGCAGAGGGCGTTGGTCACCCTGTTGCGGTGCAGGGGGATGAGGATATGGAATGGTGGGGGTTTACGCTCTGAGGGAAGTGCGGAAGAAGATTGATGTCAGCCAGAGTAGCAGTAGAAGAGGTTGGTGTGCACAGGTTGTTGAGCCTTGCACAGCCCATACCTGGATTGTTGCTGGCAACTGGCATAAGAACTTGAAAGCCTTTCCTGGATGGCAGGGAGCGAACATTGCTTTTGCATCCACCTTACCTCTTCCCAGTACTGTACTCTTGGTACAAGTCCAGTTCCTGTCTCAAGCAAATTGAAATGACTCAACTTCCAAAGACGACGGTTCAGAATACGGAGATGGGGGGTCAGCAGCCTTTGTGAATAGCCATTCTCGAATGCGTCGGAGGTCTTGCTGAGCGATCTCGAAGGTCCTCTGCGCGTCTGCCACCTGCGACTGCATCTCGGCTTTTCGGGACTTCGCCCGCCGCAGTTGCACCGCGAGGGCTTGCTCCGCCCTTTGTACATTTTGAAGCAATTGCTGCAACATGTCGAGGAAGCTGACGTTGAACAAGAACGTACCAAATATCAGGCCGCTGATCATGTCGCGTTGCACGATTTGCATGGCTGGCAGCGGCTGCACATCGCGATCCAGCCGCCTCGCTTGGGTGACGAGCATCTGCGTTTGACCAACCTTCTGTTGCGCTCTTGCTAGACGGTTCTGCTGCTCCCAATCGGTGGCAATGGATGCGCCAAACCCCCACATGTCCCTCTCATAATGCTGCAGGCTCTCGTAAAGGTCCAGCACCGCCTCCTTGACGGTGGTCTGCGCTCTGACCAGGCACTGGGTAGCCTGGCAGAGATTGCTCCAACGTTCTTTCCGTTGCCCATACGCCGTACGGGCAGCCCTGGTCGCCTCCTCCTGCTCGTCCTCCTCCGGGAGTTCCTCGGTCGGACCGTCGAAGATGCCGCAGTACAGGGCCTCGAGCTCCGCATGCAGCAATCTCCGCTTGGTACACGCCACCTGCAGAGCCTTCTGCCCGCGGACCGCGTCGGAGATCTGAGCCTCGAGCATCTGACGCTGGGCATTCAGGCGATTCTCTTCGGCCCGAGCGCGGTAGAACTCGTGCATCTCGCGGTCGGCCTTGGCTTCAAAATTCTCCCGTTTGCCTGTGGCACGGTACAGGAGCCGACGCACCGTACTGTCCCGGTATTGTTCATGGCGCTCGCGCTCGACCTGCGTGATCTGCCTGATTTGCTCCAAGCCCCTGCGCGTCTCGGCCAGCGCGTGGCACCGGTCTGACAAATAGGCTTCCTGCGCCTTCAGTGTCCCCGGGGCACTCTCCACGGCTTGCAACTCGGCTACGATCTGGCTGTGGCGATCCTTACTGCTAGTCGGATGGTGTCATAGATCGACATTGTTAGGTTATAAGTAACCTAATACAGTAAATTGTTGTTGATGTAGACATGAGTACAGGCATGGGATGGGGATTGACAGCGGGATGGCAAATATGACGCATGATCCAGTAATCTGCCAAACTTTGGTAGCCGATGGTTTGTGATTATCTAAGTAGCATATGTCAGCTCGTAATAATAGCATAACCCCTGGTTTGTGATGAGCTTGTCCTTGGAGCAGCAGATCATTTCATGGAATAAACCGTTGGATGTATAACGTCGGATACATAGACCCGCAGTCTAGGGCTGTGGCAGTTCAGGAAATCCTCTATCCCCTAGACAGGATATCGCTTGCTATAACCTCTCTCAACCTCTATTTCTTCGAGTTTATTAGTTCGAGCCATGTCAAATGATTGTTCCAATCTGTGCCAAGACTATCCATTATCATGCACGTAGAGGACGTAGATACACCAAGTCTAGGTCAAGATACCTACCGAGCGAATCTAGAATTTCTGATTGAGGACTGAATGTTTCAAATTAGATTTCACCGCGATAAAGAGGAATACAATATTTTCTTCAAAAAGAACTCGACTTAAGTACACTTCACGAAGTAGCACTCGTCTTGCCACTTGTCAGTGACATCTACATGGATCATCACCCCGCAGTACACAGTCTCCTTGTCGCCTTTTGGATATATACAACGTGAATGGAGCCTTGTTTCGTTCCTCAACTGTTTCTAGACCCCAAACCCTGCTAGCAGACCGGGAATTTGTGAAAGTAAGATTTTAGGGCTGACACATAGAAGTGAATGAGAGCTCATGCATGTCAGCCGGGATCCTGCCGTGACTTACTTCCAGCTTCAAACGCTTCCACCCTCTCTCTTCTCTTTCTTCTTCTTTCTCACCCTCGCCCATCCTCCATTCTTGGAAACAGCAGAACGCACAGAATCAGAAAAGCATAATGTGCTATCTTCCTCTACCTCTACACCTCTACGAGGACTGGGACGACGAAGACGACCTAGCCTACAAAACCATTCTCGCTAACCTGGTCAACGGAGAGCTGACCCCGTCCGAAGCGGCCCACCAACTCGACATTGTCTTCACCCAGGAGTTCACCGCGTCTTACAATCGCATTCGCAACCAACAAACCCCTTCCAACTCACCCCCGAGGAAGTCGCCAGTGGCGTTACCAACATCCGCGAGGTCGCAGGATGGCCCGATGGTCAGACCCACGACATCTTCCGCTGGATCGCACGACTATGCAGCGCATTTCCACCCAGGCATCCAGGACAAGATCGACTTATTGCATTCCTAGAGGCGCTACGTGCGATGCCATTGCATCATGTTATGTATCTGGGGCTGGAAATGCTTCCGAGCCATTCGAGAAGTTCCAACTGTGGCCGATGGTTGGGAACTGGTGTGGGATATCAGATGAATTTCGACGGGAGTTACCTGGCCTGTTCTTCCTCTGCTGCGGGATGTGTGCTGCCTCTTAATACTAATGTCACCTCGTCCAAAGATTGCGCCTACCTCCACACCAAACATGAACAACAAGACGAGGCTCACCTTACGACCGATGAGAAGCACATCCGTTGGCGCAACTTCCAGTCGCAATTGCCCGGAACACGGCACTGGATCTTGTGGACTGCGCGTCCTTCTGCGCGCTGGAGGATATCGTTCCGAGAGGTCGGTCTTATTGTCCGGATGAGCCGGCGCGGATTGCCTGTAATCTGCCCGCGGGGGTGGAGTGGATCTTGTTGCAGTGCGAGTATGTGTACGCGCAGTGCAAGCGAAGGAACACTGTCACGGACCCTTTGACGGAGATGTGGAGTATGGAGCGGTGGACGCTGTGGAAGCAACTGTTTGCGGACATTGTTACGGGGGAGGCTGATCAATTTGCCTTGGATACTCGTCAGCTGGCGAAGTTGGCGCACGAGCGTATGGTGGCATGCGAGGAGGCGGACCAGGGTGAGAGAACGAAGAAGGGCCAGTGATTGCGTTTCGTAAAAATTCAGTTCATAATTCGATGACTCGTTAATGATACCACATGACTAACACCATAACCAGTTCCGGTGCGCATGCACGTCCCGAACGCCGTAGAGTACACTGCCCTGATAACCGCGACCTGCCCCGTCCCTCCCTCCCAAGAACCAGTTTATACTTTTCTGTATCATCGATGTGGCTGCACGAGGCCAAAGTCCTATCGAGGGTCACTCTGAGGAACCCTGATCCGGTGCCACTTGTTGAATGTATTATGGGGGTCGAACTTCTTTTTGAGCTCCTGCAGCCGGGGATAGTTGAGTCCAAAAATGGTCTCGGTGGATACTTCATGCCCTATATAGTGGTTAGATCGTGCCGTCGCATCCAAGATTGCTCATCGATATCCTCCGCCATCAGAAACTATGAGAAAAAGACTTACCAGCATAATTTGCATAGATGCCTGTGCCTTGCGTGGGTCGACTATGACCAGGTTTCTTGATGCCCGCCTCCAGCGCGATCCGCTCCAGAAGACTCGCCTGCAATGAGCGGATGCGCTCATCTAGGCCCGGATCGTACCACCGGAACAGACAGCTGACGTTGTAGTAAGGCCCGCGATTGGCGAAGGCGGTCGCATTAAGCGGAGTTTTCTGTATCTGCGCATTCGGGAGAAGCTCAACAAGCAGTCGGCTGTCCCTGGTCTGCGGATAGTCGGTCAAGACGCCGTTGAATTCATCGTATACCGACTGTACGAAGTTGAGGTCCAGTGGCAACGTGACATTGGATCCTCTCATGCTCTTCCGAGGCCCCATGGCGTTCTCCAGCGGGTAACTGATGTTGACCTCGGTGTCGCTTCCCCGGCGATTCAGCGTGTCGGTCGTGTTGAGGATGCCGTTCAGACTGTCGTAAGGGATCATCCCTGCTCCATTCACGAGGGGACCTGCTGAGAGAAGAGGCGCAAAGAAGCGCTCTGCCGCCTCCTGGTCCCCGTTGTAGAACACCACCACCAAGATGCAGCACTGCGTCATCGAGGGCACCATCGTGGACCCAAACCAGAGGCCCTGCTTCCCGTCGGTGATCGTCTCGAAGTGGTTGGCGAAGTCGACCACCGCCGACAAGTTGTCATGCGAGAAAAGCAGCGTGCCGGCATAAACGGAATTCCGCTGCGGATGAGCCCGAAAGCCCAACTCAACCGCCACCCCGAACTCCTGGCCGGCCCCGCGAATCGCCCAAAAGAGATCAGGATAATGGTCTTCTGACGCGATCACGACCCTCCCGTCGGCAAGGACCACCTTCGCCCACAACAGGTTGTCGATGGCGAGACCGTACTGGCCGGTCAGCCACCCATAACCACCGCCCAGGGTTGCCCCGGCTGCCCCGATGTGGCTGAGAGTGCTGCCGACCACGGCGAGTCCGTGCTGGGCGGCGGCGACATCAATGTCTGCCCACAGCGCTCCGCCTTCGGCCGTGACCACCCGAGATACGGGGTCGACCTGCACCTTGCGCAGTTTGGCGAGGTCCAAGACGATGCCCCCGCGAGCCGTGGAGCTGCCGCTCGTCGAGTAGCCCCCGCCTCGTACTGCGAGGGGGATCTGATGGCAGGTGACGAATTTGACGACGATGGCGGCTTCATGAGCCGAGGTCACTCTGATCACTGCGCCCTGCTCTGGTCAGTTGAGTCAATGGACGGAGGAGGGGATGCAGACTCACCACGTCTTCGTCGCAAGAGTCGCTCCATTGCTTGATATTGTCTCCGTAGCCTTCGCATCCCCACGTGGAGATCTCCGCATTTGTCCCGTCGAGTTCGTTCCTCAGACTCCGGACTTGAGATAGTGGTAAGAACGGCATTATGGGGTTGAATGGATGGGTTGGTGAGACAGGGTCGGGGAGGGCTTAAGTCGGAGGTATTATAGTCCCTTGAAGACAATGTGTCATAATCACGAGCGGGGCCAACATTAGCAGCCTCACAAGACGTAGCAAAGAAAAAGTACCGTGGTCTGGAGGCAAGTGAGGTCAGCGCCGAGAAAATGCAGGGTCTGGGCAGTGTGGCAGGTCAGTCCCAACCTTGGGCAGATCATGCTATCGGGTGAAGATGTGGTCTGACACTCTTCTTCTCTCTCTGTGGGGGTGGCGAAAATCTTGGGGCAGACCGGGATTTCCCGTGTTTGGACGCGAGCTCTTTATTTAATCCGCTGCACACACTTCCCTGCAGGCTCAAGCTATGATGTAGTTGACTTCTGTCTTTCTCTTTCTCGGGGCTCTCTTCCTTGTTACATACACGAGGGACCTGCAAGTCGAATCCGGGTTGACTTCATCATGATGGTTTGTTGAGGTTGTTGAGATGTGTCACGTGACAGCAAAGAATACTGATTATCACTTCACCACTCCATTCTCTTTTTCGCCCGAACCGAGAATGAAGCAGAAGGATTTTAGGTCGCAAGGTGCCAGCAGCAGCTCATTTACAGTAACTTTGTTAATGAAAGTCTCTCCTACTTGAGTCAACGGTTACTCCCCAACCCGATATTCACCCGACCGAGTATGCACGGACCTCGCCCTTATCTGTGGCAGTGAATCAATCACAATGCAGCACAAGACACAGCGACTTGCCTGATCGATCAATGAATTATTGCTGGATTGTTGCGCCAGAAGCCGCGATAGATGTGCCAGTCATTCAGTAATCCGATCATAACCACGTCGAAGCACGAGTCGATCTCTCGTGCGCTGGCAGGAAGCATGGAGGCTGCAAAGGCTACATAAGTCCCACTCAAAGGCCCAGCGCAGCCAGAATACCTGGCAAACCTGTCTTCTATCAACTCCCCTACCTTACCCTCAAGGTGGCTCGCTACCTTTCAACTCTCGGGGTATCTTTGGATCTGCAGCGTGATCGTCGAGAGCCGAGGCAGCATATGCTTATTCGACCGTCCATTCCGGACAGTCATTGCCCCCTTGCAGCACCGAGAGAGTCACTCTTCACGGTCGCATCCGGAAAGGAGTGAGTTGCTTCAATCAAGACATTGCTCATGCAACTCTCTCCGGGACTGAAGCACCTTGACATTGTCGCTGCGGTGCATGGGAGGCCTGCATTGTCAATTGTTCACTCAGTCTTCTCAATTCTGCTGAAGTAAACGCGGAGATCTCGCCCAGGAGAGCACAAGCCCCTGGAAACGGAACACAAATACTCAGGAGCTCCCAGATCAAACTGCCCAACGCCATGAGAAGTTAACCTTGAATAAGTGCAGTTAGAAGCGGTTCTGTGGTTCGCATCGCCACGGCCATCTCGGAACGCTCGGGACTCGGCTCTACGCGGACACACACAGGAACACGGATTGTATCGCCGGGGACTCCCTCTCGCCGAACTGCTGTATTAATCACTCCAAGGGGATTGAGAGCGCGCAATGCTCAAATGCAGAGCACCAAGACAGTGTGATCTTCATGTAAGGCAACCTCACGGTAGGCAATCCTCGTGTCGAAGATCATCCGCCAAGATAAACAGCCGCATGCCCACAACCAGGAAACCCAGGTCAATTGTCCATCCATGAGCTACTGAGTACTAGTCTATTGAGACTAGCTCAAGATGCGTGCTGGAAATCACTTCACGTGCCAGACAAACCGGGATAAAGCTCCGAGGAGCTGTCGACGATCCTGGCAACACCGACGAAGGAAGACCGGCGTGCGGGGGAGGATGTGCGGAGAAGACTAGCGCTATCACACCATATGCAGGTGGGATCACCTCGCTGGCCATTCGTTACTTAGTAAATTGCTGAGCTCGTGCTGTTGCACTGCGGCAAAAGTATAATTGAGTGAAGAATACAGCTGCTTACGCGTGCCTCGCAGGAACAGGCTTAGCATCAATTGCTTTGCACCACTACGAGTAATTGACCGAGTGTCGTATCGCAATGGGTGAACTCGTAACCGGGCGCTGAGTGGCGGCCTAGTGAGCTCTCCAGTGGATCAAAGCCGACTCTTCCGGGCAGTTCAGTTTTTCTAGAAGCCCGACGCAGGCTGGGGGTCCACTTCGCCTGGATGAGGTGCTCTTCAGGCTCTGTCGCGCGTCCAGGCAAACAATCGATTGTTCTGATCACCAACTAACAATTCTAAGGTGTCCAACTAATATTCTCATTTGTCGTTCCATGAATTCACTCTTTCCAATGTAGCGACAATGTGGTGAAATGACATAATTACCAATCCAGATGCGGACAGTTCCAAGGCAGGCTGCCTGGAGTGGAGTCACGGGAAGGCCGGAGCCCTGATCGCTATCTTTTCCCTCATGACGGAGTAGACTATCGCGCTTTCACTTCCCCGACAACCAACGGGCGTGGCCCTCGTTGACTCGTAGACCCGCTTAACCACCATGTCAAGCAATAATAAGCATCGGCCTACACCAGAAACCAGCAGGCTTCCCAGCAGAAAGAGGCTGAGGCCGCCCGAGGCCTGAGGCAAGCGACTGATCCGGACCATCCGAGGGATTTTCTCCACTGGCTGCCCGACACGAGGTTTGATGTCACTCAGCGTGCTGCTGACAGACACGATCTTGCACGCCTAAATCTTACTAGATCCTGCCGTACCTAAGATTGTCGGTCAGCGTACATAAACGCAGCTCTTTTCCCTAGTCCACGGAGCTTGCTCTTTTTTCCCACCTGTTCCACCTTTCCCTCTCACCACCCTCCCCCCCCCACACCACCATGCTCTTTCCGGCTCGCCTCCTCCCTCTTCTTGGGAGTATTCTCCCTGTCGTCTACGGGCTGCCTACCACCAGCCCGTCCGTGGTCCTTCCCCCAAGCCAGGATCCCTTCTATAGCGCCCCCAATGGCTTCGAGAGCACACTGCCGGGAACCATTCTGCGCCTGCGCCCAGCCCCGGGTAACTTGACCGCACTGGTCAACGCGTCCGCAGCATACAATGTCGTCTACCGCACGACCAACAGCCAATACCACCCCACCTGGGCCGTGACAACCGTCTTCATCCCCAACTCCCCAAGCACCGGCAGCGACAACCTGACCTCACTGCTCTCCTACCAAATCGCGTACGACTCCAACGACCTCGACGCCAGCCCCAGCTACGCCATGTACAGCTCGCCACCGGTGGACATCTCCCTCGCGCTCAGCCAAGGCTGGTTCGTCAACGTGCCCGACTACGAAGGCCCGCTGGCATCGTTCACGGCAGGCGTGCAGTCGGGCCACGCGACCCTGGACTCGATCCGCAGCATCCTGTACTCGTCGAGCAACCCGCGCGTCACCGTCTTCAACGCCGTGAAACCCGCGACCACACGCACCGCGCTCTGGGGCTACAGCGGCGGGGCGCTAGCCAGCGAATGGGCCGCGGAGCTACAGGGACAATACGCACCGGAGCTGACACTCGCCGGCGCCGCACTCGGCGGACTCACACCCAACGTGACCAGCGTGTTGGACACAGTCAGCGGGACGCTATCGGCGGGGCTGGTGCCCGAGGCTGTCCTGGGCCTGGCGAGCCAGTACCCGGAGACGTACGAGTTCCTGGTGTCGCAGCTGCACGCGACGGGGCCGTACAACCGGACGACGTTCCTGGCGGCGCGCGACCTGACGCTGGCGCAGGCCCAGCTTGTCTTCGCCGGCCAGGACATCTTCAACTACTTCGTCAATGGCAGCGCCGCCTTTGCTGATCCCATCGTCCAGCGCGCCCTCAACCGCGACGGCTATATGGGTTACCACGGCGTGCCGCAGCTACCCATCTACGCTTACAAGGCCATCCACGACGAGGTCAGCCCCATCCGCGACACTGATGCTCTTCTTACCCGCTACTGTGGTGTCGGCGCCAATATCTTGTACGAGCGCAACACCGTCGGCGGGCATTCGGCCGAGGCGATTAACGGCCATCCCGCTGCGTCGACCTTTATTGCGGCTGTGTTGCAAGGCCGCTACGCCAGTCTGTACAAGACTGAGGGGTGCACGTTCCGGAATGTCACGGTCAATATCACCAGCTCGGTGTTTTAGAAGGTTAGAGAAGGGCAGGCGAGGGGGTGTATAGTAGTCAGCGGAGTTATATATACTAATGATGGTGATTGTGAGCGGTGGTTGTACTTATAAGGTGATGGATACTATGGTCTATAATGATGAAGTGTATTTGGCATATCTGCAAAGACGCTCAGCAATCTTTCAGATTGAGTTAATCACGGCTTCGGTGTTGTGCCGGTGGTCTAAACGCCGATCATGCTTGAAACGCAACGCAATGCGAAAATCTATTATACTAAAAAGGTCTATCTCGACACCGCTGGCTCCTACTCGTACAGTTTATCAATGATCCGTCTAGAAAAAGGCCGATTCGTCCTTGATAAGATACGCCGCACGCTCCGCGACAGCGTACAGGGTGCTGACCAAGTGACCGCACACCTGGTAAGGCAGCACCGAGGCATCGACGACGCGCACGTTGGTCGTGCCGTACACCTTCAGCTTGGTGTCGACGACGCCACCCTTCTCACGCGGCATCATGGCGGCAGTTCCGACCGGGTGGAAGTTCGAGCGATCTATTGTTCAGTTAGCCACATACATAATCCCTGCGCCTATGCATCACTTACAATTTCCGTCGAACAACCACGCCTTCCACTCCGCATCGGAAGCATCCTGTGCAACAACATCAGGGGCCGGAGTCGCCATCCCTTTGACCAGATGGCCCAACGGAGCCGCCGCAAACGAGTCCCGGATGTACTTGGCCACGGCAATCTGGCTGTCCAGGTCCCAATCGAACATGTAGTAGTTAGGATTGATCGTGGGCATGGCGGTCGGATCCGCAGACGCGATGTGCACATTGCCGCGAGCGAACGGCAACAGAGTCCAGGACTCAGACGCCAGGGTTGCGCCAGTACCGGGGTAGTAGAGGATCTCGGCGATGGGCACGCGCTGGTTGAAGATGAGATCGTACTGCACCTCGAACAAATCCTTCAAATCCGAGGCCTTCATCACGCCGCCGCTGACCTCGGCCGTCGCATTGGCGTAGTGGCCGATCTGCTTGCGGATGGCCTGGGCTACTGATATTGTCTCGTTTCCGTAGACGTCGTACACGTTGGGGTAGACCACGTACTTGGTGCCGGTCAGCTCGCTGTACGTCGCCGCCTCGGTGTGCGCGTTGGTCTGGTCCTGCAGGTTCTCGCCCACGGTCGGCAGATTGACCTGCACGGTGATGTTGTGCTTCTTCAGTAGGGCTGCGTTGCCAATTCCCGACAGCTCGAGGATACCAGGCGATTTGAGCGATCCCGCCGAGATGATAACCTCCTGGCGTGCGGTCACGACGGTGGTCGTTCCGTTGGCCGAGGAGAACTCCACGCCCGCAGCCGTAACATCGCCCTTGCGAGCCTCTCCGCGCCAGACGATGCGGTTGGCGAAGGTGTTCAGCAGCAGGTGCAGGTTGGGACGCGAGGCGACCGGCCAGTAGTACGCGCGGGCGGCGTCCTCGCGCACGTTGGCGTCGAGGTTGATGGTCGAAGGGTAAATGTTGATGCCACGCATCTTACCGCCATTGACATCGTAGCTCCAGGGGACACCCAGGCCGTGGAACGTGGCGTTGAGCGTAGCAGTCAGGTTGTTGGCCGGGATCGCGCCGAACCCGACCGTCAAGGGACCCTGCTCGCCGTTGTAGGAGGCGTTGAAGGTCGCACCCTCCAGGCGCTGGCTGCGGCTGGGGATGGTCAGGTTCTCGCTCTGCAGGTAGTAGGGGAACAGACTGTCCCAGGTCCAGCCCTCGTTGCCGATCTGTTGCCAGGCGTCGATTTGCACATCTTCGGCGCGCGTGTAGGCCATTCCTACGCCGTCACATCAGCTGGTGCCAGAGTTGCAAGTATAGGAAAACATACCGTTGATAGCGCTGGTTCCCGACAAGGCTTTGCCTGCACGCATGACCTGCGGCGACTTGCCTCCATACGTCTGGTTGACAGTCTGGTACTGCCAGTCGATGTCCGAGCCAAATGCCAGTCCATACCCATCGACAGCAGTCACGTTGGGATTGTGAAGCACAGAGTCACCCGCCTCGATCACGAGAACGGAGACATTAGCATTCTCCGACAAGCGGTTGGCAATGACCAGGCCACTGGTACCACCTCCGACCACGATGTAGTCGTATTGGGCATTGGGAGCGTGTTTGATGGGAGAAGCCAAGGCTGCCGTCACAGCACTGAGAAGGAGGACCGGGCGAAACATGGTGAAGTCGGTACCTGCTGATGCTCTTCGCATGGATTTCACCCAGCGTTATTCCGGTTGGTCTTATACCCGTGAGAAGGGACGGTTTGTTTCCGTGTTGCTGCTGTCCGGTCTCTCCATGATGCCCACACAGGATCTGTCAGCCACGGAGCTCTTCCGCTGAAGGTCCATCAAGTGGGACCAAGAACGCCAAAAACGTTGAAACAACGAGTGTCCGGTGAAGCGAAGTTTATCGATCAGCCATGGCATTCGGCTTATCTCCACTGGATTTCGGCATGCCGAGAAGGGCATTGGCTGGCCGTGTCCGGGCCGGCGCGGGTGGGAGTTCAGTAATTCTCGGCGATCAGGGTCCAGTCCATTCGAAAGTCGCAGATTAGTCTCCATTGCATGCTGATAAGGGTATAGGGTGTTCTTTCCCTGCCTGACTAAATGTTTGTCATCTGTTCCACAGACTTCCATCGGTCCTCTTCCCCTGTTCTGGCGTCATATAAATGGGCCACGCCAGGGACGGCACACGACGGGTGGAGACGCTGCCGTGCTTGATAATCTTCAGGTAAGATCTTGCTCGGAGTTCGGAGTAGTTTCTTCCAGAATTTGGTAGAGACTTGCCAGAAAAGATAACTTACAGTGCACACTTTACTGGCCGATTTATCGCGACTCACTCCGGTCCGGATAAATTGAGGTTGTCTCAATACTTTCATTGTCGCCAATCTCTGATCGTCGGGGGATTCTCGGGCAAAATACGATTGGCGATATTCTTAACACGGTGTGCCTCATAATCGCCGGTTGAGGAAATGCTAACCTCGAACGAGTAAAGCATTGGTATTCACGGTCTTTTGAGTTCTGTCACATGAAGACATCTTCCGAAAAAAGCAATTGGACCTCAGCTATATGAGGACCCCCACCTGCACATTACTTCTTGCGAATCTACTAGGCAGCATTCAAACCTTATTTCCGCTCGACGAATGCCAAAAGCTTTGCCAATACTCCGTCCATCGGAGCTTTTTGGGTGCTTATGCTGGCGGCATTAGACGGAGCTAGACATATGATGATGTTGTCCCCAAGAAAATCCTGTGTAACGCGGTGACAATGCTTTGAGACTGGATCGAGCGCTAATGAGAAAGGACTCGGAATCTGGGCGCACAAAGCTCGCTTACCTTGTTTGGCACCTAGTGCATGCACACTGGGCATCTGTATTCAAGCATAACGCAGAGCTCATCATGAATGTTTGTTCAGCGGACAGAGACTGGTATTGCATACCTCGTTGTGCTGATCCAAGATTGCACCAAAGCAATCTGGAATCACCCATGATCGGATCATTGTATAACTTGCCTGCGTGGTTGCATCAGGGGCCTGTACTGTGTGGGTGCCAGACAAGCATTCAGCAACCCCGGACGAGAGCCGCGGTTGGCCATCACCGGGACTACAACCTGTTAGATAATGGCTGGAGGCGAGTTTGACACGATAAATCGTCAGCATAATTTGTGAGACGTAGTATCCGTCATTGCTGTTCTTCTGGAGCAGCCATTAGCATAATTTCTGGCGTTTTGCGGGGTTTCAAACATGGACCATCCCGACACATGACCTCCAAGCCCTACAACTTCAAATTTGGACCTCAAAAATGTCGACTTGAAGTTCCACATGAACGCTGTCTTCCTCCGGCTACAAAACACTGTTACTGGGACTGGCTATCTGCATGTTGAGACAAGAACCAAGCCACTGTGATGAGGCCACACGAATAGTAAAAATGGACATCTCCGATCAATGCCTTCCTCTCACGGCAGTTCTTCCGGATGTCACTTCTGCAGGATTCAAGAGCGATCTGTGCCAACCGGCTGAGCTCAAAAGTTAATTGGTCAATTTGAGATGCTCCTGGCCAGATAGGCCAAGACAAATACCAATCTCTTGAGTTGGTGTTGAAAAGGCTCTGCTGAAATCCACCGCGCATTCCGCGCGTGATCGCAGGAACTCCACCCTTGCTTGTTCTTACTTATTCCTACCCTTGTTCAAGCCTGTTGGGACCGATCAAACTCCAGACTTTCTTTCCATGTTGGGAAGGTCTTTCAAGTCAGTCATCTCAACATGTTGGTTAATACTTCATAGAAAAGTCTCGACGTGATGCTAGAGTGATCTTCCGGCGAGTTGTGCTGGAGCCCTGGACATCAGCCGAGCCTGCCTCACTACTACCGCACACTTTCCGTCGGCCCTAGGATAAGCGGTGCAGTCGTGACCAATGCTGGCTGGTTTAAGTCTGACTCTCCGAGCATGACGGCTATTATCACTGCACCCAAGCCTGAAGAATCCCACGTGGTCAGAGTTAACAAGTTGAATAGCGCCGGCTCTGTCCCTATTTCAGGGACAGGAAATCCGCCCTGTGCTCTGCTGTGCTGTCCCTAGGAGTTTCTTCAACGCACAAGATGACCGTTCTTGCTCGATTTCTGACTGTTTTGTCGGTACTGGCGCCTCTGAGCCAGGCCTATCCTGCTCTTCAAACACGCGGTATTGCAGACACTCCTTAACGAGCCGAACATCAGTCACTGACACTGAACCAGACATCTCTCTCAATCAGCTCAGCGATTTCACATTCTGGGTGCAGTACGCCAACGCGGCCTACTGCGCCAACAACTATGATCCCAATTCAGCCGGAACGAAGGTTGGCTGTCTGGACAGCGGATGTCCGGAGGTAGAAGCCACCAACACCACTATCGCTTTTGCTTTCTCAGGGTGAGTCCATCACTACCAGCTTTGTGCATCGCAACTAACCGCACCTGCATGGTAGCACCACCCTCACCGACACGGCTGGCTTCGTCGCAATCGACCACACGAACAAGCACGTGGTACTTTCTTTCCGTGGCTCATTTTCCATCCGCAACTGGATCACCGACGCAATCGTTTTCTTCACGGACCCGGAACTCTGCACCGGCTGTCGGGCGGAGCTCGGCTTCTGGAGCGCCTGGACAGGGGTGCGCGACGGGGTGATCCAGCAACTCCAAGACCTGGAGGCGGAGTATAGCCACTATGACCTCGTCTTAGTCGGACACAGCCTGGGCGCCGCCATTGCGACTCTTGCGGGTGCGGACCTCCGCTCCAGAGGCCACAAGCTGACGGTGTACGCATACGGATCGCCGCGGGTGGGCAACGAGGAGCTGGCGCAGTTCATCACCGACCAGGGGAATAACTACCGGTTCACGCACACGAGTGACCCCGTCCCGAAGTTGCCGTTGCTGATCATGAACTACGTCCATATCAGCCCCGAGTACCATATCTCCGCGGGGAACAACGTCACCGTCCGGCCACAGGATGTGGAGGTGTACCAGGGCCATGTCAATTTTGCTGGCAACACGGGGACTGGCCTGCCTTTGCTGACGGATTTCCCAGACCATTCATGGTATTTCCGGCGGGCGGATGGTTGCAAGGGAGAAGGTCTTCCGTTTTGAGGGCGCGATGAATATAGACTTTTCTCTTTTCGGACCTGATACCAGGACTTGTTGTAATAGTTATATACTCCGTCCTTTAGTCACTCCTGCTAGTTCATGATTGCAGTCACGCTAGTATGCGGACTCAGATATCATTAGGTTGCCCTTATTTTCCACGTATTCACTGGCCCAAGAGTATAACTGCTAGGCGTTACTGAAAATGACTACGCTGAATCGGGGCCAACTGGTGACGGGTAGAACAAAATCTCCGTTCCCGGACGGAGGTTTTGGCTGGTGTGTTCGCGGCCCCGGATATCACCACCCATCAACCATCCAGTGATCAGGATATAAATATGCCACCGACAAATTGAGAAAGATCTATACGATATCCACTTCATTCAGCATCCGACCCGTTGTCATGTCCAAACCACTTCCCACCATCGCCTTCTTCGGCGCCACGGGCGGTTGCGCCCTCCACTGCCTAGTATTAGCACTGCAAGCAGGCTATCATTGCAACGCATGTACGAGCCCTGAATCACCACCACCACCACCACCCATCCTACTGATATCCCACACTTTATTCATTCATACAGTAACGAGCTACTCACCAAGGAAAATAGTAGTCCGCACCCCAACCAAACTAACCGATCTCCTCATCACCCACGACATCCCCTCTACCACAATCACCACAAACCTGCACATCATCCCCGGCAACGCAACAGACACCACCGCCGTCCGCTTCACCCTCCTCACACCCGACACCAACGCGCCAGTCAGCCTAATCATTACCGGAATAGGGAGCCGACTCAAATTTGAGTCCCTGCTGCACCCGACCCTCGAGAACCCTACCATCTGCCAGGACGCAATGAGCACGCTACTCGAGGCTCTCCACTCCCTTCCTAATCCCCAAGGAACGCAAAAGCCCAGACTCGTCGTTATTAGCGGAACGGGCGTAGACGCCAAACGCGACGTGCCATACTTGATGCTTCCGCTGTTCAATTGGATGCTCAGGGTGCCGCATGCTGACAAGAGGGTTATGGAGGGAATGGTTCTGGCTGAGACGGACAGTCAGAGTCCGGCGATCGAAAATTTTATGATTGTGCGGCCGAGTTTGTTGGTGGATGGGGTCGGTTCTGGTGGGTTGGAGAAGGTCCGGGTTGGCACTGCCGAGGAGCCGGCCATTGGGTATGTGATTAGTCGGGGGGAGGTTGGGAGGTGGGTGTTCGAGAATGCGGTTGCTGGTTTGGAGGTGAAAGGGGAGGGGAAGAGATATTGGGGGCAGTTTGTTACACTTACGAATTGAGTGGTTAAAATTGGAGATTTATTCAGTGGGTAGGGTATATTGATAGATCGAGTGAGTGCTGTAGCCGACGAGAATCAGACAATGTATGGAGGAATTCTATGTTCTTGATATTGTCATGATAAAGAGATCTGATTCCATGTCTAAAAATTGCGGCCCATAGGCATAGGCTTTTGTGATCTGCATTGGAGCGCAGCAGTTGAAGAGACTGACGATACGCATCTCCGTAAAATTATCTAACGATCTGCATCTCCAACGCACTGAGCAGATGACCAATCTGGTGGACTCGAGCCAAGCGAACTATGTTGGAGGCAGGAGGATTCCTATCCCAATTATAACTCCCTCTTTCCAGGGTCTGCATCTCGGTCTCTGTGAAGAGATAAAGAATGTATTCCCGCACTTCCGGATCGCAGAAGTGGAAGTGGCGCCCGAGCTGAGGACGACCGCAGCCGATGCACTCAACGCTACCCAATTCTTCAATGAAATCTATTGCCTCTTCCCACTTGGCAGATGATACCACAACTACAATGACAGGCGCGTGCAGATTGGGCGGGAATGCATTGAACAAATATCTCTCTTCGAGGATGAGGTAGATTTCCATAGCCGTCATCCCTCAGCTGACGGAAGAATAATTCCGCGCCCCCATGAGGCACAATCACACTTCTCACATAGCCATTTCCAGACGCCATTGCAGATGTGGTTCGCTCAGTATGCCCCTTTTGCTACTTGCGGGTGGCCGGGACAAATTGCCGGACTCCGCAGGATGTGGGCGACGTGTCTATTTGTTTACTCATCTCAGAACAAGCTGCCCTTATATAGATCATCGATTCATTTTCTTGGCTTCTACACCCATTCCGCTGGTCTTTCTACTCTCTACCATTGGAATATCATGCAGGATAATAATCTTCATAAAGAGACTTCACAGGTGCAGGTATTCTCCGAGCGTAGGGCGAATGGTACCAGGAGTAAGTCTTTCAGCTGCCGTAGTTCCTCATTTAGTCGCAGAAACAGGGAGTCCAGATGCCGAGAGATGATTCCCATGAAATTGGTCTCTATCAGAAGCTTCACGTAGGGAGAGCCTTGGATTTTGTTGTTACGCAAAGGACGTAGAATGTGCGTTACCCGCGGCTTCGGGAATAAGACAGCCCCGTCATGCATCCTTAAACCTCAAGAACCTTTTATACTACCACTACTCCATTCCAGTCTATTCTGAACAATAAATAACATATTAAGAGCACCCTCTCTTATATTGTTATACAACAACGTCCAACATGTTATCGTAGAATGACAACTTCAAATACGCGCCCCTAGATATTTGTGTTATCCTTCAGCCGAATATATACCAATGACCCTCAAGCCAAAGGTAGTGCCAAGAGTTGAACATTTTATTATCGTTTTATCCCAACAATATCTCTTTGTAAATGCGACCGAACTTGGAACAATGAGAAGCACACCCAATTCAAGCCCCATAAATGAAAATCAGAAAGGTCGCAGTATATGTGGGCGGCCCAGCAGCGATATTTAGCATTATATCTATTGGGTGGTACCTCGAAAGGTTTTATCAAACACATTCAAAAATATCCATAGAGTTTGATTGGAGGGAAGGTTAATATTATTGAGAAAAGCAAGATAAGCAACCATGAATCGAATCATGGAGGTCATATGTTAGTAGGTATCTCTTGCTAAGTCAAAGCCGACCGACCATAATCCAAAGAGGCAAGATTGCTATAGTTACACCGGGAACCCAGATCCGAAGAGCGCGAAACTCTGCACAGTATACGTTCTATTCCAATCAAGACCCCTTGATTGGGATCTCATCAAGCATGACGCTAGAGTGTTCTGCTGAAACTCCAGATTGCGTCATCAAGCCCTAAACTACAATCCTACTGAGGATCAGATATGCATGAAATCAGTCGATGTTGACCTTACCAGCCCAACTTTCGTTGATCAACACAACAAGAATCGCGATTCGGATCAACTGATCGCGTCTACCTGTAGTCAAGGTTGGAGCTCGTCCATGTGTTGCAATCCTCATTCCAGCCGCGGAATGTATACCATACCGAAATTGTACACCCTTCTCTCGACTCCTGGAGCTTCCGATGTTGATCACGAGAACAGAGCTCGAGTAAGCCACAAGTTTACTTTATGAAACACGTACCACTTTTTGAGCCCCTGTAATATGGCTTTGAACATCATCATGCTCGACAAACTGGCGTCATAAAGAGTGAGCACGCAAGGGATGGGTCTGATATTAGAACACTCCGAAGCCCAGGAATGTGAGCTATACGATACGCTATGACATTGTTCGAGCTCCTCAGCATGCATACGAGCTATAAAGCCGAGACGATGTCTCTTGGTAGTCATGATCACTTCCTAAAACTCCCTGTCTTTCTGTGAAGCTCATTCATTCATTTACTGTAAAGCCCGCACTATACATTCTGCAGCAAAAGAGAACCATGAAGCCTCAGACCATTCTTAATAAGCTCGCTCTTCTGAGCTCTGTGCCCTTTGTTCTAGCCGACACCCTCAACATCGTCGCGCACCAGGACGATGATTTACTCTTCCTCAGTCCGGACCTGATCCGCGACATACTCTCCGGCCAAGCCGTGCGGACCATCTTCCTCACAGCCGGCGACGCAGGAAACGACGACAGCTACTGGCAAGACCGACAATTCGGATCCCAGGCGGCGTACGCGCGGATGGCCATCGCCAGCAACAAGTGGAAGGAGACTGACGCCGGGATTAAGGGCAAGGACATCTCCATCTACACGCTGAAAGACAACGCGTCCATCTCGTTGATCTTCATGCATCTCCCTGACGGCAACATGGACGGCACGGGGTTCGCGGGCGGCAACAATGACAGCCTTCAAAAGCTGTGGAACGGAGACATCGACCACATTACCACCGTGGACGGCTCGGGCACAACATACACTCGCGACGAACTGATCGACACGATAACGGTTCTGATGGATGACTTCCACCCCGATGAGCTGAAAACCCAGGACTACGTCGACAGCTTCGGCGACGGTGACCACAGCGATCACTACGCCACGGCCTTCTTCACTACCTCCGCCTTGAACAAGGCAAACTGCCACCCGAACCTGACAGGCTACTTGGGCTACACGATCAATAACAACCCCGTCAATCTCGATGCTTCCGACATCGAGGACAAGACCAATATCTTCTACGAATATGCGAGTCACGACCAGGGCACTTGCAGCACCATTGCTGGCTGCTCGACTCGGCCGGAGGCTGGTTGGTTGCAACGACAGTACACTGTCTAGATGCTGGAAGATCGGAGATTCACAGCCATGGTTAAGGGATGATGACGATGACTGGATGTTTTTGATTCCATATTGACTGTGGTTCAAGCCGTGTTCGACACAGGGGTTACGATAAACACATGTTTCTATAGTTGATGATGTTACGCGGGAGCATTAGTTAGAGAAATGGTTAATGACTGATAGATCAGAATTTAATACTTGTTCTTCCATGCAGTGCTCCCTGTAGACCATAGTCGCTTGCTGGCATTCCTTCGGTACAGTCGCACGAGGTAGCTGTCTAGAATTCCATCAGAATACTCTCAAGCCAACGCCCTGCATTCCAGATACTCTTGGTCAATAGAGTATACATTACCCAGTACAGAGAATTTGCCTCTTTCCCATCCAGGAATAGCCACATACCAACGAGGTCCAACATAAGCCAGTCCACGGAAATCATCCGCTGCGCAATACGACTGTAAGCACGCTCTGTACAACTTCAACTGTACCCCCACAACCAATTATCCTAGGCCTCATTGACTCATCGAATTTCTTCACACCCTTATCCACTCACCGTTGGACGCCACTCCCGATGGAGTGCTCTCATGCACATTTTTCGTGAAAGGCTCCCCCGACGTTGTCAAAATGTGCTCAAAACAGTCTTGGTGAGCATGTAATTGCCAATAACAAATCTCCGCGTAACAGCGTACGGCATCACTGCAAAAAAAGGGGTTGGAAGGAGTAGTCTACGACCGAGCATATTTTTCAAACGTCCTTCGCCACTCGGCTTACGGTAGTATTCCCGACATATACTGTCTCATATTCATATTTTCCACGTGTATCCACGTGTATCGTACATTTGCAATGAGAATAATGCAGGACTTTACATCGTAAATCAATCCCGGTGCAAGGTAGGCTGAAGCATGGACCTCAAAAGACTACCATGGAACGTGTTATTCAAAAGCCCAAGGTAGTCCACAACGAATCGCTCAATGTAATGACAGCGACAAATGTTTAAAAGATGGGGACTTCCACTGAATAACAGAAGTAATAGCAAACTGGACATAAATATGAGAGAAATAGAAAGACTATCCACGGTAAACACTATAGCAAACAAATGCGTGTACAAGCGAAAGCAGTCAGCAAATCTATGCTATGGAGGATGTAGAGTGGCAGATGAAAGAACTAACAAGACCAAGGCCTAATACATGACCTTCTGTCGGAGAGTCTCCAGAAGAGTCTCCGTCGTCTCGATAGAATGTCTCAGGTGGTCGAGCACCGTATGGATAGACTTCTTCTCGCCGCTAATGGTATAACTCAGGGTGCTCTGGGATTGCTGGAAATAGGCTGTAATACCAGTCTGCACCCCCTTCAACTTGCCAAGCGTGCGACTAGTTAGCATGTCTAAGAGGAAGTCATGCTCATCATCGGGTAGGTCGTAGATGCCTATGCGGAGACGTTCGCCCGTTGAATTGCCAGACCTCGAGCCAGACCCGCCCCTGAGCCTCGTAGTGCTCCTTGCGCCATTATCAATACTCTCCGGGGAGGCCATGCTGCTCATGGTCCCGTGGCTCAAGCCACGAGTGCGCTGAGGAGTATGTTTGCTCGGGCCGGGAGGCTCGCACGACAGTGACACGCGATCATATATAAGCAGCTGCAGCCAGCGAAGCACCGGACGAAGGCTCATTGCAAGCAGTAGGAGGGCCACATGATCGCTGTCCAATCGACAGAGGGAACAGCTGAATAGCGCCTCCCATCTAATCTGGATATCTTGTGTGGCTTCGAGGACGATTGGAAACGCTATCGGACATGGTCCAGCCTCTCTTTTGCGGAGACTCGAGAGGGTTTCGGCTTGCACACCAACGCAGTTGCAGTTTTTCCAGGGTATATTGGGACTGTTCATGGAAAGCGGTGGTGCGATAGACGGCAACGGCAGTGGCGGATACGTTGGACTAGGTAGGTAGGCTGGGGACAGGGAATGCGTGTCGTCCAAAAGTCCCTATGTCATCGTGTGCAGGAGTCAGCCATTGTAGTGTACAGTAATATTAATGCTTGTCTTTCCAGAATTCTAGGATATCGAGACAAGGACGCAAAAGAGACATACCAAGGGATCTGAAGACAAGCCCAGCTCGGGATCACCTGCACAAAGCCCCATGGAATAGAGTGGTATACTTGTGGCATGGAGGTCATGTTCAGAGAGGCTCGCCAAAGGACTTCTTAAACCTGAATCATCCGAAGGAGACACCGTAGGCGCATTGAGTCGTCCATCGTGCATCAACAGCGGTGACTGTGGCTGGTCCCAGTTCCAGATCTCGGTTTCCACGGTATCCTTAGACAACGCTGCGCGTGTCGCGGGCGAGGTGGTTGTCTTGTTCTTGGACCCTTTCGGTCGGCCGATGCGATTGGGGGCACTGTAGGTGCATGTATGTTTGTACCGTTTACAGGTCATACATGGCTGGCCACCAGAGCATTTCATCTTCATGTTGTGGCACGAGTCGCATGCTGAACGTATCTTCCTCGATGCCGCAGTGTCCATCGTAAGACGTAGTGCGGGCTGTTGCTGATATCTGCTCAACGGAATATGATCTCTTCCCGGGGTCGATATAAGGCGCGAAACAAGCGCAGAGTCACCTGAGCTTCACCAAAAAGGATGATTGCACCGAAACGTAGAGTACAGTGGCAAGCTCGAGTTAGACCTTTGCCTCCTGTGTTATACAAGCTTGCAAAGACCGGAGACGACCGTAAGGGAGAGACAGCTGACAGCTGACGCTTGGCGTTGCATTGTCTTCCATTCTTCTTGTGCAAGATTCCTTGATTTCATGTCCCCACCATGGAACGTATTGCGTAGGTTGATCAAACCAAGCCTGATGATACAAACACTCGCAACCAGGCTTTGCGTTGTATATCAGAATCCAAGGAAATTGGAGCTATGGCTTTTGATCATACCTCCGCGCGTTCAAATCCCGCACAATTATGGTAAAGCAGGCATGTTCAAACAGAACATGGTCTACAGTCTATTGCATCAATGCCTTCAATGCTAATCTGTGGTTTGTTAGAGTCATGGACACATCAGAAGCCCTTTTGTCCAATAGCAAGGCAGTAAGTAGGGGGTAGATTTTCCAAGAGCATTCTGTTCTTGATCTCAGCCCTGCGGATTCAACTCGCGCATCTCACCCACCAATAAGCTGCCAAGGGATACTGCTTGTAATCTTCAGGCTGCCGCCCTAGTTTCACGAGCTTAACCATATGGGTCGTACTGATAGGCTGAGATAACAGTTCATCTGAGCACCACCCATAATGGGTCGCTAGGAACGGAAGCTCCAAGCGAGCCCTGGCAGGTTACTTACTCTGGGTAGTCGTGAGCTGCGCATATCCACCTTGGTAAACATCCGAGACTAAGCGACGGTAGCATCAGGTCGTTCTCTAGGTTCATGTTTCGAGAGGAAGCCCGGTTGGGGAACAAACCGTGAGATGTGCTTCAATTCCTGAAGACAAAGGCTAGACTACATCTCTTCCCTGTTGTCGATCTAAATCGGCATGAATAGGCCATAGTATTCTAAAGGTGCAATGATCAGCTGCACTACTTGCAATGCAAGTGGACTGCACATCTGTGAGGAACTGGCTAGTGCTTCAGAAGCCAAGCGTCCTAGCTTCTTAGCCGGCTGTGAGTCACGACCGCGGGGTATAGGCCTAGTCTAATGACGATGTTCGATAACCTGCGCTTCGGAGTACGAAATACTTCATTACATCGCCAGAGCTGTCTGGGTATTTGTCAGGCGTCCATCGTCCAGGTCTGACATCAAAGGCAGGAACCCTATTCTGCAAGTGAGGCCTTCCTTCTGTGGCTAGTACCGTATGCAACAAGCAAGGGGTAACCCACAGGGGAGCTTCAGCTCTGTTGCCCAAGTTATCCATTCGATAACCGGTACTCCGACGGGATTTGCTGGCGGATTGTCCCGGGCATACTGCTGCTGCCAGGTGATCATTGACTATATGCCTGCTGCCTTGGATAAGAGAGACACAATCAAGCAAATGGCACACGCACGACAGCTGCATACCACGCGAACCAAGGGTCTGTCGTGAAGAAAGGCACTCTTGGTCTGAGACAGCTGAGGAAGAGGACTCGGAACAGTTTCCCGGGCGTAGGCACAGGGTCACATGCTGTGTTTAGCGTTGCGATAGTGGCAGTTGCCGTACCCTGCCCCGAGTGCCAGCGAGAAGGCAGCGACTAGAATGTGGAAACGAGCAGTGTTGTCTGATGTGAGGGTTGTGGTGCAGAAGAAGAGACACAGCCTACTGCCTGCCCCCTTGATGCCTGCCCGTTGCCCTGAGTGTGTGTATGTATGTACTGTACAGTACTGTATACGGCGGCTGAAGGTGGAAAGATCAACACTCGGAGCGGAACAAGCTTGATGCGCGTCACGTGGTAGACTTCGCCGCACTTTCCTCTTTAGGCATTGCATCGTTTCGACTCACTCACCTCGGAGGTCTTCTGTCGTCACTTGTTTATCCCTCTGTTGATGCACAGTCGATCTCATAGTCGTTGATAGCAGTTATGAAGATATTTCAATCCACCTTCCATCGCCAGAGGAATTTCGCGAAGATACCCTGCCCCTAGCTCGGACGACGTGCGTTTGTTTGGCGATGGCCTCAGCTTGGCCCTCTGTGCCTCGGTTGTCTGCAGTGCGGGGAAACCTTGAATGTACTGTACGCTGCCTCCTGCCACAACTACCTTTCTACAGCATCGCTCATCTATCAGCATGAACACAGAAGCCAGAGTTCGCAAGCGTATCCCCAAGTCCTGTAAACGGTGCCATCGACGCAAGCAACGCTGCGTGGGTTATCCAACCTGCGCGGGCTGCGAGTCCGCCCAGCAACCATGTCTGCGCTCCGAAACCGCCCCCTCATGGCATCATGCTATGTCCAAGGGCGCTTTGGTCCATAGAATAGAAATGCTGGAATCACAGCTGGCCGCTGCTGTGCAAAGAGCCCTTCCAGGGTCAGAAGAAGACCAGGACACACCTTCAAGCCCCGAGAATCTGGACCGAGCTGCGGTAGTGTCGCTGTTATCTTTGGGCCGGGACCATAATGAAGAACCGGCATATCTGGGGCCATCGTCGGGTCGGACAGTTGCTGAGAACCTGGGTCGCATAGTGCACGATACCGTCTGGACCGAATCTCTTCCCATCAACGCTGGCTTCCAACAAAGTGAACCACTCCCCTCCAGTCCTTCTTTCGTGACTGGGGAAGTGTCTGCCCCAGGCCAAGTTGTTGGCGCGCGACTTGTTGAGGCCTATTTTCGTGACATGCATACTCGACTTCCATTCCTCGATCGCTCTGAGATTCATCACCTACACGAGCGCCTACACCAGAAGACTGAATGCGAGGTCAATGGATTTGGACGGTTCAAGATATTTATGGTCTATGCTCTGGGCGCATCCATCCTACAAATGACCGATGCATACGACTCTACCCCCCCTCGTGACTTTTGGGCAGCAGCAATCAACTCACAAACTGCTCTCAAATCACCCTCGACCTACGCCAGGATCGAAGCAATCATGTTACTTGTCCTCTACGACCTACGATCCTCGTCGCACTCTAGCGTTTGGTATACTATAGGGCTGGGAATGCGGATATGTGTCGACCTCGGATTACATCGCGAAGGCCAGTATCGGTCGATGCGACAGCACGAGGCGCAGCTGCGACGCCGTCTTTTCTGGAGCGTGTATCTCGTGGAGAGATACGTGTCTTGGTCTCTTGGACGACCCTTTAGCATTGCCGAGAAAGACATAGATGTCGATGTGCCAGCTGACATGAATGATACTATCAACGACGACCGGCAGGTCAATGAGATTTTACGCACTCCTTCGGACCCGATCGAGCCAGCACCAGGCTCAAACATTCGAAGGTTTATCTCTACTATCCGCCTGCAGCGCATCATGTCTCAAATGCACTCTCAAATCTACCGTGTTGATCGAGATGTGTCAGCACTCATAGATGAGGTGCCTCCTTTAATGACGTCACTGGAAGATTTCGAACAGACACAGCCAGTCATGGACTTAGAGGATTCAACATTCGTTCGGATGCATTGGCACAACTGTGTGCGCATGCTTTTACAGCGGTTCCTAAGCGTCGTCCCTAGCGAAAACTCATTGATACGGAAATGTCTCTACGCGTCTGGTCAGATGTGTCAGTGCTTCAAGACGCTGCGGCAGAGAGCCTCGTCAGGATACTCGTTTCTTCTGGTCAACTCCTTGTTCATGGCTGGCCTGACAATGTGGTATGTATCGCTCACTCAGGTGATAGGCATGGCTGACATCACTAGTCTCTGCCTCTTCCGAGCGCCTCAGTTGTGGAGCATCGCAGTGTCGGATGATTTGCGAGCTTGTTCGTTGTCAATGTTCATGATGGCTGAGCGCAATACTACTCTGCGGAAATATCGCGACGGCCTTGAGACAATGATGACTAGAGCCATTGACTTCGTGAACAGTTCCTCCAATAGTTTGACCAGCAATGCTGGAGATACGAGGGCGCAGGAGCCTACCGGACTGTGGTCACACACAAATGCTATACCCTTTTCCACTTACACAAACGGGCAGCATGGCTCTACTGACTGGTCCGACCTGCCCACGCCGCCTCCTGCTCCGGATTCATTGCGCAGCGATGGCCTCGGACTACAGTGTCACGGCCTACAGGAGATGCTGGACAACTTGCAATCATTTGGTGACTTGTTGTCTGACGATTTCTGGGCGGATATTCCATGGGCCTCAATGGCGGAATAGGATTGAACAGCCAGCAGTACATGACACGTGTTAACTCATCAATTTCATAGATTGTCCAAAGCGAATATTCAAATATCATCTTCATTGAGCCAAACTCATTATCCCTTCGAGTTTACCAGTGCGCAGGCGACAGCGTATCTTCAATGCCCAAGTCTTCTCTCCTGGATTTGCTTTCTGGATCGAAATAAGGGACTTCGCCTACTCCCACAGCCCGGTTGCCACTCCGTGGGCCAAATCCTTCATGGTCGCCAGTGGCTGTGTGAAAGACGCTGCGGTTGTCCCAAATTGCTATCATCTGTTAACATCAAAAGCATACTCCGGAACTGCACCGAGAACCTACCAATATCATTAGGCTCATTCCACTTGAACCGCACCTGGAGATCATGCCCGTGGGTGATCAGATCCTGGAAATACTGCAGCATATTTGCACTCTCCTTGCGCGTCAATTCATTGATCTTTTGCGGGAAAGCGCCTGCGCCATCATTAGCACTCCTCATTCATCTCCGTAGTCCTCCGAGCAACCTACCGACAGGAAAGATCGATTTCCAGCCCGTGATCGGGTTCGTGCGCACAACCTAGCCCATCAGCACCTCTCTATCACCAAGAAACCACAGAACACCATACCGGATGAACCGCCACTAAATCCTCCCCAACATTAACAGGCGCTCCCCTCTCCCCAGCATACATGCGAAACCCACCCGCCTGCGCCATGCGCCGAAACCCTTCACCCACCTGGGTCGCTGTCAAGGTCTCGACGAACGCGCGATACGGCTTACTCAACCGATCGTACATCTCATACCCAGACGCCCAGAGCGTATCGCCGCCGGTGACGGGCAGCTGCGTGAGCCGCAGACTGGAAAAGTCGGCGGGCGCCTTCTCGAACGCGATGTCGCTGTGCCAGACGGCCGCGTGGCGCGTATAGTCCGAGCCCTTGTACAGGGTCTTCCGGCCCTCAGAGTGGATTGTGCTGATCTCTGGGTCTGGGTCGCCGAACTCGCGCGCGTCGTTGGTCACGGGGTGGATGTGTAGGCCGTGCGTGGCTGGGCGAGTCGTGAGCTCGCCTAATCGGAGGATCAGGTCTTTCTGGAGTGCGTTGGTGAGGTTGTCTTGCGCGCGGAAGAAGACTACGCCCCTTTCGGCGACTGGAGAGGTTAGTTTTGATGGGAGTTGGGAATATTGAATGGGGGAGGGCGCACTCATCACAGCCAGGTCGCGGATGCGTTGCTCTGCGTCCTGGTTGAGGAGGATGTCGTCCACGATGTTACAGCTTCCTTTGCGGAACTCGGTGCCGATCACTGGAGTCACCATTACTGGGTTGAAGGTGTCCAGGGACGCCGTGGAGTGGATGCGTGGATGCGGCGCCATTGTCTGAGTAGTGATGATTTGTTCATTCGAGTGTGAGTTGAAGCGTAGGTTGCGAAAGATGTTTGTACTTTAGGGTACGACATGATTTATTTATTCAACTGTTTGCTACTCGAATTGTAGTCTAGTGGGTGAACTCACAGTGTTGGTAGGATGGGTGCTTCGGCTTTCGGCGTTTAGATTGAGGTTGATTGTGGTGGCGCTATCGCCGGTTGCCGTCGCTGGCTCGGAGAATTGCACCAATTTTGGACTTGCTGGCTGCCACCATCTAAATCTCCATGTCGTGACCGTGGATGCCGCTTGTCGAATGTAATAATCTCTGGCGTGTCTGCATAATTATGAAGTAGTGTGGATCTACTTTATGTTGCTTGCCGAGCCGCGAGTATTCATACTGCGATTAATCCCAGCATTGGAAGAGTACAGTACCGTCGACTCCAATTCATGTTATGTCCTCAACGACTTGAACTGTACCAATGAATTGTATTACTGGCAGGATGCGACAACATTGGGGATACATGTGGTCGAGGAGGAAGGTGGAGTTGTGTCGCAAGCATGCTGTAGTGGTGGTTGATTATATACCTTCAATCCGCCAACTGTTGGTAGACAGTCAAATGCAGATATGTTGTCTGAATTTAAAGTTTAGAACGGGATCGACATCTCTCAGCACCGTCAACCAAAGCAAAGGCTTCCACATAATGGGCGCCCTCTCTATCGTCGAAAGCACCGACTTGCAGGACCGGCATCACAACGCTGATCACAACACGCGGTGTGGGTGCCCCTCCGTCCACTGAGGCACCATCTTCGCAAGCTCGAGCAGAATATAAACATACAGCAGTTCACTAAACACATACTTTTCGGCAGGTCCGGCCATCGCTGTTGACCTTTCGCACTGCGCCTTAACAGACCTTATAAGGAACACATTATTAAATCAAGTATGGAGTATTGACGAGTAATGCTATATGAATTGGCTCGCTAGAATGAAGGCACGATGGAAAAATAATAGTAAAAGACCGCTAATCAACATTGCTGCAGGGAAGACATAATAAAAAGCGAACTCAACGCCCACATGTATGCATAGCCGTGTTATAGAGAATCACAAAAATCAAGTTCCCCACGGCGGCCTCCTCAAACATCTCATCTTGTGTATTCAAACATAATTCCCAGCTTGATGTTGCGCGTCGCGCAATACCACAGATGCTGCAGCCGGGGTTGGGCTTTGGCGCAGGATTTCACTTGCAGTGGCAGAAGAGGGACGCGTCATGGGAGTACTCAAGCCAAGATCACTGCGGGATGGCACCGTGGCAAACATCACTGAGGCCCGGTCGAATTTAGCCTCGCTTTGGGCTCGGCCGCCCTCCGGCAAGGACACCATCGAGTAGTCCGCTGCCTTTGCAGCCTCCCTGGCTTCGACACGCTTTCTCTTGCGTTTATCCCGGTTGCACATAAAGGCGGCTACGCCGACAAAGAGGAGGATTAGAATGCTGAAGGTGATGATTGCTGCAATCTCACCGCGGCGGTTGTATGCAGCAATGGCAGCGCTAGCGGAACTAGTAGCAGACGCTGTTGAGGTGGTGGACGAGGCAGTCGAGGTACTTTTGGTCGTGGTGGTCGGTGAAGTAGTGGTTGATTGTGAGGTGGTAGTGGTGGTAGAACTAGATGAGGTGGTACTACTGGCAGTAGAGGTGGTGGAGGTTGAGGATGCGGTGGTAGATGTGGTTGAGGCCGTAGTGGATTCCGTGGCGCCTGCGGAGGTAGTGGAAGTAGCAGAGGTTGTTCGTGTCGTGCCCGTCGTAGACGCTTCAGTCGTCGATCTGGAAGATTCAGAGGTGGTCGTTGATGTCTCTTCGGTAGTCGATGCTCGTTTATGGATGAGCCAGTCTCCGTGAAAGCGTTTGGCGTTCGCTTTGGCATCACTGAGATGGGTCGAATGGGTCGCTATAGGTACTGTGATAGTGACGGTTGCGGTGGGAACCCATGTTGCGGTTAGATCGGCAACGGGACCCGGGTGAGCGACAGTGAGAGAAGACAGAATCCCCAACGCGACTAGATGTCGTAGTTGCATGGTGTTGTCAGGTAGACGTTTAAGCGAATTGAAGGGCCGAGAAAGGGAGTGGCTGTAGAGCAGTGGGAGACCGGACTCCAGGCGGGCGGAGGCCTGCATTATCTATGTGACCAGACATACTGGCTCCAGACCGCCTCATGACGACTTCAATTGAACCGGTGATGATGAATTCTCTGCGGATTAGGGTGTTCTGGTCGTCGTACGTGCCAGGACTAGGGCTGAGGCTTCCCAGGTTTATTTTGGTGTTCTGGATGGATGCTGGTTGGTCCGGGAGAGGGAAGTGGAGCAACGGCCACTCAATCGGCCACGCGGCTTGCGCTCCACCGTTGCTCGTTCTCTTTTCTTATACTCGCGCGCATTCCCACTTTGCAAGTGAACAGTTCAATATGCCCGTTCATAGCGAGATGGTAAAGGTATAGCTCGTTGCTGTGCAGTCAGTATAGCGGTTGGTGTGGTGAGAATCACTCAGCGCCCTCCGTTGTGACCGGTTACAGATCATGCGGAGTTGCGATAAGGATAAGTCTTTAGCCCCCGACAGAGAAAATCTGGTTCGAGGTGTGGATGCTGTTAATTTTAATGGCCGATCGTAGGGTTCCCACTCTGACAACAAGCCTCGTAGGCTATGCCACAGCCCCTCTCGTTGACAGGCTTGTTCACGCACGAAATGGCCTTTTCGAAAGACCAGCGCCACCACCAGATCCCTATCACTGAATCAGCGGAATATGGCTGTATCACGATAACCAGCCACTGCTCACGAATATATCTGGTTTCTGAGTCCGATGGCGTCTCTGCGTGAAACGATGCCACCATTGGTTCCTGACCTTCGTGCCAACATATCCGATGCCGCCATTGTATGCCGGAAGTGTAGCACTCGTTCATGTTCGAGATGATTTCACTGCGAAGAAACGCGCCCATGCGCGATACTTTTTTGTCAACCCAAGATCTAACTCAACTCGGCCTTGATGGGTCACGATTCTTTTCCTAAGCCACGCAAGAGTCACCCGAATTCGGCATAGAATCTCCAAAACAACCCCTGCTTTGTCATAGTCCACGTCAACCCCACCGAGCACATAGGCTTTCCAGCCTCAATCCAAACCCTAATTACTTGTAGATTCTCCGTTCATAGCCCTGGATAGCGTTCCGTGGGTTTTAAAGATAGGTAGTCGGCATCTGCATGGTAGGGCAATCGGAGACTGCCGAATACGTTCCATGTCTGAGCTTGAACCCAGATATCTGCATGAAGTCTTCCAGTGTCGGAACATGAATCTGAAGGGACCGAGAAAACTGCTTATCGCGGCAACGGTGCGATAAAGGCATAAGAGAAGAAAGTCTTCAGTAGGGAGGAAATCTGGGGCCGAGAGTGTTGTTTCTGGCGCGAAACAATTGGGAATGTGCGCTGCACGGATGCCATTAGTAGACTGGTAAACAGGAATCGCATTTTCTAGGGCTAGATCTTGACGTTACTGAACAAGCCATGATACGTGTGCTTTTCAAAAAAGCGACGTTGCAGATCCAGCCCTGAGGCTGTACCCAGCAGTGCGGAGATAAGGAAGAAGCCAGACGGAGATAAAAATCCAAGATAAAACAGTAGATCGGAAATTGGTCCCGTGACCTTCCCTCGGATAAGCTTCCCCTCAGGCTCCCCCAGGCTCCTTCCATCTTCCTCCCTACTTCTTCCTTCTGTCCGGCCGTTTCAATCACAATTCACCTTCAACAATGTGAATAAAGCAAAATGACCTTCAACCACCTATCAGTCAGGCTTCAAGCTCGTGCACTGCTCCTATTTCGGCACGCCTGAGTGTAAGAGGAGCCAGCTAAGTCATTACCCCTCTTCTGATTAATCTACACCTCGTATACTGACGATCATCTTGTAACACGAACAGCTACTAATATAGCAACTCTCCCCCGTCTCCCCTCTCGAGTAACCAACTGGCTACCGAAGGAATTCATTCCCGCACTCTGGCGATTTGTCAGTGGATAGGTCTCATAAGCGGCGGTCTGAAATCGTGATAACCCCGCGTTGGATCGACATCCTGGATCCTGCAGGCTCCTTGGCACGAGGACAAGTCGGGTGGTGGTGGTATTGGCACTCACTTCGCGATGCAACTAGTTTCCGGTCTCGCTTGCCTCGGTGTATCTTAGGCTTCCAATGAATCAATGTGCTTGCCTACAGACCGCCGCTCGTTTGCAGCAAGGGAGACGCAAGGGCACGCGTGTGGTGCGAAGGTTAATCGTGCCATAAACGCCCTTTCCGTGGAGGGATCATGCCCAAAACAACACATTGCCGTTGGTGCATCGACATTGTTTGATTATCGTAGGCTCGTAGCCCCTGACTAACTACTCAAGCCTCCCTCCCTCGTCCTCCAGCTTCACCACCTCACTATCTGGTCTTGGATACACCTCAACCCGCTTTCCTCTCTACACCACCGTCCCATTGACCCCTTTCAACATGGCTCTGACACCTGAGACCTCAGATTCAACGACGAGCCTTCTCTCGAGATGTTACATCCAAGAGCCCATTGCCATTGTGGGCATGGCGTGTCGACTCCCTGGCGAGAATGACTCGCCGCATCGTTTATGGGAGTTTCTCATGAAGGGGGGTGTGGCGGACACAGAAGCCCCGGAGACGCGCTTCAACCGGAAGGGCCATTACGATGGCTCTGACAGAGCACGAACTTCACGATCGTCTGGCGCCATGTTCATGGAAACCGTGGACCCTGCCGCCTTTGATGCGAAGTTTTTCAACATAACCCCCCAAGATGCGATATCAATGGATCCGCAACAACGTATACTACTGGAGGTCGTCTATGAAGCGCTCGAGAATGCTGGCATCTCTCTGGAGTCGATCTCAGGCGAGAAGTACGGATGCTACGTGGGTGCTCACCCTGGAGGTAGGCTGACTGAGTGAGGTTGCCCTTCAATATGGCGACGCTGACAACCGCTAGATTACTGGGATATTTTCGCGCGCGACCCTGATTCGCGACCACCTAATGTCGGCATTGGGTGCTCGGGAACAATGCTGAGTTGCAGAGTGAGCCATTTTCTGAACATCAAAGGTCCTAGCATGCCCATTGATACGGCCTGCTCCAGCTCTCTAGTGGCGATGGATGTCGCTTGCAGAGCTCTTCACACCGGGGAAATTAATGGTGCCATCGTGGCGGCGTCCAGCCTCATTCTCAAGTAAGCGCCCGCTTGCATTATATTCGCCTTCAAGGTGCTAACGGATCTAGTCCGGAATATGCTTGTGAAGGTATGGAATTGCATTGCGAAATGAATCGGTCGTAAGCTCATGGCTCCAGGTGGCACAATCAGATATACGCACTCCCCCACCGGTCGCTGCCACGTTTTTGACGCCAAAGCGGACGGCTATGTCAGGGCAGAGGGGATGAACACCGTCATCTTGAAGCGTCTTGATGATGCACTTCAAGACGGCGACCCTATCCGAGCTGTTATTCGAGGGATCGCAAACAACCACAACGGTCGCACTCCTGGTATCGCCTCTCCAAGTAGTGACGACCAGGCTGCGGCAGTGCGACAGGCATACGCCAACGCGAATATTACAGACTATTCACAGATTGGATATCTGGAATGCCACGGAACTGGCACTCTGGTAGGCGATCCGATCGAGACTGAGGGTGCTTCCTCAGTTTTTGCGCCGTTCAGACCGGCTGATCGACCACTGCGGATTGGATCGGTAGAGGCCCCCTTTCAACATTACACGCATCTCTATTACTACGGCGAAGCTGATACTGCAATAGATCAAGAGTAACATTGGTCACTCGGAGCCAGCTGCAGGTCTGTCGGGAATCCTGAAGGCAATCATGGTTCTGGAAACCGGAAAGATTCCAGGCAATCCAACTTTCCTCACGCCCAATCCGAATAGTATGTCTCACCGTCACTGGCATGTAACCTCACTAATAACTTGCAGTTGACTTCAGAAGTTTGAAGCTTGAGGTCTCTCAACATGCGACAGATTTCCCTGACATGCCATTCCGTCGTGTCGGGGTCAACTGTTTTGGGTTTGGTGGATCTAATGCACATGCAATCCTCGACGAGCCAAGTGCAGTCATCCCAAATTATAAGCCGGCGTATACATCGTCTTTCGGCGCTATCACGCTCGATGGACATCGAACCACGACTTCTCGGCCATACCTGCTGTGCTTTTCAGCCAATGATGAGGCATCGCTACGTCGCTATATAGAAAGCATGATCCAGCATGTGGAACAGGAAAATGTCAAGATCAGCCTGCGAGATCTCGCCTACACGCTGGGTACGCGAAGGAGTCATCTGTTCAATAGAGCTTACATGGTCACCGATAGCCTGAACTCTTCACAGCCCCCGGTGATCACGTTTGGAAAGAAGAATGTTCGATCGCCGCAAGTCGGCTTTGTCTTCACAGGACAGGGCTCTCAATGGCCCGAGATGGGTCGCGAGCTTTTAAATGCGTTTGATCCTGCTCGAGAAATGATCAAAAACCTTGATCTCGTTCTCCAGTGTTTACCTGATCCACCGGCATGGACACTGTACGATGAATTGACCACACCAAGAGAAGCAGAACACGTACGCAAACCTGAATTCAGTCAGCCTCTCGTAACCGCGCTCCAACTCGCTTTGATTGAGATTCTACGTGGCTGGGGTATTGTCCCGAATGCTGTTGTCGGCCACTCTTCTGGTGAGATTGCGGCCGCCTATGCGGCTGGATTTTTGACAGAGGCGGAGGCTATCATCATCGCATACCACCGAGGAAAGGCATCTGCGCAAGAGAAGCTAGACGAAAATGCTCTAGGTATGCTGGCTGTTGGCATAGGAGCTGACGAGATTCTTCCTTTCCTGGAAGGGTCCACAGATGTCCAGATCGCCTGTTACAACAGCCCCAAAAGCCTCACACTTTCTGGAAGCAAGCAAGGACTTGAGGAGGTCAAGTCACGGCTTGTTGAAACCGGCAAATTTGCACGTATGCTGCAGGTTGACATGGCGTACCATTCCACCCATATGGAAAAGATTGGCGTAGCCTACGAAAAGCTCTTGGCCCAAGACTTACCGCCCACCTTTCGCACTCGAACATTGGATTCCGTGTCGATGTTCTCTTCTGTTTATGGTTTCAAGCAAGAACGCTCACCGGACATCGATTACTGGAAGAGTAACATGACTTGCCCCGTTCGTTTCGACGAAGCTCTTCGTTGTATGCTATCCGAAGAGTCTCCGATCGACAAGCTCATTGAGATCGGTCCGAGTGGGACCCTGAAGGGACCCATTGCGCAGATCACGGCCAGCATGGGCGGACAGGCGACGAACACTGTCTATCTTCCCGCGCTCAAGCGAGGTCAAGACTCCATCAAGCCAACGCTCGAGGTTGCAGGTGAACTGTATCTCTCCGGGCTCCCGGTCGACATGGCACAGGTCAACGAAGACTCGGAATCGACCGCACCGCTGGTGGTCATTGACTTGCCCAACTACTGCTGGAACCATTCGACGAAATACTGGTCTGAGAGTGCCGCCAGTCGTGATTGGCGGTTTAAGAAATTCGTCCATCACGACCTGATCGGAACCAAGGTATTGGGGACATCGTGGCGGGCGCCGATGTTCAAGAAGGCTATGAATTTGAGCGATCTCCCATGGCTAAAAGATCATCGCATTGGCAGTAACATTGTTTTTCCGGGTTCTGGCTACCTTGCTATGGCTATTGAGGGGATCTTTCAAGTGCAGTCAATGAATGGTCTCTCGTCTGCCGAAACAGCGAGCGCACTATGTTATCATCTCCGAAATGTCCGTTTTGAGATGGCTCTCACGCTTGAGGACGGAATTGAACCTGATGTGTACTTGTCTCTCAATCCCCTTCCAGGTTCCAAGGATGTGTGGTATGAATTCTCTGTTTCGTCAAGTCATGGCAGCGGCGCCACGATCAAACATGCAGGAGGTCAAATCCGTGTTCAAGACTCTCTCCCTGAGATCGCCTCTGCAACAGACATTGCGCCTCTCGTAAACCCAACACCCGGCGACCTCTGGACGAAGGCATTTGCGGAGATGGGTTTCGAATACGGGCCTGCTTTTTATCTTCTCGAGAAAGTCGAGTCGCACGCCGGCAAGCGCTATTCCCGTTCTTTAGTGACGCTCACAGAGCCTTCTTTCGCTGGTAAGGCCCAATCCCAGTATCCGTACCATCCCGCGGCCCTCGACAGCATCTTCCGAGCGACGGCTCCCGCATTCTGTGAAGGACTTCGCACACGTCTTACCGAGCCCCTCGTTCCCTCAGCGTTCGACGATCTTATCATAAACCCCAACCCAAGCCGCCCGTCCTCGGGCATGGCAGTCGCGACCAGCGTCTACTCAGGGAGAGGACGTGAGGATACTGGCAAAAGCTTCGTGTCTGACGTGTCAATGTATGATCCCGATACTGGGGCGTTGCTCATGAAGTTGAAGAACTTTTCCACTCATTTGATCGATCTTGGAGTTGACGCCGTCGCATCTCAGTGGCTGACACGGGACATCTGGAAGCCGGATATTACCACCTTAACCCGTGAGACCCTGTCGAAGCTCGACATCAAACAGGCTGGCTCGATCCCGTACATTCTTGATTTGATGGCTCATAGAAATCCTGCATTGGGTATCTTGGAGATCAATGTTGGAGCAGAAAGCCAGAGCAGTACGTGGTTTGAGAGAGGTAATTCCGCTGATACTGAGACCTATCGCCGATACTGCTACCTGGGAGATAATGTCGAGGCACTTGATCAGTTTCAAGCTCGCTACCGGGACAGAAAGAACACTTCCTTCTACCTGTATGACCGAGAGAGTTCAGCTCTGGGCTTGGAATCCAAGGATGAAATTTTTGATGTTATCACTATCAATTCTAATGGTGCAAGTCAAGAAATAAGCCCTCTATTGAAGGCCGTCAAGGGCTTCCTAGCAGCAGACGGGCGGGTGTTGCTGACTAGGACAATGGGTCAGGATGCGGTGGATGAGCTGCTACAGACCGCCGAACTTGAATTTGACCATGTCTTGCCAATCCCTCAAACGGAGGGGACCACCTATCTGTGTGCACATTGCTCCTCAGGTAATAGGAGTGCGGTCTCCAAGCCGTTGCATGTATTCTACATGGAGCCGTCGACGAGCCTGACCCCTGCGATCAGAACCCAACTGAGCACAGCAGGCTGGGATGCGATCGAGCACGTGTGCAACCCAGACAATATCCCCGAGTCAAGCACTGTGCTAATCATTGACGAACTATTCGCCCCTGTCTTGACTCATGTTTCGGACGAGCAATGGCAGTGTCTGCGCGGTCTTGTCGGACGCGGCTGCAATATTCTCTGGGTTACACAGGGTGCCCAGATGCAGGTCACAGAGCCGGATAATGCTATGATTTCTGGTCTGTTCCGCTCGATCCGATCAGAAGATCCTTCGGCAGTCGTCATGACGCTGGACGTCGAGAATCGGGATGATCCCCATGCACCAGGCGCTGTAGTGCACGCCTTGGCTCAATTGAGCCGCCCGCAAGCGCGCTGGGTTACAGACAGCGAGTATGCCGAGCGCAATGGAATCATTCACATCCACCGCGTTGCACCGTACAAGCGCTTGGATCAAGCCATCGCAAACGAATCCGACGCCCTGATAAAAACACGGATCCACGACCTTGACTCGACCGTGCAGCTGCGAGCCGAGAAGCTGGGTACGCTTGACGGGCTCACCTTCTGCGAGATCGCTGAAGTTTCGCTACCCGACGATCATGTAGAGATTGAAATCCACGCTGTTGGTCTCAACTTCAAGGACGTTGCGGTCACAATGGGCATTGTACCCGAGAACGAATATCTTCTTGGTTTGGAGGGTGCGGGCATTGTCCGACGTGTTGGCTCCGGACTGTCGCCGGACCTTGTGGGGAGTCGAATGGTTTTCATTATTAAAGGAGCCCTGGCAAACCGGATCCAGGTCCCGATCAGTTACACCCATGAAATCCCGGCCTCTATGTCATTCGAGGAGGCGTCCAGTATGCCGGTCGTCTACTCTACGGCGATCTACTCGCTGTTTAACATCGGCAATCTCCAGAAAGGACAAACGGTGTTGATTCATTCTGCGGCCGGAGGAGTAGGAATTGCTTGCATTCAGCTTGCACTCTACGCAGGAGCAGAGATTTACGTCACTGTCGGCACAGACGAGAAGAGACGGTATCTTCACGAGACGTTCGGCATTCCTTTCGAGCGGATGTTCACCTCGAGAAGTACTTCCTTCGCTGGCGATATCATGAAAGCGACGAATGGCCAAGGTATTGATGTCATCGTAAACTCGCTGACGGGCGAGCTGCTCGACGCTACCTGGCGGATTTGCGCCGACGGAGGCACGATGGTGGAAATTGGCAAACGCGACATTGTCGAGCGCAATTATCTCTCGATGGAACCGTTCGATCGCGGCTGTTCGTACCGGGCAGTCGATCTCTCGCATGCTAAGATAATGCGCGACGGAGTGCATTTCAAGTGGGTACCTTGATTCTATTTCAATTCATTTTTCTAACCCTCTGCAGACTGATGAAGCGCATCTTCGAGCTGATTAATGGCGGACATATCACTCCGATCACCCGCATCACCCGGTTCTCCATGACACAGATTCAAGCTGCGTTTGCCTACCTCCGCAGCGGCAAGCACATCGGCAAGGTAGTCATCAGCGATGGAGAAGCAACTGGGGATGTCGAAGTCCCCGTCCGTCGTCTGCAACATAAACATAATGTCACCATCACCGACACTACGGCCTTCCTGATCGTGGGTGGCCTCAAGGGTCTCTGCGGCAGCTTGGCCGTGCGACTGGCCTACCGCGGCGTACGACACATCGTGATCCTGACACGCAGCGGATGCCGCGACCCGCGGTCGCAGGCGGTGATCGCGCAATGCCGGTCACTGGGATGCGAGATCTACGACTGCCGTGGCGACGTAGCGCGGATCGTCGACGTGCGACGGGCCTTCACGCGCGCTCCGTATTCAATCCAGGGCGTCATCCACGGGGCGATGGTTCTACGCGACCGACCGTACGAAACGATGACCGTCAAGGAATTCCACCAAGCGATCGAAGCCAAGGTACACGGAGCGTGGAATCTGCACAGCGTGGCGACCGAGAAGCGCCTGCCCCTGGACTTCTTCCTCTGCCTTTCCAGCATTTCCAGCGTGATCGGCAGCAAGGGCCAAGCCAACTACGCGGCCGCGAACTGCTTCCTGGACTCGTTCGCGGCGTACCGGCGGTCGCTCGGGGCGCAGTGTCTGACGATCAACCTCGGCGTGATCGAGGACGTGGGCGTGGTGGCCGAGTCCGACGCACTGTCGCAGCGCCACCAACGCTCCGTCGAGATCAGCGCCATTCCGGAAAGCGCGCTGCACGCGATCCTAGACGCGGCCTTAAGCTGCCAAGCCTTCACCGACCCGGGCAGCCCCCCAATCTCCCAGCTCGTCACCGGTCTCGCGCTGCCGCAGGACCCCGAGCAGTCCATGCTCCGATTCGACCCGCGCTTCCGCACGCTCTTCGTCGTCAACGGCGCCGACTCTCCATCCGCCGGCGGCGCCGGCACGAAGGCCGACCCCCTCACTCGCGCGGTGCACAAGTTCCGGGCGCTGTTCCGCGCGGACGCGGAGACGGAGACCGACGAGCAGCTGGCGCAGCAGACCTGTTTGGAAATTCTGGGCGCGCGGCTGGCGCAGATGCTGCGGTGGGACGACTCGCAGCAGGTGGAGCCGGGCCAGCCGCTGTCGGTGTACGGGCTGGACTCACTGGCGGCGGTGGAGTTGCGCAACTGGATCAAGTCGGAGATGGGGGCGAACGTGAGCACGCTAGATATTGTGAATGCGGACAGTCTGGTGATGCTGGGGGGGAGGGTAGTCTCAAAGCTACGCGCCGAGCAGGAGAAGGAGCGGGCTTAGAACTTCTGCATTGACTTTTTACCGGATAGATAGACATATGATAAACGCTAGAGTACCACAAATGCAACCAACCATTCCCCAACAGACGCGTAACCTCATCCCAGACCCGGCCAAGCCGCATCAAACCCCAAATCAAACCCCAGCGACCAATTCTCGTCTAGGAACGGCCACTGCACCATCTCAGAGCCTAGCTGCTCGCCATGCTCCACCGCGCCAGGCGCAGGAGCATCCGCGACAATCCCACCGGCGGCAACCGGGCCCCCAGCCTGCCTGCCGTCGCTGCTCTCGACGCCCCGCGTACGTGCGGCCGCGGAGGCAATCTCCGGCCTGGACACACGGATATCGCCGTACTCATCCAGGGTACCCGCCAGCGTGAGATGATCCGGCCGCTCGGCCATGATATCGACTGTGCGCTCAGACCCAGCATTCGACAGACTGGCGGGCGGTTTGGCGGTCGAGTAGAACCGGTTGGCTTCTTGGAGGGTGCGCCACTACATCCCATTGCTACGTCAGTAAGCCTAATCCCCTGATCAATGCGAGGGAAGTTGCTCTATCAAGCCCCCTCCCCCGGATCCAACAACCACCGGAGACCAAAGGGCGGAAACGTACCCAACTATGCCCCACGACCCAGTAGCGACACAGCCGCTCGAGGTACTCGAAGTTCCGCTTCTTCTCGTGCTCGGCGCGCGCCCGGCCGCCCGGATACCGCGCCGGCACGACGGTGCCGTACATGTTGATGTGGGCGGCGACAAAGACGCTGTAGCCTGCGTAGGAGGTGATGACGGGGGTGCCGGAGGCGTCGAGGGCGGCGAGGATGCTGCCGATGTGTTGGGCGGCGGTGAACAGGTGGTCGAGGGCCGTGTCGGGGTCCGGGATGTGAGCGGGTCGAGGGGTGGGAGTCGGCGTGGAGAGGAAGCTGTCGCGGTAGAGAAAGAGGATGCTACGCCACAAAACCAACCTTAGTGTCCTATACGCTATACACAGGGAGATTGGGGGGGAGAACGGGTGGGTATACCTCATGAAGTACACCAGATTGATATACGCGAACAGCTCTCCATATCCCAGCGCAACATGCGCCTGGGCACTGGTATCCGGAAACCGCACCGTGAGATCCTGCAGCTCGCGCCACTCATCCAGCTCAGCCTTGAGCGTGGCCCACATGCGTGACGAGACGCCCTGCGCGTTGGCCGTGGCGACACCGCGACCGCGCCGGCTCTCGTTGGCAAAGCGCAGGATGCGCACGAAGATATCGAAGCCGCGCGTCACGATGCTCAGCCCGCAGTCGATCGTCAGCCCCTTGGCGCGCGCTGAGCCCTGCGTCATGTCGCTGGGCATCAGGCGTGTTGCGCACACGCGCCCGAAGGTGAAGTCCTGGTCGCTGATGGGCAGCGGCACCAGGATCTGGCGGAAGGACAGCGCGATGTGCTGCCGTGCTCCTGAGCTCAGCTCGCAGTCCTGCGCGAAGCAGCACCAGTATGTTCGCACTAGTTGCTCGTATGCGATCTGTGTTTGCGCGGCGTGGAATTCTTCCGGGTTGTGCTCCATGCTGTCGTCGGCTGTTTTCAACAGTGTCTGGATCATGTACGTTGCCATTCCTGACAGTCTTGGTCAGTTTACAGTGGGTTTGGGTATGTGAAAGATGGGGAGGGGCTGTGATGTACGGACCGCTGTACATCCAGGCTCGGTACGGATGACCCGACCCCCATTCGTAGAGCGACAGCATGACCAGGGATTGCGCCAGGTATAGCGATGGAGCTTCGAAGGCGCGGTGGGCCAGCTGGCTCCGCGCGTAGCCGGCGTAGGTTTCTTCGGAGGCGAGGTCCGCGTCGCTCATGAACCGGACGCAGAGTGAGAGTAGCGCCGCCAGGAAGACGGGGTCCACGGAGGTGACATCGCTGGAGAGATCGGCAATCAGGGAAGGGTAGTGCAGGAAGTTGACGACGGGGAAGCGCTTGCGGTAGATATCGCACGCGTTGATCAGGGTCGCGGTTGTTAGCGCTGCAACAGGGGTCGACGGGGGAGTGAGGATGCCGGGACTGAGGCCTGGAGAGAGGACATCTTCTTGACTAGGCCGACGGACTGTGTTCCTGGTGTATGGAACGGACTGACGAGCTCGAGGAGTGCGTATTACTGAGGGCGAGCGTGGATCGGTGAGGAGGCAGGGCTCGCGATTGAGGCGTTGACAACGCCGACAGGGAGGTTGACCATCATGAACGCATTTCACTTTTGAGCGTCTGGTTCATGAGCTACAGCTGGGTTTACAATGGAGCGTGGTGATGGGGACCTACCGACAGCTATCGCATGAGATGGACAGACGCATTTCGAGAAAGATGAGATAACAGTCAGTGAGAGAAAGCCGAGGATCGGAAATGGCGGGCTTTGAGCGGGTCGGGAATGATAGGGTTTGAACCACCAAAACCCGCAGTGGACCCCCTCACTCATTCTTCGATGATGCCTCGCTGGGTTCGCGGTGGACCGGCCGGGAATTGCGCTTGACTCGGCATCAGGAGAGATGATGTGACCATGTCCGTGCTGCTTCTTGCTGGCTGAGACCTTGAGAGATGGTGTGGAGGAGAAATGAGGTGTTTGCATGAATGAAGGAAGTTGCAAATCGAGCCATGGTTGCTGCCACACAAAACGTCACTGGACGTATTGGGACAAGATAAAAATGACCAATCCTCCTTAATTCTCCTTAATTACCGTGGTTTATTCTCAAATAGGCAATTATGCACATTCCTGGTGCATACTGCCGATCAACACCACGCTTATGTAGACGGCCAGCCAACTTCCCCGCGCGCAGCAACATCAACTCACAATCACACAAGATACTCATCATGACGCAGACCTCGATCGACCGTCATCTGCAGGAACGGTCGGCTTTACTCGAGCGAGAAAAGACGAGTCGCCGCGACCATGCCTTCAAGACGAACATGTCCCCTGTTGCACAGATGGCTGCGGAGATCGTCGCACTCACCCGCCAGCATGAATCCAAGATCTTCTGGACAACCACTGAGGGCAGCCATAGCGAAACCAAACATCCAGTCCTCTTCCCAGGCATGTCGTTTGCCGTCTCGCGCGACCGGATGCAGCGGACCTGGTTATGGAATATCGTGGCGGCCATGCCCAAGGGCTGTCTTCTGCACGCCCACATGGAGGCGATGATCGACATCGACTGGATGCTGGACCAGGCATTAGAGATCCCCGGGTTCTGCATGTCAAGTCCAATCCCCATCAACCCAGCCACAACCACAGAATTACCACCACCGTTTGAATTCCACTACCGCCCTGGACGATCAGTCGCTTGCGCAATCCCCTCCATCTGGACCGCCGATTACCCTCCCAACGAGCTAATCCCCCTCGGTCAAGTCGCTCGAACGCACCCGGGCGGGATATCTGCCTTCAAATCCTGGGCCATTGTCCAGATGACCATCACGAAAGACGAGGCCCTGTACCACCACCACCGGGGAATCGTCGACGTGTGGAAGAAATTCGCCGCCTGTTTCCGCGGCATCGGCGGCCTGTTCTACACGGAGCCCATTTTCCGGCGATGCGTGCCGCGACTGCTACAGCAGCTGCACGACGACAAGATCAAGTATGTTGAGCTGCGCCTGGTGCCGGGCGCGTTCCACCGAACCGGCTCGGACGTAGCCGAGTCGGACGCGCGGTACTTCTTCGAGTGCTTCGCGCAGGAGCTGCAGGCGTATTGCGCGTCTCCGCACGGAGCAGGCTTCTGGGGCGCGCGGATGATCTGGACGGCGCTGCGCAGCCTCCCGGACGAGGCGATCCGCGCGTCGATGCAGCACTGCCTCGACTGCAAGGCGGCGTATCCGGCGCTCATCGCCGGGTTCGACTTCGTCGGCCAGGAGGGTCTGGGTCGTCCGTTGGTGGACCTGCTCCCCCTGTGCCGGTGGTTCCAGCAAGAGTGCGCGCGGCGCAACCTGACCATCCCCTTCTTCTTCCACGCCGGCGAGTGTCTGGGCGACGGAGACGCGACCGACGGGAATATCGTGGATGCCATTCTGCTGGGCTCGCGTCGCATCGGCCATGCGTTCTCGCTGTATAAGCATCCGTTGCTGATTGACATGGTCAGGGACCGTCAGATCCTGGTGGAGATGTGTCCCATCTCGCACGAGATCCTGCGGCTTACCTCGAACATTCTGACGCATCCTATGCCGGCGTTGCAGGCGCGTGGCGTGGCGGTGTCGTTGAATAATGATGATCCCGCGATTTTGGGGCACGGCGGCAATGGACTCAGCTATGACTTCTATCAGGTGTTGAATGCGTTTGAGAACACCGGGCTTGGCGGCGTGGCTGCTATGGCGGAGGATAGTGTTCGCTGGGCTGCATTCGAGGATGAGTCGGAGACGGAGTGGTTGGCGGGGGTGGCTGGTCAGGTTGGTGGGTTGAAGGCTTCTAGACTCGCGGAATGGCGGGCTGAGTTTGAGAGTTGGTGCGAGTTGATTGTCAGGCAGTTCGCATGGGATGTTAAGGGTGGTGTAGGGAAGAGAGCTGGTTAACAGGATGTTTTCGAGGTGATATACTTGTCCTCTGCATGGCCTGCTTGTTTCAATCAATAATGATCTTTCAAGTCCCATTGCCTGTCAGTCACGGCCTTCCTCTAGCCAGCCGATAATAGGAAGTGGAACCTGTAATCCAGCTCCTCGCTCATAGCTGTTGAGCGATCCATAGCAGGCTGATTGCCATTCGGTCTAGGCCCAAGCTTGATACATGTGCAGGGGGGTCATGCTGACAGTTCGTACATCATTCTTAAGATGCCTGCCTATAGAATTTGCTTTGGGACAAAATTAACGACAAGACGTACAATATCCTCGCTGCGTCTCTATGGGGATGTGGGAAGTTATTGCTGAGCTGTGACTGACAGAATATACTTCCAGTCGTTGATACACGGTTGACGTGATCACGCTGTCAGTTCTAGAGCAGAGCCAGACATTGAGCACACTCGCAAGTCGATCTCCAGCTTGCAGAACTCATTGTTCACCAGTACGACTACACTGCTTGACTACTTGTTGCCTGCCGACCTTGATTGTATACCCCTTAGATCCCAATCGAGACGAGGGTTAGGGCCGACACGGGACTTCACACCGCCTTGTCGGCAAAATCTCGGCCTTACAAATTCAGTTCTTTGCCATCATGCAACTGGACTCCACCAACTCCAACTTACTTCCTTGAGTCATAAGATTACCCCAACAGACAAAACCAACACACAATGACAGTCATGACTCATTATCATTAATACTCTCTACTATTACTTCATAACAGAACTATGCAATCCCACCGGGATACCCGGTCAGGGGCCCAACAGCCAGCCATCAAGCCCGCACCTCGCGCACCTGGCGCACCCACTGATTCAGCTTCTCGACCTGAGTCTCATCGGTAGCCCAGGACGTCACAATGCGAATGACGGTGTGGCCGTCGCGCTTCTCCCACTCATAGAAGCGCATGCGCTCCTCGAACTGGGGCAGGAGGTCGTCGGGAACGAGCACAAACACCTGATTCGTCTCCGTCTCGGCGTCAAGAGCGAAGCCCATCTGCACGAAATTCTCAGCTAGACGACGGGCCATCTCGTTGGCGTGGCGGGCCAGCTCGAAGAACAACCCATCCCGAAACAGTTCCGCGAACTGCACGCCCATGACGCGCGACTTGGCCAGTAGGGCGCCGTGCTGCTTGACGTGGAACTCAAAGCCCTCAGCAATGGCGCGGCGCACGACGATGGCCTCGCCGAGCAGGGCGCCCATCTTGGTGCCGCCGATCCAGAAGATATCGGTCAGATCGACGAGGTCGCGGAGGGTGAGGTCGTCGTTGGCGGCGAGGGCGACGCCGAGACGGGCGCCGTCGACGAGCAACAACAGCTCACGCCGCCGACACACGGCCGACAGCGCCTGCAGCTCGGCGCGCGTGTACACGGTGCCCAGCTCGGTGGCGTTGGAGATGTACACCAGGCGCGGCTTGGCCATGTGTGGGAAGAATTGGTTGCGGTCCAGCGTGTGCTCCAGGTTGGTCGGTGTCATCTTGCCGCGCGCGTGCGGTACCCCGATGATCTTGTGGCCTGTTGCCTCGATCGCCCCGGCCTCCTTGCAGCTGATGTGCCCCGTGTCCACCGCGACGACCGCCTCGTACGGCCGCAGACAGCTGGCGATCGAGATCAGGTTCGCCGCCGTCCCGCTCGGCACGAAGTGGATCGCTACCTCCTCCGGTGTCGTGTGCAGGTGCTGCGTGTGCAGGATGTGTCGTGCCTCCGCGCTGTAGTCGTCAGTGCCGTAGCTAGTTTGCTGAGTGTTGTTATTGCGTATCAGCGCCTCCAGCAGGCGCGGGTGCGCGCCTTCGCTGTAGTCATCCAGGAAGCTGTAGGGGGTGGAGAGTTTGACGATCATGATGAGGGCGGTTGTGAAAATTCCAGTGCAGTCCAGTCTAGCAAACGAGTTGAAACGAGTGAAAAGACGGTACCGGGGGTTTTAACAAAGAACGCTCAACTCAAGCATTTCAAAGAAAGGTTCGGTTTCTGGACACGGGGTCGGTGGGTGGGCAATGGGGCGTTCTTTATACGTAAAGCCAACGGGAGGGAGAAAAAAAGTCTGGGCCTTCTTCAGCGGCCGATTTCCGAGCGTGTCGGGAATCGCCGTTGTGCTCGTCGGGAATAACTTCTCGGGAACCCGCGGTGCGATTTGTAAGAGATTCGGCGGGGCAGTCCACTCTGGAGCTGCGTAGCACGCAATGGCGTTTCTATTGCATAATATGTCTGCTGCCATTCGGATTGCGGTCTGTCGTCGCCAGATTGGGAGATGTAATGCTGGATTGAAGTTGGTTTGAACATGCATCGTGAACAGGAGATCTCCCCGGACCAGCGCGGAGACTTCCACCGGCGCAGTCGCCACTCAACCACGCGATGTTGACCCTGGAATGCTCGCCTGTTCCTGGCTGGCTCGGCCAATTAGCAGGCTAGTTCCTGCCGTCCATTGAATCGTGTTTTCTTGATTTAGAACCGGACATTATTGGTGCGTGCTCCCCACTATGCTTATATTCGGCGGATATCTATAGTTACTAAATACCTTGGCAGCCATTCTACCTCAGGGCTTTCACCGCACTGCCCTTTAACACGCCTTCCACCATGATACTCACGATACACAACCCTAAGCAGCACTAGTCGTGCTGGGCAGCCCCCCATCGATCGCCCTAGGGTCGCCATCAGACGTGCCCTGCACCGCCTGGCCGCCCTCCGCCGTCCACACATTGGTGAAATAAGGATAATGCACAGCCGACAAATCCACCGCGACTGTGATCCATGCAAACAGGCCATCCTCGATCTTATCACCCAGATACGCAAACTGAAGAAATGGATCCGCACCGCTGCCCTGAGTCTCGACTCCAATGACGCGGTCCTCGGCGTTCGGCGTGATGGGAATGGCATTGGTATTGTAAGGATAGGTAGCCTCGACAGCCTCGATGAGCTTCTGGTCCCAGAAGATCTGGCCGATGTGGGGAACCGCGCCGCCGGCAAGGGTGTTATTGGGAAGCAGGGTGGCATTGACGTGGACGATGTTGTGGTAGTGGGTGGCGCGGCTGGCGTAGTGGCCGGGGAAGAGGGTTTCGAATGTGACGACTCCCTCTCTATCCGTCTGCTGCACGCCGCGCAGGAAGCTGCGCTGCCGGTTCGCCAGGTCCGCGGCGTTGCCGTTGCCCTCGGCCACGAGGCCCGAGTACACGCCCGTGGCGTTGCAGCCCCAGATCTCCGTCCACAGCCGCGGGATCGGCTGGCACGTCGCCGCGTCGATGTACTGCTGCTCGATCACCACGGGGATGCCCGGCTGGTCTTCGCGGATGCGCGACCGGATGGTCTCGCCGGGTAGCCAGTACGGTCCGGTTTCGCCCTCCGGGCTCGGGCCTAGGAGGCAGATGTTCTTGTCGTCGTTGAAGACGTACGACGCGGGCGAGAAGGGCGAGATCGGTCGCGTCGCTTCGTGCGAGGCGTTGAGCGCGCTGGCGGTGTCGCGCACCCGCACCTGGCGCCGGTGCTGCTCGACCTGTGCGCGGCGCCGGGCTTCGGCGCGGGCACGCACGCCGCTGGCTTCGAGGCTGGGCGCACACTTCTGCAGCCTGGCGGCCAGACTGCGCTTGAATGACCGCAGTTGCAGCGCTTCGTGCTCGTCGTGGTGGCCCGGGTGCGCGGTAGCCAGGAGCGCAGTTCCGAGGAGGGACAGGTGGAGCAGGGTTTGCAGGTGCATTGGAGGCAGAGGTTGCTGATTGAGGTTGTGGGTGGGAGGATTTTGAGATGGACGAGTTGTGTTGGAGTCGTCGACGGCACGTCGTCGGGGTTTTTATACCTCGGATTCGAACTGCTGGCACTCGGTGATAGCGGTCCTCTGCCAATTGTCTCGCTTCGGGATAATACTTTACTCGCCGGTCAAATCATCATTGAGACATTATCGTTCCGCGGCTCGATCGCCGCGAGTCACTCTCCAGCGCGAAGATCAGTCTCGTCTCGACGTGACGGGGACCCTCGGAGGCTGCAGAGCGGTAGGCAGCGACTTCAGCTTCACATGTCCGACAACATCACGGAAGCATAGCAACCATCCAAGTCCGAACAAACACAGAGACCATCGGTCCGGCTGCGAGAAGCTGTGGAGTCCAAGCCTCCAGCGACTTTGCTGCTATCACATCGCACCGCGTCTGACTGGCTACCGGCCGCCTCCCACAATGATATCCCATACACCCACAATGCCCAGACTGTGGAGAGTGTGGGAGAGCTCGATATCGCATCGCTGGCGCGGTATCGGCCAATGGTGGTATCGGGATTGCCAACATGAAGTGCGAATGCCAAGGGATGATGGAAGCGCCAAGATATGAGATATAGATTGAAGCGGAATGGACGATGGGCGGATTGGCACAGGGGACGGAGTCGATCCCGACGATCGAGCTCCATCGGAATAGGATTTAGCAGGGGTTCGGATGGTCGCCGAGTTGGCCGGCCCGAGTTGGATTCGAGTTGGCATCTTCGAGTTGTGGTCTGGGTGATCTTCTGTCCTGCCGGCGCCGTATCACCAGCTATACATCAAACAGATCCTCCGCGTACATTCGTCAAAGCTCAAAAAGGGCCACTCGCTTACCTCGACCGTGTATCTTTTCCATAGTTTCGGAGAGCACAAAACTTGATATCGACATACTCCGGAATCATTCCGTCCAAGAGCAGGCATTATGGGCTGCAGCTACATAAGCTGCTCTTGGCGACAAGTCAGCCGTCATCCTGGTGCAAGTGAGGACCCTCCTGCTGCAGGATGGAGGCAGGTCGGGATAAGAGTTTAGCCCCCGATGGGTTGACCGCAGATCGCCCGCCAATCTTCAGCAGAAGACAATTACTCGTTCTAAGTACGATTCAGGGACTAGTCTCGAGTGATTCGACTGTAGATCAGTACTGCTAGGAGAAAGCAGTTTTTGCACTGACCTAAATTGAGCGTGGCAGTGCTCGCGAGAGGTTGGCTATCAAACCTACGGTCCAGGCGTCAGCTCTGAAGACCTTGATAGACATATACTGGAAGGTTAATACCCTTTCCATGTGCTTGGGTCTCTTCTTGGTGCTCTTTCGTTCCGATGAACCAGTAACATGGTCCCTCCTTCATGTGTCCTTACTGCTCGACTGCATAGTGTCAAGCTCATCATATTGTACTCCCACGCTCTAACACAGCTCGGCCTGATTCGATGGGCCTCATATGAGAATACACCACGAGGCAACTAGACGGTTCAATTGTGAGACGTGAGCCACCGTACTGTGTCAAGGAGATGGTATGACGTGGTTGCGCAACCCCAGCAGCCCTTCTTGGATGGTTGCACCGTAGAAACTAAGTACCGAGGTAATCTCAACACACTAAGTCATCGTCGGACGAGACTAGAGGGGGACGGCGTCTGCACGGCGTACAGGGAGTGGATCTGGAGCGCGACCCTGACCGGTCAATTTCAGTCGGATATGCAAGTCGGACGAATCGAGGAAGTGATGTGCAACCGTGCTTGCAGACCCCCCCCCCTCTTTCACTCATCATTACTTTCTTATCGAGCCCAGATGAGAATTCTGACCTCTTTCTCCTGCACCTCACCCCCATCTTCACACTCGAAATCACAGCCAACATGAACAACACGCAGGAGAACCATGCTCTCGTCTTCGGCGCATCGGGCATCGTAGGCTGGGCGTTTGTCAACGAGTTGCTGAGCGACTACCCCAGCCCTAACTCGTTCTCAAAAGTGACGGCCTTCACCAATCGCCGCCTCACCCCGGAGCAACAAGCTCAATGGCCCGCCTCTGACAAACTGCACCTGGTCTCTGGCCTCGACCTGATCAATAACGACCAGCCAGCCGTCGAATCTGCTCTGCAATCGCAGGTCTCTTCGCTCGGCGTCGTGACAACCGTCTACTTCTGCGCTTACCTCTTCGACGCGGACCCTGCCCGCGAGACCGAGATCAACATCCGCATGCTTCAGACCACCGTGCAGGCCCTCGAGTCCCTCTGCCCTCGATTCCGCATGCTCGTCCTTCCAACCGGCATCAAGGTATCGTTCCTGTCCATTTGCCAACTCCGGTATCTCATACTAATGCATGATAGGCCTACGGCGTACACCTTCAAACTGCCTTCCCCTTCTCGCACGCGCTCCCCCTCCACGAAACCCACCCGCAACTCCCCGAACCCCACGCCACAAACCTCTTCTACACACACCAGCACGCCCTCCTCCGTCGTCTCAGTGCCTACAAGCAATGGACCTACCTCGACCTGCGCCCGGACATCGTCGTCGGGTTCGTGCCCAACAACAACGGGCACAGTCTCGCTCAGTGGATTGCCCTGTACCTCAGTTTGTACCGGTATATCTATGGGGAAGGTGCGGCGGTGGGGTTTCCCGGCACCTGGAAGAGCTATTCCGCGCGCGCGCAGGATAGTAGTCAGGATTTGATCGCTAGGTTTGGGATATGGGCTTCGCTGAGGCCCGGGAACGAGGTGGGTGGGGAGAGTTTTAATATCGCTGACGCCGACGCGGGAAAAGCCGCGCCGTGGAAGGACAAGTGGCCGGTGGTATGCGAGTGGTTTGGATTGCGCGGGGTTGGACCGGAGGAGGAGGGCGTTGGGGCTGGGTCTAAGGTGGATATCGTAGCCTTTTTGCGGGAGCATGTCGCCGAACGGAAGACAATGGAGAGGGAATTCGGTCTGAACAGCGGGCATGGCACGCCGGAAGATGGGGCCAGTTTGCCGCATACACCCGGTTTCTTGCAGGGCGGATTCGACTTCGATCGTCCGTTGGATTTGGGCAAGGCGTATCAGCTGTGGGAAGATCGCAAGGAAGAGAGGGATATCAGAGGCACTTGGTGGACCGCGTTTGAAAGATATAGAAAGGCGAAGATTATCCCGTGATTTATGAACTTGTGGGTGTGTTTTTAATAGCTTTGTCTTATATACCGAATGAATGGGAAGCAGTTTGACGAGCTCGAGGATACGCTAAAGTGTATCAATACTCAAACGTTTCTCTCCCTCGCTAGTGTCTCTCGCACCGGAGCGAAGATCTTCTGCCTCACTTCCGGCGTATGCGCGTCGAAATATGGGCTGGGCGAAATGTTCCACTCCGGCACCACGCGCTGTCCCTGGGGTCCGGCCTTCCAGACCTCCAGCACCGCACCTCCTTCGTACTCGCCCTTCTCGATCAGCCCAAACATACACTCGGCAACATATTCAGGGCTGAGCAACTCTCCTCCCTCGAGGGAGTACTGCTCCATTGTTGCGGGGCGGTCGGTGAACAGTGGCGTCCGCACGGCCCTAGATTCCAGGATTAGAATATCCCCGCTTCATCAACTCATATCCAGATCCTGGCGGACCGAAGCTTCAGGACATACCCAGGACAAACTGCCGTAACCTTGACTCCTTCCATTGCCTCATATGGCGCCATCGCCTTCACAAACCCCCAGATCGCATGCTTGGCAGCGGTATACAGAGGGGCAGCGGGCGCAGCAGCGATGCCCGCCAGTGAAGAAACGCAACATACGACACCCTTCTTGTTTTTTCGAAGTAGTTCGCGGATCGCGATGCGAGTGAGCTTGATAGGGTGGTTGACGTTGATCTCAAGCGCAGCGTACCCATTCTGCTCCGTGTCGTCCCAGAAGTTGGACCATGTCTGCCCACGCCAAGTTAGACTTTGAAGCAAGTGAACAATCCAATAAACATACCGGGTCGAAGACGCCAGCTGCGGGAATGTACACGTCAGGCACATCGCCCCATTTGTCCTGCGACAGAGCGATCAACGCTTCGAGGTCGGCCCAGTTGCGAACATCACAAGGCTGGAATATGACAGTTTCGGTGCGGTTGACAAAAGATTCGGCCCCGGGAGTGAGTTTAAGGTCTGCAATGATGGTTTTGGCGCCTTTGGAGGTAGCTAACTGGGCGGCAGCTAGTCCGATTCCTGCTGCGAGTCAGCCGTCACTCTGCGCTTATGAAGCCCGTAAATCGTACCGGACCCTCCGCCGGTAACGACAACAATCTTATCCTGCACTGAAAATTCTTCGGACATTGTAGCGCGACTGGAGGAGAAACCTTGTGGCCGAAGGAACGCGGGGCCTTCCTGGCTTTATCAGGCTCAGTCCGGCACCTCTAGCGTGCAAGCCAGCCCCGATACGGTAATTCGACGATCGCCTGCATTGACAAATCATGTTCGAGGGCATGACTTAGAATCGTGCACAATGCAGCGCTACCCACGTCGGTCCAATGAGAAGCAACCACTGTAGAAAGACATTACCCTGTGATCCAATGCCCCCAAGGAAAAAATCTCACAGAAATCGATAAACAAACTCTGAACTTTCCAGGTTCACCGAGGGTTCCTGGGACGACGACTTGCCCAAGATATCGGTGTAATATTCGGTGAAATTGACCAGACCATACCAATCGAGCGGGGCCAGAAGTCCCCATTGAAGTGATCTGGTGATGGCTGCATTGATTGCTGAACAGACGGAGTTCCCACCGCAGCGTTTAAGCCCATGGCTGGTGACACACCGGCTGCTCCGGACCCAGATTCCTCGACGTGGCGCGTAGAATTTGTGGCCGCTGGCTTGCTGTCGGCTAATCTCAAGATCCGGGCGGTGCTGTCATCCAAGCATCGGAAGAAAAGATCAGGGACCCAGCTCTGTAGATCCCACGACTTTTGCAACTCCTGTAAACCCAACAGACAAAGTCTAGCCCGATGTTCGGCCAGCTTTCGACCAGTTCCGGTCTCTCGCCAGAGATAAATGGTGTGGATGCATAGAGTTGAGAAGGTGTGAGCTATTCTGGACGCTTAGCAAACGTTGCACTAGCTGAGGAGTTGACTTACAGATGAGTTGGTCCGTGTTGAACGAGGTTATGTTGACAACATGTCCTCGAAGATCCTGGTGCTACGTGTGGCGGCGTCCATTGGGACCTGGCTCTGTCTGTCCATGCCTTGCTCGAGCGGGTGAAGGGACAGCGCCCTGTAGAGCAGAATGTATAAGTTACTATGCCCAGGTCAGCTTAGCACAGCAGATGACACCAACTGCAAGCCTTACTTGTAAGTCATATACATCAGCTCTGTCGGGAATCCGGCTCTCGGAGTTACTGTGCCATCTTGCCTCAGCTCTAGGGGAACCTTCGATTCCCATTCAACCAAGTCCATATGTAGGTCACTTCGTGTTGTTCTTTCGGATGATGTTCGCCTTGGCCGAGACGGTGATGCCCGCCAGAGGACCTGTCTTTCTTGCAGTCTCGGTTGAGACGTGCCTTACGCCTCTCACTGAGGGTGGAGTACGCATCGTACGCTTTATAGTTTCAATGAAAGCCATTGTTGTGTCGTGGTGTTCAAGTTATGAGATGAGGATGGGAAGATGCAATGTGAGAGATGCCATAGTCATATATTCTACCGCGGTGGTTGTCTCGGTTAGCCTGGCCGAACGGTAAGTTACACCCCGGATCGCACTCTATAGGCGGACTAAAGATCGATTACTGTAACAATACAGATCTGCTGTAAATTACGCCGATCAACAGCTTCAAAACATTCAAGGGATGATCAAAAGTAAACAAACCATAAACTGATGTGATAATGATGAGCAACAACGTTTCTAGAAAATTACTCAGAACCCCCGCTTCTTTACAGCCTCACATTGTTTCTTCTTCGAAGATTAGAAGAGCCCAGCCGAAGAGAGCCTTCACAGAATCGGTGCAGCAGCCAACTGTCGCCCCCAATCAAGAACTATTCCGCTACACTTCTGGACGATGGCTGTAGGTGACTCCGAGATCAAGTATCGCCCTCTAGCTGACAGCCTGAAGATTTAACGAGCACTTACGTCTGTCGGAACGATTTCTCGAGTTTGACGTGACGGCTCTGCAAAACGTTGTTGCCTCTGCATCTGGTCATTCGATCTCCGATCTTCAGGCCTTCACCAAGTTGGCAGAGGGTGGGTACAACCGCGTATTTGAAGCCACCTTCAGCAATGGGGAGACTGTGATCGCGAGACTCCCGTACCCAAGCACGGTCCCAGAACACTACACCCTAGCCAGCGAAGCGGCTACCCTGGACTATCTCCGCCTGCAGGGGATCCGCACCCCAGAGGTGTATGCCTGGTGTGGGACCAAGGCGAATCCCGTCGGAGCCGAGTACATTGTCATGGAGAGACTGGAGGGAATCCCTCTCGGCGAGAGATGGTATGCATTGACACCCAAGGAGCACCACAAGATTATGAAACAGATAGTGGAGTGGGAGACGCGGTTGATGTCGCTGCAGTTCCCGGCATCGGGGAGCCTCTACTATACTCAAGATCTTTCACCGGAAAGGAGGGTGCAACTGCCCGCTTCCAATCTTAACGGTAAGCCATTCTGTATTGGACCAATAGCCCATTATAGTTGGTGGCATGACAGACGGGATCATCTGGATATCGACCGTGGACCTTGTGAGTACCCAAATACTGACCCCTGTATGCATGATTGACGCTGCTAACTACCAAAGGGCAATCGTCCATCGAGGTCTTCCGAGCGGCTGGCGAACGTGAACTGGCTTGGACCAAAGCCTACGCAAAACCACGCTTACCCTATGAGCGACTCTATAGAGAAATCTATGGTTTCCAGCGAGTCTCCCCCGATAGTCACATTGCTGATCTCACCAACTATCTCAAATTGGCACCAAGCTTAGGGTTCCCCGCCGACTCACAGTTGAATCGACCGGTGATGCGCCATCCTGACTTGCGACCGAACAACATCCTCATGTCTGATTCGAATGAAATAGTCGGACTCATAGATTGGCAGCATTGCTCCATACTTTCTCTGGGAGTCGTTGCTGGAATCCCAGCGCACTTCCAGAATTACGGTGACCCGGAGTCGGAAATGCTGAAACGGCCTCAGCTCAACCTCCCACCAGATTATGACTCTCTGCCCCCGTCTGAGCAAGCATCCATACGCGAAACTCACCGCAAAAGACTGATTCATTTTCTGTACGCTGCTCTGACCAAGAGATTTAATGAAGTCCATTACGATGCCATTTTCGATCAGTCGACCATCCTCCGCCAACGGCTCCTTGAGGGCGCTGGTACGCCTTGGGAAGGAGACTCGGTATCGCTGCAAGCAGAGCTCATTCGATCGATTCAGAACTGGCCGGCGATCACAGGGTCTGACTCGGCCGTCCAAGTGAGTTATCCCGCAGATGTTGTCCAGGAGAATCTTGCCTTGGACGCGCGTCAGAAAGAAGCCGATGCCGTAATGGACGAGACGCGAAGTGCTTTAGGTGTCGATGTCTTGGGCTGGGTGCCGAATGAAGATTACGATGCTGCGAAAGCAGTGGCGCAAGATTTGAAGACTAAAATGCTTGAAGCGGCTGAGACACACGAAGAAGTGGTCGGTGTCCGAGACCATTTCCCTTTCGATGACTTCGATGAAAGCGCTTGAGGCATTTTTCAGCTCAACAATGTGAATAGTAGGACGAAAGGGGATTTATATGAAGTTTGAGCAAATTCTATTTTCTACATCTAGGCTCACTTCGTGATGATTTGACCCATTCAATGGCCGTAACCGAGAATAAATATAGGAATACGCATCGAAAGAAGTCTTCGAGCGAGTACCGGAGAAGGACTTAGAAGACAGTCTATAAGAGTTGAGCAATACTCGATGTACTTGCACGAGCTAATGCATGTTAAAAATTCGACTTACACTGTATTATATGCCACAACGATGAGATAATAGCGTCGGCACGCCTCGACACACTCTTTCCTCCAAGCGGAAAAACCATGTTCCCTTAGCTGACGCAGCATGTATAAGGATATCATCTGGCTCCAGGATATTTCCACAGTGGGACTAGACTGATAAGCTGGCGTTGTAGTTATGGGCAAGGCTAGTATATCCCTGGACTGGAAATAGTCTACACTGCAAGACATTTATTTTATCAGCATCAGCTACGTGAAGTCTTTGTGCGCTACGCAGCCGTCCTCCTCATTCTCCCAATAGCGGAGTCTATCACCAAATATTTATTGGGCTGAGTGCTTACGGCGATCAAATGCGAGTGGTATGCTCTGTATGAGACAGCTTTCCATCTACCAGTCGGGAGGGCAACAATATCAGTCATTCATCCACGAGGGAAGAAACTCCACGCATAGACCCCAGGGAGAATGGCCTGATCGTATGAGCCCTCAGCTAGTCTGCTTGGGGTATTGCTTGTACGCAACTGGGAGGAGGAGTCTGGATGTAATTCAACCCCACAAGGGTAGCGTGTCGGGGGCGTCCGGGTCGCAAATCCCTTCGGGCTGATATCTTAGCAAGGGTCCCCTGCATCGTAGGCTATAATCCGCTATGAAAGTAAGCACTTAACTAACCAAGGCTTAGACCAAGGCTTAGTTTGGCCAAATCACACACATCACCATCAGGGCTGTGACAGTCATTGCTCCTATTTGTTGGCGGCAATGGTATCTCAGGCCCCACGGCCCCCTCCTCTCTTCCACTTCTTTGTTCCTGTGTGCACCTAGCCCTACTTAGCTTCGCCTTTGACTTTCTCTCCTTTCTGTCCCGAGTAAGGACAACAGTCAGGGGTGGCGAGGGCAGCAGGGTACTTAAATGGTAGGCATCCAGCGAGAGAAACTTGTTCCTCTTCCCATCCCAACATTCCCCTGTACTCAGTCAAAATGCCCGGCTCTTCCCACATCGAGAACTACGACCAGTCCACCTACTGGACCGCGCCCACGCAGAACTTCCGGTCATCTGCCCGCTTGCATCTCCAACACTTCCTATACCAGAACACCTTGGGCTATCTTCTGGCGCCAACCGTCGAGCAGGCCGTGACCGCGTCTCAGCAGGAGCAGCCGCTGAAAATCGCCGACCTTGCTTGCGGCAACGGCGTGTGGCTGACAGAGCTGCACTCGCACCTGGAGAAGCAGAACATCGCTGCGCAGCTGGACGGCTTCGACATTAACCCGATCAACTTCCCAGCCGCAGCATACCTTCCGGCCTCCGTGACGCTGCAGCAGCTGGACATTCTCGCACGGCCGATCCCTGCATCGATCCACGGCATCTACGACGTGGTGCACATCCGCGCCTTCGCCAGCGTGATCCCAGACTCGGACCTTACCCCCATGCTCTCCGTGGCGTCCGCGCTCCTCAAACCCGGCGGCTACCTGCAATGGGAGGAGAACCGCGGCGACCTGTTCCTGGTCCAGGCGCCGGCCCCTGATGTCTCTCAAGCAGCGTGCGACCGTGTGTCGCAGGTGCTCCAGGGCGGGCTCAAGGCCAAGGGCATCAGTAACGCCTGGGTGGACGAGCTCGACTCCCATCTCGCGCGGTTTGGGCTGCAAAACGCGCAACTTCTCGTTCACGACAAACGCAAGCAAGACTTCAAGGGTTGGACTGAGGACTACCTAATTGTGTGGGAGGAATTGACGGCCTTATTCCCGCCCAAGGCCGACGCCCCGTATGCGCCTGTCTCGCGTGAGGCCTGGTTGCAGATGTTTGCTGCGGCTGTTAAGGAAACGGAACAGGGCGTCGTCGTTCATCAGGGCAGGATCTCGACGGCTGTTGGCCAGAAGCCGCTGTGATGAGCTTTCTTTGTTGCGAGGGGGCTTTATAGCTAGACTTGGTGAGATCAGACTGTATGCAATCAATGTTAGTGAATGTGTTTCCTAAGCCGGTATCGAGGAGGCAGCCCTCCTGCTTCTAGGACAAACAGCAAGCCACTTCCCTAATCCTCAGCTCGGAAGGTGGATCTTTTTAGGTGAATGTAAGGATTCGAAGCTCGACATACCGAAATATATTTTCCGCGGATGGAGTTAAGGGTTCTATGATATTTATCGAAGATTGCGCATGTGATAAGCTCTATAAAGACCAACCTCTTCTCTTTCTCTCCTCTTTAGACGAATTAGATCTCAAGGAGCCCCTTCTCTGCACGTCTTCTCATCAACACAATGGCAACCAGCATCTTCGAGCCGCTAAGCCTAGGCGGTGCGATCCCCATGCGCACCCGAGTGATTATGGGCTCAATGACGCGCAACCGCTGCATCAACCAGGGCATGCCAAACGACTCGCTGGCGCGGTACTACGCCGACCATGCACGGGATGGCTGCGGCGCCATCATCGTAGAGGGCACTTTCATCGCTCCCCGCGGGGCGGAATGGCCCAACGCCCCTGTCATGTATACTACGGACCACGCGGAAGCATGGAAGAAAATGACCGACGCCGTGCATCGCAAGGGGGGGAAGATATAATTTCAGCCGTGGCATCCAGGTGCGTTTTGTAGATTTGACGGGGGGAGAGAATATAACCTCAGACACCGCATACGGAGCGGTACTGAACATTCGTGATTGGGGCATTCCTTATTGTAGGACGTATCCAGAATGACAACATGCCGCTACTGAAAGCAGCAGGATATGCGGTTCAGGCTCCGACACGTGATTCCGTAAAAGGAGGGAAATATCAGACCTTGGATTGACAGTCGGTAAGAGGATTGGGCTTGGCTCAGCGTTACCGATGGATTAGACGGTTCATATCTGCGATTTGTGAGCCAGGGCCATACTGACAACATCACGGAAATTGAGGATCCGCACGAGATTGTCGAGCAATTGCGCCGGTCGGTCATTCTCGCGAAAGAAGCCGGGTTCGATGAAGTCAGGCTGCTGTCGCAAGGGTACGTTTAACCACCCACGCCTTGCTGGTAATAAGCCCTACCTAACGACCCTTATTCTCCAGCGGCTATCTTCTCCACAACTTCCCGTTCTCGTGAGCCCTGTCCTAATATTCCCTAGTAATCTAACAATATCTTTGACTCCTAAACAGCCACAGCAACGTCCGTACCAATCAGTACGGCGGCACTACCATCCATCGCATGCTGGTATCATCGTGTTCGCCGCGATTACGGCTGTGTCAGTGGCGCAGTGGTATATCTTATGATGCCCTGTGTAGCCAAGGCGGGGGATCTGCAAACGCCGGGGCAGCGCTTCGGCACGTTCCAGATCATTGTATCCGTCAGGTATGTTCTCTGAAGTGGGCCTCGACACCTACGGACAAAATACAGCGGGTTGACTGGACTTCTGATCCTTGGGAGTGTCCTCGATGCGCAACACAACACCGTCTACTCCGGACTGCAAATCTTTGCTTCTGTCTGCGCGTTACTGGGCACATTGTTCATCGGAGTATCAACGCTTCTGCTCAGGAAAGCCAGACAAGCCAGGAAGATATAGGGATGTGTTGTTCGTTGGGAACTGGTTATGGCTGTGTAGGCACGGGCATACGGAAGAGATTGACTGACTCTATAGGATTTCGCTGTCCAATAGGATTCGCAGAGTTCGATTCGCTCGAGTTCAGTGCTTTTGCGAAGGCTAAATTCCACAGAATCCGGTTTCATGCATCCGCCAGCTACTGTTATCGAGATTGATGGGACCCAGTGGCACGCCGGTACAGTTGCCCGACCAGTCGAGATCTATTGTTCACAGCCTGAAAATTCGTCCTTAATTCCTGTTTGACCAAGAATGTTTGATCCTGCTTTCCCGATAGAAACTCATAATAAGCTTTGTGCCAGATGGAGCTCCGCGAACGAGTATCAGGATTCATGCAAAACTTTCCCGCACATGGAAACTCACTTTCCCCAGGCAAGATCTTGGGGATACTATATCGGCATTCAAATTATACACTTGTTTCTGCCATTTAGATTCAGGATTCCTGGCAAGGATTGCTTTTTTCTCAATGGATAGCCGCATGCGGATCAGCGCGAGTCAGGGCACGATACCCGCCATAATTCCAGTCCTTGCGGTACGACATCACATCAATGACGCCAACCAGCCGAGGCCCTCCGCCTGGTATTTATGCCATATCGACATCCATCGAAATGACCATGATGCAGACGTCACAATTCCAACATGGGCACTCAATATATGCTGTTGTAAGTTAGAATTCCATAATTGGGACAATGCAGGACTAATACACCCCGTGAAATAGTCATTGCGTGTACACCATCCCGGTAGCAGCGGTGTTGGCCGTCTTCTACTACCCGTTCTTCACGGCCCGGGATATCTGCAAGATAGTCTTTCTGAACATTGTGAATACTGCTCCTCCCACTGCTGTCAGCTCCATGGCTGACAATCTCTCCATAGCTGGCGGTTACCGCAACGATACCATGGGCTTCGTACCTCATCCGCCACCATATCTGGACTTATCCGCCAGATGCGACTATCAACCGCACGCTCTTCGACATTCCCGCGGAGGAGATCGCCTTCTTCGTCCTGCAGACCTGCATCACCAGTCTGGTGTACTGCATCTGCACTAAGCCGCTGGTGCAGCCGATGTACCTGCAATCGGACCCGTTGCGATGGGTCAGGAATCTCGGAGGGATTGTGCTTCTCGCACTGCTGCTGAGTGGCGCTGCGTGCTTTGTCTCGGGTGGGAGGACGACATACATGGGCCTCATTCTCCTCTGGGCTCTGCCGGTCATACTGGTTCAATGGTATGCTCCCCGCGATGTGATTGCACGATGTGTACTCACAATAGTAGGACCCTGGTCTATCCTTTCATCGTCAGTCTGCCGTGGCGAGCAACTGCCATCCCTATCCTCCTCCCGACGGTCTACTTCTGGCTCGCCGACCGCAGCGCCATGGCAGCCGGGTTCTGGTCCATCGTGCCAGAAACACAACTAAATGTCCGCATCTTCGGCCTCGAGCTATAGTGAGTCCTTTACCCCTCACTAACACCATCATGTACCCCCCATTTGACCACGACAACAGAGAGATGGTCTTCTTCCTCATCACCAACGTGATGATCGTCTTCGGCCTGGTGGGCTTCGACTACGCATTCGCGTTAGCCGATTACGAGCACCTCTGCACGGGCGCCGGCCCCACGAGTCGAGGTTCAGTGCGAACCGCACTGCGGGCGTTAGTACAACGAACACAGATCCAGACGACAGTGATCGCAGAGCTCCAAGACGCGGTCGCGCGGCTGCACGCGAAGAGCCAGAGCATGTTCGTGGGCAGCGCGCTGTTCCAGGGCGCGTTGCGCATCGATCTGATATACCTGTACGTCCGTTCGCCCCACCCCATGCAAGTGTGCTAAACGCGACTAGATACTCCTTCTGCCACATGATCGATGATCTGATCGACGAAGCGCGGGACGAGCGCGAGGCACGGCACTGGATCGCCGTTTGTCGGATGATGCTGGACGCACGCACTACCAAACAAGAGAAAAGCAGTGCAAACGGCGTCGCGCACGACTTCAAACGGCACCTCCTCCAACGCGCCGTCAACGCGTTGCCGGTCTCCCGCATGTCCGCCCAGCCCCTGTACGACCTGCTGAAAGGCTTCGAGATGGACCTGGCATTCAGCGACCAGCGTCGCCCAGCGTTCCCAATCGCCACCGAGGCTGACCTAGACCGTTACGCCGCGTACGTGGCCAGCACGGTGGCCCAGCTGGTGCTGGATCTGATCCACCACTACCACAACCGCGCGCACCGCTACGATCACGAGGACATGGCACGCGCCGACCGCGTCATCGGTCAGGCGCTGCAGTTCATCAACATCGCGCGCGACATCCACCGCGACGCGGCCATCGGACGCGTGTATATCCCCACTGAATGGCTCGAGCCCGCGGGACTTACCCCAGCCAATCTGCTGCATAATCCCACCTCCCCTGCCGCGTATCAGCTGCAGACGAAACTGCTCGACAAGGCCGACGTGCACTATCTGGCGGCTCGGGACGCAATCGAGCGTCTACCGCCTGGCGTGCGTGAGCCCGTCCGCACTACTGTCGAGAGCTACGTGGAGATCGGACGCTATCTGCGCGAGAGACACGGGCACACTCTGGCTACAGAGAAGAAGATGCGACTGCCCTTGCGACGGCGGCTAAAAGTGGCGTGGCTGGCGATGCTGTGATAGTACCCATAAACCTTGTAAAATCCCGTATACATATCCGAATCCAAAAGCTGATTTAAACTGAACGCCTTTCAACTCTTCAAGCACTTCTACCCTAGACTGCCTCAGATAAAGCTTTCCCGGGGGAGAACCCCCGGACCCCCCTCTTTCTTCAGCTTCCTGGCCCACCTCAGCCCTAGATAAACTCTGATAAAGCATCCGGGTGAGAAACCCCGACACCCCATCCTTTCAACTATCTGATACCAATTAAACCCACCGCCAATCCACCGGCCAAAGCCACGCAACGAGCACAACCAGCACAAAAACCAACCCCACCCCCTTAACCCCAAACACCCCCTTCCCCCTCCTCTCAAAATCCCTAACCACCTCCCTGAACACAATCAAACTCCCGGCAAGACAGACCGGCACGCCCGTCCCAGGATGCGTACTGGCCCCAACAAAAAACAACCCCTTGACCTGGGGATGCCTCACCTTGGGCCTGAAACCGAGCACATTGAAAAACGAATGCGAGAGCCCCAAGATCGCACCGCGATCGAGATTACACCGCTGCTGCCAGGTAAGCGGCGTCTCAACGGTCTCACTGACCAGCAACGGCTCCACATCAACCCCGATGCGGTCCTGCAGCGCAGAGAGCACCGCCTGGCGCACGCGCACAACTATGGCGGCCCAGTACGCGTTCGTCTGCTTCTCTGTTGCGTTGCTGCCACCGAGGTTCCCGACGGGGACCAGCACGACGGCGGCGTCTTTGCCTTGCGGCGCGGCGGAGGGGTCGACTCTGCTGGGCACGTGGATGTAAAAGGCCGGGTTGGCGGGGATGTGCTTCTGTTTGAAGATGGCGTCGAAGCTTTCTTTGTATTCCCCTGTCGAGGGGAGGAAGACGTTGTGGGCGCTCAGGGTGGGGAGAGTGGTCGATAGCGACCAGAAGAAGGTGATGCTGCTGCAGGAGGTTTCTCTTTTTGTGAGCGAGGTGGCGTACCGGGTTGGTGGGAGGAGGTGCGTGTAGGCGTAGATTAGGTCTGCGTTTATTATTACTGTGTCTGCCGTGAGGGTCTCGCCGGTTGAGAGTTCGACGCCTGTGGCGCGGCAGTTGTCTGCTGAGAGCGTGATGCGCGAGACGGGGGTTGAGAGACGGTAGGTTGCGCCGTGGCGTTCGGAGATACGGGTTAATGCGTCGAGGATCTGTGTGCGTTAGGCCTCTGGTTATAGATCGAGGCTGTCCAGGAAGCTGAAAGAAAGGGGGGTCCGGGGGTTCTCCCCCGGAATGCTTATATTGGGGATATAGGGTTGAGCGGGATGCGGGGGGCGGGGAAGGGAGCTCACGGTGCGGAAGCCGCCGCGCGGATACCAGATACCGTAGGCGAACTCGGCATACTGCAGCAGCGAGTAGGTGGCGGGGGCGTCGAAGGGGTTCATGCCGAGGTACATGCTCGCGAAGGTCAGGGCCTGGCGCAGACGGTGCGAGGTAAAGTAGCGGGCGGCGCGGGCGTAGACGCTTTCGAAGGGGTGCAGACGCAGCAGGTTGCAGGCCATGCGGGGCCGCAACATGCTGAACCAGTGCGGGAAGTTGGCCCATAGGACGTGGGCGCGCGACAGATTGTAGTGGCGGCCAGACTCGACCAGGAACTGCAGGAAGCGCTCGAAGCCCGACGGGCCTTCGTGTGCCTCGATCACGGACTGCATGGCCGCCAGGTCGGTCGTCAGGTCGAGCGGTGCCGCGTCGGCGTAGTAGATGCGGTAGTTAGGGTCGCATTTGAGCAGGTCAACGCCTTCCGCGGACATGCTCGTATCCAGGTCGTGAAAGACTTCATCGAAATACTCGGGCATCAGGACGAGGGAGGGTCCGCGGTCAAAGCGCTGTCATTGTCATTGTTAGGTTGGTGCGGTGCGGCGCGTGCAATTGCGGGCAGGGGACGCACGTAGCCGTTTTCCTCCATCAACGAGCACCGTCCGCCTACCGCTTCGTTTTTCTCGACCACAGTGACTTTGTACTCCCGCTTGGCGAGACGGGCGGCGGTCGCGATCCCCCCCGCGCCGGCGCCTGGAGCGCATTAGCTAGCAAGTGAGAGTAGGGTTGCGCGCGTACCGACGATGATCACGGTGGGAGGCTCCATAGCGATAAGACGATAAACCACAGGAAGCACCGCCCGCGGTATCAACCCGCAGCAGACCGTCAGGTTTATACTTTTTACGCATCAGAAGTAGCACAAGTAAGGCCGGCTAGACTGAGGTCTTCAACGATGAAGTAATGGTGGATCAAGCATGGGGTGGCAGGGCAACGGCCAGAGATAGGGTTACATGACCCGCCTCATTTTCCGGTTCTGCCGAAGCTTGCCTGCCCTGCAATTATCTGGGGTGGTCTGTCTGTCTGTATGTACACTCTAACTTTTCACGACGTCTATTTCTGTCCATAGCGCTTCACCGTGCGCGTGCCCACCCGCTCCTCATCATAGATCGCCTTAACACTGGGGTGCGCGATGGTTGCCTCCGCCCACCGCTTGAACGCGGGCGTCTCCTTCTCCAGCGTCTGCACCAGATCCGCGGGGTAGAGTCCGTACTCGGGCTTGGACAGCGAGAACAGGCGCAGCAGGAACGAGCCAAGCAGCACTTCCACGAAAGTGAGTTTCTCGCTGCCCTCGAAGTACAGGCCCTGTTTGTTGTTGGCGGGGTAGATGAGCGGCTCGAGTTCCTTCTTCACGGCCGCGACGAAGGCATCGCTCGCGGCGCGGCGGTCGGCATCGGTGGCACGCAGGGTGGCGTGGTACAGCGGCGAGATCTTGGTGGCCCAGGTGTCGACGAAGAAGGTCGAGCGGGCGCGCTGCAGGGCGCCCTCGGGGGTGTTGGACGGGGGGAGTAGGTGCGAGGGGTAGGCGTCCACCAGGAATTGGGCGATGATGGCCGACTCGAGGATGATAGTGCCGTCGTAAGAGAGGGCGGGGACAAGACCGCGCTGGATGTTGTGTTACTTTGAGGGTCTCAATTAGGAGAATGGGGGAGGGTAACCGTACGGGGTTGATCTCCAGATACCATGGCTCCCGCGGGGTATCCAGGTCGATAGTCACTTCCTCGTAGTCAAGGCCCAGCTCAATGAGGGCAATGTGTGCCCGGTGAGCCCAGGGGCAGAGACGGTTAGTGTAGAGGGTGATCTTCGGGGCCATATTTGTTGGATGGTTGTGAATGATGTTGAACGTTAATGTTGGTGTTGCGAGGGCGCAGAAAGTTGGCGGGCGGGTGGGAGAATTAATAGCCGCGGCATGACGCTATCAAACGCCAAGTGGGCGGTCGATCGCGTCATTTCTTATTTCGGCAGTTGAAGCACCCCGCATTTGGGCTTAGAAATCGAAATGCCCGTGGTAGGAATCACGTGTAGTAGCAGCATATCTACACCCTACTAGAGTAGTATGCTTTGATGTTTCTAGTTCATCGACCGCTAGTAGTAATTACAATACTTAGTATCTGCTTGTCATAGCTCCCATGGACGTAGTAGTCTTGAGGAATGCTTTTACTAGTATCATACTAGTACTTACAGATATATTGATGCTCTCATGGGGGATATCGAGCTGCGTGACATCAATCATACTCCAGAACTTGGAATTGTATTTTTGCACTCATCATGCATGGAGTTGCCGCTATTTGCCCTTCTTCTGCTTCCGCTCCCGTGTTAAAGTGGTACCTGAATAGTCATACCACTTAGCATTAACAGTGATAGTAGGGATAACCCTGATCAGACACGGAAGGTCACACATGATAACTGATTGCAATAGGCTATCCATTAGCTCGAAGAGACAGTCCACGTAATGATTCTGATAAGTCTAATACACGTGAACCTGCCAGCTGTGTCAGATCCATCAAACACGAGGCCGATGTCTGCTTCTCTAGTCATGCTGACCTACCGAGCTGATCGGGCTCTGTCTGCTTGATTGCAGAGATTTCGAATAGGGCTGATGGCATGAACGCCGTGATCTCAGCAACGACAAAAAGACATAAATACCTGAAAGACGCTGAGCAAAAAGCCTCTTTCTTCATCAACTGCTGTTAGTTCTCTGAGCACTCTACCCAGATATCGTCAATCCAAGCAAGATGCATTCCCTTCCCCTCCACCAACTCCCCCTCGAAACTCCATCCCCGTCGGAAGTCCTTGATTTACACTCCGGTGCCACCGGCTACCGCTGGATCCTGTCCGATACGGAGAGAGGCCATATCGCAGACATGCTCGATGTCGAGAGTAAGTCTCACCCGACCCACGAATCACATGTCCCTGTCTTTTCATTTGCAAACGGAACGTACCGAACTGACACAGCCTCGCAAAGACAAGGACCTCCTCACCGTGCGCGGAAACCGCATGATGCAGGGGCGTGCGATCTGTATGGGCTGCGGCAAGCACTCTGGCCTCGATGACCTGGTCCACAACGCGCTGTATGCGGGCATCCACGGCAGGGACTTCATGTTGGATGTGTTACTCAATGGAGCCAAGAACGATAGTCCTGGCCATGAGATTGTTTGCTCGGGCTGTGGCACTGTACACGAGGGGCTTTTCTGGTGGATTCCTTCGGATCCTTGGTGATTTTAGGGACTCTTGGTTGCGATTCGTGGGCATTGGTTAGGCTTGGAATTCTAGTATGTGACTAGCTTGTTGCGGATACGATGGGTGCATAGCCACTAGGTTGGATGCAGTAGCCAATTCATACCATTGCGTCAACTTTCTAGAGGATGATGGGGTATAGTTGGATAGAAAGGAGTGAGTAGGCACCTGTAGCTTGAGGTCAGGAAGATATTTTTGGAAGCAGGGCTATTCTCTCAATGTACCATCCTCAAGTTATAGACTTGACTTCGTCTTGTCCCGTGAGCTCAGTAAGTTATGGTCAAACGCATCATTTGACAAATCAAGAGTGAGTGTTGGAGATTGGTTCGGGTTGAACCATTACGAGAGATCGAGCTCATTGTTCATCCAAGGCTTGGCTGCGGAATGTGGACCTACAGCATAGCAGGAAGACACCTAAAAATAACAACAGCCATACAACTCCGTAGCCACAATCCACAAAATCGCGACGATTCTCCCGTCCAACCATGGCACTGCAGCGGGATCTCTTGGCATCCGCGGAATTAAAAAACCTCACCTGGTCATCTGCACGGTTCGTATCTTGGGCGGTCAAGCCTTGGACGCAGGCACGAGAAACCCGTGAAGCTATAACGATGTTTTTTGTATAGTTTTGCGGCAATTCTATGAGACTGGACCTTTCAACAACGGTGCATGTTCGTATAGTATCCAGTAAACCATGGGCGGAAGCTTGCCGAGGGCTCGCAACACTGGCACAGACGTCATGATTCACGAGTACCAGGGTACGAGAGTATCGTGAGTAAACACACTCTTGAGCCTCTTACCGGCCTAAACAAGATAAATACCATCTCGGGCACCGCGCTGATCGACCTTCGAATTCTCTTTTGCATCGGTCTTGGGGAGCAAGAATTAAATCACCAGCACCGAGTATACAAATAATCCATCCACAAGCCTCCACCGTAATGCTTCTCTTCAGCTTCCTTGTTCTCGTGTATGCAACCCTTGCGGCTGCCACGAGCTGCAAAGTCCGGGGACAAGTCAACAACTATTTTGACTGCTTCAGGTGTCCTGCGCTCGCATGCGGATACAAGGTGAGAACGTTCATCACCCCTGGACTCAAACGAGACGTCAGTTGCCTGTGGACCGATGGCGAGAATTACCGGGGCATCAAGTAAGCTTGCGATCTAACCAGCGTATTCTTGGTTCTGCATGAATACGAATTGAACGTTTGTCGACAGTGACTGGTACTATGTCCCCAACGACAAGTGCTACATCTGGGGCGGAAGAATCGACGCGAAGAATTGCAAGCTTTGTAAGTCTCGAATCGAATTTCGGCGAGACAGGCTTGACCGTTACTGATTGACAATTCATAGCCAAACTTCCCAAATGTGAGCCCTGCACACCTATCATCGGCCAACCTATCGCTGTTCCTACAGATCTGCCTCCGCCAGCAGCAGCAGCAGCACCCGCTGCCGCTCCCGGTGGAAGTGGTCCGGGAGGTCGCCGGGAGTTTGTTGCCTAGCTTGGGATGGAAGGGAGATGACATCGTCACTGTCAGAGATTGGACGAACGTGGTTGAGTTGGAATTGAACATTGTGTCAGCGGGGACCCTTGGGGGTGTTGGAAACATCGATATGGGAAATTGAGTCAATCATTTGTGTCTGGGTTGCATGCTTCGGTTTCTCTTCAAGTTATACGCTGCCCTTGTCACTTTGTGCTATACTTTAAAAAACGGGCTTTCCACAGTCATATCTTGTTGGTGAGCTCAATTATCCTGTAGAAATGCCACAACTGCGTTCATGCTACATGATTCATCACTCATCCTGCATAAGATTCCGTACAAACACCCCGCAGAGAGGGACAGGGTATGGCACTTGAACCTGACCGTGGTAATTGGTTGTTATTGTAGGTAAGAATGCTTCGGTGCCAGTACCATTTGTTCATGCCTCAACCTACGCGGTGATAATGGATTTCCTCATATTAGGCGCCAGGCAGAATCAAGACGTCACCCTGATTCCACAGTAACCTTTCAATATACTCTCCATTCCGATTGCAGATCGAACAATACTATGCCAATGTAATCTCCACGACCTTTGCCGGCTCCACCCTCCCCTTGGGTGGGACGATATGCCCTCCACACGTCGTGACAAACAGCTTGCGCCCATCACCCGAGACCACGCCGGACGTGCAACCGGCGACATCCAAACTATCCTTCGTCCCCGCCAAGACCGAGTGATTCCCATCCGGCGCAACCCTCACGACCTCATTCTCCGCCACCGCCATCAAATACAGCATACCGTCAGCAGGGACCGCGAAATCATCCACCACGACGCCTGAGACGACCGTCTCGACGGCGCCAGTCTGCACGACCTTTGCCCTCCCTTGATCCCACCGCACCGGCACCCGAAACACTGCACTCCGCGAATTGGTCGACCAGTACACGTACTCCCTCCACACTCGTACCCCATTCACCCCGAGTCCCAAGGGATCCGTCGGCGAAGCAGCCATACTAGCCGCATCATTCAACGCAACACCATACGCACCGGTCCGCGCGTCTAGTTGCCAGATCACCCTGTTCACCGAGTCGGCAATCAGCACCACGGCCCGGTCCGTATCCCCGGGCCCAGGTAACCGCGCCATCCCATTCAACCATCCCGCCTCACCCAGCGTCGCGATCTTGCGGACGCTCGCACTTCCCCCTTCACCTGACGATAATAGAGCAGACGAGGAATGAGAAGAGAGATCGACTTCGTAAACGCCCCACGTCCCGACGACCGGGTGCCCGATATCCGTGATCACGAGCTTGCCCACTACGACGGCGTAGACGTCCTCTCTAATTTCGGTGACGCCCATACACGCGGTCGCTTTGGGAAGGTGGAGACCAGAGTCTCTTGGCCTGTGGCCGGGTCGACGGTCCACAGTTCTGGGACGTCCATGCGGGTGACTAGAATGAGGCCGGAGGGGCGGAGGGCGAGGTTCTCGAGCCAGGTGCCGTTTTGGGTGTACTGGAAAGTGGTCCTTAGGGTTGCTGCCACGGTTGTTCTTGGGGAGAGGGCGGCCCAGAGGGTGAGGGTGAGGAGATTCATCTTGATGGGTTAACTTGTGGGGAGGGTTGAGGTGGAGGTGGGTGTGTAGATCAGTACTGTATATCTAGGGGTGCGTCTGGGTGTTAGGGCAGGTTAAGTAAAGGCAGCGCAGCGGATGATGGGCGCTCGGCGCGGGTGTGTTTGTGTCGTGTCACTCTTGGTGCTACCCCTTTCTTCTTGTGGCTTGCAGTGGCTATTGGCTTTGTGCAGGATGGCTGTGTTTGCTAGGCATGTGATGGAGCTGTTGCTTCTATCGGTGCTACCTGTGGGGATTATACCTCTGGCGCGATAGACTAGGAGTTTGTAAGGTATAGCTTTGGCTTGGGATTGAGGTGCCAGGGAAGCTGAAGAAAAAGGGGGTCTGGGGCTTCTCCCCCGGGATGCTCTATTTCTGGCTTAGGGCAACTGAGAGATCACTTGTTGCTTAATTTATGTAGGAGAGAGACAGATAATGTGCCTGTTGAAACGATACTTTACCTCATACGGTTCACGGAATTGGCCGGGTGCTAGATTGAGTCTCTTTTCTTCTCAGATCTCTTGTGCGATAATCTGGCCACCATCTACGCAATGAGTTATAAACACCCGATTGCGGCTACCCTGCTTGTTGCAATATGTTTCACGTGCAGACTTATGCACTCGAACAATTGATAGACCATAGTATCCATCCTTGAGGGACATAAGGTACGTTATGTTGTTACCTGCTTTGCTACGTCGGAAACCATCAGAGCCACTTGTGCAGCATCTTCGATGCGTCAACTCCGATCGGACAGCCCCTAATTCCCAATTGTCTATACATAGAGCCCATGAAAACCATCATGCCCTAAGCATTGCTTCGCAGGGAAGGCTGGGCAGTATGATGTATCATCATCACACACCAGTAATTAAACGTCCATAGCAATGCGATTCCGAATTGAGACAGTGTTCAACAATGAGGAATCCAAGACAGGGCAGAATACAGTTTCGATCGTGTTCGGTAAGACAGTCAGTGGCGTTTTCATAATCCGTTGCAGTGGGCCAATCTGTGGATGCGTTAGAACTGCCCTCGAAGGTTGCTCTCCCCGAGCATGACTGATGGCAGAAGAATCGCTGAGATACTGATCTTGGTAGGGGATTTAATGAACCAGATAAAGGTGCAAATAGTCACACTTGTGAAATAAAGGTCAATGATCAGCGGGTTAGTTCTTATATCTGGAGAGAACTACCTCGCAGCACTCGGTAGCTAATATGTCAGCTGAAAGTTCCTTTACCTGGTTCGAGAGAAGCTGAATCCTTGAGTCTGGGCCACAGGCCCCTCAGGAGACCTCGATACCGTTTCAGTCCCCAGTCCGTGACCAGATTCCTCCTCTCTATGGCTCTGACCAACCTACATTCGACATTCCTCCCTCAATTCACATCAGAGATCATCGCGGGATCAAGTATGATCCCACTCCTTACGCACATTGCTATGTCTGCTACCGAATCCTTTGCCAAGTAATCCACGAGGACCGAGTCCTGGGAGGGAGGGTACAGCCGTTTCAACTATATACTTCCTCCAAAATTCGACCACCACTATGTGCTGAAGACTTTCGGGGTGATTTTCGTTTATCGGACAAGAGAACACTATCGTCGATTGGGAATGTCACACGGAACTGCCCATTGATTGTACTTCAATCGGACATCCCCCTCCGAGCTGTATCTCTCCATGGATATACCGAAAATATCTCATACATTTGGTCTTCACTTTCGACGGTCATCCGAGATAGGCAGTTCACTGCGAATACCCTTGGAAGTACGTTGTTTGTGACTGGTGGCGTATTCTACCGATCTCCGAACAGCCTCGGTTATCGGAGATAAGGAGATCGGAGATCGGGAATCGGCAGCAAATTTGTCCGCGGAATCAACGCAAGCCCTTGGAAATCTTCAGACGTAGACGTCTCCGATCAACTGAGGTTGTATGTATGTATGTATTAATGTATGTATGTATTCATTCAGTCCGCTCTCCCTTGGAGCAATGAGTCATAACACTACTATTGCTCCGACACGAGCATTGAGACTTAACCCCGACAACCACCGTCGCAAGCGCAGACCGGTCAATTGCGAGGAATGCCGACGCTCCAAACTACGATGCGATCGTCAACACCCTTGCGGGGCCTGCAAGCGACGCAAACGCGAAGCCAGTTGCTCCTACGATATTGTCGCCGGTGGCATTGGACCGCTCAGTGCTCAGAGGACCACCGCTAATCCTCGAGTGCCCGCAGCGCCGAACAACAATACGAGAAGGATCGCCGAGTCTCCCACGGCTTCATTGCCACAACCCCCTCCACCGCCGGATTGTGAGACAGCCCAAGAGTATTTACATACCCGCTGGGAGAGTGTGCTGCAGAGGCCTGTGCCGGAGGACGACGTCGAGCCACACACCTTGTCACCCTTGCCCTTTGGCTCGCGGATGTCCCACGAAGAGATTATACGTTCTCTGCCGCCCAAGGCCTGCTGCGACTATCTTGTATCCCACTTTTTCAAACATATATTCGCCCTCTTCCCCATCCTCCATGGTCCGACTTTCCAACGGCAATACATAGGCTTCATACAACAGCCCCATGAGGTCGATCTCTCGTGGTTGGCTCTCCTATTCTCCTTGTGTTCCTTGGCTCTGAAGACAATAGATGCGAGTGACCCGAAGCTGGCATGTGTTTGGTCCCAGTTGCCTACGAGTCCAACTCCGGTCGATGTCACGGTCTCGGTTTCCCGCCGTCTCCTCCGCACGGCGATGACCTGCCTGTTGCAGGATGAGTTTTTCATCCGGCACAAGTTCAGCACCTTTGAGGCGCTCTTGATGGTGCTGTATAATCTTTCCCATAACGGGTCGGTCGATCAAGGGTGGGCCCTGCTGGGGATGGCCCTGAACATGGGCATTGCCTTACGGTGCAACGAAAACCAAAACTTGAACCCGATCGAGTCTGAGCGACGACGGCGATGTTGGGCCGGTCTCCTGACCCTTCACACGTACCAGGGCATACTCTTCCGTGACGTTGACATGTCCTATCTTCTCAACATCAGGAGCACCGCCCCGTCTGATGTCAATGATACCGAAACTACAGACGAGGGCATCACCTCCCCGCCATCCACTCGTCATCACGGCGAGCCGACACAGATGTCCATGATGATGGCCAAGGTCCGGCTGTTTCGGCTGTCAACCGAGATCTGCCGGCACATCTCCGGCCCGTCGCGGCTGGATCGACGGCTGCTCCAGGAGTTCGACGCCGCCATCGCCGCGGAGCAGAAGCAATGGGACGCGACGTACACAATCGACGGCCACCCGAGTCTTCTGGACTCGACCAGCTACGCGCATTGGTGCGTACTCCAGACCTACGCGCACCACCTTTACCTCCTTCTCCATCGGCCATTCCACCACACCAAAGCGACAGAATTCCTCCCTACCTCTCGGGACCGATGCATTACTTCAGCATCGGCGCTGATTTCTATCCACCGAGAGCTTTACGAGTCCCCTTTGCTCCGAAACTACATGTGGCTGCTCAACGGCGTGACTACCCTGAAAGCGCTCCACGCCGCCGTGGCCCTAAGCTCCTGCCTTATTGATATGCCCCCATCGCCAGCGGCTGCGACAGCGAACCCCGGAGGTTACGACTTGGACTCTTTCCGGCTCGAAGTAAACGCCATGGCCGTTCGGGTGGCCAGCCTCTCCAGTCGGAGCAACATCTGTGCGAAAGCGCATCGGGCTCTCCGTCACTTACAGTACGTACTTTCTATGCATACCACGATCTATTTGGATTATCACGACTGGAATCTCTCCTGACTCTCTCTCTTTTCCATAGGGCACAACTGGGAACCAGCGAGCCCCTGACTGAACGCTCGGAAGTAGAGCTTCAAACGACGTTTGAAGACTGGACCGACATACGGGAATGGATGGACGGTGATCTGGTGAACTGGGTGAGTAAAGTTCTTTGTACTCGATGTTTGTACTCTCCTACTAATTCTACTTAGAACCTAGATGGAGCCTACAGCATCTTTGGAAGTGGAGCCATTTAGTCAAATACATAAAAGCATCATTAGGCTGAAGGGGGGTAGGCTTGCTACTAGCTATTTATCTCAGTACAACTGTCCATCCAGAATAGCTACTGTTTTAAGAGGAAAAAGCTCGATGTCGATTCCCCGGAACCATGCTATTTATGTCTTCTGCTCTGAGAAGCACGCAGGCAACTACCAGGTCATCCGGCTTGTGTGCTGTCTTCACGCCACCATAAAATGAAGCTTAGCCGTTGCAACAGAGGACGAACGGCTCGTGAGCGCCGTCACCGACGACTTTAATGTAGATGCCGTGCTTCTTGTAGACCCGCGGGGCTGGGGCCACGGCTGAAAGGTCTCCGTCGTTGGGGCCGGACAGGTTGGTCTCGCAGGTGGCGATGAGGCGCGGCCATATTGTCTTCCAGGCTCTGCTGTTGGAGTCTGCTCAGAAGTCAGGGGTGTAGCTGTAAGAGGAGGCTGTCGGTCAGACTTTCACAATGAGTTGGGCGGGGGTGGATCGTGCTATGACATTACTCCATTTTGACGTGAGTGATTCCGGAAGCGGTTCAACTGGCGTATTCGAGGTTATCAAGAAGAGGTGCATGGGATAACAGAAGAAAAAGACGAGGAGCAGACTATGAAGGGGCAGAGTCTACAGCGAGAAGAGGCGGAGGGAGGAGCGGAGGTCAGGCCATGGCCATGGTAGAAGGAACGAGCAGGTACAAAACAACATTCTCTCTGCTCTCTACCTGTCAACCTCGAGCCCACGCATTTCAGCTCAAAGGCTCTCGTCCAGGGTAGTTGGAAAGCTATCAGGAAAAAAGATGAACGAATGCTCCATGGAATATTCATCGATTCGATATGCGAAGAGTATAAAGTTACTTGCGCTATGACCTGAAAATTACGCTTGATAATACTGAATCTGTAGTAGAAGGAACAAACAAATCTAAGACCCCTCTCAGACGACAAAGTAAACTCATTAACTCAAAGCTCCTATGGATTAATTATCAAACCTGCAGTGCCTCGACGATCTCGCGAGAGGTCCAGAATGCGCACCGGGCAGCAAGTTCCTCGTAGCCACCCCGAGTGACGTTCTTCCCAATCTGTCGGATCCCACTGTCCGGTCCCCCAATGACCTGCATATAGTAATGATCGTCATCCTGGTTCGTGACATGGCTCCTGTGAGAAGATTCAGCACCAGGAGTAGCAGCCGAAAGAGAGGAAGGAGAGGCTGTGAACCCCTTCCATCCAGTGATAGTACCATTGCCGTGCGAGGGCGACCCGAAAGTCGCAAAGGCAGCCCAGCTCCCGCTAATCTCTGAAGAGAGGGTGCGGTCTGCTGCAGTGGCGTATGCGGCGTACCGCGGACTCCCCTGCGCTTGATTGAAGACGTACGGAATGTCGCTGAAGTGAGAAACACCGAGGTAGGACGCATTGGCGGCCGCGTACCAGGTGCGGAACAACGTTTGGTTGAGGGCGAACAGGTAGTTTGTGGTGGCTAGATCAGTGGCATACTGTGCGTTCATCTGCGCCATGTAGAGCGACGGACAGGCGAAGGCGGCGTCGCGTTGCATCTGGCTGGCCCGGAAGTACTGCGCCGAGATGTTCTCGGAGGAGAGGCCAGAGAAGTCGGAGACCGGGTACAGATCCAGGGCTTTCTTGATGTGGGCGGAAGAAAGGGCGGGATAGGAGGCGGCCAGAAACAGAGCCACGTCTGTGCTGGAGGCAATTGTGGAAAGAGTGGAAAAGGTACCATCGTCCTCGTTCCAGCCGCCGAGGATATCAATGTTGCGGGCAAATTGACCAGTAGTCAGAAGCTTGGATGGGCTATCCGGGATGAAGCTGGATGGGGAGGTCGGAATGAAGACATCCATGCCCGAATCGCCGCCCACTGCATCCTCGTACGCAACGGCCGCTACGTTGAGCTGCTGCATGGATAGGGCTCGGAGGCACTGCAGCTCGGCCGTGCTGGTCGATGCGGTGCAGTTGACAATCTGAGTCAATTGGGCAGTATGGACCGCGGAGATGTTGCTGGCTGTGTCTGTATCGGCCATGGGACTGCCCGATTCCATGATGGCGCGCTGGAAGGGGGCTTTGTGCCCTCGGCCGCCGTACGCAGTAATCTGAAGGCCTACAGCTGTTGCGCCGTCGCTTTCGCCAGCAATAGTGACTCTCTCCGGATCACCTCCAAAGGCACTGATATGCTTCTGCACCCACTCGAGCGCCAGTCGCTGGTCCAGCAACCCTACGTTCTGAGAGTCGTTGGCTGCGAGTGCGGGAGAGTCTGCGAACCCGAAGATTCCCACGCGGTAGTTCATGGCAATGTAAATGATCGGAAAGCCTTTCTGGGCAGCACCAGTTACAAGCCCAGTCGGGTCGTAGGTTGAATCGTAGATTTGCCCGAACGTGTCCCCTCCACCGTAGATCCAGACCAACACAGGGAGCTTGGCCGAAGCAGGGGTGGAGGCTGGCCGATCGATACGGAGAGTGAGACAATCCTCCGACATAGATGTGATATTGTCAAAGAGAGGCAAGCTGGAAACCGCCTGCTGCGGCTGCGGGCATGCTGCACCAGCTTGGGTGGCATTCACCAAGGCGCCGCGGCATAGTTGAACGGCTTCGGCGGCGCGAATCTATTGGCGCCAGATGTGTCTTGCCCATAGCGAATATTTAGGAATGACTCGACGTCATTTGCGATGGTTCCCTCGAAATGTACTTCATCGAAACTCCCCACGACTGTTGGTGGACGATGATAGGAAAGAGGACTGGAATGACTTTGGGGAAAAAGCGCGCATAATGCCAGAAGTGTCCCGGTGTAAACCTTCATTCTGAACGCTTTTTTATCAGGTAAGATGTTGTCTGATGGGGGGAAGTCAGCAGGGGGGAACTTCCAGTGGCGATTTATACCTGAAGTTTGACGAGGGAAGGCAGACAAGCCGCGAGGCTGGATCATAGATGGATGATGGATGGATATAGATCGACATTGCATCCTTCACTTGATTCGATAAGGTGATTGGTCGAGCATCTGGATTACCCTTTCTGGTCTAGTAGCTTAACCACCGTTGCTCCACTCGCGTCGATTAATCAGAGTTGGACCGAACGAGTCAACCACATCCATCTGGCGTACAGCAACCCTGTTCAGGCCGTTGTTCGACACTGGGACGCAGCCAGCAAATTTACCTATCTAGTGCTATGTCTAGTCAGGATAAGTCTTGCTGGAGATTGTCGGGAAGAACTGTTCCGTCTCAGAGGTGCTCCAATGCAGCTGAGATTCTCCACTTTCTTAGGGTACGCCAGCATTACTTACTACGGCACTCGCGGGCTTATGTGTGATTCGTGATATGTATGAGTACATGAAGAGTCGGCCACAATCATCACTGGTACTGCATAAATCATTATCATCTTCATGGGCGCACTCCAAAGCTCTGCCCTTGGCTACTGTTCCAGGTCCTTCTTCATACGTAAGGCCTACATTTCTGATGACAGGAGTGACGGGCAGTAAATTATAAGCTTCTTTCCACCAATGATAATCCTACAGAGGTCGGCTTGAGTTTCACCTCTGCGGCATATAGTGCACAGAAAGTACTTTTCATCGAGAACTGGGATCACGCAAATTAGGAACACCATTTTTCAACTTGGCGACTACGACAGGCAGCCTTTTGAGTAATCTCAATGGCGACAAGTTCCTGAGCATGCGCCCGTCCGATACCCGCATGTTGAATTGGAAAGCCAGAACGTTTGTGGTGGGCAAGCATGTGGTGGGCGACTTTGCCATGTGTCTTTGGGAGGAAATGAATAGCCCCGCCGTGGTCCAAATCTCCCTGGGTGATGCTCTGTATTCCAACGCGAGCATTCGGGTTGCAACGACCATCTATTTTGCCGGTGGCAGACCGGCAGTCACCGTTAACTACTACGACTGCGGCACCCCGGCGAGCCCTAACTCTCTCGACACCCGCAGCGTCACCCACGGCGCATACCGTGGCTATGGAGAGATTTATGAATGCCTCATTCCTGCAGGAAATCTGCTCTCTGGTCTCAACAATGTGTCGATAGCGGTTGCGTCGGTTCATTCGGGAGATGAATATCTCAGCCCGGTCTTTGTACGTTGCCCCCTTCTCTTTCCTCTAGGGGTTTTGTGATGTTGACCGTTCTAGATTCTGGACGCAATTGTACCTTTAACTAGTCAGCAAACCGAGCCCGTTTTTACCAGCCGTTTTTACCATAGGCTCAGCATTTACTGGGATCTTGATATTACTGAGTCGTTTCTCAAACCTGGTCCTGTTGAAGCGTTCCCGAACTCGAACCTTCAGCTTACTGTATTTTTACTCTCACACCTGCGGTGAGAATCACCTGTATTATGATCCTGAACAATTTGCAAATCTTGAATTGGATATTGGGCTTGTATTGATCAAATGGCAGAGGATCAATATAGCACAGCCAGTAGGTTTACCTTATACTATTCTTAGAACTCTATGCAGTATAGACATTATCTACTTCAACATACGGCCCAGTTGCTGCGTTAGCCTGTTGGATTCATCCGTCCAGATGATGATAGCAACCTTTCCAAAGAAATAAAGCTAAAGTAATGTCCCACATACACTCACCGCTTAATTTCGATAAAGGAATAGTGTTACGAAGCAATGAGCTGTACAGTATACTGACAGGAAACAGTCGAATCAATATCAAGACGTAGACTCGTATGTTTCTCAAGTCCAGCGAAGTGGCAAGACAACCCAGTTCACGAGCTCTCTATAACTCTAGACACAATTCACAAATCAACAGATAGCACAGCGGAGTTTCGAGCTGCAGTTTTGAGTGCTCAGAAAGCACACCCTGCTAGCCAAAACCCAACCACCACGAAACAAATCAACCCGGGAAAGGCACCCTCTCAAAAGCCTCCTCGAGACCCACCAGCCCCTTGACACCCAAGTCATCCGCGCCCAAAACCTCCTCCCCAACCGCGGTAAAAGACCTGCCATCCGTGACCTGGAAGTAATGGTGGCTCACATCCATCAGCTCCGCCAACCCGGGCCACAGCGCCCGGTACTCCTCCCTGCTAATCCGCACACACCTCACCCTGCACCCCTTGGCCACCCCAAACGCTTCGAACACATCTCTCAGGGCCCGATACTCCACAACGGCAGACACGATCCTGCCAGGCAACGTCTTACCCGGCTGCTCCAAGACCGCTCGAACAAACACCCCGATATTGACCTTCTCGTCCCCGGCAAGCGGGATCTTCGTCACCGGGTCGATATTCGTCAGGGTGAGATAGCCGTCCGCGCCCCGGACGCGCATGGGCTGGAAGCACGGGATCAGCATGTTGGCACTGTACCAGCCGACCCAGACGAAGGTCGTCTTGGCCAGCAATTGGGGCAGGGATCGGATGAACGCGTCCACGCGGCGCTTGCTCTCGTAGTAGGGCACCGCCGCCTTTCCGTCAGAGTTGGTCTGGGAGTCTGGCAGCGTCGACCAGATAAAGTGCTCCAGCGACTCGGTTGCGGCCGCCGCTTTGGCGATGTTAATCCCCATCTGCGTCTCGAGGGCCATCGCGCCGTCGACACCGTGGGTGGGGAGTGCGTCGAAGAAATTGGTCACGGCGAAGATGGCGTGCGTGCCTGCGAATGCGGTGGTCAGGGAGGTGAGGTCGTGCAGGTCGGCGCGGACGAGCTGGACGCCTTGCCCTGCGAGAGACTGCGCGGCGGTGCTGGACGGGTTGCGCGTTATGGCGCGGATGGTGTAGTCTGCTTTCGAAGGGAGAAGTGCGTTGAGCACGGAGCCGCCTTGGGTGCCGGTGGCGCCGATGATGGCGATGGTTTTAGGCATGCTTGGTTTTGCTTTGGTGTCTGGCTGGATTTATGGGAAGCGATTGCCATGATGCTTGTTGTGTAAGAATACCTCTGGCTGGCTTTATATGGTTATGTTTACTGTTGTCAGATGCGGGGTGGTGAGGTAATGCTAAACTCTATACACCTTATTCTCCGTATCTGCTCCTTTTCTCTGTATCTGATGCATTATTAAGCCCTTGCGGTTGCGGGAACGTGCGAGTGCGGGTTTGCGGAGTTGCGGCGGGCAAAAGTGGGGCTGCAACCCTATCTCTGGATGTTGATTGACACCACCCACGCTTGGGATGAGTTCAACGTGCCTTCTTGGCAGAGAGCATACCTCAACCTTTCAGGGAGTGTAGTATTGTACATCCAGGACCTTGGTAATACTCGACGCTGAAGCGCAAATGGGAAATGCCGCCAGAAGGAGAGCGTTTGCATGCATGGTGTCGAACATATCCAGAAGTCAAATAGTCTCCGAATGGCGCGTATATGTGACTCCATTGATATACATCAGCTTTTTGTCCTCACAGCCCGTGATTGATAGACCCGATCTATACAGAGGCCGAGTCTAGGCGCAGGCCAACAGGGGCCCTTATCTCCAGAGTCAATGCCCGTGAACAGGAGATGTTCAAAGATAATGGCGCCGTATCATACAGCAAATGTCATTGCCATTACTTCAAGATCACGCTCAATTGTCTAATCAGATATTGACAACCTTGATAGCATCGCCCAGAATCCTATCCGTATTTGGCAATAAGCCAGAGTACTTGTAGTGGCCATTCAATTGAGAAAGGCGATTCGATTAACATGCCAAGAGGATTTAGCGACGGGATTTCGATGTTCGTCTCGGTAGATAACCTGAAGCATTGATATCGGCAGTTATCCAAAGTTTGTGAGGCAAAGGGGATCCACCTCAATAGATTAATTATACTAATACCGGCGATTATCCGAAGCTGCTGCATCAGCTACATCGATGCAGTGTACTGCATTGTGATTACCTATCCTCGGTTGCTATGCTAGCCAAGGCTCGGTTTACCAAGCAGCTGTTTTCATTCTATTGTAAATCCCAATGACAGACCAGTTTTCCTGCAGTCGTATACATCGATTTTGAGTTCATACTTCTTTAGACAGAGGGCTTGACATCCCGTGGAAAGGGAAAGCCTAAAGATGCTGGAAAACAGCTTGCGTAAATTGTACACATCCCCATGGCTATCGAGTATAAAGCGATTACTTATCATTCTGGGAGCCAAGGTCATATTACAAACTACGGGTTGGTGGGTAAAAAGAGTGGGGTGGACAGATCGCGGATCACTCATGCACTGCTGTACGTCATTAATTGCCAAGTGAGAGCATGGTAACTCAATACTCATGGCCTATATTAGCCGCCTATAGGATTATAATGATGGCGGCCATGAAGATGGTGAGATCCAACTATCTGAGAAGCTAGCTATGAACCAAGGTGGAGGGCGGTGAATTGGAACCGGAACGAAGCAGTCCAGCCTCCGTCAGATAGGCACAATAAAGATAACTAAGCTGTGTTCAAAGCAGACCCACAGAATTTCAGAACCTACGCAACCAACAACCCCAACTCTTCGAATGCCTCAGCAGCCTCCAGCCCCTGGCACGGGACAATCAGCAGCTTTTCAAAGCGATCCAGCCGCCGCGGCATCGAAACAAGCCAACGCCCTAGGAACGCTTCGTAGGGGAACGTCTCGATAGCCTCCCAACGCGAATGCCGTTGGTCTTCCCGGACCTCACATTCGCCGTCTTCATCCCAGGAAGATATCTCGGTTGACAAGGGCAGCTGCCGCAAAGTATGCAGTCCCACGCAGATGCCTTCACGATACACCGAGTTGACTCCGTAGAGAAAGTAGACTAGGAGCGCGGTGCGTCGGATACACTCGCCGAGTATCCAGTCCTGTCGCGTCTTTGGCGTTCGCAGCTCAGGCTGGGATTGGGCGCGGACAACGAGCTTGAGAGCCATAGTCATGAGAGTCGACCCCTGTTGCTCAGCCGTGATCCGCTGCTGCAGGCTGCCCTGGAAGAGCCGGATGGTCTGGTAGAGCAGTAATGCTTGTAGCCGCGCGAGCTCTTTCAGATCCGCAGCTGGCTTTGTATCAGGGCTCGAACTCGGTTCGGTTGGTTTGAGCAGCTCGAGGACTTCGGCGTCTATCACACGAAAGGCCATCTCCCTGTTTGACTTGATGTTGAGACAGAGGCAGGAACAGGCACCAAAGGCTGTTCGGATAGGCTGTGGCATCTCGCCTCGGTATAGGTCGCGATGCATAAAGACTGTCTCTCCCTGTTGGGCAAATTCCCTGGGATAAACTTTGAGCTCGTCCATTACCCACTGCCATGACCGCGTACTGCCTTGTAATGGTTGGACCTCGCCGAGTGTACCTACAAGTTTAGACGTTGCTGAAAATGAGATACTCTCTGGCGAAAAGCCGGCCGTGGCTCGTGGTAGTCCCTGGCTAGGTGAAGATCCCAGGGAATGCTGTAGCTGTGAGTCGCAGGCAGATAGATCTGTCATCATCATCACCGATGGCTCCAGAAACTCAAACTCTAGATCAGCAGTGGTCACACTGCGTTGTGCTGTCAGCGAGGCGCTTGTCTGGTCTGGCGCAACGGGTCGTTCGCTGGTGGGTCCAGCCGGGCTGGGCGGGTATGCATATCGACAGATCTTATTTGTTCTCCTGCAGTTGTCACACACTGGATGTGCAAGATTACACTTTCTTCGGCCTTTGAAGCAGGCGTTGCAAGACTTGCGCCGTAGCGACATGATGATGATCGGTGGTGGGATTCAGGCGGAAGTGGCGGATCCTGACGCGGCATGCAGTAAGCCTCAAGGCTGCACGTGCTGCACGTGCCTGGTTCTCTGTCTCATAGTTCTTTCAAAACAGAACTCTAGATATCGAAGCAAATGAGTCACCTTAATATATAATGTCTCTCAGTTTAGTATAGTTCACCTCAAGTCTGATTTCGTACTAACTGCATGTAACCTTAGAATGACGGGCTTACAAGCATTCCTCGCTAGAACTATCCTAAGGGATTGAGAACATGAGACGAGCTATACTACCAAACAGAAAACCTTAGTTCCATCTTATATGGTCAAACGCGCTAACCATCTTGTAGGATATTTTATTAGAGAAAAGGAAACCAGTAGAATGGCGAGCTAAACCTTGGCATCACAGCCAAAAGGTATTGATACTTCCGTCCCGTGGAGTAGGCCATGGTTTGATGCGTCTGATCAGAGAAGTCGTTGTGCTTACAAATTATACTAGATATGAAACAGCGCCTGCGAGCCTCTAGAATAGCCGGTACATTCACATATTACTTATAATATCCCTAACCAGCGGACAGTGGCAGTGGCAATTAAACTAGTTAATAATTATCGCAGGAATTACCTCGGTAATATAGAAGCTGAAAAACAAAAATAATAAGTAATTATTTTATAGCAAAAAGCTGGACTTTTATAATATCTAGTTTAGTAAAAATTAGCAAGACAGGAATGCCCTGGGATAGAGGAAATAGACTACGAGCCTAATAGAACTAAAAATTTATTATAATATTTCTTTTCTGAAATAGAGTAAAAGTAGATCCATTAGTACTACTTCTACTAAACTGTAATACTTTAATATATCTCTAATCCTCAGACAACTCTACATAGTCGAATGAAATATATTGATAGCAAAGAACTATCAAGGTGATCATAATTATTCAAGACGATGATCTTTGTCAAGCTTCTGCTACTGACGGTGACGTCCATGGAGTAGGCCGTTATTTGCCTTCATCATGAAGCTCGCATGGCTCGAAGGAATCGTGTGAGATCTCGGGAAGTGACTCATGGACTAATTGAGACTTGGACATATCGCTGAAGCACACGTATGATCACGGGCTAGCAACTGCGCATGTAAGCCTTGCAGAAATATTCTACGAACATCTTGGAGCACAATGAACGATCGGGGATTGTCGTGTCATACCTACGGACGTCATCGCAACAGATTCAATCAACCAGGACATATTGATTTTCAGACTCATCAGTGGCAAGTGATGACCTTTTCCAAAAGCCTGTGTTGGTGAACAGTATCAGCTCTAAATTATAAACTTGATCGGTCACCAGCCTTCATCATACCAGGCCTATCGCCAAGCTTACCCTTTCAAGAACAGGCTTGACTGTATATACACGCTAAGACGTCAGCGATAGAGCCTTGATTCAACCATTTCGTCCGGATCAAGGAATAGATATGAGATTTAGATGCAGCTACACACAATCACGGCACAGGATTATCACACATACGAATAGAGACATAGCGAGAGCATTCGTCATTGGCGCGTGTCTGAACGGCCCTTTGTAGCTTCATGCACTGTGGCCATTAAGGTCGTTGTAAGTGTGTTTGGTAAGTGCGATACGTTTTCGGGCCGAGTACGTGAAGAGGGCAGCAAGGGATGGGACTGCAGGTGTCCAGATCGGGGAAGCACTGGCACTTCTCATATAGGTAATGATTTTCCCTTTGGGGGAGTGTAGATGATATAAAGAGCTGAAGGTCTATTCGAGCGTGTCAGTGGATTTTATCATTAGCATTCAGAGTGACGTACCTTAAATAAACGCCTAGGTATTTTGTATACTGGCTTATTTCTCTTTCGATTGATCATCGCAAATCATTACTGTCCCGTGGCATTTCACCATGAAAGACCCCCAAGATTCAGCGCGCCATTGCCAGGCACAGAAAGACATAAATTCATCCCATGTTCGGGTATCGCATTCGACGACACTACCCGGCGTTCCAGCGCAAAAGATGGAAACTCATGCGCTATCTACCTGGGCGCTTTTGTTGCATGTCTACAACCATCAAGAAAGTGTTACTTTCTCGGTTGTTCGACGTAACAAAATAAGTGAGAAGTCGTCTACAAAAAAGTCCGGCATAGCTCAAACGGTGTCTTGCAAGATCGACGACGACAAAACCCTGCAAGAAGTTTTTGATTCAGTGCCAAATGTCAACGAGTTTGCGTGTTCGGAGAGTCAACAACCAAGGTCTGCTGTTTGCATCAATCCAGATCAGTGCATAAGCCCGGAGGATCTGAAATCAGGGTTCGAGGTATGCATCTGTTGACATGTGTCGAAAGTTATCACTAAGTCGAATGTAGTGTTACATGCTGCTCGATCTACAAATGACAAAGGCGGGAGTAAGTGCCATGGTACGATCGTTCGCCGGCGAGCCACTGGCCGATCTTTCAGCCATTGTCGAGACGTATAGGGCAATATGGAAGGCAATGACAAATACACCGTTGCTGAAGATATCCCAAGTCGATCTTGTTACTGGCCATGGTATCAAGCGTTTTATAGAGTGGCACACGGACCTGACACCCCGTCCACCTAGTACTGTCCATGGGCTTATAAATCGACACGACAAACCAAGGCCAAAGCGATTGCAATTAACAGCACCGCGGAGAAGATCACATACGAGGAGCTTGGTAAAATGTCCGCGGCGATCGCTCACGAGCTAACCGCCAAAGGCATTCAGCACGGAAGCAGAGTAGGGGTGTACTTGGAAAAGTCTGCGTGGGCGGTTGTGGTCATCAGTGGTGTTCTGCGAGCAGGAGCAGCATTAGTCCCACTTGATGTTCTCTGCCCTGAGAATCGTTTGAGATACATTGCCCAGAAGTCTGAAATGCGAGCGTTGATCACTGAGACAGAATTGAGTGACAGAGCTACCAAGACGATTTGCGGAAATCTCGAGCTCATCATGCTCCGCAGCCTGAAGCAGCTCCAAGTTCCCGCTGATTGGGTCAAAGAAACAGCCGTCGACCCTTCACAAATTGCCTATATTATGTTCACTTCCGGAAGTACAGGCAAGCCCAAAGGGGTTTTGCATGAGCATAAGGCAGTGGCAGGAAGTTTGCAGGATGTTACCCAAGCTTTGGGCATGAGCCCGGAAACAAGACATTTGCAGTTTGCCTCCTTCTCATTCGATGCTAGCGTTCTGGAGCTTTTTGGGCCTTTGATCGTGGGAGGGACAATTTGCGTGCCATCGACGGAGGAGAGAGTGGAGGATCTGCAGTCGGTCATGCGTCAACTTGAAGTCACAGATGCCACTCTGACTCCGGCAGTTGTCACACAATTAAATCCATCAGATCTGCCATCACTAAGATGCATTTCGATCGGAGGAGATGCGCCAAGTTCACACATCCTTTGCAAGTGGTCTCAACAGGTCGCGTTGAATAATGTGTACGGCACCACCGAGATATCTGTCTGGGACACTATCAAAGTCCGGATGAAACCAGGCGATTATCCCAAAAGTATAGGACACGGGATCCACGTCAACTGCTGGATCGTTGATCCCCGCAATATAGAAAGACTTCTTCCAATTGGCGCTGTTGGAGGAGCTGCTCATACAAGGTCCGTATCTAGGCAAAGGATACTTGGACGACCCCGTTCAAAGTTCATCGGCGTTTATCGAAGCACCAAAATGGTACGCTCGTTTTCAAGATACAGCAGGGTGCTCTATGTACCGAACCGGAGACCTGGCAAAGTTCGACGTGGACGGTAATGTCACTTTTGTCGGCCGCGAAAGTGGCTTCATTAAGATCCGCGGCATGCGTGTGGAGCTGACGGAGATTGAAAGAGTGATTGGATCTGTGATTGCTCCGCGTAAAGCAGCAGTCATTCTCTCCGGCGCTGATCACGAGGATGACAGTACAGAGATTATGGCTTACGTCGAGGCACCTTCGGATATCATCCCGTCGTTGGCCGATGACCTACATGCAGCAATGGAGAAATTGCCTTCGTATATGATACCCTCAGTTTTCCTGCCTGTTGAATCAATGCCACTGACAGATTTCAAGAAGAAGGATAGGCGGGGTCTGCGTGAATCAGTCTCTCGTATAAATAGCACGGATCTTGTTGCGTACAGGCCAGGGCCCTCTTCCATGAGACAGTGGGAGAAGATTGACCCGAATAGGAAGTTTACCATAGAGCTTAGCAACATGGTTGCAGATATGTTAGACGCTCGGAAAGATCAGATCGCTCAACGTCTCAGAGGCCATGATTTCCCAGTATCGAGTATAGGGCTTGATTCCGTTCAAACGGCACAACTCACGGGGCTTATACGAAGAGCTTGGGGGCTAAACATCAGGGTCGAAAAGCTACAAGAGCCGGGATCAACAATCGGAAGACTCGAGAAGATTTTCCAAGGCGATGAGGAAGTGGACGACCTCGGCGTGAGATTAGATCTCCTCGAAGAGCTAGACGATGTTGTGCCACATCTGAGGGCCCCTCCACAGCCTAGAGAGGCGGTGTTTGTCACCTCACTGACAGGATTTCTTGGGACTCAGGTACTGCGCTGCTTGCTAGCGGAGCCCACGGTCTAGCGCATCATTGGTCTGGTTCGGGCGACCGACATGAGAGAAGCCGAGCAAAAAATTCAGCATCATGCCGAGGTTGGTCAATGGCGGACTGACAGACTAGACTCGCGCGGTGAGATCTGGCTTGGAGACTTGAGCAAGAACAAATTGGGACTGTCAACAGAACAATGGGACTGTCTCACTGGAAACTCGAGCGAGACGCGAATTGATGGGATCATCCACAGCGGGGCGAAAGTCAACTGGCTTGATTCCTTTGAGACTCTCAGAGCGACTAATGTGGATAGTACCGTGCAGATTCTGGCTGCCGGAGCTTCCCAGCCCATTCCCTGTGTTCTGACATACGTTTCGGGCGGATATCTTCCCGCCGCAGAAGAGTCAAGAGAGGATACCGCGCGGAAGCTCGAGCGTGCCGGTGGATATGATCAGACCAAATTCTTGTCAAGGCTTTTGGTGGACGAATATAACGGCGCCCTCGATCGAGCTGAGAATCCATTCATTCGAAAGCGCAGACGATCCAGCCAGGCTACATTGTTGGTACAAGGGCTGAAGGCGATGCGCACACGGAGGACTTTTTATGGCGCTTCGCGTTCAGCATTCTCAGTCTTGGCGCGATAAGCAAGAATTTGACCGATGCGCACATTCCGGTAGCCGGAGTCGATCAGATCGCGCAACTGATCGTGGAGCGTGCGCTCAGAAGAACACCGCAGTCCGAGTGTGCCATCGACTGCTGGGATGGAATCACCTTGTGCGAACTGTGTGGAATACTACAGCAACAGACGGGAAAGTCCATCGAGGTCAAGAATCACGATGTCCGGATGCGAGCGCTGCGTTCGGATATCAATTCCAGAAGTGACCAGCCGTTTCTACCTGTGTTGGAGTGGTTCGAAGACAATCAGTGGCAATTCGCGAACAGTGCAGGGGGCTCTGCTCATGAGGCAGTTTTTGAGCGAACAGAGATTGTTGACGCGATTATCAAGAGCGTGTCGTACCTGATCGGAATAGGATTCCTGCCATATGAGGATGATAGGAAAGGGTCAGAGGGGAGTCGGAAAATGCCGATTTACAAGCGATCCAATTAGGCGAAGTGTGAGTTGATGGTATATCATAGATTGAAAAGAAACTGAGCGAAAGAATGAGTTTGAGCCAAGCTCTGGTTAGACAATGTGGTGATGGAGAGAACTAGAGAAGTGGTGATGAGGAAGTGAAGGAGTAGAGTAGACTAGTTGAAGTCACGCCGTCGATCATGTGCTCTTTCCTTCCTTCCGCTTCTTCAACCTCATCTCTTTCCTCTTCTACATCTTCGCCCATCACCGAGCTGCGGTATAGTAACAGGCATGTACTCGAAAATTGCATGACCTAGATCGGGTAGATCATTACGAGAAGGCTAGCAATTCTATAATTTGTTATGTCTATTTGATCTGTTCTCTTAACCATTTGTGACGCTACTCCAGCTGATCCAAGGTATGGCAAAAAGTGTGCATAAGATCCTAGTCAGTTGTTTCGTTTCGATTTGACAATCACTGAATAGACTTCTGACTGTGACATAGTGTCAATTGCACTGTAAACCTGCAGGGCTTGCATTAGCCAATGCTTGAACAATGTGGCGCGTCGGAGACATACAGCGGGACATCAAACCATGTTCTCCCCGGCAGCAAGCCCTGACTCGAAACTGCCGGGATTTGGCTGTGACCTGATTAACCACCGGTGGAGAAGCCTATTTTTGCCTCGGGCAAACTTTGCATCAGAGGCTTCCAGGCACTGAATCCCATTGACTGAGAGCCGCTGTCCGACCCACACACTGTGCACCACAGTGCTCTGATTGCACAAATTGTGCTGCTGACAAACGCAGTATTGCCTGAGGATCCACTGGAGTGTCGGAGACTTATACCGAAAGGGGAGGTGATCAAGGGCGCCCGCGTTGGAATGTTCCGCACGCTGGGTCTGCTCTACCAAACCGCCTTGGATGCCGAATTTCGAGCGATTGACATCTCCACTCTGGATTTCAAATCATGTTTCCAATGGATTCTATCCAGCCCGTATAAAGGTCGCAGAATGTCCTGCCGGCGTCTTATCGCGCCAGTCTGGCATCTATCGCATCTCTCGTTATCAGAACCTCACCATGTCCCTTCCCGACGTTGATATCGCCCCGGCCCAGGGCATTTCCTACTTCACCCCCGCCCAGGATCCTCCCGCTGGCTCGGCAGCCAATCCTCAGACTAGCGGCAAGCCCGTTCCCAAGCTCTACCAGCCATTGACGGTCCGCGGCCTCACGTTCCAAAACCGCCTTGGTGTAAGTTTATCGCTGTATCTTTCGGAGGGCTCGTGAACTGACTTGCCCATTCATAGCTCGCTCCCCTCTGTCAATACAGTGCCCAGGATGGCCATATGACCCCCTACCACATTGCCCACCTGGGCTCGATCGCTCAGCGCGGTCCCGGCTTGATGATGATCGAAGCGACCGCCGTCCAGCCCGAGGGTCGTATCACCCCCCAGGACGTGGGTCTCTGGAAGGATTCGCATATTGAGCCCATGCGCCAGGTCGTTGAGTTCGTGCACAGCCAGAACCAGAAGATCGGAGTGCAGCTGGCCCACGCCGGTCGCAAGGCCAGCACCGTGGCTCCCTGGGTGTCCACCGCCGTCGTCGCGACCGAGAAGGTTGGCGGATGGCCCGACAACGTCAAGGGTCCCAGCGACATCCCCTTCGCCGATTCCTTCCCCCAGCCCAAGGCCATGACCAAGGATGATATCGTCCAGTTCAAGAACGACTGGGTTGCCGCCGTCAAGCGCGCCCTCGCGGTTGGCGTCGACTTCATCGAGATCCACAACGCCCACGGCTACCTGCTGTCCTCCTTCCTGTCTCCTGCTGTCAACAACCGCACCGACGAGTATGGCGGCTCCTTCGAGAACCGCATCCGTCTGTCCCTCGAAATCGCCCAGCTAACCCGTGAGACTGTCGGCCCCAACATGCCCATCTTCCTGCGCATCTCCGCGTCCGACTGGCTCGAGGAGGTCCTGCCCGAGCAGAGCTGGAACAGCGACTGCACCGTCAAGTTCGCGCAGGAGCTGGTCAAGCAGGGCGCCGTCGACCTGATCGACATCAGCTCGGGCGGCGTCCATGCCGCGCAGAAGGTCAAGTCAAGCCCCGGTTTCCAGGTGCCGTTCGCCGCCGCGGTCAAGAAGGCCATCGGCGACAAGCTGCTTGTGTCGGCCGTCGGCGCCATCACCAACGGCCGTCAGGCCGAGGAGATCATGGAGAAGGACGGCATCGACGTGGTCCTGGTCGGCCGTGGCTTCCAGAAGGACCCCGGCCTCGCCTGGACCTTTGCCCAGCACCTCGACGTCGAGATCTCCATGGCCAGCCAAATCCGCTGGGGCTTCACCCGCCGCGGCGGCACCCCGTACATCGACCCCTCGGTGTACAAGCCCTCTATCTTTGATATGTAATGACCTTTAGATTGTACATAGATAACCTCACCCTTAATTGCATATATATAATTCACCACCCTTCAACCACCCTCCCAGAAACACATACTGGAATAACAACGTTCCGGGGGAGAACCCCCGGACTCCTCTTTTCTTTCAGCTTCCCAGCTGTACTCAACCTCCAACCAGAATATAGCGTAAACTACACGAGAATAACAACTTCCCGGGGGAGAACCCCCGGACCCCCCTTTTCTTTCAGCCTCCCAGCTTAACTCAACCTAATAATCAAGCCTATACAACACGACTAAACCACTCTACCACATTTGTTAAAAGAAGAATATCCGGGGGAGACCCCCGGACCCCCCCTTTCCATTAATACCTACAGCCCCGGAGTATCGGCAACCCTAAATACATACTTGACGGCACTAGCCTTATTATCCCTCAAATCCCTCATCGCCCCCTCCACCCCCGCCAACCCATCTTCCCTCACCTCGAAAGGATGCCCCTCAAACTCCCCACTCGCAAGCGCCCGAGAGAACCACCGACAAGCCACGAAACACAGATCCCGCGCATCATCAACACCCCCAATCTGATGCGCACTGCTCACCCACGTATTCGTCTTCACGCCAGGGGACACATCATACGGACAAGGGAGAACGTAGTTCACCTGCCCGCCGGGGTGGATCACGTCCCGGATGACGGCGGAGCTGTCCTCTGAGACGATGGTGTCGAGGACGTGGTGGATGGTTAGCTCCGCGGAGGAGGAGGCGCGGGCGAGCGCAGCCTTCACGCCGGCGATGGTCTCCGCCGGACCGGAGCGGTAGTCGACGATGGCATCGCCTTTGCTCTCGTCCAGGAAGCGTCGGATGTATGTTGCGCCGCGGCCTGCGATGGCGATGATCGGGTCGATGTTGCTTTTGCGGGCGAGTTTGATGGCGAACGCGCCTACGGCGGTGCTGCCGCCGTAGATGAGGAGGGGGGTGGTGGGGTGAGTGGACGGTGAGGGTGTCCAGGGGGCTGGGAGGCGGTGGTGGTGGTAGAGCGAGACGATCGCTGTTAGGGCTGCGAGGGGGATTGTTGCTGCGTCTGTTGGGGTTGTGAGTATACTTTTCAGATAGGATGGGGAGGAGGGAAAGGATAGGGTAGAATAGACGCACCCTCGAAGGACACCTTCTCCGGCAGATGGAAGGTCGTGTGGCTCCAGGCCACGGCGTACTCAGCGTACGAGCCCCCAGGCTCGAGCATCTCGTGGAACGCGCCGACGCGGTCTCCGGGCTGTGGTTCCTTGGTTAACACCATGCTGTAGATGAGGAATGGGAGGAAACAACCTTGAACTCAAACACGTTCCGGCCCACCTTCTCAACCACACCGGCAATATCGTCGCCCTGGTTCACCCCGTCCTTGATGTGCGCGTAACGCTCCCCAAACGCCTCGTCGGACCCTGCCAGCTCAGGCACCTTCCAGTCCTTCGGGTTGGATCCGGACACCACTACCCTGATGAGGACTTGGTCGTCGTTGATCTCGGGGATTGGTGAGTCAACCAGCTTGCAGCTGGGCCCCGGGAGGTTGATGATCTGCTTCATGGTGGTCGTTCGGTGTGGTGCGGTGGCAGTACACTTCGGTAAATCTCGACCTGCAATTTGGCTGCAGAGCGAGATAAATACTCGACCCAGCCCTGATTACCCCATAGTGGCCTCACTTTTCTCCAATGTGCCAATTATTAAGCAGGGTGGAGACCATGGATACTTGACGTCACCTGAAGAAGCTTATGTCGGGCTTGTGCAAGACCAAGACGGAGGGGAGAATGCATCCGGGGTTCAATCAAGCAGCAAGATGGAAAAATGGATTCTTCACGGATGTTGCTCGGCCGTGATCCGCTTCTTGTCGGGCAACGGCAGTTGTTGAACAAAGTGGAGCCTGGAAATCTCCTCGAGACGGGGCATTGGAGATCGACCGGAATGGAAAAGCTTCAACCGTTGAAATATTCATATTGACTCATGCATGTTGATTCTAGCCCTCTAGCCTCTAGCCTCTAAGTCCTCTAGTCTATAGATTTTCTAGATCTATATCTACCACCCGATACCCCATGACAATAACTCCATACCACAATCATAGCTTGCTCTTGGGCGGGCTATTCTTCAGCACAGCCGCGTTCCAAGGATACGGATCGAACACCAGGTCATTGACCGGGTTCTGACTCGCCCGCCGGAACAGATCAGGGTATACGTCGCCGTCATATTTGCCCAGACTGCTGTCCAGCTGCCAGTCGGGGATCTGCCATGCATCCACCAACCGCACGGCGTGTGGCCGGATCTCGTCCAGAAGCTTCATCACAGCGTTCTCGCGAGCCAATCCAATCTGACGAACAGTCACAGCACTGGACGAGAAGAACTCCGACGCCTCCCGCTCCAGAGTATGCAGAGCATAGAGGCGGAACAGCTTCTGCAGGACCTCGGTGGTCGCCCCATCCACTGCCGACGCCACCTCCGACGAGTTGACAGCCTCATAGAAGTTCTTGACCGCCAGGTACTGCGAGTGGGCAGTAGACAGGCGCCAGAAGTCGACCAAGAGACTGTTCCACGAGCGCTTCTCGACATCGCGATGCTTGAGGGCCTCGAAGGTCATGTGAGCCGTGCGCCAAGCAAAGGCCGCCACAATGTCCTCGTCCTTGCCAAGAATGTCGAAGGAGGCGCCCTTGTCGCGGCGGGAGAGGTAGGTCTGGAGGATCTGCGAGGTGTCATTGCCGGTTCCCTTGCCAGCAAGCACAGCACGAGCGGATTTCAGGAGCTGGATCAGTCAGCAGGCATGTCTTGGCATGTCCAGAAAGGATCACTTACGTATCTTGCCACCTGCTGGGTCAACATGTAATTGTCGCCTTCCCACGTCAGGGTAGGCAGATAGTCCGAGTACCAGGGTCCGATACCGCTGAAGCTGCTGTATCCATGACCACCACAGGCACGACGGCACACCTCCAGGCCTTCACCGGCCGTCGTACTAGCCAGAGCCTTGAGACCGCAAGATGTGGCATGAAGATCCGCCAACAGGTCGGCTCCAGCCCTCAACTGCTCGGGTCCGGCACCACGCTTGTCCTGTCCCGGCTCCGAGGCAGCCTTCATGCGGCTCTGATTCTCCTCGTAGAGTCGCATCATACCGCGACCGGTGAAGTGCAGGGCATACATCGACGCCAGCAGAGGCAGAAGACGGATCTGGACCATCTTGTAGTTGAGGACCTGGTTCTCCCCTTCGTGGCTTTTGGCATCGCGATCTTGAAACTGTCGACGCACAGCGCAGTAACGGGTGGCAATGGTGACACCCCGGGCAAGGACGCCACCAGCCTGAAGGACAATGTTGGAGCGGACCCAGGTCATGGTACCGTAGAGCAACGAAGGCGATGCCGGGCGCTGGTACTCGCTGGTCGCTTGGTCGACGCGACAAAACCGCGCCAGCATGTTCACGTGGGGAATCTTGACCTTATTGAAGAGAAGGAAGCCGTTGTCCATCGTGCTGGTGGTCAAGTCAGTATTCCCGCCGAGCCACGCACATCGGGCTTACTCACTTGTAGCCAAACTTCGGTCCAATATCACCGACATATACATTCTCCAAAGGTTGGTGGGTCTCCATATCACGGATTTGCACCACGAACGGGTGAGGACCGTAGTTCTTGCCCTTAATGAAGAGCTGGGCCATCACGACTGCATGGTTGGCAGTGCGTCCCAGCGACCCGATCCACCATTTGGAGGCAGTCAGTGTGGGGGAGTGGATGATGAATGTCTTGTCTTCGGGGTTCCAGGTGGCGGTCGTCTCCAGCCCGCGGACGTTTGACCCGTGACCCAATTCCGTTTGCGCATAACATCCCAAGATCTTGTAGTTTCGTGCCGGTTTGTAGAAAAGCTTGTGTTGCTCCGGAGTGCCTTGTTCCCGCAAGGTGACCTAGGCGCAATAATATCCGTTAGCATTCGCGCAGACTAAGAGGAGGCGGGGAAGGGGGGCAGCCATACCAGAAACATGGTCGCGTGCAAGCCATACGGCGTGGGCTCTGCAAGCAAGTCGTTTGCAGTGAGAAATTCGGCGTCCGACCAGCGGTTCTGCACAGCCAGCTGATGCAGCCGCTTAGCCTTGGCCAGGGACCGTTGAATGCGCTCGGTGCGGCCTAGTGTGTGGTTGTCGGACTTGTCAAAGACCTTTTCTGACTTGAGGATAGACAGAATTTTGTCTTGACGCTCGAGAGCTTGCTTGGTGTGAAGCAATTGGCCCAGCTTATCAACTGCGACGTTGGACTGAGCACGCTCATCGTGGAGCAATTGGGAGCCCTGCGGATCAGCTGGCTTGAGAGCCTGGACCCAGTCAGGGGGCGGAGATGGCATTGTGGAATGGAGAGGATCTGGGGGAGTCAAGACCGTGGAAAGAAGCTGTGAAAACAATCTGGGGGAACAGGGGGGTGGGGAGAAGGTTATAAAGAAGCCAGATTCCCGGGGAAGTCGTGAATTATTCGGTCGAGACGGCTATCGGCCCATCCCAATGCAGTAAGTACCGAGGTAGGAGGAGTTGCTGCCTGGGTGCCTGAATATGGGGGGCAAAATTGCCGATTGGCCACAACATCAACTTTCTGCCGGTTCATGAAGTGCAATCAATGCAGTGCAGATCCAGCTGAGGTAAAGGTCGCTAACAGCAGATACAGTTCCAGGACAAGGCGACTCTCCATCAGACCGATCTTTACCGAGTCATCCTACCATGCTCGGCTGTGCAGCGCAAGCATCGGAATCCTTTCCCAATCAGTACAAACACTCGTGTTTATCTGATTACGATCACGAGCTGAGATCAGCACAGTTCTTCCGGTCTTTGCTGTCTGTGGCATTTAACCCAGACGCCTAAGCATAATGTCAGATGCTCAATCATGGCAGGCCCACATGTGTCTTCATAAGCCGTGAAATAATGTCAATGTTGTTCGTGCGTCGCGCAAACTTCACAAGATGACGGGAAATTATATACCATGAGGGCCGAGGGAGGACACGGTCAAAATCAGCCCCCTTGTAAATCAACTCGAGAATCAACCAAAGCACAAGTACAATGCAGGGAACGTAGAGTTGTCCCACATGCCTCTCCAGGCTCTTTTCGACGATACAGATATTGAGACGAAAGAACCAAAATAAGGTCGTGAACGAGATCCCGGGATGACCCACTCTCACATGTAACCATCAAAGACGAAGCTGAAATCCGATCCACGTGCACAGTGATTCCTGTCAAGGAGGCACAACATCCAGTTTCAAGCGATAGCATTCTCCGTCTCTTGTGACAACTCCACCATCGCTTCGCCCTGCCGCGAACTCCCATACGTGTCCGCATACCGCGCCAACATCCACTCCTGCACCGTGATAGGAGGGTACTTGGCCTCCTCGGTCTCCCCTTTACAACTCGGGATGCACTCCACCCGAAAGTCCGGATTCCCGGAGAAGAAGAACGGCGCGCTGTATCGTTCCTCCTCGCTCTTGTTGATCACCCGGTGCAGATTCGATAAGTACTGATCGTTGGTCCAGCGCATCATCATGTTGCCCAGGTTGACCACCAACGCACCGGGAACAGGGACTACATCTGCCCATTGCGATGCTTCGCGGTCCCAGACCTGGAGTCCGCCTTTCTCGTCTTGCAGCAGGATGGTGAGGCCGCCAAAGTCCGTATGTGCGCCGATGCCTGCGCATTGAACTTAGTATTGTGATCGATCGGGATGTTGACGAGACATACCGCGCTCCAAGCTCGACTTGTCGGTCTCCTGCGGCGGATAACGCAACAGGCGCAGGATCGTCGCGGAGTCCCGGCAGAACTCGTCGAACCAATTCTCCTCCAACTGCAGTGTCAAGGCTATGATCCGAAAGATCTTCAGTGACAGATCAGTCATGAGGTTATGGTAGTCATTCACGACCTGGCGGAAACGCGCGGGATCTCTGACTTCGGCGGGATACTTGTTCGCGCCTTGTGAGAACTTCCCGGCTTGCACGGCGGGATGGTCCGGCGGTAGGTCCCTGCACAAATAGAATCCTTCTTTCAGGTCTCCGGGGCCTCGCTTTTCGAAATTCTGGGCCCGGAGGCGCTCGTACCCCAGGTTGGGTGTGCCGATGTCTAGTTGTTCGGCAAGTCAGTCTTCCTGTGTGAATCGGTACCCTGATTGTTGGTTCAGTGGGCAAAACTACCCATGCTGTATTTTTCTTTCACTTCCACCGGGAGACTAAAGAGATTTCGGGCCTGCTCGAGAACATCGTACTGAATATCAAGCGGAATACCGTGGTTGAATACCTGGAAGAATCCGTGTCGCTCGCACGCTTCTCGGATCTGCTGGACGAGTGATGCTTTCGTTTCCGAGTTGGTGTCGTAGTAGGCTACCAGGCATGTAAGCTATACGCACTTTCCATCCTTTTAATATAAGATCTTAGGCTCTAACCTCGGAAGTCGATTATAGGTGGCGCTGTTGGCATTCTGCTGGCGGCTGAATTATCATTTGCAAGGTGGTATTGAAGTGAGGTGGTGAGGAGAGTGTTTTGCAGGTGATGTTGCGGGGTAGAATTAGCCACGTGAGGTTGTATACCACAATCCCTATCATTCTATTCCATGCAAGTCAGGGCGGGATCATAAGACGGACTGCACGGAACGAGTGCGAGTGAATTGCTAGTTGACAGATTAAACTAAGGCAGTCGCCGAGCCAGCTACACTCAAAGCTTGGAAAGAACACCATCTGGTTTGAGAATCGACAAATGTCTCCTCTGGATCTCCTTAATCGATCGGCATCTACTCAATGTCAGCACGGCATTCGAGGGACCTGTCAGGGGAAAGCGCTCTTACCCAGCCAGTGCCATCGTGATCATCAGCTCGTTGCGCAGAATCTGGATACCTAATTCAACTCCTTTCTGGCCATCGTACTACAATCTCGATGTCAGCAGCAGCATCGGACGAGATGCGAGAGAATACCCACCGCCAACCCCCAGATTGGAATCCTGCCGACAAAGCAGAAGTCTGCCCCCAAAGCAATAGCCTTAAAGATATCGGAACCGCGTCGAATGCCTCCGTCGATTGCGATCGGAATACGGCCCTTGGCAACAGGGGCGCACTCGCGAAGAGCATCCAAGGTAGCTGGGACACCGTCCAGTTGCCGACCGCCGTGATTCGAGATAATGACGCCGTCCACGCCGTATTGGATCGCGAGCTCGACGTCCTCGGGTGTGTATACTATAAGCTCCAATCAGAGGTAGTTCTTCAATGCCCAGCAGAAGCAAGCTTACCTCCTTTCAGCCAGATCTGCAGCTTGGTGTTCTCTCTAAGCCAGGGAATTGTGCTCTCCCAGTCCAGACTGGGGTCTAGCCTCTTAAGTTAGCCATCACCGACACCTCCATTGCTAGGAGTTCATATACTGACCATACTCCGTCCGATTGGAAGTATCACTGCCGCAACTCAAGATATTCGGCCACTCCATATCCTCAGGCAGGGTATAGTTGTTCCGATGCTCATTCAACCGCTTCCCCAAAACAGGCACATCCACCGACAAGAACAGCGCCTTGTATCCCGCCTTCTCCGCTCTGCGCAGCAGCTGCAGCGTGATCGAGCGATCCCTCAGAACACACATTTGCATAACGTAGGGAATTCCGCGCCCTTGGGCAGCCACATCCTCCAGCGAGTAGTTCGAATACGATGAAAGACCCATGCAGATGCCATGATTGGCCGCGGCGCGGGATGTCGCCAGCTCGCCGTCGGGGTGTGCAAGTTTGTGGGAGGCTGCCGGGCTGAATCCGATGGGGAGGGACACCTGTGCGCGAATATGAGATTAGGATTGGCGCGACCATTGTCGGATAAGAAAGCCAGGCGATGTCCGTACCTTTGTGCCAAGCACCTCTGTGCTGGTGTCAACCTTGTCCACGTTGATCAGAATGCGCGGTCGGATCTTGTACCGGTCGAATGCTGCCTCGTTCTCGCGGAGCCTGGGTAAGGTTAGGTATGTCCTACGTTGCTCGGATGTCACGTCCGACCTACGTGATAAGGTCCATGGCACCTTCGTTGTAGTACTCTGCTGCCCGTTAGCTCGACGCTTGCTACATGGCTATATTATCGTTCAGCAAGATGCGCAGACATACCTCTGACCATTGCGGGCAGGTTCTGGCTCCCCAGAGCCTTAAGATCAGCGATGCAGCTGACATTTTTGTCATAACTGACTCCACGGTGGGCCATTGTGAATAAGGAGGTGCAGAAAAATTCAAGATGAAGGGGAGGCTGATGAAATGACCGAATACATGCGACAGAGAGAGAATCAAGAGCACTGCATCTCGTCTGGTGTTATAAGGTAGAGGTGACGCCAGCGCATGGCAATTTTATTTGGGAAAGCTTCCTGAAAAGGCAATCAGCACTGCAATGGTCGAATGCAGCACGCATCCACCAGACAATAGTTTGCATCCCCATTCCGAGTAACTGAACCGCGATATCGAGAGTTGAGTAAATGCTGCAATTATCTTATCCGATAGAGCGTCTAAAAGCAGATCAGTCTTTCCCCGGAATCACCTTCCATTTCTGAACTGCCCTCCCACAACTACTCGTGTCATACTCCGAGGCCTCTTTATTTCTTTCCTACCTCTTCATTTTTCATTCAGGAATTGATACTCTCCCAACTTTACTGCAGCAACATAATTACAATGGCGAAAATCTTCTTGTATGAACACCCTCCTAGTGCTCAACAAGAGACCATGCTCACCATACTGCAGGACGGGTGCCTCTGGCTACATCGGCGGAGATGTGCTCCACGCTCTCCGATTAGCACTACCCAAGTGCGAATACAGCGTCCTGCTGAGGGATAAAGAGAAGGCAAAGAAGATCTCGGCGGCTTATCCTGATGTGCGCGTGGTGGTGGGCGACTTGGAGGCCGCAGCTGTCATCGAGAAGGAGGCCAGCCAAGCGGACGTCGTTATCCGTGAGTCCGACCCAATTTTCACTACACTTCTTCAAACTGTCTGCTAGCTTAACACATTCATTTCCAGATGCCGCAAGCACAAACCACATCAAGAGCGTCGAAGCCATCGCGCGCGGCCTGTCAGCCGAGAACCGAGCGAAACCAGGTCAGTGATCACAAGCTACTCAAACCTTAGCGAAACCACTGACAAGAATTATCAGGCCACTGGATCCAGATCTCCGGCGCCAGCGTCCTCTCTATGCCCGACATCGAAAACAAAACCTTTGGGCAGGCGTCATCAAGCGTCTACAGCGACCTCGACGGCGCCGAAGAAGTGCGGGCGCTAATCAAGCGCTACTCCTCCAAGCGCATCGTGGATAACTTTGTCACTCATCTGCCGCCGACGGCCATGCGCCCTAGGACGGCTCTTATCTTCGGCCCAATTATCTACGGTCGCGGCAGAGGCACGGGCAATCGGCGAAGCATTCAGATTCCCGAGCTTGCGCGGGCGAACCTGCAGCGCCGGGAGGGCGTGCAGGTGGGCAAGGGAGAAAGCACCTGGAGTAATGTTCACGTCGCCGACTTGAGCAACATCTTTGTCAAGCTGGTGGAGAAGGCTCTGGGGGGTGCGGAAGGGGAGCTCTGGAATGAGAATGGACTGTACTTCCCTATGAACGAGGGGATGTTGGTGAGTGGATTCGCCTGCGATGACATATTGAGGTTGCTGACAGAATATAGTCGTTCAATGAGATTTCGCAACGCATCGCACAGGAGGCCTACAACCTCGGCCTTGCAGACTCTACTTCTGTGACAGAGATCGATCCTAGCGACGCGGACTCTATCACGCCCCATGCCGCGGTTGTTCTTGGTACCAACGCCAAGCAGGTGGCTCAGAGAGCGCGCAAATACCTGGGCTGGGTGCCGGAACAACATACGTTGGAAGAGGAGCTTCCGCTGGCAGTGCGAGCTGAAGCGGAGAGATTGGGCTTGGCAGATACTTCTAAGCTGTAAACAGATTTCAACCAAGTCATTTACATTTTGCCCAATTCTCTCCATTTCTGACTGTAACTCCAACACCGAATCGAATTATCGAGCGAGAGTGTACGGAGTAGAAGATAAGAACCTCGGATGATCTCCGACTTCTTATCAACCGCACTAACCCCAACCAAGCAAGTCCTCCCGACAGTCACAATAATGGAAGAGGCAAGTGGTTCCGCGGAAACAGCGGGGTCACTCTATCTGGATAAACGAGATACAGCAATCACTCCGGAGGGCTGACACGTACCCCGGATTATTACAACCGGGCAATTTCTTCGTCAGCGCAAAACCCCAAATCTCCTATCACCAGATAGACAACCCCTTCCGCTTCCGCGATGGGAGGATCCAAGACAACAGGCAACCGGACCCGTCGCACGCACGCACTGGGAGCATGCAAGACGTGTCGACGACGACACGCGAAATGCGATCAGAGGCGGCCGAAGTGCCAAATGTGTCGCGCCAGCGGCGTGGCGTGCGAGGGGTTCGCGGACGATATCCGGTGGGTGGCGGCGCGGAAGCAGGCGTCGCCGTCGCGGACGTCGAGGGACGGGAAACCCAGGGACGTGGACAGGGACAGGGATAGGCAAGGCCCGCGGCGGGTGCTGTATACAGGTAAGTTGCTTCTTATCTACAAGAAATAGAAAGAGAAAGTGGCTCTAATGGGTTGGTTGGGCTAGAGCAGTCGCGGCTTTCGATGAGTGATTCGTTGAGCGCGGAGCTGGTGTCCGGGTCTATTGATGCGTCTTTGGCGGAGATTGATGTTCGAGCGCGAGACTCTGATCGAGCTGCCGAGGGAAGTATTGTTGTTGGGCCGTTTGCGGTGCTCGATCTGTCGAGTACCAGCCATGGGGATGCTGTTGCTGAGGTGGATGAGGCAGGAGAGAAGGAGGTAGTCAGTCCGTCTCGCATGTCAGGGCCCCTGGTTGAGAGCAGCTCGGGCGTGAGCCCGTCGCTGTCGCAGGAGTCGATCGCCTACATGAATGATCTGCTGCAGTGGTCGGACCTGTTCAGCCTGGACCTTCAGATGCCGGATAGCTTGATGTCCACGGCGTTTGATATAGGCGACGCGCTGGTCCTCGAGCCTGGGGCCCAGGCTGCGATGAATGGCGGGGCGATGGGGATGACAGATCCGGTCCTTGACGCAGACGGAGAGCTAAATGAGATGCATCCCACCGCAATCCCGCAGATACCATCCAATCCTCATATCGAATCTGTGAATGTGCTAGCGGACGCTCACTTCTTGCTACGGCACTTCCAAGACCATGTCATCTCGCGCATGTCTGCCATTCCCCTGGAACAAAAGTCTCCATGGAAGATCCTGAACTTGCCGTCCGCGGTGGTGACATTCAGCGACCTGACGTTTCTAGGGTCACAGAACATCAGCCATGCTCGCTTGGCAAATCTGTACTGTCTCCTGGCATGTTCAGCCTTACATCTCTCCGTCAATCCCACAACGAACACATCGGAAACACGAGAGCACTGGCAGCCCATCGCCGAGCATGCATACAATCTGGCCAAGAACCACATGCAGACGTCACTGCGACACGAGACCCAACCCAAAGCCGCCAAGTATAAGGACCAGCTGATGGCCATCTGCGCGTTGACCGAATTTGCCGTAAGTCATGCCTCAGCGTCCCACCCCACCCGAATCCCACTGACAGTGCCACCCGGCAGATAATCAGCGGCCAGCAGCAAGACGCGAGATGCTACATGGTGGACGCCGAACGCCTCCTCCGCCTGCGGGGCCTATCGAAGCGACGCATCTCGCAGAAGGCGCGGCTGCTGCACCACGTATACACATGGCTGCGAATCGTCGGCGAGAGCACCTACACGCTGCACGACTACACGCCGTCGGAGCACTTCATGGACGCGCTGAAATGCTCGTTCCGGTGCCAGAAGTCCGACAGCATCAGCCAGTCCCACACAACCATTGACAGCAGCACGACGGTGCACAGCACCACCACGACGGGCCACAGCACCCGACTGGACGACTTCCTGCGACTCGCGCGCTGCCCATCGGACAGCGACCTTAACATCCACGAGCCCAAGAGCCAAGACGTGGGACTGCACGACATCCACCTGCAAGACTCGCGCAGCTACCCAGACACACTATACCACCAGATCTACGGGATCCCGGAAGCGTGGCTCAGCCTGGTGTCTCAGACGACGCGCCTGGCGAACGTGATGGAGACGTTCCGCGTGGCGCGCCGCACGCCGCAGGTCAGGAAGGCCAGCATCGAGGCCTGGGACGCGCTGCACCGGCGCAGCGCCCGCCTCGAGAACATGGTGTGCGCGCTGACCTCGCGGAAGGTCGAGAGCACCGCCTCCCCCCGAGGGTCGGAGGTGTGCGCTAAGGCCCATGAGTACCTGCTCCAGGCGCTGAACGCCGCATTAGTTATCTTCTTCTACCGCCGCATCCGCGACGTGCACCCGCTCATCCTGGAGGGCCACGTAGACAAGGTCGTCTCGTCGCTGAGTAGGTTCGACGCCGCGTTGACAGGGGCGGGGCAGACTGGCCCAGGTACAGCGTGGCCGCTGTTCATCGCGGGCTGCGAAGCGACGACGCTCGAGCGACGGTGGGAGATCCTGAAACTGCTCGAGAAGGGGGAGGCGCGGTGCGGGTTCGCGGGGTTTGGCATGGCGCGCGACGTCATGAAGGAGGTCTGGAAGCAGCAGGACGAGCATATCACCTCCAGTTGTGGCGAGTCCGTGCCGACGTGGCTGGATGTGACCAAGCGCCGGCAGATATGGCCCATCCTAGCCTAGATCTATATCGTATCCGATCAATGCAGCGTAATGACTGTAATGAATGTAACCAATGTCACGAACGAACCAAGCAATCATATCTCATTTCCATGCTATGTTACATCAAGAAGTCTACCGCACAACCTTCACGCCGGCGTTCTCCATTAGCCTCGCCAGCTCCTCCCGCACTTCCCCCTTGAGCAGCGCAAACGGCTTCCTCAGACCCCCCGTCGACTGTCCCATCAACTCGACCCCAGTCTTGACAGCAGCCGCGTAGTTATGCGACTCCAGGAATTTGCAGATCGGCCACGCCTTGCGCCACAGCGCGCGGCCCTTGTCAAGGTTCTTCTCGACCGCGACCGCATTCCACAGCTCGACGCTCAGCTCGGGGATGAGGTTCGCGGCGCCCCAGACGGCGCCCTCCGACCCAGCCGCCAGCCCGTAGAAGGTCAGCGTATCCCAGCCGTTGAAGGCGGTGATCTTGTCGGACAAGCCGAAGACCAGCTCCGTGTACGCGGGGGCGTTACCCGAGGTGTCCTTGAGGTATTTGACGCCGACGGCGCTGAGGTCGGCGATCTGGGTGGCGGTCAGGGTCAGTCCGCTGGCGGAAGGGATGTTGTAGTAGACAATCGGCAGGCCGCTCGACGAATGGATCTCCGCCATGAGCTCTGTGAGTTGCTCGTAGGTGAGCGCATCGTAGAAGGGTGGCACAACCATCACGGCGGCGGCGCCGGCCTGCGCGGCGTGCACGGCCAGCTCGACCGCCTCGTCGGTCGACGTGCTGCCTGTGCCGGCGACGACGGGGACGCGCCCCGCCGCGTACTCGACGCAGAGCTCGGTTAATTGTTTGCGCTCAGCGCGGGAGAGTGTGGTGAATTCGCCGGTGCTGCCGCCTGGGACGAGGCCGTGCACGCCCGCGGCGATGAGGTGGTCCATGTGTGCTTTCAATCGAGGGCCATCGATCTGGGTGCGGTCGTCGTTGAAGGGAGTGATCAGGGCAACCATGATCCCGTGCAGGGTCGGGGTCGAGGAGAAGGAGCCGTTGACTGTCATTGTGTGTGGTATTGTGCGGTGGGTGAGGTTGGATGAATTATCTCGCAAAGATCTGTAGCGATGATGCTGTGTTGCTCTGCAGAGACAGCGTTATTATAGTTGTATCCAACGGGACTGCTTTCTTGTCTAAGAATCGTCGACGGACCATCTATACTTCAGGTGCTCTGCTCCAGAGATGCCCTAATCCCCGGACGAGGTTATCAAACTGCCCGGGATTGCCTTCCTATCCTGTGCGGCCACACTTCGCCGGGCAGGAGGTTCCGGCCACTGTAGATGTGCGGGGAACGGACAATCAGCAGTCAGCACTACAGAGGGGGTGGTTTTAGTGCACGGTTGGCGTAATCCCCACCGGCGATAAACATGCCATTTTGGGCGATAGACGACTATCGCATTGAGGGGTAGCTTGTGAATGCCGCTCGAGCTCCTTATCGGAGTCCGCGGGACATCTTGCAACCAATTCGGATTCTGTCCAGTCGAGCCAGACAAATTGGTTAATTGGCCAAGTCCCCATTAGTCAGTTCTGGCCTGCCACTGCACCATTTCACCTCCTCAAAAGCCGTGGGGCCAGCAGAAGTCGCCATACTTCTTACTTATTCTTTTCTTCTTCCCTCTCTCTCTCTGACAGAAAATCGAAGCGTGTTGCCTGAAGTTTGCGCGAAAATGTCGGACCTCTTTGTCGAGCTCACCACGCCCAACGGCCGCCAGTATAAGCAGCCTACGGGCCTGTTCATCAACAACGAATTCCGGCCGTCGTCGGGTGGGCAGACGATTGTTTCGTTGGACCCAGCGTGAGTCAGGCTTCTGCGATAAACCTCGAGTAATCGCTGACGACAAGCAGAACCGATAAACCGATTGCAACCGTCCACGCCGCGACCGCGGAGGATGTCGATGCCGCAGTTCAGGCCGCCAAGGCCGCCCTTGCCCATGCGTCGTGGAAGCGACTTCCCGCGACCGAGCGCGGACAACTGATGGGCCGTCTGGCCGATTTGATGGAGCAGAACAGGGAGCTGTTCGCTGCGATTGATGCGTGGGATAATGGTATGTCTGACCGCCAGGGACGACAGTATTGTAGGCGCGTAGCACGTCTAACATGCACAAGGAAAACCCTACCACGTCGCATTGAATGAAGACCTCACCGAAGCCATCGGCACCATCCGTTACTACAGCGGCTGGGCCGACAAGACCTTCGGCCAGACCATCAGCACCACCCATCAGAAATTTGCATACACTATCCGCCAGCCTCTCGGTGTGGTCGGGCAAATTATCCCCTGGAACTACCCACTCTCCATGGCCGCGTGGAAGCTCGGCCCTGCGTTGGCGTGCGGCAACACTGTCGTTATCAAAGCAGCCGAACAAACACCGCTGAGCATACTGATGCTGGGTACTCTAATCAAAGAGGCAGGGTTCCCGGCCGGTGTCGTGAACATTATCAACGGATACGGTCGGGAGGCTGGCGCTGCCCTCGTCCAGCATCCTCTTGTCGATAAGGTGGCTTTCACTGGGTCCACTGCCACTGCGCGCGAGATCATGAAAATGGCTGCCGGAACCCTGAAGAACATTACGCTGGAGACCGGTGGCAAGTCACCACTGCTGGTATTTCCTGATGCTGACCTTGAGCAGGCGGTCAAATGGTCCCATTATGGCATCATGTCGAACCAGGGCCAGATTTGCACCGCCACATCGCGTATCTTCGTGCATCGGGATGTACTGGACACCTTCCTGGAGAACTTCAAGAAGGAAGTCAAAACAACGTCCAAGATCGGTCATCAGTGGGATGAGAGTACCTTCCAGGGACCGCAGGTAACGCGTGCACAGTACGAGAGAGTGCTGTCGTACATCGAACTGGCCAAGAAAGAAGGCGCCAAGCTTCTGGTCGGCGGTGACGCCCACACTCCGATTGACAGCAAGTTGGAGAAGGGGTATTTCGTCCAGCCGACGGCGTTCACAGACGTCACGGATGATATGCGTATCGTACAAGAGGAGGTGTTTGGACCTGTCGCGGTCATTCTGCCGTTCGACTCGGAAGAGGAAGTCATCCGCCGCGCCAATAACACCACGTATGGACTGGGTGCTGCCGTTTTCACGCAGGATCTCGAGCGGGCCCACCGAGTGGCGGCAGAGATTGAGGCAGGCATGGTCTGGGTCAATAGCAGTCAAGACTGCGATCCCAAGATACCATTTGGAGGAGTGAAGCAGAGTGGTATTGGCCGGGAGCTGGGCGAAGCTGGCTTGGAGGCGTACTCGCAGATCAAGGCAGTTCACATCAACATGGGCAGTCGACTGTAGATAGAGACTTGCGATACGAGAGATTAGATGAAATGATGACACAGCACTCAGCTGGCGATGACAAGATTATGCCAACACGTCGACCGTATCTGTCACTCAACAATTCAGCGTTATCGGTATCAAGAAGCAAGCCCAGAGCGTATTTGCCTTGTGTGTCCGCGGAAGCAACTACCTCTTCTGTCGGTTGTCCAAAACTTGCCACTGTCCTGGTGAAGACACGGAGCGTATCAGACTCCATGGCCATAATTCATTGGACAAAAAGACTGATTATGACCAAACCAGATCCAGACCCTCTCCGTCTGATAACCAATATTAGCCTGTGTAGCTTGGAATAACCCCAGATTCCCCGCAAGGTGGTATCCACCTCAAGCGATGTTTAGAGTTAGGATCAGAGATAGGCCGCTGTAGCAGGTGGAGGCAAGGCAGCAATATATGCCGTCTACTGCTGCTCCTTCCTCCCCTTGTGTCAGCAGTTGACTCACGATCGAGTATTGCGTTGAAGCCTTTCTTAGTGTAACAATACAATCATCATGGCCGACGACAAAAAGATGACTTTTCCGATGGAGAACCTCACAGACGAAGCGAAAGGAGAGATCGTGGAAGATACTCCCAACGAGCAGACCATTGACTTGCACCGTACCTTCAAAGCACGACACATCCAGATGATATGCCTCGGTTCGTGCTTTATATTATCCAGGATATTTCAAGGGCTAACAGCTCGCAGGAGCAAACCTCTCGAGCGGATTGTTCGTTAGTACCGGCAAGGTTGGTGACACCACCTCCTCACTGGATTGAAGCTGACAAGACAGGCACTGCGTTATGGATCTGCTTCGGGCATGTTGATCGGGTATAGCATTGTGTGCTCGGCCGTCTATTTCTTGATGAACGTCCTGACGGAGGCCACATGTCTGTGGCCGACATCCGGAAGCTTCATCGACCACGCCACGCGATTCGTCGATCCAGCTCTGGGGTTTGCCATGGGTAAGTACCGTGTAGCTACCCTTTTTGACTACTAGGACTGACATTGGCTTGATGATATGCAGGTTTCTGCGAGTGGTTCGCCTATATGACCATTGTTGCAAGCGAAGCCGCCATTGTCCGCGTCATCCTCTCGTGGTGGACCACGTCCATCCCCACTGCTGCCTGTATGACTGTCTTTCTGGCAATCGTGTTTGCCATTCACGCCCTTCCTAATCGATGGTTTGCCGAGTTTGAGTTTGTGACGGCCTGCGCCAAGGTGATAATGATGCTGGTTCTGATCTTCGCCTGCATCGCGATGCTCGCAGGAGCAGGGGAACACAATGGGACCGCCTACGCCTGGAACTACACTTCGGGGCCAGTCTTCCCTAATGGCTTTAAAGGCATTTGCCAAGCCATCCCGTTAGCAGTCTGGGCGGTGGGCGGACAAGAGATCATGGGGATCAGCGCGGGTGAAGCACAGATGCCACGGTGGGACATGCCACGAGCGTGCAAGAATCTGATCGGACGGCTGATCATCTTTTACGAGCTGTCCATCGTCTTCATGACGCTGCTCGTGCCATACAACAACCCCAATCTCCTCGGGACCAGCAGCGTGGCCGCTTCCCCGTTCGTGATCGCGCTGCAGAATGCGAAGATCTCCGTTCTCCCCTCGCTACTCAACGCCGTCATCCTACTGGGCCTGTGCGGTAACGCTGCAGAAGCAATGTACATTGCCTCGCGGGTGCTCACCGCGATGGCCCGGATGGGGATGATGCCTGGGCCGTTCAAGAAGATCGACAGCCGCGGTCGGCCGTATCTTGCGCTGATCGCCACGGCCGTCTGCTCGACGGTGTGCACCTATATCAACTGCAGCGGCACGGGCGCCCAGATCTTCACGTGGTTCAGCTCCATCAGCTCCACGGTCTTCTTCATGGCGTGGCTGACCATTGCCATCACCAACATTCAAATGCGTCGCGCCATCCGTGCCCAGAATGACCCGGCTTTCCGTCTCCCGCACGCCTTCCGGCTCCGAGGGTATCCTTTTCCAGCTTTGACTCTGCTCACTCTGTGTCTGGCGTGTCTGGGGATGACGGCGTATGTGAGCGTCAAGCCGATTGGCTCGTCCAGCAGCGCGGAGGGATTCTTCGAGATCTTCCTGGGAGTGCCGGTGTTCGTGGTCGCGTATCTCGGGTATAAGCTGTACTTCCGAACGAAGCTGGTGAAGCCCCTTGAGGCAGACCTGGTGACGGGGCGGAGGCTGCTGACGCCGCAGGACGTGGCAATGTTGGATGAGTATTATGCTCAGCCGGGGTGGAAACGGGCGTTGTCCTATGTGAGATTCTGATGTGATCACTGGCTAGCTTGAGCAAAAGCCGCTGAATCAGCTGTAAGAGGGTACAGTACTGGGCTGTGTGGAACGAGAATGCTAGGCTGATTCAAGATGTGGTCGGGGTGGTTGGTTGTGGAAGGAATGGAGAAGAACAAGAAGAAGCCGCCATCACGGCCGGTCAGGTGCTGTGTCACCCTGTGTTCCCACAACACAAGGTAGCAACTGGCTATGCTCTCAGTCGGTCAATTACATGTTACTGAGGACTTTTCAGATGCAAGAGTCCCTTTATGGTTTCCTGGTCTACATCAACCCGTCTGCGTTGTCCGCATGAATATTCATGAAACCCAAGTCAGGCCAGTACTCAAACAGACCCAAGTCGTTTGATGCGAGCCTAACAAGGACTTGTCTTCCCACCCCATACCTTAGCTATATCATATAAGCAATAAGCTGACTTGCTTGGGTGGCCCGTGTAAACTACGCAAAGAGACCTTAGTTGACCGATTGATCACCATGTAAGCCATGTCGGTTATCAGAGTAATATCAAAATCATATCGACAATTCTCTCTCGAAATATGCTATAGCGTTTCGAATACCTCGATCGCAGCCTTGGCAGTAGAAGTAGAACTAGCAGGATTTTGCCCCGTGACAAGTCGTCCATCAACCACATGGAAATCGTCCCATATTCCAGCAGAGCGTTCATCTGCAGAGGCAGGTTAGCACACCCGGAGACCACTTAGAAGGCAGAACATAAACCTACAGGTAGCACCTAGACGTTCTGAAAGCTCTTCGACCATCTCAACGCCCAACCCTCTCAGCTCCGACATAATCCCCATCACGTTCTCTGCCTCCGTCGTGAACCCAGTGATCTTCTTTCCTTTGATAATCGGTTCCCCTGTCGCGCGGTCGACCAGGTTCGAAAAGATTGCAGGACCGTGGCAGACAGACGCCACCACGCCACCGTTCGCCCAGACTTGTTCCGCAATGTTCTGCAAGGCACGAGCGTTTGGGTAGTCGATCAGAGAAGCATGGCCTGCGGAGGCAAAGAACAAGCCGTACTGGGACCCGTCCAGCTCGGAGGCCTTGGGCATATTATCGAGTTTCTGGCGGAAATCACTGTTCACATTGTTCCAGATTTCGAGGTCATCACCCTTGAGAAAGTCGGGCTGTTGGGACAGCCAGTCAGCTGTATAACTGCCTGTCTCGGAGGCGAGATCCACTTGAAAGCCGGCTTCCACGAGCGCCTTATATGGGTGTAATGCCTCGATAATAAAAAGACCAGTGGTCTCCTTGCCGTTGAAAAGGCTGGCACTGGCAGACGTGACCGATATGAGGGCTCTGCGAACAGGCATGATGATTGATTTGCTTGACTTGAGTTGGCTGATGATGATACATTTACTTGACAACTGTTCTCGCATTTAAAGGAGGAGAAGATGACCAAAACCGCGGGGTTATCGGGCAACGGAGTTCCGGAGCGAGAGGGCGCGCGATTTCACTTAGCATGATACATCGTGAGAAATAGCGGTTATCCCTCTTTGGGAGGAAGCAATTCGTATCCGATATTAATCCCCCGACACGAGGTATCTCCGATTCTTTCCCGCGTCAGCATTCATGGATTGGTCCAAAAGATGGACAGCCCGGGCGAGCCCCGGTACTAAAAGATCAGGGTGAGATTTATTGTCTGCGCTGCATCGACGAGGTCTAGATCGGCGCCTCCATACAAGCGCTCGGCACTGCCCCGTCGGCGAGAACAAGCTCGATTTGTCAGCCTGTCACAGTTGCCGACTCCGTCATCTCAGATGCCAAAAATTCCTAGGTCAATTCCTCCGCTTCTATCAGGGAGATCCCGTAGGTCAGCCCTCAACGCCGAATAACGGACATTGCACACCTATGGTCCCCTCATTCCGCAGTTGCTGGGGGCATAAGCACAGCTGGCAGATGGACTAGGCAGATTTATTTGCGTCCACGACCAGGTTATCCGTTCAAGGATCCTAAGAATGGAGGTTTCCCTCAACATTATCTTGAGTATTTCCGCTGTCTGAACATCCGTAAGTTGTCGAAGGATTGTGCGTTCAAAATTGGCGAAGGGTTTCACTGGACTAATCACCACAAGAGGTCACCAGAGGCTGCAATCGGTCCATAAAATCAGGTCACCTTTGTGTATCTCTGCCCCGGTTCATAAAGACACCCGCGGCTGCATAAGGTAGGTATATTGCCACCGCAGGACCAGTGTCAAGACAACATATGCGGGCAATTTTAGGTGAAGAGGAAAGTGTACAACATGCAGATGAACCAATATACATCGCTGCTTTCCGTATGACCGTCACATGTCACTAATGCCTTGTCCATAGAGCTTATGGAGCTCTCAAGGTGCTTCATTTCCTGCGTTGAGTTTGCCCAGCTTACCCGGTCCTACCTGGGTTTCCAAGTTTCTTGGAAATACACCTTTGTGGTTGATGCTGTGCGGGATCGGGTTAACGACGCGCCTTGATCCTCCATGAGACAAATTGCCGTCTTCTGCGACAGTATCAACTTGGAATCCCAACAGTCGGTACGGCTTTGATTCAACTCGGGCAACGAAAAGTTCCATCCTCCCTTGCTTCAAAACATCGTACTGCTTTGTCATACTGCTCTCATCAGTCAAAGCGACAGACGAAATGAGATGGGTCCCAGAGGAATTAGAACTGGCGACACCAGGCTCAATTGCCTTCGCAAGATACTTCCACAATGATATCCTACATTTTACCACCCCCGTGTATTCTCCCCGCCCTGGCAGTGTCAGCCTGTCCTGATAAAGAGGGCAAGGCTGAGGCAAAGCGAGGAGCAAGAGAATCATTTGTGCTAGCATGGCCAAGGACAAAGTTGGAGCAATGGCTGGAGGAAGACGAGAGTCAACTGGAGTCATTGGAGCGAGTGGCTTGGGCTTTGGTACTTCGATGTTATACCTCGCAAGACCAAGTGTGCTTCAGGTTTTTCTAAGTAATAGAGACAGTAATCAAGGCATACAACTGTCACATCACCAGGACGAGAAGCCTTCGAGACCTTCTGGGTGGGCAAGATCAAGGAGAGAAGAAAGGCTGCTCCTGCGAGTATTCTGGGTCCACCTGCAAGGATACCAAGGAAGGACAAGGCTCTGTCTATAACACCCTCCTTGCTATCAACATGGGTGGCAAAGATTTGGATCGATTGATCGAAACTCCGAGCGTACGGTCTTCTTCAGTTGTTGTGTCACTCTGTAATATGCTTACCAGGACCCATTCTAACCTAAAGTTGATCGTCAGTCCCCGTCATGAAATTTTGAAATATTCTACCGTGATTGACTTCAACTCTGGGATCTGGTCTCGTGAGCAGGTCGAGGCCGTGGCACAAAGCTTCCACCACGCGATATTCCCTATCGTTCAGAGCCCCCACCAGAAATTTGGGGACATTGACTTCTGCAGCAATTTAGATGTTCAGCGCATGGCCGAATGAAACATGCCTTTTACAAAAACATCCATCGAGGACCAATGTGTGACTCAGATTATTCTGCGCCGCTGTCACGAGCAGCCAGATGTTACGGCCATTTCGGCCTGGGACGGCGAGGTTGCATACGGTGAGCTGGAACGACAATCTGCTAGACTGGCAACCAAGTTATTGAAGCTTGGCATCAGTCCCAAGCGATGTGTTACTATCGTTCTGGACAAATCGAAATGGATGATGGTCGCGACCTTGGGCGTGATTCGTGCGGGCGGATCCTTCCTCATGGTGGACGTTTCCCATCCATTTGAGCGGATTGAAAAGATCATTCGCACTATTGCAGCACTTTTGCTAGTGTTTTCATACGCTTGCGTATCTCTCGTCTCTCGCTTGGCAGATGCGATCGTGGTTATTGAAGACGTTGCCAACTTTGCCGAGCAGAGCATCGACGACAAAGCCCTCAGGCAACAACACGCAGACACGACCATCGAATGCCTTGTATGTTGTCTTCACATCGGAAAGCACCTCGGAGCCAAAAGGTATAAACCTTGAGCATGGGACATTTCGTGTCTCGGCGCTGGCCACGATCGGCCCGCTAATGCTTGGGCCGGAAACCAGGCGCTTACAGTACGCGTCGATGGATTCACTGTGTGTAATCGTGAGGTGCTGCTGATGCTCATGGTTGGAGGGTGCCTGTGCATTCCATCAGAGGATGATCGCAACCAGGACCTCACGGGATTTATCAGCCGTCATCGGGTCAACTACACGTTCCTGCCGCCAATAATAGCGAGCCAGTTGGACCCGGCAGCCGTCCCAACCCTTCGCGTACTGCTGCTTGGGGGGCACATCCATCGGGATCTCTCAACTAACGGACTGGACCAAACATGTCCGTTTCATGTTTGGCTATGGGGCGAGCGAAACGGCTGGGGTGGCGATCCTAGCCTCTGACTTCAGGCGGGGTGCGATGCACGCAACGTCGGGTTTTCCTGCGACTATTGTCTCTGGGTAGTAGAGGTCGACAACCCAAACCATCTGGTACCCGTTGGTGCGGTCGGGGAACTATTGCTCCAAGGCAAGGGCCTTGCGAGAGGATACTCGGCCGACGAAGAGATAGATCGTCGTGTGTTCCTGAAGGGAGCCGATTGGCAAGCCCGCCACCCCCTACACGTATACAGCACCTTTGGCGAGCGTCTTTACCGCACAGGCGACCTGGTGCGATACAATTTGGACGGGTCAATCCAATACATCTCACAAAAAGACAACTTGATCAAGGTGGATGGCGAAGAGTGGACCCCGGGGAGATCGAGCATCACCTAGCTAAGTGTCCAGTGCTTGTGAGTCAAGGTGTACGGAGTGTTGCCGTGATTGCAGTAGACATAGTGAAGGACCAGGAAAAGGTTACGCGGACGCAACTGGCAGTAGCCATCGACTATGACCCGCGCCCAGCGCACTGTCCAGGAGTATCACAGCTGGGAGCGAGTGACATAGTCCAATGCGATCCGGGCTGCGAGCTGGCAACGGCGGTCAAACAGTATCTCAAGGCCCGTGTGCCTAATTTAATGATATTTTCTCACATCTTCGTGGTCAATGAGATGCCCCTCAATAGATCAGAAAAGATCGACCGATTGCGGCTTAGGACTGTCATTTCTGCCATACTCACAGCGTCTAACAGCGATCATCGTGGAGTCACGGCGCCTCTCCATGATCCGGCAGGCATTCAAACGCCAACACAAGTGCGTACGACGAAAAAATCGCCGGACGTGTCCGTGCATAGTGGCCTATCAGACACCATATCGGCTCGGATTCAACAACTCCGAAGCATCATGGTTCGTCTGCTCAAGGTCCAAAAGGAGGTAGTTGGGTTGGACAGCGATTTCTTCCATCTTGGAGGGGATTCAATGACTTCTTTTAGGCTTGCGCTACTTGCAAACGAGAAGGACTCCATTTGACCGAGGATATGATCTTTCAGTTTCCGAAGTTACCGGACATGGCCAAGGCATTGACAACCACATTCTCAGATGATGCGCACTCAGAACCACAGCCGAAACCAGCCAAGGAGAATTCCACGATCGATCAACGTGATAGATGGCATCAACTGCTACCACCAAGGCTATCAGACTCCGCGGCTGACGTATTTCCACTTACCAATTTCCAGCAGTTGAGCTTGAAAATGATAGATTATCGCTACTAACGTGTTGCACTACCTTCGAAATTTGACAGAGATCGGTTGTCTCATGCATGCCAGTAGCTTGTCGATCGGCACACCATTCTTCGAACCGCGTTCGTTTGCGAGCACAACGAATATACTCAGCTAGTGTTAAGAGGTGGGCTCATGTCCATTCAGGACTTTCAAGCCGATGATCTAGATCAGTACTGCTCTTATGACGGTGCCAGCGCTGAGAGTTCCATAAATGGACGACCGCCATTTACTGCACAGCTTGTAACTCTGAGGCAAACGTGTGAAGTGTTTATCGTCTTCCGATTCGCCCATGCTGTTTTTGATGGCCTCTCTGCAGCCATTCTCATTGATGACTTCGCCGCTCTCTACAACGGCCGGTCCCTGCCTTCCACCAGCCCATTCTCTGCTCACCTGCAGGCTGTGATGACCTTGCAAAACGAGGCTGCTTATGGTATCTGGCGTAGGGTGTTGGAAGACGCCCAGATGAGCTTGCTAAATAGACACAGACTGCATATCTCAGAAAAGTGAGGGCGCTGCGGGACCGCCGCACATTGTCAAAGTTGCGAAGACGATCTCTGCTATCTCGCTTCCACCTAACATAACTTTGTCCACTGTACTCAAAACAGCGTGGGCTGCTACGCTTCACAGGTACTTCGCTCCGAAGAGCGGGTGGTCATCTGCCACCGACGTATTTGGACAAGTCGCCCACGGACCGAACTTAAGTGTGGCTCATGCGGACCGTATCCTCGGGCCCTGCATCAACATTGTCCCCGTCTGTCTCGTTTGAATCCTCGACCTGCAAGCTTGCGCTCCTTGACGCAGTCCAGCAACAGCTCCTCGAGACTAAGCCATATGCTGCGCTGGGCTATCAAGACATTGTGCAGAATTGCACGCCCTGGTCAGCGACAACTCCACTAGCGAGCTTCGTGCGGGTCCGTAATTATGAGTACCTGCTGACTGCTGGCTCGACAGAGTCCAGTGCCAGGCCAGCTACTATCCCCTGCCCAATAACCCGTCGCACTCTTCGAATGTGCATATCTATCCAGAGGGCGACCAACTCTACATGGATATCGCGGTATCGAGCCAAGTTCTTGATCGACAGCAGGTAGAGTTTCTTCTCGAGCAGTATTGCCGGATAATCAGTGAATTCGGAAGCGATGGAATCGAGGAGGCGCCAGAGCTCCACGGATTGAAATTACAGTCAGCATAAATGGCAGCACAACGAGGAAATTGCGAGATCGTGCACTCATGATTGCATCTCGTCGTTTGAAGAGGACACTGTTTCTGATTCTTCAACGCCATTGGACATGGTATGGCCTGTTGCCGTACCACTGTGCCATACATCCTTGATGCTACGGCGGCTTCTGTTGGCATCGACGCGAGGAGGACGTATTTGGTCTGCTTGCACAACGAAGAAGTGTTAGTGGATACGTAAAACCCGACGTACGATGGCGTGTTCATGGAACACCCATGGGTACATCTGATTTTGCTTTTGATTCTTGTAATCCAAATGCCATCTGTACGCTGTGTCTTCTACTTACTGAGTTCAATATCACTCGGCAATGCTTTCTCTTCAGTCGATTTGTTAGAATTCGCATCAAGTCTTTTCGGTGGTATCGAAGCAGAAATTGAAGGAAGAAACTGGGGCATTTCGGTACAATGAGCTGCATGCAAAAGGATAAAAATCAACCAAAGATTGGAAATGAAAACTCCCGGTTGAAGTTCCGCTTGTATCCCGTACGCGTGACTGTGCCCGTGACTTTTGGGACGTTCCCAATTGGGAAATCCCCCAGGAAGCTTCTGAAGACAACACAACACAACACAACACAACACAACACCTCAAAGCCGAGCTTCAATAAACCCCAGCCTCTCCCTTTCTTCTCTTCTCTCACCCTCAACTCTCCCAAACTTCGTTCTCGTTCCCCTTTCCTCCATCATGGCTTCCGCTGATCTTACCGCTAAGCCTACTGCTGAGCTCCCTACTGATTCTGCTGCTGGAGCGTCCATTCCGAACCTCACCATGGACTTGCCCAAGACTCGCACCGAGGCTGCTGAGGACTTGGTTGAGCCTACAACTGAGGATTCCAAACACACCCTCAATGAGGGTCCAAGCAAGACGTCCACTGAGATGCCCACTGAATCCCTCGATGGGTCATCCATTCAGCCTTCTATCAAGACTAGCCCTGTGACTCGCACTGAATCTACTCCTGAGACGCCCACTGAGTCTTCTGCTATGTTTCCTAGCAAGTCTTTCCCTGAGACGCACAGTGAGACCTTTACTGGGCCTGCCACTAAGACAGCTCCCGAAGATTCCAACGAAGACCATACCGAGCCCGACAATCAGTCCATCGCCGAGCCTGCCACTCCTATCAAGGCATCATCTGAGACTTCTAGCAAAACTTCCAGTGGCCCTGGCAATCAGACAACTTCCAAATCTTCTGAAGAGAAGTCCAATGATACTGCTGATAATACCAGCGAGCATTCCGTGCCCTTCTGGAAAATGCTCTCCCAAGAACCCTGCAAAGCGTGCACCTTCTCCGAGCAACGCGCCCATTGCAGCAGCTACAAAAGTCAGGTCAAGATTTTCTATGAGGGGAGTGACCGCGGCGTTTGGTCTCTGGGCTCAAACCTGATTCTCAAAGACCGTGGTCCCGAACTTCCAACCGATGATGCCGCAAACCTCCGCTTCGTGAAGGAGAACACAACTATCCTAGTCCCGACTGTTATTCACCAGCATGAAACAAGCAACGAGCATGCCTTGACAATCATGACACGCATCCCTGGTGAGAACCTGGCCGAAGCTTGGCCAAAGCTGTCTAACGCCGAGAAAGAGAATATTGCCAAGCAGACTGCCGAATATCTTCTTCAACTTCGCCTCCTCCACTCTGATCGCATCGAAGCCCACGGTGGTCGTCCTGTGTTCAACGGCTACTTGGTTAAGGCTGAGGATACTCGTTTCCATTGTCCATGTGGCCCTCTAGTCTCTGATGAGGAGGTCTGGACTGCATTGGCGCGCAGACTGAATCCAACCATTCCCGACGCGGCACGCAACCGGCTTCGACATTCCATGCCGCCAACTAAGCCATTTACCTTTACCCATCAAGACCTTGCGCACGTCAACATCATGGTCCAGGATGGTGTACTGACCGGTATCGTGGACCGGGAGCGGGCCGGATACTTCCCTGTCTGGTGGGAATATGCCATGACTTTATTCACTGGTGAGGGTCCAGAAGACGCTCAGTGGCAAGGTCTTCTGCGTAAGCACATGCCACAGATGGACGATGTCTATAATTGGTTTAAAACCTACTACTTCCTGTGTCTTGAGGATCTGAACAGTTCTTGGGCGCGAGATTTTATTGAAGAGTCTGAGAAGGATCTGGCATAGATGCCGACGGTTCGTTTAAATCTTGTCCTATCATAACGCATGTGCTTATCACAAGTGCTAATGAGAGTTTGGGCTCTAGTCATCATCGATGTCTGTCATCTATCTAGGATGCTAGGATGTTTAATAGAAAGTCCTAGTAGAGGAGCATGTTTATGTCCAAGCAAGTGTTAACCAAGATGATTCATAACTTATTAAATAATCCTACTTGCAACTGAGCTCCGGGAGACCAAAGTTCCGTTGTAGTTACCATCAGATCCCGGTCGACAACAGTAGTAAGCCGGCCCTGGAATATGAATATGTCCCCATTTCACTACGGAACACAAACAAAACCAATTTACGGAGTATGCTCTATCCTGAACCCCCCTCACTGAAGCAAATATGATTCAGATACTATCTGTATAAGACTATCTGTCGCAGTTACGACCTCCAGCGAATTTCCAGATCCCCATACAAGAACATGCGAGCTCACAAATCCTTACCGAAAAGATCACAGCGAAGCGCTGTTACTTGCCCATCTGTTTAGCAAGACCTTAATTACTCGCTCATGCTCCCGGGCCATTGCAGTTTGCAGCGTACTCCCGTATT